GTGCATAGTAACATTCCTATGTCGAAGTTAATGGAATGTAGAAAAGAGGTACGGGCCATGTTCAAAGTAAAATCGATCGGATTGGAGGACTTTAGCTCAGGGTCGCGGTAAAAGGGCATACCCAAATACTTTGGTTATGATTCCTGTTCTGTTAAGCTTCCTTTGCTATCGGTAGAACCGAGACTGATCACTTGGTGTGGCCTCGTACTGATTTGTAAACAAGTTCTGCTAACGGTCATGCAAAAAACAGATCAGCCCTAACAAAAAGCCTGTTTTTTACGGCTTGGTGCTTTTATATAGTTTTTAAATGGTTGGAAATGGGAAAAAGTTGCTATCCTTATTTAACGATAATAGTTTTCCTGAATACTGATATTTTGAAGATTTGAAGTTTAGAATGGAAGAGGGACTTGCTCGAGCGGCCCCTTCATGACCCTTTTGTTCCAGATTGGAACTTACAACAGCAAATTAACTGTTTTGTTTTGCTACTTCATCATAAATTCATTTTACTTGTCAATTATTTATTAAACTGATTATCCAAAAAAATTATTATTTAACCTGAGGATCGACGCCTGAAGGTTTATGCTCAGACTGTAATGCCTTAAGGTTTATGCTCAGTTAAGACCTCCGTATAATTATAATCTAGATTAATATCCCAAAATTTAAATATAACTCTTAAGCATTCCATTTGAACTCTTAATAATTGCTTTAGCAGCTGGCGGCCTAGTTCTGAAATTTAGATACAACAGAGCAACTTTTTCTTCCTCTCAGCCTAGACGCTCTTTCGCTTTCCGCCCCTAGTCCTGATTTCTATTTCCGCGCTCGAATTTATATGGTTCTGGTACCCAGAGTACAGGATAAATTTTGGCATCGTTTGATAAAGATAGGTGACAATTAACATTCATGTTTTAAGTATTATCCAGATGAGCTGGTTTTATAATATTTTATTGTTTCCTTTAGTGATATTTAAATTTGGATTTTTATATTTATTCATGTTGGTTTAGTAGATGTGGCTTGGTCAAAGTATCTTGAAATATTTTCTTAAAACGTGTTGGTGAGTGAATGATGTATTTGTGAATGTACAATGATTTGTTTGTTTTTTAGTAAGATTGGCTGTTATCATTGGTTTACCACAGTCTCTAGCTTAATAGTCTTCCAAGTGATCAAGATATCCAACTATGAAGTTAGATAAGTGGCGTAACGCTGTTTATGGCACCTTAGTTAGATGACAAAGGTCCCCCACCCAAAATGGGCCCCCAAATTTTTTTATCTATGTTTTTTAAACTTCGCTCCAGTTCACCTCATTTTCAAGAACTTTTAAATTTCGTCAACTAACGTTTTCTATCACTTAAGCTCTCCCTAGTTAACAAGAAAATGTTCTTATGATTACATTTTTCTATGGTGTTTGACAATAAAAAACTGACATGCGTTGGATGGGTCTTTCTTGCAGTCCTCCATAAATAGGGTCCCCGTTTCAGCGTTTTTTCCTGAGGGCTCCTAGATGCCTCCGCTACGCAATTAAGTCAGATGAAAGCTACAACGACGTGGTTAATCAGAGCCCACTGTTCCTGACTTCCTTGCCTCGTTGATACACGCTTTTAAGTCTGTTGCCTCAATACCTGCTATTAATCCAGTGGCGGATTTAGACCGGAGCAAACGGAGCAGCTGCTCCAGTCAGAATTTTCTAAATTTATTATAGTGCCTGTTTGATATTAACTTAGCTCTGTTACTTCATAAATCATCAATTAATACTTCCTGATGCCCCCCAAACAACCCCTGTGGAATAGATAGGTGCCTTAGAGAACTGGTTTACATTTTGTCGTCTGAGTTGCTTATGTGTTGACTGTGGAGGAGATGTTCACAATTTTGCTCCACATGAAATACGTCATGGTCAAATAAACCAATCAGACCACTGGATTTTGCTCCAGTTGATGAAAATTTGCTCCAGGAAGTGCTGGTTAGCCAATCAAACTACTGAGCAACTGGAGCAAAATCCAGCTCTGCGATTGGTTTGAATCCGTTATCGGGAGCAAGTTGGAGCGCACTCTTTCGAATTTGAGCTTTCGTAACGTTCTGTGTGTAACGGGGCTTCGAAAAAAAACTGACGAAAGGATTTGAGTTTTTTGAAAGAGAGACAGCAAAACAGGTATGTTTACTAATGTTAATTATGTATGTCGTTTAAGGGAGCCCTCTTTTTGATGCTGTCGTTGTGGACGTTTATAAACCCAATGAGATAGGGGTTCATTTAGGCCTATAAGCAAGTCATGTTATTTAACAGATTACTTTCTTATCACAAAGTTATTTGGAAGTAATAATGGTACAGATCGTTTTGTCTAATCTAAAAGCGCAAAAGGTTCTTATGCCTTGGCCGCTGGGAATACTTGTGGGAATGTAGCTAGCTGTAATAAATAGAATCAAAGCTCTTGTCAGAGGCGAGGGGCAATTCACTCTTTCAGCTGCCAGTTTCCCTCCAAACAAACAGATTTCTAGGGATTTTTAAAAAGAGCTATAGGGTTTCAATTGTTGATTTGCCCCTCGATCAAGAGTGTTTGTCTCAAGCACGGAGCTCTGCTCTGAATTCAGGAGTTTTATGTAATTTTAATATTATGATTTTCTTTGAATATACGAAGAGAAAGGAATTGGTATCAAACGTTGCTAATCTTGGTGGGTCGCTAATGACTGATATGATATAATCGATTTCAATACTCTATAAATTGTCTTTCAAACTAATGTTTGTCTTCCTTCATCTAAGAGATAATAAAAGCTATTCACAAATGCAGCTTGTGTTGATTGAATTCAGACCATTAGCATTTTTTAGTATTACGATTACATAGGCGAGTTTTTGAAACTGATAAGAATGACACTTCTACCGATGAACAAACTGCTATTTCCGCGAAAAACCACCGCAAAGGAAACTTTCAAAGGCATCAATTTGATTAAAGGGCACATGTCGCTTTAGTAATCGGCTAATACAACAAAAACGTTTGGTGTGAAATTCCATTCTTTCGTGACTTGTCATTTATACGTCATGAAATTTTACTGCCGTGAAAAGATAAAAGATTCAGATTGGTTTATTATTTTAAAATTCCGAGTTAGTTGCGTGTTTCTGTTGAGAAAGAATTCCGTCAACTAAAGTACAGTTTCAAGCAGTTTTTTAACAAAATTTTTATAACCTCTAAATTGCTACTAGCTTTATTTAAAAGTTTGTGCTAGTTAGAAATTTTATCTGAGATTCGCATGAAATTAAAGTCGTTTTCAGAGAATCTAAAGGGCGTGGTCATAAAAATTTTTTGGGGGCTCCGCCCCCCAACCCCCTCAGGTTCTGCTCCACTCAGAATTTTCGCTAGATCCGCCCCTGGCCATTTGCATTAGAACTCGCAAAATTGATTTTGCAACGAAATATCTTCGGATACTGTAGAAGATCTCAAAAAATCCTAAAAGTGTTTATTGTTGGTCTTAGAAGATTTCATTTCTTGGATTTTTCTATGAAAATTAGTTGTTTTCAATTACATAAAGGCTTTGACTTTGACGGGGTTATTGAAAGACCATGATGTTATTATTTTTGAAAAATTTTGTCACAATTGCAGCATAACTAGGTTTATTGTCCTGCTTAAAAATAAAAGGTTTTTTTAAAGAATCATTACTTGTTTCTGTACTTACCTGCGGATATTCCACCATGTTTCTATAGATAATTGACAAAATGTTCAGCATTGACTGACTTCGCACACAACGCCAGCTTGCGGATGCCATTAGGCCCATCCAGTAGTCGGCCTGCCCTGGCCTACCATTTTTTAATTTTAGAAGGCATTGTTAATTGTTGTTCTTCTAAATAACATATGTTGTAGACTTGCTGCAACCAAACTTTCTTGCAGTTTCAGCAAACAAATGACTCGCTAGACCCAAATATTTTATTGCTCCTCGTTCTCTTTCTGGTCGTTTTTGTGTTTCGGCATTGAAACTAAAACATTGATAATTTCCATTTCTCCTTGACATTTTGTTACTTTCTATCATAGAAAGGTAGGAAATAAATAGAATTTGTTAGGAATCACGTTTTTGCTGACGCCACGGCAAGATTCGTTTAATAGAATACTAGTTTTGGAGCAGCCATTTTGTTATTCATCGTCCTAATATTTTTGTCACGTAAGTGTACACTAGGGTATCAAAAGTATTGCACCACCTAGAAGGAGGAGAAATGGCACATGAATGATCGAAAGCTATTGCTATGCAAGTTAATTCTATTTTAATTTGCGAATGGCAATTGATCGAAAGCAAAACAACCACAAATAAAATCTTCAATCTATTTAGAGAATTTTTTTAAAAGTAACAGTGGCAAACGTCTTTTAACAGTTTCAAATTTCAATATAGTGACGGGTAGCCGAAAACTTTTGAAACCGCAAAAAAGCCTCCTTGAAATGGATCCATGAATTTGGAAAAAGTATTCTTGTGGAATTTCGCATTAGGCCTGGAAAATTCTTTCAATTAATGATTCTCTGGCTTTTGGACGACCATTTGGATCATGGTTTTGAAACTTTTCTCAATAAACCGCTTATAGACCTATCTACCAATAAACCTATCTACTAATGATGATTTTTGAAGAAATGACAATATTTCGTGTGTTAAGCTTTTATCTGGTCATGCCTTCATATGCACGTCTGCACTTCCTCTGGTTACACCACTGAAATGAAGACATTTCACTTTCAACCAGGGTATTTTAGCAAAAAACTTTGCCATTCTTCTATGTACGAAAACAGACATTGCGATTTAGAAATGGAAAAAAGGAAATAAACCATTTGAACAGGATAAACTATAGATACATCAATGATAATTGTTAGATTTTTTAAACTACTTACTCATCCGCCGAATAAGCTAACAACAAACATGTTTAGAAGTTACTTTTACGATTTCTAGGAAGCCAGATGTTATAGGAGTATGCAACCACATTTTCAACCTTCCCTTCAAGACAGACTTTTCCTTGCACAGCGTTTTTCTTGACCTTCAAGATCTTGAACGTGCGACCCAACATCGTTTCGTGTTTGCTCTTGCACATTTTCGTTTGCTTTTGCTTGGGAACCTTTTCCCATTTCTTCGAAAGTTTATCACATGGATCTACGAACATTCTTTGTATTTTGCACTTATGGCAAAACGTTAGCATACAGCTCTTTTTGCCAGACAAGCTCAACATTAATCCTTCCTTTCCCAAACATGTTGAGTTACACCGTCTTGCAGTGCAGTTTGACAACCAGAAACACACAACAAAAACAACGGCAAGTGTGAATACAGTCTTGGCGTGCATTTCTAAGGGGAATGAAATAAAAACTAACAACGAATTTGAGACTGAAAAACTGGTATATAACTTGGCTGCTACCATTAAAATTAATGCAAGCCCTAAATCTCTACAAGGGTAAGATAAGAGTAGACGCTTGATTTCTCTTATTTCTTGCAATGCTTGATAAATGTTGGCCTAAAGACTAATTGCATTTCTCAGAGACGAAGGCAAGGATTCATGAAACGGGAAGCGACTAATGCATGATGTCACATATCGCTTGGTGTTACAAGGTGTGCTTCAATTTGGTTGTAACAACTCATTTTCGAAGCAGAATTGGTTGCTTTTACAGAAGTATGCAAGAGGAAATTTATATTTAATTTATATGTCTATATAGCAAGAAAATATATCTTGAATAGTTGATACAAGTATAACTACCGAGTTCTCATGTAGGAAGAATTGATAAAATAAACCATTTAATACTCACCGGCTGCTTGCAAGTAGACGAATCAATCAGACATCTCTGCATCCTGTTTTATAGAGAACTGTAGAGTTTGCTGAGATACAATAGCGGAAAGTTTATGATAAATATGACTTTAGAAAAAGCCTGATTTCTAGTGACCGGAGACCAGATGCTATCTTTTACAAAAGGCAAAAAGTAAATGTGTACTTTAATATTCTTTAGATTTTGAGACATTAAAAACATTTTGATACCCAGCTGCCAGTCTTCTTCAGTAATTTTCATTAACAAGAATTGTAAACAAAGAAACAACCATGGAACGTTTTCGCAAAATTTTGATTCAAGCTCAAATTAGCAAAAACCAGGTGTTTGCTGAGCAACCAATTCAATTTAATCTTAGAAATCAATGTAAAAATTAATTTGATTGTATTGATTCTTGGTTTCTGTTCTTCACCAAATGATAAAACATTTATAATCAAGAAAGTTCATTGCCACCAATAAGCTCAAGCGTTTTGGCAACAAAATGTAACTTTAAATGAAGTGGATTTTTTAAAGTTGATCGTGTATCAAAAAACCAATGCAATATATATCTTACATGAAATATTTTAGATGCTGAAGGTAAATCTTACATTATCAGAGCTGTAAAGCATGGAAGTTCCACGAGATGATGTAAACCTAGAAACTTGATTGATCAGATTTCAACCATAAAATGATGATTCATATAGGATCAAGTAAAGTATTTCCCTGCTTACCTGACAAAATTATGCCAGGAAACACAGCTAGGGCCTAGGAAACAAATAGAGGCGTGAGGAGCAGGAAACGAGACTGACGAGACTTCAAGTATTTTCACATCAATTTTATCAAATATTATAAGTATTCTTGCAAGGGAGTTTTAATAAATATTTTGGTTGATTTTCTCTGGTTGAAGGACAAGCTCAAAGCATTGATTTAAAATCATCGACACCATGGCCCTCGACACAAAAATACGATACTGCAGTTGAACGCGCATAATGCTCATTTTTAAAGTTAGGCAGCTAAAGGTTCGCGAAGAGATTCAATAGAAACATAGTTTATTGCAGGCAAATAAAGAAACAAATTTTGTCTTACATATCTATTTACCATAAATCCACACTATCATAAAAAAGAATTAACACTAACAGGAGTATTAAATTAATTCCTAGTTATCTTCTACCCACAGATAGCTATAATTATCATTTTATTTCGAAATAATGCCTCAAACAAAACATACATTTCTATGAACAGCGTAAATGTTAAAGACAACGACTCTAAAGGGATCCCCGTCCATTCTCGGATTAACCATTTCACTTGATACAAACTCATATAAGGAGGCCCGCACTGAAGACCAGTATTATGAAAACATTTAGCAAAAACTATGATGAGACAAGTCGTGGTTATGATATTTGGCAATTAGTTTTGTCTTGCTACAAAAATACTGATTACCTGCTCCAGCGATACCTAATTGTAAAATATAAATTTCCTCCAAACAGAAATGGATACATTGCCAAATAACAGAAAACTAATAAGGCATAACTTCATCTTTTTTTCAAATCTAAAAGGGTCGAGGAAAGGTCTACGTTAAAGCCGAGGGTAGTCTTAACGCAATGTTGAATTCAATTACTCCACAAGCAGCCTATCCGCTTGTTATTATAGCACAAACCAAATACACGAGGATCAGACTTTTTAAACACAACAATTAAAATCGGTTTACATCTGTTATAGGTATTTTCGTTTCAGGACTGATTAATTCAGAATTTTACAAACGTCCCCCTCAAAGGGCTAATAATTAAAGACGATGAAGGCTGATGTTTTCAACAACCCTTGTGATATTGATAAACCTTAGAGCAGCTGCCTGCTTTTCACAAACTAATGTACATAATATTAAGAGATCTCAAAAGAATTCAAGAACCGGGATCTTTTCTCTCTAAAGCGCCTTTTCACCAAGACAACTCATCATGAGCAGCAACTTCATATCAGTTACGTGGCATTCTGTTGTCACATTCCACTTTGAAATGCTCCAGTGGCAGTCGAACTCAACCCAAAATGGGCAATTATAAAAATCATGATAATAAGTTATTCAAGCGATCTATCCATTCCAAAGCAATGTCCCTGTCTGGGGCAAGCAAGATATGCACTCGCCTAGTTGTTTCGATCTAAAGTAGAGAACAAAAACTGGGATAAAACAAGGAAATCAAGCAAATAACACTTCTTTCAGTGAAAAGAATTTTCAGTCCAAAGAATTTATAATTATGCAATATGAAGGATTTTCAATTGGCCAAGCAAAAATAGTACTGGATAACAAGCATGAATCAATTTTGCAAAAACTACAATAACATGAAAAATGCATGGAAAGAAATACTCACTTCGAAGAAAGCTTGCGGATCTGCACCTTTAGGAGGACCTAGAAAGACAATATCAAAAGATTGTCAGTAAGTTTCTTTCTGCTTTGATTGAAATCGCAAAGAAATTCCTGCCTGGCTTTTCAGGAAGGTTGAGCTTATAAAATCAAAGAACATCTGGCAAAAATCAATTATCCCTTCTCGTTTCACTGTCAAAAGCAATTTATACTTATTTCAAAAGAAGCATGGGTTTTTAGTTGTTTGTATGAGAGCGATCAGTGCAATTTTGATAGTCAACGCTGGTAAAATGGGTCATTATGCTTTGGAGATTTGAAGATTTGTCAGTACACGCGTTTCTTTTAAGTTTGTCCGACTCATACCATAGTCTAATTGACTGTACAAAAGAGCGACCTAAATTTCAGGATAAATGCAAAAATGGCTTCTTAAATGGCATTGAATACATTCCTACTTCATCACATAAACTAAAACATAGCTCACACTAGCGATTTAAAATGAGCTAAGGCTTATACGAGATGTTACAAAATGCTGCATGTTACGAAAAAAACCTGCACTAGACTCAAGATAGCTAGCTGACACAGGCTGAACAAAACCGGCGAGGTCAATTCTGCACGATGAGCATTTGCAGCACATCCAAGATAAATAACACAGTCTGCTTTGTGGAGCAGTCAAACAACTGAGAATCACAAAGAAAATGAAATGACAACTTCGAACAAGCGCTGCATAGTGCATATACCGCATCGGGGAAACATAACGGCTTGTTCGCAGCAAGTGTGCGATAATGAGCTGCCCAGCCCAAGTAGCTGTTGCTAGACAACCTCAATTAAAGAAGACCTACTTGGTGGTGTTGTTATCACACGGGCTGACTTCATTTCTCCAAGATCGACATGGCCTTTAAGAACTGTTTCATCTTCAGCATCATAGTACAGTAGCTGGTTTTGCTGTGTGTCTAGCACGTACCACCTCTCAAGCCATTGACGCAACAAGTGCCCGCGTTTACGCAGCTTTCCTTTATAATTCCGTGGATTTTTTTGACTGCTATCAATCTGCAAAAGACATCTCAAGGTGTTATTTAGACAGCGTTTTTAATTCAGGCAAGCAAAAGCAACCAGCAACAAATACATTTGACAATCAAGACAAAGAAAAATATAAATCACACACTTATCACACAAGTGTCCAAAATTTCACACACTTAATAAATCGGAAATTGTAAAAAGAAATAATATACTTTCTAAGGATAATTAAAAAATTTCTGAGAGAGGGCTTTTGGGCCAGGTGTCGAAATCAGGTTAGGGACGAGGAAAGCCAGCGTACCTCGAAATATAGAAAAACCGGTTAACGAAACCGTGTTTATTATTGTGAACGAGAACGAGAACGAATTAAAATAACAAACTGAAGAACAAAATATCTTAAAGCAAACAAGTTAGAGGTTATTCATTTTCATTTCATTTCATTCTCATCTTTATTTATTTATACATGAAAAAACCCTTCAGCAAATAAAATACAAATTTTACTTATTAATTTATACTCAAAAATTAAATTAAATATTTAAATCTAAATATATCTAAAACGCTCGTGTTTCAATATGTAGTCTGGCCCCTTAAATGCGTTTTTAGTTGTTGTTTCAAGCGATTTAAAGTCGGTATCTCACAAATTCAGCTTATTTCTGAGGTGGAACCAGCACATCAGAGGAACCAGAATAGACATAACAATGTTTATGAAAATGCAAATTTAAATTTGCGTTTTTATTTTAATGCAAAGACCATGATGAAATATATATACTTTCTCAAATTCACAATTCAACATGACTTGTTTTGGAAAATGTTGTTCGTAGCAGTTTTTTGCTTTCGTAGTTTTTATCTTTATGAAATGAAAAAGAGGTTGACACGAGTATTGCTTCTCGTAGCATCGTCCCTGTAGTGAAGTTTTGTAAATTAGTGATGCTTGAAACAAAGTTAAAGAAAAGATGTCATCTGTGACTACTTACACCAGGTACACTGTGGGTACTGGTTGACATGGTTACCGCTTGCTGGTCTTGTAGGGCCTGGTGTTTAGAGCAAACATTTGGTGCCAGCGATTTGCATTTAGTATGAACATTGTAGGCGCAGTCTGAACACTGAAAGCCTGAAAAGTCATTTAAGTCACATATGATATAGGTTACAAATATCATCGGAAGCAAATTATTTATCTGCTGTCAAGAAAAACAAATTTGTGGTTAAAGAAGATCCAGGCAATGTAAGCAAGACCTGAAATGAAAACTTCCTGAAGAGAGAACTGTCATTTTTTATTACAAACCAGATAAATATACAATTCACTTAATATATCATATGACATATATTAAAATATTTTCCTATAAAATGGTAAAAAGACATTAAAGACAGCAGTGCAGCCTTGGCTAACACTATGGTGGTTTTCATCATGGATAGATATGAAGATATGAATTGTCACGAGTTAAATGCTTTTTACCAATTTCAGACGTAAAATGATTTCTACAAATGTCATATCAAAAAGCGCTCAATGTCAAATGTCTTAGCGATGTCATATGCCGAATGCTTTCTACAAAAGTGATTTTATCAAACGCACCTGCATTGTATCCTCTGATTGGCTTAAGACAGTAATTGCATATAGTATTCGAATAATAGTTGTGAGCCTGGAAATTGTGCTGCTGGTCAAATCCTAATTCTCTTTGAGTGTTATCAACGCTTCGTGTCGCTTTGCCCTAAAAGAAGAAACAGAGATATTGCACGAGTTCAGTTTATTATTTTTTACATTCTCATACAAAAAAACCAGAAACAAAGGAAAGCTACACTAAGCACTATAAAAGGAAACATAATTTATATCAACTTTAAGAAGAAAAAATTACAATCGGAAAATGAATAAGAATACTAGAGCCAACCAATCTTACGGAAACTTTGCAATGATGTATAAATAAAAAATGATTCAGGAGTGAATAATGGAAATATTTTGGGCAAAATTTAAGTGGGATGAAATTACCTGCATGACAATCTCCATGGTGAGGCGTTTTTGCAACGCCAATGCTCTGCCTCTGGACCATATTTGTTCCCAATGTAACTGAAAGAAAGAATATGGACAATACGTCTCTTTTACACAATATGAAGCAACAATTATTCATGGCATAATAAGCTTTTCCCTTTTCAAAAATTGATATGACTGGAATATCACTGCAAGAGATGAGACAGCACTTGGGCACTTGGGCACTAAGAACGAGGTCTAGACTTCGCTCGGTCCATTAACTCTAGTCTTATGTCAAATCAGCAGAGAAAACAGTCTGCTAGCAACACGGTGGTTGGAAAAAGGGTTAAAGGAGGAATGGGCAATAATTGATCACTCTCTTAAAGTTGCTTGGAACTTTAAACCTTTAATCTTTCTCTATCTTAATTAAATGATATTTTAAAGAACAAAGATTTTTTATTTAAAACCTTAAAATTGATAATTGTAGCGATAGTAACTGCATGCCTTAACAATAATCGTGAAAACGTAGCATAAATGCAGCATACCGATCTTGTTTGCTTTCGCACTTGCTTGGTGACGTCAATATCCATCCACAGTTCGTTCCAATAAATAGCCGTTTTGTCGAGCTCTTCTCTTAATCGCAGTAGTTCATTCAGTTGATACGAGGTCTCGTCTCTTATAAACTGTGTCGTATCTCCATAGTAACCAATGAGACACTGACGCCAATCTTCTTTCATCTCGACCGCAGTCGCTTGAGATTGTGATGTTGCCTCGCTATTTGGATTCACCGTGTCCATATCAGACATCAGCTCCAGGTCGTAAATACCGCCCGTATACAGGTTTTCGTTTAGGTAAAAATCCCAGACTTCCAGATTGGATATTCCACACATCGGTTGAAGGGCACCCTTTGCGAATAAAAGGAATAGGTTTGACCTTATGTTGGAAAACGTAGCGTTAGAATATATGTGCCACAATAAGGAAGTCTCTTTCAACAAAAATGACTTGAATATAAAACTTACAAAAATGTATTCAGATAAAATAAGCAGAATGAAATTCAGACGGGGCAAAAGGTGTTGTGAAAATACCTTGTGAAATGAAGGATGATATTTGAAGTTGTGGAACGTGGTTGATTTTTCACTATGGTGTCGTAAATAATCCCAAATACTTTGCCCAGTGACCCTTGGCACACCCTTCTCGTCTTCCTTTTCATCAGAATTAAGCCAGCCTTGTTGCGATCGCTCGTGTTCCGACTCCAACATAAATGTATTGAACCGCATTGAGCCGTTGTGGTATGCAAGGAAACACAGAAAGTAGTTGTTGAATTCGAAAGCTGATGAATACTGACTCATGATCTATGAAGTAAAGACATACGGGGAGATGTCAATAGCATGAATTACACGAAAATAAAACATGCTTTGATAATTTAAGATTTCAAGCGAAATGATAACGGATCATACTAAGGCACCTGACTCCAGTACTAACACACTATCATCATTCAAAGACGAATGAAAAAATACACTCTTAAGCCCTGGTCAAACGATCCAACATTTCAACATGATGTGAGGCGAAATGTTGGATCGTTTGACCACCTTGTTGGGTCATCCAACATCGTAAATTTCGATGTTGGACGAAATTTGACTACTCATTCCCTTTTCGATCTGCGCGAGAAAATGTTGGGTGAAATGTTGGATCGTTTGACCACCAACGTTGGATCACATTCCAACATCGACAAAAATGTTGGGCGAAATGTTGGGCGAAATGTTGGGCGAAATGTTGGATGGTTTGACCAGGGCTTTATCAATTCAATAGCTTGATTTCCTTTACATATAGAATACAGGCTTTGTTGTGAAACGAAAGATCAAATGACAGCGCGCGATTCAAACCTGGTGTACAGCATCCAAAAACTGCAAAAAGAAAGGCGACAAGCCGCTTTGGAACTGCAAAATGTGGTTGCCTCGATGCGCAAATCGGTAGCCAAACGAAAGCCAATCTTTCTCGATTAAGACCTTGAAGCCTTCAATAGTTCGGTAGAATGGATCGAGCATCAGTTGAGCCAGTGAAGTTATCTGTAAAAGTGTGTGAAGTTATTAACATATTGCTTTGTTGAGATGGACCAGCCCTCCTTTTCTTAGGTCCTGATTCTAAAAACAGCATAATTCGACAAAGAAAAGAGGGCTGGTTGATGGAGGGAGTCGTTTTGCCTTGATCAAAAAAACGACATGCAGCTTTCCATTAGAACGTCTTATTAGGAGGTGATGCTCAACTTGTTCACAAAAAGAGATACCAAGTTTTTACTCTCTCTATAGAATTCACAGGGGAGCGTGACAGCTTCCAGAAGGGAAATCTTAGTATTTCGATAAGTTCAGAAATTAATTTATATAAAAAGCTATATCTTGCTTTTCTCAATAATATGCGAAAAAACATTTTCTATCATTGTTAGCATCAGAAGTTTCCATTCTTAAAAAATATTAGCATCAAACTGAGCAAATTTTGTTGAATGGATGTGCCATTCCATTTTCGTGTCCCATTAAAGAAAAATAAAGGACGATGATGAGTATTTGTAGAAGATGCTGAATTTTCAGCCAGGTTGACTAGAAGTATCAAATGGCATATATAAATCAACCAAAATTATTAAGCAAAGGTTGTTCACCGTTAATGAACATGCTTTTGGAAGAATTTTAACGAGAAAGTATTGGGACACGAGAAAGTTTTGATATTTCTAGTCAACCTGGCTGAAAATTCAGCATCTTCTACAAATACTCATCATCGTCCTTTATTTTTCTTTATATAACGTATATGGTACCTAAGCATAAATGCGTCTTTGAAGATTAAATTTTTGAGAAACTTCGATAATTTTACGACACATCTGCAGGGAAATCTATCCCTTCCTTTTTAATGCAAAGCACTATTCAATGTTATAAAAAATAAGCTGCTTTTCATCTTTTTCGATTTCAACCGCAGTTTAATCTCTCTGTCAAAGGGCCCTCAAAACAAAGACATTCTTTCTACCTGTGAAGTTGCATCAGATCCATCTGAAAAACTGACAAGACACGAGGAACCTTGAATGTCGATTAGATTGACAACAGAGCAGGCCAGCTGCAGTACGTTTGAAACCTACAAAAGCAAATAAATATTCGAAGTTTGGCGACAATATCGAGACATATATGACGGCGATCTCTCTAAAGTCGTCCTCAAACTGATGAATATTCGTATATGCATAAAAGACACTTAATGAATCTTAACAAACATATTACAAGAAATCTATTAACGTGACCGCAGAAAAGAACAAACCTGATGCAGCCATTTGCTTTCCTCAAAATCGTGATAAAATGTGTCTGTTTCACTCGGAGAGCTTGGACAGCAAACTTTGAGCAGTTTGTTGAAGCTGACTTTGATTTGATAGGCATCATGAACCTGAAGAAAGAAAAATACAAGGGATAAACAGATATCAAAGATGAACATGCCTCTGAGATAAAACATGCCTCTGAGAGATTGACAAGAGCCCTTTCACACGAAAGCATGTACAGCACTTCCTATATGACACTGCGTACTTTTTGAGAACGATATTAAAATAAGTTTCTTCAAATTTACAGCTAACTGAAAAATGATTTTTACCTCAGCAGCCACTAATGTGCATTTGCAGCTCGGTTCAAACTTTATATTCTGAAATAAGGAGAACAAATATTTTGCATAACTGTTTCATAAAGGGGAAGCATAAATAGAAGCCATTAGATAGATTTTAAAAAACAAATCATTACAATTTTGCTATTAAAAAGGTATTCATTGGGCGCTATAGTCCATATGCTTTCTAGCACACATAAAGACATGTTGGTACAACAGCTTTTACAATAAATACACCGCATTCGCAACTATATGCTAACACTGAACAAAATGTTCCTATTTTCTTCGTTTTTTCTCCATGGCATTCTCTTATTGGTATTTTCAACTAGATTAGTATATCTTTATATCTTTAGTACTTTTGATAACATAAAAATTAATATTTGGGTTCATTTTTCATGTCACAGATAGGGTTGTAGATTGATAATCCAAAAACCTTCCTATTTCTTTTGTTAGGCGTCGTGCATTGCAGAGGCCTGCTATCTACTTTCAATTGCATTAGAGGGAATCAGTTTATATAAAACCTGCACTGCACACGAAAATGGCAGTTAATGCTACACAAATCTTTGTTGAAAGCTGGCTTTCTAATTGCAGAGAGTGCAGACAGTTATTCATCATGCTCATTGGTACTTTGCGACTGCTTTTACTTTTCATTTTAGTTTTTAAAGGCAATCGACAGGCACTGAAATCTTTCAATCAAAATTACCAACTCGACAAGCGTGATGCTACCCACACATTGATTGATTGGCCAATAGTAGGTTGACAGATATCTCATGCCATTCTAGTATATTTCGACTGTCTTAAATTTGCTTATCAAACCTTGGTCTTTTATCAGGGCTTCCTATGAAACAGGCTGTTTTCATCGAAGTCGCTCAGAGAAGAATATTTTGAAAGAATTGCTTTATTATCACATGCGTCCATGCATATTTCTGTTTCTAAATTATAGACTTGAAATGAGATGTCCTGCCCAACTGGTGGTGTCTCCAAATTAGGACGTCTGAAGAAGTTTATTGTGGGGTCTGCTATTCCCTATTCAAGACATCATTGTGGACTTCTTTAATACAGGACATTGGGAAACTAACTGTGTAACCAATGGCCGGACATTAGGAAACTGATTGACAAACCCTCTTCTAATATTTTTGAGGAGACTATAGTCCAAAGCCCCTTTCCTTACTTCTGTCTAGCAAATAAACAGAAAGCAAAAAAGCAGAGATGGGCATTAAAAATACTAACTATACTTTTATCAATGCTTTCTATGGCTAGTCCCCATTGTGAGCCCCTAAAACACTCTCTGAACATACCTTTGCTACGGCCTTGTCACAATACAGATACAGATTTGACGGCTTCCAGTTATTAGAATCGTTCTCGGCCTCACTTGCGATCTTGTTGTAGGTATCGTCCCCACTCAGAACCGAGGTTAAGTCTTCATTAATCGCCGATAAGGAAAGAGCTGCCCCTGCACTTATCGACTGCTCTTTTCCTTTCCCTTTCCCCATAGACAATGCAGTCGCACAAACTGTGGAAAAGATAAAAGTAGAAAAGATGAAAAGTTTATTCAATTTCGATAGCTTCTGGTAACCCCAGTTTATCACTGATGCATGGTAAATATCTTCTTCTAATACCATAAACAGTCGCAAATTATTGCAATTTGAAGATAATCTTACAACGACTGAATAATCCTTTAACAAACTTCTTTCATCTTAATTTCAATTTTGCATTTGTGATTTATGTATTAAGATATTTTAAGCAGTACATCACCAACAAATACCATCAGTAACCAAACTCAACGTGAAAAATAACAGCAGAAAGGCTATTCGTAGACACATTTATCGCTAAGATTTTTCTCTCCATTATTAAACAGTCTAGTCTATACTGAAAGTTAGAGTTCTGGTAATAGTGCTTCCAAATGGAACTTACCAAGCTCTGAGTAAAACCTCTCATCTAGACTCGGGTTTGTGAGCGAAATCCGATCATTTTGTGTCCCCTCTAAGCCAGCCTTCAAAGCGGCTGCAATGACCCCTTTAGTAAGACCACCGCAACGAAGGAGCACACCTTTGCTCCGACGATGTCGCCATACGGGGACTGGTAGCCTGTTTATTCGATAGTTCTTTGCGATTTTCATGATTATGTCGTCTGAGATTTTTGCTGCCGTAACAATGACCTGTGGGTAGCTACAAAAATGGAAGGAAGAAAATCAAGCAAAATCTATCGGAGGAATTAGGATTTAGATTCCAGAAGGGTGCCGCAGAAATCATGTCATTTGAACTTATATACCATTGGAAGAACAGCATTGATAACAACGGGCTTAAAGGAGCAGTTTTGACCGATCTACAAAAAGTTTTTGATATTATAGGCCATTATATTTTAATCACAATTCCAATTGAATGCCTACCGACTTGTTTTTGGAGAACTTACATGATTAGAAAAAAAATCCATCAAAGAAGCAACAGAAAGTGAAGATAAATAGATCATTTTGTGATTTGAAATCAAAATTCGAGTACCTCAAGGATTATTGCTAGTACCTCTACTATTTAGTATTTATATAAATTACATTTTCATGTATGCAAAACACAAAGATCTGCAATTATGCTGATGATAACACTATCTTGACTAGCTTGACAAAATCTTGATAAAATCATTGGTCTGCAGAGGAAAAATTGTTTTCGACAATCATTTGAAACGTAACGATTATTTTTGGCGACAATAACACGCAGGCAAGAGTCACAATTGAATACTAATTCTAACAAAAAATATATTACCCGGAATGGAACTGAAATACGTGCTTTCACAAATTGTGCAAAGTATTCAAAAAAAGTTTTAAAGTTTGCAAGCAGGCAAGAATCAAAACTGAATAGTTGAAAATTAATCGAAGAATTTCTAAATATGCTGGGTTTCGATTCTGCCTGCTTTCGCAACTTGAGCACAAATTAAAAGCTACAAGCACATTGATCCTACTAAATCAGAAATATCTTAAAGCCTATCGTGGTTGGAATTGAATATATAAAGAAGCAAGAACTCACTCTTCAAATTCTAACAAAAAGGATGCCCAGAATGGAATGGAAATTCTTGCTTTTGCAAAACTTGGGAAGTATTTGAAAAAAATTTTAAGTATTGCAAGTATTTCTTTGGCCTTTCAGCTACCTGACTAAATCAGTAAGTTTGATTAAGAAAACTTTCCAGTGTCTTAACGCAAGCCTTACAGCTGGAATACAATCATGCAAGAACATTAAAGAAACATCTATGCATTACCTCCGACAAACACTATAATTCAAGTTAGCCATCGAAAGCCTCCATGGGGAGCCTGGTACCAACTTGCTCACACTGCCAAGTCCTACCCTCTCGTAATCTATACACAGCAGAGTTTCCCCAAGCTTATCTGCACTCTGCAATGGTGTTTCTATGTGCCCTTTCACCAAAACACTTTCCCGCCTTGAAGCACTATTTTCCTCCTCCTCAGAGCACGCTGCAGACTCTTCATTCTGTTCCATCTTTTCCTTATTGCTTTCTCCAGAGATTAAATATTTCTGCCTTCGCAAAGAGCCCCGAGTATTGTTTGCCTTCTTTTTTGCCAAAGCAGCGACAGCGCTTAATGATTTCTGTGATTTTTTGATACTATAGTTTCTTTGCGACAATGTCCTTGAAACGTTAGTTCTTACGCCGATGGCGAAGGCAAAAGTACTGAACACAGATTGCGGCCATCTTAGTCGCTGCAGTGACTTACGAAAACTTTCGACAAGCTCAGCACTAACTTCTTCATCGAAACAGAGCTTTATGATCTGTAAAAGAATGTTCCACACTTTTATATAACATAAAATGAATAAATAACATATCAACAATGTAAGACTTAACATAGCACAACCAAAAGTAGCATTCAACATAACATAACATAACATAACATAACATAACATAACATAACATAACATAACATAACATAACATAACATAACATAACATAACATAACATAACATAACATAACATAACATCACATGACATAACATGACATAACATGACATGACATGACATGACATGACATGACATGACATGACATAATATAACATAACATTACACAACATAAGGCAACGAGTAAAGCATAACGCTTAACATAATATGATATGGGCAAACCTGAAAGACGCAAGAACGCAACTGTAAACAATCCTGCAACCATTGGTCAGCACCAACTTTAAACCTCCCATTGATGCGCTTCTCTTTAACCAGGGAGCCAATGGGAAACGACCGAGACACCATCATTTCAGATGCTACAAAAAAACATAATTTCTCAAAGCAGGCCCATAACAGTTCAGAAGTATCTGGAACAACAGCTGCCTTGGTTGAGAAGAAAGTAATCACAGGAAAGACGATCATACATTGCGGATTAATCTATTTATGTTGTTCCTAAACTGCTTGAAAGATTGACGCAGGGAAGATCTCATTGATGCCTAGTCACAACTTGAGCATGTAGCTACAAAGAATTGTGGAATAGAACCATAACGATGCGATAAAAATTGAGCGTTTCGGAAAATATGATTGTAAATAGTATAAGGGGCCACATGCTGAAAGATGAAGAAAAGGAACATAAAAAGGTAAGCGGTTTGGGGAGGAATAGAATTTATTTTAGTTGGAAACCATTCAGAGGATAAAACTTCAGAATAATGATTCATAATCGATGAAACATTTCTGATCATTTTTTGACGTTCTATATTCGAAAGAGTACCAGAAGAAATGTCTTAGCATGTCTTATGCTAATGCTTGCTCTTTTCAAAACCAGCAAAATTTCTTTTTGTATAACCATATGAAGAAGCAACTCAAATTTTATTTAAAAATCTATAAAAGCAACTACTACAGGGTTTATTTAACGGGTTACCAACGGATTCTGTTACGCATAACAAAGGCTAATAAGAGAAATAAAGAATCGAATATTTACAAAACTGATCCACAGGAGTCCCTTTGAATATCACTCGATAATTGGTGAGGAAGATTGCTCCTTCTGCGGGCAAAAGGCAAGGTCCACCTATATCTGACCCCATATCTTGTTTCTTATCCGCTGCGTCTTCTTGCGGAGTTGAGTGGCCTGTTGGCACCTCACGTCTTACACCAAGTTCTCTGCCATCGGCAAGAAGGAAACACCGCAAGCCATCAAATTGCAGAATTTCTCCAGCTAGCAGCTGGGGTTTCATAATCTTGACCTTAAAGAAAAGAACAACCAAACTTACTTTTGCTGGCTTCAGAAAAACGGTGGTAGAGTTTGTAACCACTAATTTATTCATACATGGATGGGTAAGATACTTAAAATGCGTCTTATTACAAAATCTTCGACCTGAGATTGTCTACTTGTTTTTTTTATGATAAAGTCAAAAGATACATGGTAGGTCCCTTACTGATGTTAACAAAAGATTTAAGAGAGATAAGCTCTGCTTCTTACAAGCGTATCTTCAGGCAGCCGTTCCACGAGCACAAGTAAAAATCAAAACGGGTACAAGGTATCCGTTTCCAAAATGAGCCAATAAAAACGTTAGTTTACTTTAAGCTCGCATTAATCTGTTTTGGTCGCTTTCACTGAGCTGGTATAAAATATGTACAGATTGAAAATGTAGCGACATCTTTCACCTTTACAGGTGAATCAGATTCAGAGACACAGAAACCAAAACACATAGACTATGAGAAAAAATAGCATCGCAGCAATAGTCCTTGAATTTTCTTTGTAAAATGAAATTGTTATTGGCAGTTCCACTAACCCACAGGTTGGTTAAAGAAACACAGGTTAAAACGAGTCCAATCTGAGTTTCGTTTTCAAACCTATCCGTTTTACAAGTGGGTTAGTGAGAACGTAATGCAAAACAACTTTAACCCGGTTTTGCTTTAACCTAGGCTAGTGGAACGGCTGTCTTAGTTGAGAATACTTCTTTCCTACCAAAATTGAATGAAAGCAATCCTCTACATCCAGTGAACAATTTCCAAGGAAGATAAAAATAGAATAAACTCTCTTTTGCTCTACGTGCTATGGCAGCTAGCATACAAGTAAATTTATTTGGTGAAGAGCAATTCAGAGTATTCGTTAAATTTAATATATTTTAAAAATTTTGTCTTATTACATTGGATTCTCGTCGTCGTATTGCTTTGTTCCTGAATATCTTTCGTATTATTACTCATTACAAGATTCACAGAATCCTGCGGACAGCCTATCCTGCGGTTCTTCCTTCTTACACAAGAAAAACTTAGATATCAAGAAACACATGTCAAGGAAATTGTTTGAGGTTAGATGGTCTTATACAGCATAGGTAACTACTTTTTAACATTTTTAATGTCTGCTATTTTTAATATAAAGCTACTAAATTAATATTTAACTGAGTTCGAGTTTCTAAATATCAAGAATAAACCGAAAAAACTGTGGGGGAACACTTTGAAGAATTATCAAACGACAACCATGAAATATCCAACTCGACCATTCTTATATTTTAATAACAAAGACTTTGTTAATTACAGCTAAGGCACTAAAGTCATCCATGTGAAGTCAAAAAGTATAATAATGTATTGATGCCACGACAATTTGTGTAAGGAAACTACAAACAAAATTTCCGTAGATTGTCAGCAACGATTATAGCATAGTCTTTATGGTGGGATGGCATGACATTGAATGAATGATTGCAGTATAGCTTTACAAAACAAAAAAGTCTTACCCTCTGGGTTGGTGCCAGGTTCTTTGTTTCGCGATAAACTTCATTGAGAGTTTCCATTTGCAAAGAAACAAGCCCTAGAGCAATGAGTAACATTACGTCATATCAAGATAAAATAAGAGAACTAAGATAGCCTAATTAAAACCCTTCGATTTACTTCCCTTGGAAAGTTGGTGGAGGAAATGTAGTAAGAAACCGTACTAAAACATGATAAAAATGTAAGAGCAACGGCTCATTCGCCTCGTCAAGGCTTGCTCTTGTCAAAGGTGGTTTTGTCTCGGGCAACAGAGCCCGTTCTACCGAGAATCGGGATGCGAAAAGGGAGGTAAATGGAGAGGTAAATCGAGATCGCAATCAACAACAGTTTGACTTAATAAATTACAGAGCAAAATGAACAAAAACAAATGGAGAATTCATTATCTAACAAAGCCTAATCGATTTAAACAACAAAACATAACAGTCTGATAAGTTGACAGCTTATCATAAGAAGTATGTCCCAGCAATAACAGGTTGGTTTTAGAAACATCCATGTCACCCTGCATGTGGCATGTTATTATCAAGGGCAAATCCTACACCCTAGTTGGCACTCTCCGTCAAAATGTCATCTTAGTTCACAAAAGTGACGTCACATTACCTGGAACGAGAGACTGCAGCGTTTTAACGTGGTCTGTGTTAATATCTGCTTCCAAGCAAACTCTTTCTACAAATCGCAGAACAAGCTTGGTAACACTGTCGGCAACACTGTCAGCATAGTTCATTCCACCATCACCATAATCGTAACTCTCCCAGGCACTGCTTTCTGCTATACTACGAGATCCATCATGACCTGCTCAAAAAAGGAATTTTATATTCTTCATGGGCAGCTACAAGGATGCCTTGCTACATAGAAATGTAAGTTTAAGTGTTAATGTTAGCTAAAAAAGTTCGAAGGCTAACGCTAGGAGACTCGAAGATTTCACGCCTTTGAGGAAATTTAAAATACCAACACCAATTCAAAAGTATCTTTAGCCATAACGTTCATTTTTCAAGGGGCTATGTCATGGCTCGGACAAATGGTTACCCAAGCTAACCAATGGGCAAAGATTAAAAACCAAGCTTTACTGTAGCAAACGTTCTTATCGCTCTATCAAACAACAGCAGCAACATCTAACCATGCTATAGAAAACAAATGGTAGAAGGGTACAAACAAGTGGTATCCATTCTTGCTCAAATATAGAAACTCTCCTGTCTAAAGAATAAACAATTATATATCAAAGAAAATATATTACGCTACGCTGGCGCAGGCGTGAAATACTTTAGATGAAATCTGCAGAAATCCTCTAAGTAACCAAAGCCACAACTAATTAGAATAAACCAAAGGGGGGGGGGATTACAAATGAATTAAGATAAACCTGCTGTACTCTCCAAAACTGCACCTCCGGTCCGATTGGACAAATTTTCTGAAATGCTGCCCCCATCGTCTGTAATCAAGAGAAAAACCATTATCAAGTCTCTCACGAATTTTTATGAGAAGAGGGCTGGAACTGAAACCAGAGCGTAATTTAAGCATGTGATCACCTACTACAAACCTTGATAGAACATAGCTCATTTCTGTAATAATGGGACTACCTTTTAAATAAATGACCTCTTGCACGTGATCGAATCAGTTATCTTTTTGTACAATGAATTTTCTTTTTCTCTGTCACAAAAAATGTTCTAATTCTAACATTATTCTATTGTTTGGTTAACAATAGTAGCTGTTTTATACATTCCGGGCATCCGAAAAGCTCCTTTCGCAAATACACTACTTAAAGCAATTCTACTGACCACCTCGAAAGAAAAATGATAGTGTCAGATGAAAACTTGATAAGATACCCAGTTACTTTCAATAAAAGGACTGACATACTAGGTGCTAAAGGTGTTTCATTTAGAAATAAAAACAAGTGCATATTTATAAAAGCTGTCATTGACGTAAACTTTGTATGAAGCGTCTCTTGCTGTCTACTTGTGGTTTTAGAGGTTTGATAACAATTTTTACAGATGTTGTCGACTTAAAACGCTGGCACTCGGCGCCAATTTGATAATCAAAAATCAACTCACCAGCCTGCAAACGTTGCAGTGCGAAATCCTTTTTTCTCCTTCGCTCGTGGTATTTCGTCATCTGCTCATGTGCATCGATTGGCACTCGCAAATAGATCATTCTGCTGGCAAAGAGCTGTGCCAGTCCGTAGACTATGCTTTCCTCTTCACTGATTGCCTTTTTTCTTTCTTCTTCCACTTTCGCGGGCCAGGAAGACAGCTTCAAGAAAACAAAAGTTCATCAATTAAGGGAATATCCCATAATCGGAGTAGATATTGTTTGCAATTGCGATCTTGAATTGCTGACAACAGATTATCTAAGAGGGCACCTTGTAAAATATTTCTATAGAAAATGAAGTGAAAAAATTGCCTATCATCACTAGATTATCGTTAATATAATATTTTCTTTGAAGATAACAATCCCCTATATTCAAAGTCCTTGAGAGGCATGAAATAATCACTTCGACGCATTTTAACTGTCTGGTCTCTATTTTAAAAGAGCTTGGAAACAGCTCGGCTTGCATACTGTTCTTATCCTTTGAAGTACTTTGGAGTTTCAACCCTTTGGTCTGAGGAAATTGAAGAAATTGGAAACGGACATTGACAAAGCAACCATACATACCAAATCTGCAGCAAGCTCCATCGCAGGAGGCGGCGCCTTCTCGCTTATTTCGTCGAGGCTGAGTGAATCTTTTTTCATGTCACTGATCGACCTGCTACTTGTGCGACCTCTTGTTGAGCTGGCTTGCGAAACAATTGGGGTAAGCAGGACACTGTTTCTAACCGGCTTATTTGCATGACCATTTTCAGGGGCAAGTTTCAAAAGATCGGCAACATCTGACATTGTCTTGCGAATTTCCTGGAGAACAGACACCGAAATGACTTCAAGCAAGCATACAACTCGAGCATACTTTATGGAAGATTTAGCAATATTGTTCAAAATAAAATTTCAAAGGACGATACTCAGGGTAAGATTGAATTCAAGCATAAAAAAGGAGCCAGAAGACATAGTTTAAAAAAGGACTCTTCACCGACCTAACAATAACAAATACAAATAATTAAACCCTTAAGGAAATAAGTGCATCCCAGTGCATATTAATTCGATCTGTTGGCAGAATAAAAGCATATAGCCCTTGATAAATCTTATATTCAAAGAGCTTTCAATTCAAAACCACATTATGTTCCGACATGAAAAAGGGTAGGGATTGGTATATATTTATCAAACCAGTGTGATACATGTACTAGACTCAATATTTCGAAAAGACACACATCTTTCAATCAATCATGGCCCCTTAATATTGTGCAGAAATTTGTATTCAGCAACTTTATTCGTAAATGTTCAGTTTGTTTGGCTCTTTGCTTGATAGATTGTTTCTGAAGTCTTTCTATAACTCATTTTCTCCTTCTTACATTCCAAAGCAACTCGCTCAATTTAACTCTCCTATCATTTAAAATATTACTAAGAGCACTTATGTTTTCTTTTTCGATAAGCTAATACTTCCAGAAATGGATATATTATGAATACGTAGTTTCGAGCTTCAAGGTAATAAATATATTCAATCTAAGCATAAAAGAGTACAAATATATTTTTTCCAATACCCTTCCAGCATGAAAATCTTCATCGGCCTTTTTCTTTTGCATTTGCTTGAGGTACAGTTCAATGATATTGTTCTGGGCCTCGGTATAGTAAGCTTCCTCCCAAAACTGGTGTTTGCTCCAAACGGTATGGTCTTGCAAGCATGTGTACAAAAACTGAACAACACCAGGGGCCAGATTCTGTCAAGAAAGGAGAAGGATTTCAGAAGAGCCAAAAGATACAGGTAAAGACAAAATGAATTTAAGTTATAAAGAGCTAAACTAGTCGCCTAATTCAAACAAAGTATCAAATATTTTCAGATACCAAAATTGATTCATGAATCTAAATGAATCACTATGGTACGTTTCTGCTAATTCGTGCTATTGTTAAGGTTCATTAAAAGAAGATTTCTACGTAATGCAGTATGTGATATAAACCCCTTCTGCAGTATGTTATCATTGCTTACTTATTAATAAATTCTTTCAGCGGATTTGATTGAAGCTTACATATATTCGATCAAATGCTATTTAATATATTATGTCAGAAATTTGTAAAAGAGGGAAAGATAATTTGAACTGTAGAAAGCCTTACTTTTGAAAAATCAAATATACGACGGTAATTGATCAAAATATGGAAATAATATGATTTGAAGGTAGCTTGCTACACTGGTCTGTGTTACGAACTTTTCATCATCGTTAGTGGCATTGGAAAGGTGATGCTATACGGATTCTATAGACTATTTATAAGAAGGCGATATTATTTAACAATGGAAATTGCGACGTTGGTCAATTTGCCTTCATACAGTTCAAAGCATTTGCATACAGTGCAAGTTTATATTGAAATAATCCTTTTTAAATACCATTCACCTTTGAGGAACAATGTGACTGAGGTCTATACAACATGAATTTCAAAAATGATCAAGGAAGCAACATTAAAAAGCATTGCGAGTTTCATTGCGAGTTTCATGTTTTTCATTTAGACTAAATGTAACATAGGAAGATTGGTGATTGCTTACTCTGAAAAATGTACAGGATAAAGGGAGAATTGCTGCTGCAACAGTTGATGTCACGGATGCGGCTTCATCCTGGATGAAAAACAAAGTATTGTGGTTAAATTGATATCAAACTTTGATTGTTTATTCAGTCTGACGTTTTCTATGAAAACTTTAACAATGAGGCCAGCCAAAATCAATAAAACGATTGGATCTCTAGCAAGAATTCTGCTTTCTAAAAAACACATACATGCAAAAACGCTTGGTACACTACACTAGATTTGTGCATAAATAAACTCAGTTCCCTCTTCCATACATGCTTTTCAATATAAAACTAACCGATTGGGTATTGTCCAATTCATTACTGCCTGGTAGTTATGATGTTAAACAGTATGCCCAAAACTTTCTTTGTGACAGAGGACGATGAAATTTGGCAAAATAATAGTTCATTTCACTAGAAACTAAAAAATTCATCAAAAGTGAGAAAGCAAGTGCTACTTCACACTTCGTCTAGATTGAGAATCGAAGCTCTAAAGAAATTTAGCATACCTGTAAACACGCATTCAGGAGTCTGACTAAGAGATCAAATTGACCATGCTCCAAAAAGGCACGTTTCATCTTGATCATTTGGTCTAATTCGGTACAAAGAGCTAATTGGGCACCTTTGCTCCTCAAAGCTCTCAATACTGAGGGGAAAATCTGTAATAAATAGAAATGATGTATTAAGAGGGTTTTTCACGAATTAAGCAAGAACTAAACAAAGGAAGTTGAAGGCCATTTGTTATTTTATGACACATCAGCAAAAGATGGTATATGTAATTGGTGTTGGTATTTGATGAAATAAAGAAATGCAACTATTTGAATTTGATACGCCGCAGAGTATATGCCTTTGAAGAATATCCACAATACGAATGCGCTAGGATCTGTTTCATAAAAATTGCAATTTCTAGGTTTCGGTTCATAAAAACTTTGGAAATGTTAAGCAGAATAACAGAGCAATAACTGGGTAAGCAGAACAGCTGGGTAAGTGCACGGAGTGGACAACTGACGCCTTAAAGTTGCGTTGCCGCTACTGATGACCTGCTCGTAACTCTATCTAGAGCTTCTATAGATTCATTACTCGACCAATGAGCCTTAACATGACGCCGAAGAGGCTTCAGTGCTAAAATCTATTCAGTATTTGCGCTAAATTGCATTCAAATGGCTCTATCCGTAGGTTGGTTAATAACCATAGAGCTAAGGCACTGTGATTGCTATCAATAAAAGTTGCTTTAAATCATATGGCTTATTATTAATTGTTAATAATGGCAGAACACCCACTTGATGCACACAAGCCTCAGCATAAGACCTAACACCAGACACAGAGTATTGCACAATACACACCTTTCTAGCGTCTGAAATTTTGTTGTCGAATATATACGAAACGCAATCTTTGATGACGTCAATTCTTCTTCTGTTCACAAACTGGTGCAGCGTATGTCCTGTGAATCCGGTCGGAACTCTTTCCTGGCTAACAATCTGCACGTCGTAGGTTCGGGCAGCTGAAATTTCTACTTGTTCTTTCATTACTGCGTTAATCCTCTCACGATTTAGAAGAGGAAACCTTCTTTTTGTCTCTGTAGTAATAGGTTCGGTTTGGCTAATCTCACTTCCTTCCCCAGAATGCGCTGTTTCCGGCTCCTAAGAGTAAAACAAACCTAGGATTACTTAGAATATTCCTAGTAAAAGACAGCTTCAGCGTCAGAAACTATTCTATTACCTTTCAGAACATCTTCTAAGTACATAATAACTTTCATTCTTGGTTACCAAATCATGAATATTTCATGGACAATACATTACATTCCGTGTATATTTTCAATCACATGCTATATCCAAAAACCCACTGAAAGGTTAGTTTAGCATGAAAAACGAACACTTATACTTGGAACTTGGAAAACAATACAAAAATTCTTTAATTGGTGGAGGGGTAACTATTTACCCACAGTTCGATAATGTATAGAGAAAGATATCCCTTTTCAGACTGTTCAACGGGACGATTCTAAGATGATATCAAATTTTCACACTTGACGTTATTAATGATCGGGCAACTAGTTTAACTGTTTTAATAAGTAGCATTACAATCGAATTCTATCATTTCATTGATCTTAGTGAAAATATCCAGAATTTTAATTCAATATGATTTATGATGCGATCATAAAACATGAAGAATGTATAGCGCTGTCTTGAGGGCATCGGGCATTATGCAATAGAATGTTGACAGAAACTTCATTAGTTATGATACCTTGACAAAAATGCTTCATCTATCTTCTCTAAGGAAAAACACATTTTTCAAGTGACTTACATTGTTGTAAAGAGTATCAGCAATGTTCTGAATTTTGGTCATCAACTCATCCAAGCTTTCGTTGTCAGCACTTTGTTTAGCTTCCACTTTTGCAACAAGCTAAGGCAAGGAATAGCAGCACAAACATATTAGACTAGACACAATCGAAACTTTATTACAAAGACTTCAAATATCAGGCCTTCTGTTTGACACATCATTTCATTTATATACTAAAATGCGTGCGGTACAATATGATGAATTTAATTAACGATCAATGTAAGTTAATTGTACCAGGAAAAATTTTTTTAAAATAATTAACAAAACAATAAATCTAAATAATTATCATTTCATTTAGATTGAAAAAAACGGTTTGTCAAGGATTAGAACAAAGCAGCTTTATATAATATTAGGACTATCTTACCTCGTCGAACAAATCACATTTCCTGAATGGAGAGCCTCGCTGGGATATGAATGAAGAAAAGGCAACACTTTCAAGCACCTATAAAAAAGGAAACGGTATAAGGAGGGACCACACTTCAAACCGATTCAAACATTACAATTCTTTTTTACGCAAAGGTGAAAACTGAACAAATATCTCATGTCTATTTGATTAGATACAAATAACTCTGTTCTATTAGCTTCTGCATTGAAAGCTTTCCTAGAAAGATATCATTCTGAAAGTTTTTCAGACATATTTATGTTTATACGGAACAGAACTCACCTATGCCATGCCTGGTTATAACCAAGCTACACCCTCTTTTAAGCAAGCAGCTTGTGTGGAAACACAACTTTAAATACGAACATCAAGCAACACTCAAAGCCAACAAACCAACAAGGCAGAATTAACTACACGGCCAAGCAAAAGATCCCTGAGGATATAAACCTGAACACTCAAACAGAAACCTCGACGTAGAAATTCGACCTTCCCAAAAATTGCAATTATCCACGAGAAACGATTGAGTACTATAGCTTTTATGAAAATTGCTTCCACATTGACTTAAATAAAACAGCTTGATTTTTATTTCATTAACACCCTTAAGTCCATTATCACATTTTGCTAAAAACTGTCTGACGAAAATACGAATGTTAGATGCAATAATATTTCGGGATAGAACAAACAAAATACACAAATTTACCTTGTTAAAGAAATCATCAGCTACCAAGCCGCGTCTTTCTAAGAAAATGGCCTAAAAACAAGTCGGTAAATATATAGCTGTAAAAAGTTAGATAAAGGGGTGCAAATTGAAGCCCACTAGACTCTAGAATTGAAACGAGCTAACATAGTTATGTGGATGCAATAATTAATTCCATTGAAGATAGGAAGTATGCTTAACAAAGAAAAATCAAATTTCTGCGTTTAAAACTTGCTGCTCATAAATATTGTTTTCAAAAGCACCAGTGGCTTTGATACCTGATAATTCTAACCTGTTTCCATCGATACCCTTTTTAATTTTAGAAACAGCAGCAAGTGAGTCTTTCTAAATGGAAATATCTAAGGAGCAAGTGACGAGAAATGGAAACTTATGCAGCTCCTGTGATACTATTTAAAAGTTGAAAGATTAAAATAGAAATAAATAAAGTGGGGCGCCGGTTGATCTACAGGGCGATATTCGACCAAGAATCATCACCTTGTTAAATGAGATGACCGGCTTAGGATGAATCCGGATGATTGTCAGACAGGTCCGGTACTTGCTAAACATTTCTGCAAATAACTGCACGAAGACAGCTCGAAGTTGTTTATCCTGAAAAACAAAAAATGCAAAGATAAATACAACGAATTCAAATTACCTCAAATGAACGATGAAATAAAGTCTTAAATTGATGTTTTCATTTGCCAAAAACAATAGCAACAAAAATGAAAAACATTTTAATCGCCAATCTATCCTGGCTGTTTTATATAGCCTTGATGGGCAGGATTTTTTTAAATTTGACAGAGATCAGAACGCAATGGTATATGAATAAATGTAGAAGCAAGTTCATTTAGAGATTTCTTTTAACTAAAAATTAGTTGCAATAATCAAATAACGTGGGTATAACAAGATCTTGGATAATGAAACCTATATAGCTAGAGTGAGTTTTTACTAGACATCGAACTCGCCCAATTCATATACAACCTCACATACTATTTTCTCGACTCCTGGCTATCTTTTTCTCTTAAAGCCTGGCAGTATCCATGTTCCTTACATTACCCCTGTCAGCTTCCCTTTAGCAGGGGCAAAACAATACAATGTTTGCTTTTTAACAAAATATAACTGAAAAACCCTAGTATTGAAGTCCTGCCATTAAAAAGATTAGTAATACTGTCAACTCAAAATGAAGATAAAATATGAGTTCAAATCATTTGTTATAACGTACCTGCATAGCCAAATCAATCTCCTCTGAAGAGGGCGGGAAAAGCATGTCGGCATATCTTAACGATGGCGTCAAAATCTAAAGAAACATGTCGATCATGAATTCCAAATTCACTAAAATAACTTGACTGTAAACATAGCAAAAATGACAAATCCAGACTTTGAATATGAAACTACTTTCACGTCGTTAGAATTAGAGAATTAGAGAAACAATGCTAGGCTGGAGATAGAACGACAGTCTCAGGACATTGCAAAAATAATCGTCACAGTGAGTAGCACTTCAACATTGTTTTCAATAAAAAAATGCTCTTGTTCAGAGGGCTTATCGATGACATATTCAAAGGAGTCCGTATGCATTAGATACATTTATTCCAAAGCACAAAGGTTAGGGGTTTAATCTTTAGTTAGACTTTGGAAACTTAACTTTATTATGCTTTACTTACTGATTTTAGTGTGGCTAAAGTCTTGGAGAAGAATGGTTCGGGAATCAAAGGCAAGTGAATGCTATCTGGAACAGTGACATAGCCCTCATCAATGTTGACTGTGACAACATCATACTGTAAAATAGCAAGAAATAAATTAATAAATTAAATTAAATAAATTAAAAGAATTAAACTAAACAAATTAATAATTTGCAAAAGTATAATTCAATGAAAAAGTATAATTATAAATTCCCAGACTATCAGAAGGTTAATGGTTAAAAAGAATCTCATTTGACAGGAAAGGCGTTTTTAGAACTGGGGTAGAGGAGGTAACCAGGGAAAAGCTGTGGGATAGCTGTCAATCATAGTAATTTTGAGTAGTAATACACATGAATAGTGTGCCTGTTACCCAAAGTCAAACATTTATTTTGACAAGAATCTCTAAGTGTTTTGTTTAACCATTTGAGTCTACTGTTAGATGCTCCTAATAAAGGAATGCTGATATCTAGCGATGGTCATCCAGAATAGCAGTTGCATATTTGCATATTGGTCATGGCGATTAGTGAAAATTAGCTACACGGAGAAAAGTACAACAACAAGCTGATATCGTTGGTATTATGGGCTATTCGTCGTTCGTTCATGATAATGGTCTCACGAGTTCAGAAACAATGAATTTCTTGCAATGATTAGATATGTTATATGCTTGTGGGATCACGTCGAACTCAAGCAGCAAAAATTGGTAAACATTGCAGTCAAATAATGAATAAAGTATTAATGACTAACAAATTGTTAGCGTTTAATCATTTATGAAAATAAAATCCTCTTGCATTGATAACAAAATTTAGCTAAGTAAATAAAGAAAAGGTTAAGATTAAAATAAGAAAACCAGCAATATAAAGGAAGCAATGCAGACGACAAGATTCATTTTCTTTTCAAAATGCAATGGAAAGACTTACCAAATCCGGTATATCCCGTTTGTATGACATATGAACTCCCATCAAGAATGGCGTTGGCGCAGTTAGAAAATCCAGCAAAGAAGATGGAAGTATTGGTATATAAACATAGCTGAATAGGAAATAAAACATCTATAGGTCTGGGGATGCAGAAATCGATACGCTAAAATAGTCTGCACTATTTCATAGAAAAAAGTGGGTACCATGCACCCTTAAGTTTGATGAAGCAATGGAATATCCTCATTACCTAAAAACTAAGAATTATATCAAAAACATGGTTTTGTTTGTTTATCCTAGTAAATCATCAAGCTGCAAGGTTGAAGTGACAATAACAGAATCAACTGATTCAATTTTGATTAATAAAACGGTTAATTGAAGGTTGATGAAGACTTAATTAACAGGTGATTGCCAGGTAAGTCTTCATTGGCAGACAAGAGTCATGTCCCGGATCAAGATATACTTTCATCTCTTTATCTGGCATTTATGAAAATGCCTCAAAGCAACTAAAAATAAATACAGATGCTTCTCGATAAGATGGGCATTGAACCATTTTACAAATCTATGCATGCTTTTCCAACATCAAAAGGATGTCAAACTTACCTAAATGTTAGTGGATATAAGAGAGCCAAGAAAGCTTGTGCAGTTAAAACGAGATGAGTGTAGCTGCTTGACAAAAGGAGCAATTTGTTTTCAGTAACTAGGGCAGTGAAAACCATGATTATGTTGTGAATACCTGAGAAGATAAAAGTGAAAAGTTGAAATATTGGATAAGACATGGTAGAGGGTAGATGTGTAAGTGTATTATAGTGGACCGAACCATTGTAACAGATCAAAAGAGGTTGTGCTGCATAAATAAAAAATATTTTGCCTTAAGCAATAATACATAAACATAAACAACTCTAATAACATCACAGCTGACTGCCTGAATGTATTTCTCAGCTGCACTAAATGTGGTGCTTCTTCTACTACATGGCTATACACAATAAAACAAGTCTAAAGTAGAGATACAAGAAGCAGATTTGCATCTTACCTAGACAATAAAAATGGTTTATAAATTGCAAAAAGCAGTGCTATTATGGAAAAAGCTGTTGTTAATGGAAGTTAGCAAGGTCTTGAGTAGGTACAATAATGACCTAGAGAGAAGCTTCAAACAAAGTAGCAAATAAATGTGAGAAAACATACCAAGTTGATTAAAAATGATGGCCACCGATTGATTCGAAGTTGGGATAAATTCACTGAGTGCAGGATAAATGAACTGGCAGTCATTCCCACCAAGGGAAAATGACAGCTTTGGTCCACCAGGTGGTGGGATATTAACAAGACCCAAAGCATAACCAATCATATTTTCCAGTTTATCAATGTCATTAGCTGCATATGCTGAATATATTGTAGCCATACAGCTCTGAAAAATAAGAGCATAACTCCATGTTTGGGAATCGTTGAATTAGGTGTCCTTAAATGCCAAGGGTTGTTGAGGAAGACAGAAAGATCTGATCTAGCACTTCATATCATATTGGCTAAAAGCCTTTTCGTCTGACACTCCTTAGAGCATAAAACGTCAGAATAAGGGTATGAAAGAACACGATGGAAAATATATACCCAGTTGTTGACCTAATTAGGCCAATCGAAAAAACACAAGCACGAGACCGGTATAGTTGACCAATCAGTGCCGCGAGCCTAAATAAAATTTACCACTGGAGTCCAAGATAGAAAACGAACTCCTTCTGTCTGCACAACAGCAGCGTTTTTGTTTGTATGTGAATCGATTCCGAAACTTCTAGATGGAAAGACGACCTGGCTCTACCAATTATCTGAAACATGTCGTCATTAAAGAGTTTTGCTCAATCTGGGTTGTCTAAAAGATATTGACCGATGGCAGAATCACTTGTTTTAACGGTGTTTCTAGACCTACAGGGCCAAGGAGGCTGTTCTCTTTGAGGAGCATTTTTGTTTCTTATGTTGGAAAAAGCGGAAGGAGGGCATGAATTTGAAGATCTTATACATATATACAGAGAGCATGCATGTTTCAGGCATGACAGATAAATTTGTGCTTTTATTATATTGAGACATTTCAAGACTCAAGAAATCTCCTAACACAAACAAAATCAAGAAATGAAAAATCGTACCTTAAGGGTATCCAAGTGTTTTTGCCTCGTTACTAGGCAGAGACATTTTGGGACATAATATGTCATTTCCCTATGCTCTTCAACATCGTCTTCATCAGGAGCTTTGGTCTGGCCTTCAGTACTGGAAGACTTCCTTCTTTGTGAGCTGGGTCTTGTTTTCTTAGAAAGAACTGGTTCATAAAACAAGAGGCAACCACAGTAGCTGTGGGTACCTTCGACATCTGTCAATATTGCATAGTAGTATTTTGGGTCATGGTACACATAACTTGCTTGCCATCCACCAGGCTGACAAAACTGCAAGAGATATAGACAATATGCTTGTAAATTAAATTCAAAAACTACAGAAAATAGCTATCAATTATAAGTTGTGTGTGACTTTTCTAGATAAAGAAACAAGAATTTGAAATACATATGAAACACATATGTAAAACATTACTCTTTATAGGGCAATCTAACAAAGAACCAAAAGGACATTAGCTTGTTATATCTCATCAATTACAAAGGTATTAACAAAGAGAGATAAATCTTATTTCAATGTATTAAAACTTTATATCTATTTTTCCACTAATATATTTTATGATCTCTTAAATCCTGTCATGAGGGGAGCTAAATCAAACAATTTATGCAAGTTACTTTTGATAAAATGGCAAACAAGGACACAAACCAGCTCAACAGCAGCTGGAAAGGGGAAGTCTTTGAGATCTTCTTCTGGAAATCTTTGTATAATGGTGCCTTTGATCTTTTTAGCATGATCTTAAAAGTAAAAAAATTCAAATTCATTTTGCACATTAAAACATGAAAGTAAATATTTGACACAATATCAAAATGAATAAATTTGCTAGAACTGAACTGTTTTTGGGGAAGCAGATTAGAACATTCCTTTGTTCAGCAAAAGCATTCTGGTAGCAAAGACTGGTGGCTAAGAGTGAGTCTAGATATGTCAAGAACACAAAAGAAAAACCAGACACAACAAAGCCTATCCTAAATCAATACAGTAGCTGTTCATTGCCAAAAATACATCTATAAATATATACCCATATTTTCATCATTCTTGTTGTGATACTTACAACCTTGAGTTGACAGAAAAAATTGATTTACTTTCAGGATATATAATGTCTGTATAAAAACATGGTTAGTTACTATACTAGTCCTTCGGCAGCTGCAATGTATACTATATATAGAGATCAATAACCACTAAAGTGCCATTTTCACATGCAGCATCTAGTTTCCAAAATCATTAAAGGCTACTGCTATGTTGAATGCAAGAAATGAACCTTCTGAGCAAGCCTATACCACAAACTCTAATACAAGCACTGCACAAAATACATATGTTCCATATACCTTTCAGACTATGTCCTCCTGACACATTTTAATGGTCATTTAATACCCATTTGTTTAATTAAACAATAGACCTATTGTTACATATCCAATCAGCAGAGTAGTCTCAATATTAAAATGAGCCTATTGTTTACCCTGGACAGAACATAGTGCCTTTAAAAAGAAAATGGTGTACATAAGTTCAAAAGCCATTTGAAACCAACCATCTCCCCCCCCCCCCCCCAAATAGAAAATAAAGGGCATCAGTCATGATAAAAGATAAACTGGACAGCTTTTTTGAAAATTTCCCACATAGTTTCCTTTAACAACTTTATCAACAATAATTTCTACAATTTTTGCATTAATTGCTTTGGACGATTTTACCACACAAAATGTTGGATTAGTATATTGTGCAGCATACAGAAGTAAGCAGCAGTGAGAGGGCAACAGCAAAATAGCTTTATTGACTTGTTAAGCATAGCACAGGTTCACACTCTTTCCTCACTAATTCAATATCTACTCAAAATGGGTAATAAAAGATACACTCTTATGGATTTTGCTTGGTAGTGTTAAAGTGTTAAGTAAAATTCACCCTAGTCTCAGGTAAGATGATGATGTGGTTATGATAATTGAAAGTATCTGAGCAGCTCTGATAAAGCAGACACTGTGAATATTTATTTTCAAGTAACACTAGAGTGATGAATATTTGCAATGATGACAAGTGCACTTAAGAGCTTATGATGAGAGAAAGAAAATTAGAATGATGCTTTGTAGAAATGCAGGAACATTCTTTCGTGGGAAAAATATGGTGCTAACCACCGCATGCCTGAAAACATCCAGGCGTATGGTGGCGTGTGACATTTTTTGTGCAAAAATCTTTGGTTATAATAATAGATCTACGCAGAAATTGCCAACATGACAATGATGACACCAATGATTTTGATGAAATTCATTTTGCTAAATCTTTAACATCATTTCTGACTGGCCAGATGACGATATTCCATAAAGATAATGCATCAAAGATAATGATGGGCCATTTTTCATTAATTCAAATGTGGCTAAAATCTAGATTTAAAGCTGAGCAATGTCTGAAAAGAGGGCTGTATATGGGTAACAAAATCCACAATACTGCTACTTTCTCTCACATAATTGGCAAGTCTGCTAGTTTTGATAAATTAGCAATCAAAAATGAAAATATTGTTAACAGCATTTGATGTTCCTTATAAAATTTGGAGACAAAAATGTCTCTTATAGTCTTCTGTGTTTGGATTTGTTCACTGAAATGCCATAAAGCCTTGTAAAAGTGAAAACTTTTGCACAAATCTATTTTCCATTTTCTGCATCATAACAAGCGCATTTTTGCCAATGTCTGTTTTGCCAATGAAAATAATTGTTCCTGAGAAAAAGTGATAAACATACACCGGGGAAAAAGTAGACCAAAAAAGTGGTGAAATTTATAGAAATGTTTGTCATATCAAGGAAAATCATGATGAAGAGACAATTCAGTTCGTAATAATGAGAGTTTGTTATATACAGGATTTGTTATACCGAGGGAATTTGAAAGGGGTTCGGCAGAATCCAAGGGCCAGACATATTTTTGCTATAGCCAGGTTTCATATTATCGAGATTCCATCGTAGATTAGTCCCATGACTATTTCAAAATTTTCTATTTAATTCGCAATCCTGACAAGGTGTTAAGCCTTTTTTGAAGTGGCATGAAATTATAGTACCAAGGAAAGATTTACATTTAAACCCATCTCAAAGACCAACAAAACCAATCTTTAATAGAGAATTTTGCTCTCAGAATAAAAGAAGGTATGTGATATTTTGCACTCTTCAAAAGCAGTAAGCGTGTGCCAGGGCGTGTGCCTGCAATCACATGCCTTTCCGACAAAAGACTGAGTAATATCTGCAAAAATGTTTTAAAATACTAAGGAAGTATTTAACAACAACTAATAGCACCCATTGATAACAAACACAAATCAATCATCGATAATAAGAATAATAAAAAAATAAGAATAGAGCATGTTTGACAAATACTATACAGTGTAATCAACCTTTTGAGAGCAGATTGCATTTGTGTGATGACACTTTGCATTTGTGCATTTGTGCCGGGCCAGAAAAACATATGGATTTTCTCCAGGGGCCACTGAGTTTTCGACTTTTACATAGCTTGTATCAAAAAAATTGCACAAAATGAAGTTCGGATCTCATACTTACCAGGCTAATTTAGAGATAAGGTAGGCAAGAAGAATTTTAGATCATAATAATCTAGGGATGGCCAGAACCTGCATCTAAAATAGAATATGCCGGGAGAAAAGCTAACAGTTCCATAGTTTTATCTATTCTAATGTTGACATGAAATAAAGGGCCTTCCAAAGTTTTAGAATTATCTTAGCATAACAGCGAATAATCAACTTTTTTAACAAATGAAGGAAACCAAAATAAGATGGAGAGAAAAATGAATAAAACACAATTTGACAAAAAAGCACATACGCTAATAAGCAAGAACTTCATGAACTTAAGATTAAGTCTGGCCTTGGGCCTGGAATCTCAAGTGGAGGAAGGGGTGAGGTCATGGTGAGTTCATCAACCATCTATTGAATTCAATGAAAGAATTTCCTATTTTCATACTCCCTTTCGGACCAATTGCTAGTCAACGGGACCCACATTATCATTCACTACAGATATCAGAGCAGTCCAAAAACAAAACTAAATCAAATTCAAAATTTTCAAAGTGTAAACCAAAAATATTTTTTTGAGATAAAGCACTTGGCGGGCTGGATAAAAACTTGCTGCGGGCCAGAGTTGGCCCGTGGGCCAGAGTCTAAGAGTGGCTGTTCTAAACAAAGGAAAAAATTCCTAGCACACATTTATGGCAACAGTACTTGCAAGGGAGAGTTCTTAAAGGGCTGTGTCGTGGTTTTGTAAACAAACCAAATACACGGGACACTGCTTTTTTGCACATTTGTATAATGGTTGATGTTGAATTTCGATAACATTAGGCACTTTACAACACAATGGTCACTCTAGAATTGTCCTCCAAACTTTAAAAAATGTTTTGACTCATAATTTGCACCAGAAAAGTATTTTTGGTGTCATTTCAACCCATTTCTATTAACTGTACCTTAGAGTTGCGGTATCCAGACTTATGAGTGGCCTTTGTTATTTCCATCATCACCATCCTTTATCCAAATAAATATGGTGATAAGACTGAAGAAATAACCTTTATTGTTTGTTTCCTTTCATAAAACATACAAAAATGCAAAAGCTTTGTACGAAGAGCACAGATAAAAACACCAGGCCATGCTGGGAATGGCGTGCGATCGCACGCCCACGCCTTGGCACACGCCTTCTGTTGCTCAGAAGTGCAGTTTATCGCACGCCTTAAATAATCTGCAAATAACACTTTATTCTAAAGTGACCAATATGGCCCAATGTAATTTTTTTATCATAATTCAACTATGAACGAACGGTGATAATCACGCAATCGTTTCTATTTGATTTCTACTTGACGAAAAATTTGGCGAATATTCTAATTTGCTTAAAGTTATGGTAAACGTTTTTTGAATGAAAACATCCACTTCTCGATTTCTTCAGATTCTAGTAGCCGGACTTTCAAGGCACACGATGATACCATGTTTAAAACTAACAGAAGTTCTGAAAGTGGCGAAAAACCCCTGTAAACGAAGGTTTCCATAATTTCTTTATCAAAGTTTTGAGTTGAGGTCTGAAAATCGCTCGACCTTTTAGGCCAATAATCCTTGCTTTGCAGTTGTGGTCGCTTGTCTCATTTGCAATAACTGCAGTGGAATCACGATATAACGAACCCCAGATTTAACGAACTTCCCGGTATAACGAACTAAATGCCTGGTCCCTTGGATTCTGCCTAACAAACTCCTTACAAATTCTCTCGGTATAACAAACCCCGGATATAACGAACTCTCGTTATCACGAACCATTTTTAGGTCCCTTCATCATAATTACCCTTGATATAACGAACTTTCATAAATTCTTCATCTGTTATTTTTGTTTATTTATTTTCGGTATTCATTTATCACTTTCTCTTGGGGAGAAATCATTTTTATAATCGACAAAACATGCCGATGATACATTTCAAGCCCGGGCTGATACACTCAGAGCACGAGATGAAAGTTCGATTGCGTCAGAAATTACTGCGAATGAGTACATTGACACTAACAAATAACTTCTTATATATGAATAATTGGCAATAAGCGACGACAAAACTTTATTGAGAGACCCAGATGGAGAAGCAGAAAAAGACAAGTAAGAATGTGAAGTAATTGAAGACATCATTCAGGCACCAACTAGGAGCGAAGTGATACCAGCTTTGCCAATCTCTTGGTCCCAAGTTATAAAAGGAACATTAAGATTTTCATTTTCAATGACCAGCCAGTTGTATTATTTGAATTCAGATTGGTTTTTTTGAGTTAAATGGTACATGTATGGCTGTACATGTGCACAGAGGTTGGAGATAGCCTAAACAAGCCCACCACAGGTTTTTTAGGCGTGAACTGCGAAAGGACCCCCAAAAAACATTATCTCTCGGTTTAACAAACTCCCGATATACGAACTATTTTCTGGTTCCCTTCAGAGTTCTTTATATCGGGATTCCACTGTAGTTACAACCCCATGGCACATGTAAGGCTTTGTTTATTTAAACAGGCTTATTGATCTTTAAGCTTTAAATGATTTGACCCAGATTACACTGTGGTTTACGAGTGTATCTTGCAAGTGCGATCAGTAAAATCCCGTTTTCTCAGGACTCACAATTCCTCTATATACAGTTTACTTTATGTGCATTTTTCTAATCTGTATGCAAATACAAAACTCTTTAGAAACTTTTACTAATAAAATGTGGGCAAAAATGTTCCAAAATTAAGAGACTTTGAATTGTGAAGATTTAGCTACTATAGCTTTCTTACAAAATATAAACGTGCAATTAACCATTTAATTCGTTCTAACATTAGTCAACAGATAAGTTTTCTTTATGGTGAAAACACAGTTAGAATTCTTAAATTTTGAGAACGAGATTGTCAGGAGAAGCAGACCAGAAGGGTTTATAAACTGCAGGATTACATAATAATTAACCTACCTTATTGTTAATGTTTTTCTCTTTAATATGTTGGGTTTGACGTTTATAAAGCTTTTTGATAAAATGTATTGATTGGACTAGCCTTGCTTATGTTTTCTTATGATAAAGTTATGTAGTCTAGTCCATATACAGCTGACTGTATTATTAAGTACTTTGGTGCAATAGCACACCATTGCACGCCTTGGCACCACAAGGAGTGCGATTCATTGCACCCCTGCCATTTTATTCCCAGCATGGCCTGAAACACTGTTTTGTTTCATATTGATTTTACTTTCGAACATAGGTTGTTCCACCTAAACAATTTTTGCTCAACTGGCCTGTTGCCACATGAGATGTCTCTTGTGACACAGCCCCTTTAACAGATAAAAAGGGATTAACAAAAAAGGTTTACCTTTTGTGACAATATCAATATCAATTTGGTGGTGATATTTTTGAAGAGCTAAGCTGCCACAGACCAGGTATCAAAGGATAGCTGTGCTGGCTCATTTAACACATTACCTTATATAATCTACTTTTCAATAAAATAAAGTATTTAGTTTTTCCATAATGCATTCAATGAGTTGATAGCCAATGAGAAACATCAAATTTGAAACTGACAAAAAATTGTTAAAGTTTCAAGACAACATTTCACACTAAATTAACTTTTTCACAACGTTGCTTCGGGTTTGAAGTATTGGATGATGACCTCATGTTTCCAATGTTTACACATGGAAAGCGATGATAAAAAATTGAAAGCAGCATCGCGCAAGAGCAACACTTCCTCTTTTGCGAATTAACTGCTTACAAGTAACTTACAATTTAAAAGGTTTTTACAAGACTCAAAATAAAAAACTAGTGTTATTCAGCACTGCCTTATTTCTGATACTTATTTCATTCCTTCTAACATGTAATATTATATGTTAGATGACATTCTGATATGCTCCAATTTCGACAGGCAGTCAATATGCGGGACACTAAAGTAAAAATGGACATTGCTCTGGAACTCAGATTCACAGACACGGCCCTTTACTGTTTACGGTTCACCTTAATATTGAGATAACTGCCATCTTGAACAGGCTCAAAACTGTAGCAGCATTAAATGCACTGGCAGAATGTTTACCGAAAACAACACTACAACTCTAGACAAGGTATTTTAATAAACAAAAAAAATAACTTACACAAATTGTCGGTTTCTGAACACCCAACAATCACGAAGTATTCAACCAGTCTTCTGTTACTCATCTTCATTATCTGCTTACAAAACTGGATATTTCTAATTTGTCATATCTTAAGCTTTTGATGTTTCTACGGGCTCTCATCTTGGCACAACTTTACCATCCCCCTCCCAATTTCAGCCGCCATTATGAAATCTAGAGTGCGCGATGAGGACTGGTAACTGGTTACAGTATCCCTGGTTCCAAAAGGTAGGGGCCTTCTTTAACCACACACCCCTTTGTAACAAGCCAGCTGATAACCTTCCCAAATGATCACTTTCATCTTTTCACCCAAAATCTAGATTTCTTCACCAATTTCTGATCTATCAATCAGATGGGTGGTCAGGACCTAAAAAAAAAAGAGTGGACCTGAATCATTTTGTGGAGTTGTAAATTAAAATTGTGTATAACGGTAGGAAGTGTGGATTTGTAAATAATACATTATCTTTAAAGTGCAGCATAAAATACCAACCGAAACCCCTGAGAAAGACAAAGGACAATTTCTTCAACGGGATATGAATGCTCAATCCAAGCCTTATGTATTGCACCCATTTTCAATTGTAATTTTTTCTATCCACATAAAATATTACAATACCAACTACATTCTACTAAACTTACTAATTACTCTACGATACTACAGGTACGACACCATGGGGAGCAAAGGACAATGAGAACCTCATTGCCATTTCATGCAACTAGACAAACAAATACGAACGCCACACGTACACATAATGAATGTTGCAAAAAAAGAAATATATATATAGAAATTTGTCTTTTGATACTTCCGTAGCACAGTGCTCAATACGTTAGCACGTAGAGCGTGATATATCATAGATTGAAGAAAGTAAAACTACATGGTTTATCTCTACAAGCCTGTTTCGTGAGTAACTCACTCTCCTGAAGAGTGAGTTACTCACGAAACAGGCTTGTAGAGATAAACCATGTAGTTTTACTTTCTTCAATCTATGATATATATATATATATATATATATATGTATTCAAAAGCTCTAGACTGTAATGTTTTTTAAAAATTTAAATAGATGATCAGTAAAAAAACAACTTGATTAACGTTTCGCAATATGCTTCTTCAGGCTTCTTCAGAAGGAAATTACAGGTACAAGATGACACATTTTAAAAAATGAAAATAATAAATTAGTGGGTGAGGCACAAGATTTGGAGATATTTCATGAAAATGATTATATTATCATTCAAATTTCATTTAATCATGCATTGATGTTTGAGAAATGAATGACTTAGATCACAGAGATCTGAGACTTGTTCTCAGAGAAAAGAAATTCTACCAGGTGAGACGGCTCGGATTCTCGTACCGTATCCTGGGTACCAGATTCACTATATAATTATATATATAGTCAGTCTGGTACCCAGGGTAGGATTCTCGCAGCAAACCCTATGTAGAGAGGCTGATTTCCAACCTACAACAAAATAGAAACAAGTGGGAGAAGCAGCAAAGCTCCAGGAACACTTAACAAATATGTGAATATTGCAATAAATGTGCTTGATCTCGCAAGTTTCTAGTTCCGCGAAGAGCTGCGAAGATATGGTTCCAAAAATCAAGAAAAATCGAAGTCTGGGAAGCAAGATTTATTATACAACTTTGACGGAAATCTGAACAAACCATTCAATCAGGTTTCCTTTCGATAACGTTTTTGCTGACAAGCGAAGACATAGCTAGACGATGATGATTTTCTTACTATTAATTAGTAATTAGTTATTAACCCAATTCAAGTATTATGGAGAATCAGCTTTTGCTATTAATACTTCATTCATTCAGGATTTTGTCCAATTAGGATCTGCTATTGGCACTAAGAGCCAGGGGCACCGAAAGCGCAGAGGCAGCCCCCCTGCCATGACTCTACGGGGGCAGCGGGGGCAGCGGGGGCAGCACGGTGCCCTTGTGAAAATGGCACTGTGTTTATGAAAGTGGAATAAATATAGAAAATCTGAAGTTCTTGGGTGAGATAAAAGCGAAAATGAAAGCAATTAAAATATTGAGTGCATTTGTTATGAACTTATATGCAATGATGCTATTTCTTTCGGCAACACTCTAAAATGTAGGAAATTACTTTCGAATAAAGTGAGTGGCGTAACGGAGGAATCTGGGGTCCTAAGGGAAAACTGAGATTGGGTCCTTATTAACGGACTGTAGTAGAGCATGTCAAACACTAATCCAAGCAACACTTATCCAAGTTAACTAGTAGAAGCTTTAATTGAAGTAATCTAAAAGCTTTTAAAAACGAAGTGAACTTTAGCAAAGTCATCAGATTTTATAAGAAATAAGTTGCCATACCCATAAAGAAGGTAACAAAGATGGAAACCCTTTGACCAATCATGACTTCAATTGAAAGCCATAAAGAATGCCTGCCAGAGCTCACAAGTTGTCGCAATTGTACAATTCATTTGCACTTTCATCTGCAACTGCAGAACGTACTTTTAGCACAACGCAGCGCGATACGACGCGACAGCCAACAGCCCACGGGGTAGGTTAACTAAGTCTAATTTTGAACGGGGACGTGCCATTTTGGTTAAAAAATTCGGACCCATAATTTCGTACATTTCTGAAAAAATGTGACCCATAATTCCGCAAACATGATGAAATCTATACCCATCATTCCGCAAAGCAAATAACATTTTTAAAGCACCACAAAAGTATACATAATACTTTTCACCTCCTTTGCCAAAAATCTCAATATTGCACATATTTCATACTTTCATTTCTATCTGGACATTCATATGGTTAATGCTCAAAACCAAAGTATGTTGATCATTGATTCAAGTGTAAATGATTAACGGCAATTGATAATCATCGATCATGGCTGCTGAGCGATTATGGAAAAACAAAACATATCAATCACAATTACTGTGGCTCCTATAGCACTACTGAAACACAGTTTTTGATACAATGAAGCCAACGATTGTTGATCATTGGTTTGATCATAAATGATTAACGGCAATTGATAATCATCGATCATGGCTGCTGAGCGATTATGGAAAAACAAAATATATCAACCACAGTTATTGTGGCTCATATAGCACTACTTAAACACTGTTCGGATACAACAAACCAAGGTATGTTGATCATTGATTCGAGTCTAAATGATTAACGGCAATTGATAATCATTTATCATGGTTGCTTGGCGATTATAGACAAGCGAAAATATAAGCAACGACATTTTTCGGATGATTACTGTGCTTGACTCAATGCAGATTAATTTGAAGGCAGAAAGGGCAAATAGAAAAAATTGTGATCAAATATAAATGTTTAACGAACTCATTCATTAATAATCTGCTAATGAGAGTATCTAATCACATTTTCTTGATAAATTCGTATACATTTAAGTTAAATGAAATAATGTAATTCTAACATAATTCAATTCTGTAAATCTGATACTTTAAACGAATGAACTTTTATATAAAATTATTTTCATATAATACTATCAATAAGCATTTAACTTGTTTATTAATATATAACTTTCGAATTCTTATAACAATGAATGAGAACAGTTTGATGTAAAAATCGCGTTGAACTGAAATGTTATGTCAGAAAAATGTACAACATATGGTCACAAACAACGAAATATCAAAATAATTTTACATGCATTAATTTATCATGTGATCCAATAATACAAAGAAAACTGCATTATAAAATGATATGATATCTTATGAACCGTTCACAATACTCTACCATAATTCCAATTTTCGATTACTTTGTCACCAAAATCATATGCATTCAACAATATACTACATACATATAAAAGGATGTTCGTTTACAGCATGCTATAAAATTCGATTTCCAATCTTGCATAATACTATTTGTATTACAATGCAAAAATAAAAAAATGCTGGACGGCGAATAAACTTAACTGCAATGTACAAAGCAAACATATAAATGAATCCAAATGAATAGCTTTGTAAACGATAGCTTTGTAATAGCTTTGAAAAATGTCTTAGGTCATTTTCTAGTGTTAAGATATGCTAATGATGGGTACGACGAATGCAATCCACATAATAAAGAAAAACCCGAACAAATGGAGGATGATCATGAAGAAGTGCACACCCACACATTTCCCAGCCCCATTTCAATTCAATGCCAGGCACATTTACAATAGCTAAAGTCCCGAGAGCTGCTAGCAAGAACGTGGATATGAATAGGAACAATAAAAAGTTAATGTAGGTTTGGGGTGTCACCTATATACCAGTAACTCTATACCGCTTTCCTTATATATCTTCAAATTGAAGACCTAAGCCTGATGCGTCTAGTTTAGTTTATTGGAAAATTGTTTAAAGAAACAAATAGCCATCAACAATATGACTTTTCAAATCAAACAGAGTATCATTTGCGAACGCCTTGCATTTATGAATGATTTTCCTTTCCTAAAAATACCTGAATCAAACAATTATTTAATAATTTCAATGAGCTAGGTGTACTTCTGCAAAGAAAAATTCAACTCAAAAGCGCGTCTTTCTTCGTTGGAATCTCTCTCAACGTGTGACACCCGTGTCATGAACCCTTATCGTAAAGGGGTATCTGACGAAAAGAGATCACAGCAACCAAATTGTGACCGGTTCAGATAGAGCCTAAGGTGAACTCGAGGCTAGCTACCACTAGAGGCCTCAATTTCATGTTACGTCTTCTTTACTGAGGAAAGCATTTTATAAACGAATGCTTGTTAAAAACCTACAATCCATAAATATCTAAAGCTGCCATCATGACCTGGTCTCGTGCTCACTTACACTGTGATCAGCAATCGATGCTTTCGTCTGAGTCAAGAAGATTCTCTGTGCTTCTTCCAGCAAGACTTGTTTTTCTTCCAGTTTCCTTTCCAGATTCCTTTCCGTTTTCTCTTACGCTTTCATTTCGATTAGGCTGCAGCAACCCGTCAGGTAACATTCCGTTTCTGTTATTATCAAAATTTCCGTCATTTCTGTCGGTCGTTGCATTCAAATGATTTTGAATGTACATGCAGAGCTTACGAAATTTGCGGTGGGAGCCTGCGAATAAACAAATTTTATAAAATAAGAAAAACAATTGTTTGTTATGTTGTTTGGGGTTATGTCAAAATTTGTTAATAAACATTTTAATGTCCAGTCATTTGAATTTAGTAAGTGTTTAGATGTATGTAGCCAATATTTTAGATATATGCAACAGAATTCCTCTTAATGTATGACCTTTCGAAGTCTATGAACAAGGCAACACAAGACACTGTGAAAAAAGCCAAACAAAATTATATCGAAAAACTAACAAACTAACACTAACAAAAACAAAACATTATATCGAAAAATATTCTAGATATGAAAAACTAAGGGCAGATGTAAAAAGAAAACTGATTCACATCACAGTTAGGTGTAAAAATTTGATTCTTAAGATTTCTCTATTCCAAAATCCAACGAAAAATTTCTGTTTACTGGTCTGTATTACTATGCTCGCTGCCACACAGGCAGAGCCCTACACGCAGTTGGTGTATAGAACAGGATGGCTCTAACTTGCTACTCCGAGTTTTACACTCTATGTGATCGTTCGGCAACTGTTTCCTGGTGCCAAATGATCGCATTAAGCTTGAAACTTGGACTAGCAACTAGGAACGGTCCTATTCTATACACCAAATGCTTAATCCAAAATAAATACATACAAGTCCATTGACAGGCCAATGACAGAGAGGGAGAGACATGTCAAACAGGGACAAGCCCATGAAAGTTTAGAGGAAGAAATTGAAGCTTAATCTTGAAGGAGCGGTGGTTCTCTTTGAAAATACAGCTACTTTGCATAAAATATTAAGGCAGGCTGTGATGAACAAGATAGCCTAAAGTAATTAGCAAAAAGAACTATGGTGGGTACTTTGTAGAATTCTTGCCACTCAGCAATGGTTTTTTAACATTGCTAATACTCAAAAGCCTGGAAAACTGTCCTGGCAAATTACGGGTATGGAGACAGGCCATTAGGCTTGCAGCAAGCCAGGAAAGCGTAAGGAAGGCGTAGATTGACAACAATATATACAGTTCCTCCAATTTAAACTTGCTGGCTAACTGTATTTTGATGCTGACCAGCTCTCAATCATAACACACTAGCAGACGCTCTGATACAGTTGGGACATTATAAGCAACCATTCTTCTACATTTTGACTAACAATGGAGCGCTGTTTTCATTTTAAGTTGGTGATGCAAGGAAAAGGCCCTGGGGCGTAAAGCAAAGCCCTGACAAGGGAAAAGATGGAGGTGTTTGGAAGAGAGGGGGGAAATATTAGGCCATTAGGGTCTAGGAAACAGGAAGAGGGTAGTAGACCGTTCAAAAGTTGACAGGATCTAGCGAGGAAGGATGTGTTGTGGGAAAGGGTTCGTGAATTGGGCAAAGAGAGTTCAGAAGGGTGAGCACTAGAAGTGAATTTCATAAGATAGCAATTGGCCTACCGTTTATAAATGTTATATGTATAAGTATCGGGAAATTTTCACCATCAGTGCACTTGCTGTATGATGAAATCTCATAGCGTAAGTTTATCAAGGTCTTTCGGTGATACAGGCCTGCAAAATATAAGCATCCAAAACATCTGTACAGTTTCACATTTATGATAATCAAACCTTTATTAAAACTCAATTTTAACCTTAGCATCTGCCCTTCAAAGATGGTTTTCAAAAGGACATGTTGAGAAAGTCTGGACATTTCTATTATGGCAATTCAGTTGCCATGTAAGGTCATCTTAGGCCATTTTAAGGCATATAAGAAAGGTGATAACACAAGTAGCAGCGACAATGACAATAATGATTAAACATACATATACTGCTGAGTCTAGGAAACCTCTTCCTTTCGGAAACTTCCTTCATGGTTTAAAAACCTTTCTCAGAAAACAAACGTATATGGAGTTTTGCTTTCGTTGGCTATTATCACGCTATTTGAATGCATGCTATGTTTTCCAGGCCATTCTAAAGAATCATAATAGAAAACTTTTAGCAAAACAAAAGTGTTTCGTTATTTGCAGTAATGTTGTACGTTTGGCTAAATGCTACAATGCAAATTGTTAAAAATATAACGTTATAAAGAATATTTGTCAACGTATAGACTTACCTTTGCTTTTTTTGTAGACAATATGGTATTCTAAAGGAGACACTGTGAAATGAGTCAGGTGTGGAAGCTAAAGGAGATGAAAAGACAGTTTAAACTATACATTGAACACAAAGTGCCCAGAAGGAACAGTCATAAAGATCACATCGCATCCAATGCCATTCAAAGTGAGATTTTTGTAGTTTCATGAGTGAGATTTTTGAAACAAGAAATGTACATTATGATTTGCGAACTAAAAATAATCTTTGCATTCCAAAAGCCAGGACAACTTCTTATGGTATAGAAACTGTGAGATATTTAGGTCAAAAACTGTGGCAAACACTACCTCACAGTATAAGAGAGTCCCAATCATTGGCAACATTTAAAAAAGAATTAAGAGCACACCCTATAGAATGCGACTGTAGATTGTGTAAAAAATTTATTGCTGGGTTAGGTTTTATTTAGAACATTATACCTTAAACCTTTTTAATATTGTATCATATATTTTTATTTCATACTAACTCTTTATAGATAGTTGGCCTTAATTAGCTTCTTTATAGCTATCAACCGTTCATTTAGTACGCCAACTTTAAACAAATTATTTATTATTATATTATATTATATAAAGTGCATTTTTTGAAGCCGTAACGAAGCTTTTGACCAATGCATTGTTTAATGACATAACTATTCTAAAGACAAATGTACATCAAGATACACTTTATTGGCGTGTTTCAAAGGAAAGAATACCGTATCTTCAATATACTGCACAGATTTCGACAATGCATGCTTGTCTTGGACACAGCTGACTTCAATCTGTGCCAAAAGTCCATGGAACGCCCTGTAGCTCGAGTGCTATTTTGAAAAATTAACCGTTTCAAGCAAGCATCACATCCCCTCTTTCCAAGAACAAGATTTGTTAGGGAGTAAAACACCCAAAAATATCGCGTAGTGTACGCCCAGTGTACCAAGACGCATGGCAGGTATTGTGGCTTCAATGCTAAGTATAACATGCATATATAGCCCAAAATATACAATCCCCTTGTATTGCTGCCTTGAACTAACAAACAATGAAGCAAACAACTATTGATTTCCAGGCAATAAACAAACAACATTAAGTCCAAGTTCAAACGGCAGGAAAGACATAAGATTAGTGGGCACGTACCGCAGAAAAAGCTTTCTCCATCTGCCTTTTTATATCTTCAGTCGACTGGTTTGTGATTTGAAGAAGGAAAGGCTAGAAAAATACAACAGCTACATAAATTACTTAATAACTGGCTTAACACAAAGAAACATATAATAAAGTGCAGCCCGATAACTTTGCTGCAATAGCGAAAAATAGCTTTTCGCCACTTATTCAAAATAGGAAGGGTTGTTAAAACAGCGAGGCCTTTATCCAGATACTATCGTTGAATATTAGGCTCGCATCTTTGTCATATCTTAAAATATTTTTGGCTTAAAATAGTGCCAAACTGCTAGAACTGAAAAATTGCAGCCAAGCCAACCAGTCTGTTTATGAACTAGGCCTAAGCATACATGATCAATTTATACATGAAACAATCAAAGAGTCCAAGACTAAATCTGACAAAGAAAATATTAGTATTGCCAAGTTAATGACAAATGAAAAGCAAGTAAACGATTATATAAAGAGATAAAAAACCTTGGATGTGGGCTTCACATGCTCATTTTTCTTAAGGAACGTTTCGTAGATTTTATATAGCAGGGTATAAATGGAAACATTTGAAAAACCACTTTTTATATTCGTAATATTCACCTGTATCTGGCCGGGAGTATGAAAAAGGAAATTCGTAAACCACGAACGTTTAGTCGATATGCTGAAAAAAAGAGAGCAGAGAATTTTAGAAAAAAAGCTTACTACAATACGTAAAAGACAAGAAAGAAGTCAAGTAAAAATAGCTATTTATAAATCAGTTTTGACGCTTGATCACGAAAACTGGCATAACTCACTCTGGCGTTGATGCTGAAAATCCATTGCTTTCTAGATTGGCAGCGTCATCCGCTAAAATACAAGAATTTCTTGACATTAATATCTTTTATAAGAAGTATGATTTTTTCAACATATGGAGTATGACAACACTCATGTGTCTATAATAACTTGTGAGGGGAGGGTGCTCAAATAGACTTTGGGTTGGGAAGTGTCTTTCTAAGTTTCAACAAAGGGTGTCAACATCAACAGGGGTCGTTAGATAAAAGTTATAAACTATGCATTCCGTTTCTAGCATTTAATATAAAACAAAATTTTTATTTTTTTTATATTCTCATAAAATTTACAACGACAATCAATTACAATACAAAAGCCTAGGGAGCATGGAAATGCATAACAACCCTAAGACTTACACTTAACATAGAGACACAAATATTACAATAATAAGCTACAAAAGTGATTGAAGTGGTGTCGCCCATCGTTCCAATAGCGTTGCAGATATGACAAATATTCACAAAAAGCTATTTTAAAAGAAGATATCAAGTCTACCTATGTTCCTTGCTAATCAAACAAATTTGCGCCCAGACATGATGAGCGACACCACTCGAATCGTAAAAGCAATCGTGAAACAAAATTGGGTTTCACTAATAACCAATTCTCGAGAAACACAATGCACGGCTTTTACGCTGTCAAACACTGAAGATTGAATATTTACAAACACAAAAAATGAAAAATCAATAAACATTCAACGAGGAGGAGTTGTACGTCGCTCTAGGTACATGGGGAATTTTCAAAAAATGAATAAGCTGAGACATGTACATTATGATGAGGAATAAGGTGAGGAAGACGAAACACTATGAAACCTTTCATTCATACCGGGGACGGAACAGAGCGGGATTCCCGGCAGGAGATACAGAAGATGAATTAAAAACTTACAGCAGCTTTGACTTCTTCTGCGTACGAAGATTCCAGCTCCTACTGTTTTCTTAAAAGCTGTTAGTCGCGATCTCCATGGACTGCCGGGCGGCGTGAGGACTGTATGGCTTGCATTAAAATCGATGACATTTGAGGCCGATCCTCTTCTTTTTGAGTTGCTGTCATGTGGATTCGAAGCAGACCCTCTCCGCTTGTCAAGATTATCTCTAGAACAAAATGCAAAATATTCTTTTAGACTGGCGTCTATGAGATCATCTTCGCCTTAATTCATACTAGAAATAACAGAGAAGAACAGCTACCCAGACCTTAAACAATTACTTCCTTTTGCGAGAATTTTTCTCTCTCTATTTTCATTATTTATATACTTTTATGCCATCTCTCATTTCTTCAATTGAAATACATTGGATAAAAGGTAAACTTGCTTTCTTTATATGCTCTATTGGCTAAAAGGATGCACTTCCACAAGAATCCTTCTTACCTTCTTTGAAATAATTAATCAGAAATGTGGTGAGCACACACCCGATGACTGCATGGGAGGTCCTTGCAAATCAAATGTTTCTATTCATCAAACCTAAGGCTTCGTCTATGGCACTGCATAATGCTAGTACAACAAGCTAACCTGCCTTGACAAAATCGAGCTGCAAAGCAGGTTGGGATGTGTATGAAACCTTAGAAAGTACTGTGTAGGCATTAATTGACAGATATATAGTACATACAGATTTTCAAGGGTATCAAATGACAAACATACCCATGGTAGGTCATCGCTCTAGGTTTCCGAATTCCGTCTTTTAGATTAGGAATGGCGGGTGATCTAGGAAACATAAACAGTCAGAGCCTTTTCTGAACAGTACTTCAATAGCAACTTAAGACAGATAAATCCATGCATCGTTAATTGGATCTTTCCGTTTCCCTTGCATACAAAGTATAACGCCTATGCACAGGACCAGTTGTGTGCACCTTGCCTGAAAAGAATACGATCATAATGCTCTTCTCGGGGTAAAAATTCCCACAATTTTTGCCTAAATTTCTGGATCCATAAAGTGTTTCTCTAACATTGCGTGCTATTCTGATAATCTGCAGAACGAGAGGCTAATTTGAAATTTTTCTAAATTTACGCAGATTACCAAAAGTTCATATTTTGGAAAAGATTGTTAAAAATTTTAACGGTAATGTTGTAATATTGCAGTCTCAAATCCAGTAAGTGAACAAATTATATGTATTTACAACATCTTGTAAAACATTGAATGGCAGTTCAAGATCACTACTAACAATAAAACATGCAGAAAGAAAAGATAAAAGAAACCATGAAACAAAACCCTTGCACTCACTCGTCATTAAAAATACGAGATTCGCCTCTCTTCCGTGGTGGATCAGCTACAAAAGAAGAGTAAGATTTTTTATGACACGTTGTAAGAAGAAACTAGGAGGTTAAGCTTACATACTGTTTCTTACGGATTGGTCAATGATATTAATTTCATAATGCCAAATATACGCCATCATTTCTTACAAAAGCTTTGAAGCCTCTTCGGCCAAAGCACTATTTGCAATAATCATAGAATGAAATTATCTTTTAAAAACAGGTGATCGTGAGCAATGCTATGTAAAACAAGACAGGATGGGAACAAAAACTCATGTTGGCCACCGATGAAAATCGTTTCAAATTTATTCAAGGACAAAAGCCTTAGTTGAGATCAGGGATAGGGTCAGGATCGGGAAGAGGATCATGTAATGCTTATGTACGAGAAACAGTATGTCAAATTGGAGGAAGCAATCACAGACTGTGGGCAACTTCCCAAATGTCTGATCTTCAACTGGAAATAATTCAAAAAACACTGATCATATCTAATAAACCAATTTTTAGTTTTTTCTTATCACTTAATCCGCAAAGGTCTTTCTTATTTTAATTATTATTCAATTTAATAAAAATTTGGAATTTCTTTATCTTTATTGTCGGTATGCTTTGCCTTGCTAACCACACATGAAACAACACGAATAACCCGTTTAAAAATAGGGACGGGGGTTCTTCCTTTCTCCAAAAAGAATGTCCATTTTCAACTTTTTGTAACACAAATCCGAAAAAAAATACCTGTTTACAACTGAGTTGCGAGCATAAACTGTAGCGAGAGCTTTTATGTTGTAAAGACAGTATGATAAGTAGAAGAGGTGCAAAGCATGAGCCTTGTGAAGCTCCAGTTTTAATATAAGTGCCTGCGATGAAGTAAATAAGTTGGTCATTTTCAAGGGCATTGATGCCTCAATGAATAACTGAGTATTATTCGTTCTTGACATCAAACATAAAGAGCTAGTAAAGGTCTTGCGTTACTTAATATTCTAATAGTTTCATCTAGAAAGTTGAGAGCTCACACTAAAGTTAAACGCTTGAACTAATGTTTTACATGTTTTAACGATACATTTAGCCTGTTTATTTCACACTTTTTTTGTTTGTAAGTATGTGCCAATATATGCCAATGGATATAACATCTAGAATTTATATGATACTGAAATTGCCGTGGTCAGATTAAAATATTAAAGCTATCATTCAACATTGGGTCAAATCCGTTTCAAATTTCCTATGATTTGAATATCATAAATTAGTTGATTTAAATTTCCTTGATACGCTACAATCAATTAAATGCAGTGGAGTTTAAGAAGGCGGTGTAATAGCATATTACTTTCTTTGTGCATCCTCCTCTTTGAAGGTTTAGAAGCAAGAATAGAAGCATTGCAGTATCATTTATAATTTAATAGATATAAAACTTTAGTATTACATTTTTACAGGAAGCAGTTAGGCGTGCACTTACAAAGAGAATAATAATTATAAAAGTATGAAAATGTTTATCTGTGCTAGATACTTGAAAATTTATATTGCATTACTATAATTTAAAAAGTTTTTAAAGATTCTATTAATGATAACAGATGCAAAAAGAGCTGAAACAGATAAGTGAGATTTTTAATCAAGGTTGGCCAAACTTTTCATTAGCAAGTTAGTTGATGACCGAGAGCATTGAGAATAATTTAAGTCTAAAGAAGGCAGGAGAAGCCTGTATCTGTTACCAAACTTAGGTTTAAGGGATTTTGAATTTACGATTCTTGATTGATGACTGATTGATGAATTTGAATGTTTCTATTTTACGCTCATTAAACATTATCTTTATGACGTTACGGTTTATTTCTCACACTTTAACAAACACTCTTTTCATTTTTAAATGCCTACTAGTCTTTTATCATGACCGAGATAACCAAAATCTGACAATAGCAACGGGAACGACCATACTTCACAATAACAAAACACACGTGTTATGTCTGGTCTTGGCAAATTTTACCGGTCGCATCCCTAACAAATCTGACTCTCACGAATCCCGATACATTATGATAGTTTTTCTAGCCTTGTAAAATGTGATATACGCAAGCTTCGACCCGATTGAAATAAATTGTTATCTATCGAAGAAAGCATTGCGCAAGATTAAAATTTCTAGCGACCATGTTCGGTGTTTGTGTTTAGGAGAACCTGGTGCAAATACTATATTTAATAACATTTGCACCAGGTAGGAGAACCTGGAGCAAATACTTTTCAAGCCTTCTTTAAAGAATAGGAACCGTTTCTAGCCAAAATATCCCTGTAACTATGGTCGCACATGAGCAAAGCACAATGACCAAAATATAAAATATGATGCACGTTGGAGCACCTGCTTCTTGAATCAAATAACTTCAATATCTCAGGGGAGACTGAAAGACGGTTTCAGGCGATTTACTGTTTTTATGAAGGTACTGATGACATAGACCAGAATTTTATAAGACACATAAAGAAGAATACATTTTGCAAAAAAGAGCAGGGACCTCTTGTCTAGCAAATTAAACTTTCTAAATTTTCGCAATTTAGCCCCCTTGCCTTCCAATCTCTGCATGCTATACACGGACAACTCTTCTTCTTCTTCTTGATATGAGACCTTGTTTTTTCGATCCATTAGCAGGAAATATATCACTCTTTCCAAACTCTCACTGAAAAAGATATAGAGTATTTCTTCTGACAATAAGCTAGATAAAAGATTCATTTAAAAGTAAGGCAGCGGAAGGCAAAAGGGGAGGCAGAACTGCCATATAAAGATTGTGATTTGCTACAATAAAGAACTGTTTCTTAAAAAAAAAATTAACCAGTTCCGAGGCAATGATGAACCGGTTCGTGTGCAATGATAAACTGAATCTGATGCATAAGCAACTTGATACAATGAAGGGAGTCCAGGAAATGGGTTAGGGGATATGACACTATTAACGATATCTGCATCGTTTTGGTTTCTGAGAAATTGTAGAGCCATGGATGCTAAATACAAACAAACTTTTTGTGGATGCTGGTCTTTGGTCACATATTTTGATTCTCACGTCCCTAAAAGAATTACTCTGTTCTATTCTAATTTAATGTCCCATATGGAAGTTTTAATTTAGGAGTCCTTTATGCACGTTTCGACTCCGAAAGCCTCTAATGGGAGTTTTGATTCCTAACGTCCCTTCTGGAAGTTTCAAAGTAGGAGTCCTTTATGCAAGTTTCGTCTCCTAACGTCCCTTACAAAAGTTGTGACTCGTAACGTCCCTTACGGAAGTTTATGCCTGGAAGTTTAACAACAGATTGTGCACTAAGCATTAGAAACGCACAAGGCTATTATTGTAGAATTGAGGTATCAAAGAAGCATAAACTTTATGTATATATATATAAATGGTGAAAATAAATTAGATAAAATTTCCAGAACAGACATACTCTGGTGATAGAAGCCTTTGAATCAAATCCTCCTTATCTTTAAAACATCCCAATGACGTCATGCTGTTGAGTATATCCGGATCCAAATCTCGCTCGTCGTCAATGACTTCAGTCTGAATGAAGTAACGAAAAGCAAAATGTTAAGAGCAAAGTTCTTCTAACACTGCAATAAATCTATCAACAAAAATACTCGCATAAATATACTTGCATGGTACATCAGTGTGTAGAACAAGACATGCCCTAATTTGTAACTCTGAGATTGAAGGGTCATCTCTTTCACAGATAAACGATCACTGTCTTACATAGCTATTTAATATCTTTCATTAAATAGGCTAAGCATCTGTTTCTAGAATGATGAAAAAAATCTGAGCTAATATAGGCCTAGAATGAATAAGTCGTACAAAAAAGAAAAGTTCTGATAAGGCTTCATGATGACCTTCGACTTTCGATCGACGCAAAGCAAAGCAACAAGAGAAGCTTCTGGCATTTTTCTCAATTCAAAGTTGTCAAAAAGACTGATTTATACATATTTATTTGCATTCATGAAAAAGTTCTATAGGTTACCTGAACAACTCTTTGTACCGGCGGTTCTGGGGGCAGATCGTCACTGAAAATGCGACAAAATGCGTCAAATTTTGCAAGAATATAAGTACTAAACACATTTGTCTAAAAATGTCTAAAAATGCCTATGTCTAAAAAAAACCTTGTTTAGCAAGGATCTTCTGCTAAAGTCATGCCATGTTTAGCAAAGATCTCCTCTTTAGAAGTAGCTAAAGTCGTGCTATGTTGAGGAAAGATCTCCCCCTTAAAAAGTAGCTTCAGCCATTGCATGTTTAAATACATGCTCTCTTTAGAAGTAGCTGAAGCCATGGTATGTTGAGACAATGTCTCCTATTTAGAAGTATCTGAAGCCATGTCATGTTTAGCAAAGTTCCTCCCCTAGAACTAGCTGCAGTCGTGCCATGTTGAGAAAAGATATCTCTCTTTGAAGTAGTTGAAGCAATGGTATGTTTAGAAAAAATTACTGGAAGCTGACTCTTTTCGTCAAAAAGACCAAGAAAAATAAAATGAATACCCAGTATTTTGAATTTTCATAATTCCAAAGAATTAACCACTGCATTGAATATAAACATACGTTTAACACGAAGCAAATGTGCAAGCGTTAAAATTTTTGACACCATAAAAGAAACAACAAATTTTTGGAAACAGAACGTACCTTTTCAAGAAACGATGCATTCTCACTTGGCTCATCTGCAATGGAAACATAAGGCAAGTAAGACTGAAGCAATCCAAAAATTTAATAGATAGCAATGAAAAGCAATACATTCTTGTTCTGATCTAATCTTGCGTATCGTTTTAATAAAATGCGAGATTGCGTATAATTTTAAAAAACCAAAAGAGCCACAAACTGGAGACCAACTAGTCTGCTTACTTCACGGTTTCAGCTTTCCAAAAAAATATTAAACCTTGTTTAACGCCTGTTAATAATTGCTAACAAATCCTAGCTAAACGTAGAAATGCTAAAAGGATTACCGTCGGCCTCTCATCAGGGTCAACCTTGATCATTTTCTCAAGCAGATCACGGCAATCGTTTGGTACGAATCCGGGAATCACAAATACTCCTTTCTTCACCTGCAGCAACGAGGAAACAGTTACGAACATCAAACTTTGGAAGAGAAGCAATAGTCGTAACAAACTCTTCGAAGGTTCTTTATTGATTGATAACTGGGGCTGGAAATTCTATATTTGAACTAGAAATGGATGGAAACTGATCAATTAAAGAAGGTGTTTTGTTCCAACTAGCCAGTGATCTCTGACTTTTGATCTTTAACCCACAAGTGTCCTCTAAACTCTGACCTGACAGGAGATTCAAACATGTTGTTGAGGCCGCGATGTTATCAAGTCTTAGCTATCACTGGTGATGGGTGATGACTTTTTTCTATCACTGGATGCAAATAAAGAAAAACAGTTCAGAAATGAGCATATGCGGGCTTTCGCTTGCCTGGCTACTGGCTACTGTCCACAAACATTTAAAATTGAGGATCAACTACTTTTTTTGCATTAGATTCAACTGGAAAACCCTAATGGTTAAATATCTATTTAGACCTTCACAGAAGGGAGCATATTGGTCATTTATTTTACTTCAATCCGTCTCGCGGCATAAAAAGGAGTGACGGAATGCAGGATCAAAATACCTTTTCTAAAAACACCTTTCCCTGCTTGTCTATGTTGTACTGAAATTCTTTTCAAAGAATCAATAACATGAAAATGAAAGGTGGGGAAAAATAAAAGAGCAGAGCTTTAGAAAATGATTGTAGAATGGCAGGAGGCAAATGTGGACATCAACCACAGACCAACCTTCTCCAAAAGATGGCGCAAATTGTCATCGTCGAAAGGGAGACAGCCCTAAAATTTTGACATGGTAAAAATATTTTATTAAAATACAGTAAACCAAAGAAAAGGCTGTTTAGAATACCTGTCAATGAAATCTACAAACTGCAGATCAATACACAGATATTTGTGCAAAAAACACAAAACTTTGGTCTTATTTTAGGGGTGCATTTAGGATTGTAGGATAAAAATTTTCAACATAAATTTCTTAACTATATTAAGTTGTGTTTGCTTCATAATATTGTATTTAGATGATGAATTTGATTGGACTGGCAGGGGTTTCATTAGAAGCCGGCAGCCGGCCAAAGTCCTCCGCTTACTCACCAAATCTTCGCCGCCTACTTTCACCCTTACTTTAGTAAGACTGCACGAACTTTAGTAAACTTATAGACACCTAATTTTAAACAACTTAATATAGTGATCCTTCTACTTAGAAAATTAACGAAGCGCTGGACTGGTGCCTTGCAGACGATGTGTCTCGTAACAATAGAAGGCTCTCGGGATAATGCCCTTAAAAAAGACATAATAAGAGGGAGGCACTAATTGATTGTTGAACATAAGGCGCTTAAAAAAAGAAAGGCAGCCAGTAGCTTTTTAAATTTCTTGGTTTTTCTTTGGAAAGATTCATTGTAATGGATAAACGAAAACAGAGAGATCAATTTATGTAAGAGAAATCTACGGAAGCTGGTTTGGGTTTATCGTATTTGCGCTGCCGGGGCAAACTTGCGAGCAAAGCACTACTTACGACGACTAACGCGTAAAGAATGACACCACAACTCCAAACATCAGCTTTTCGACCGTCGTATTTGTCTCCCTGTTGAAAGAAAATAAAGGATCAAGGTCAGATATATGACAATCTCTAGAACATGACTTATTGCAGAGTGCAGACCATATATAAAGCTTTTGATGTATCAGTTGCGTGTTATGAATGTTTAAAACATAAAATTTTGTAAGCTTGAATAGATTTACTTGCATTTCAGGCATACACTCATATTCTTAAAAGAAATTCGCTACAAGAAAATTAAGTGCTGGGCAACAGGAAAAATTAAGAGAATTCAGTACTCGAAGAAAAAATCTAAGAAACAATTTAATTTAGGAATTTAAATTTTTTCAAAATATTTTTAATACGTTTTTAAGAAGAGGCCTCCTTTGTAATCAGCTCCAGCTGAAAGACAGACCTCCTTAAATGAATTAAAATGGAAATAAAAATGAAACTAAATGAAATAATTTGAGAAACTGAAGACCCTCCCTTATTTTCAACTATAGTACGACCTTGTATGAGTGCAGTGTAGCCCAACTATAAAAATGAGTGTAGCCCTTTATCAGCAAGCATAGCTAAAACATTTAATTTGCAATATAATTTGTACACATAAAAACCTGCTGATGAGAAAAATGAATAGAGTTAGAATTCAAAACAAAAGAGAAGTATTTAGTAACAATACGAAATTTCTTACCCTGACAACCTCTGGAGCAGCGTAATGTGGAGATCTGAGGAAGTTAAATATAGAATAAATATTATCGAATTACAAAATGATATCACTTCACAAAGAAGTTGCCATGATATAAAATAAACAAAAATTGAGCATAATTCTTCATCGAAACGTGGTGACATTATTTAACTTTTCCATGTGAAAAGTTCCATTTTGATTATACCAATGCTGAGCTACATTGAAACTCAAGCCGTAATATGAAGCCACGAACAAAGGTGTTGACAAAATACAGTAGAATTAACATGAGATCTAACAGATACAGTGCCAGGGATCCCACTCAATCATGTAAATGGTGACTAGCTCTGGGAACTGAGAAATTATAAACCACAACGACACTTTTGTTACTGGGATTGGCTGCTACCCTTATTCAATGGAATAAACACTGGCTAGCAAAAGAAGTTCAGAAACAGGAAGAAGGATATATTTTGAAATACTTTGTAACAATGAATGCTGTAGTTTAAAAAAAAGAATTGTTAAGTTAGTTATTTTAATAATTTTGAGCCAACTTGGAATATAGTAGTTATGAAATTCTTATCATATACCAACTACCTGACGGCTCAAAAGCTAAACATCAGGTCGAAAATTTGAAATATTTCGGGTAAAGAGGTTATTATTTCTACGAAAGACAGCTGGATCAAAGGAACCTGATATAAAACCATCAAAGCAACCAAAAACAACTGTCTGGTTTCTAACAGAACCTTTCGCGTCCACAAAAGAATTCCAGCTACTCCACCCATAACAAATGTTTTTCTCATTGATTTCTATGGAAGGTTTTGGCTAAAGGTTAAAAATCTCGATAGCAACTACAGCTCGTAGTTTGTCGACGAAAGTGACAAAAACCTATAAAGATGGGGAGTCACCAACGAACATTTTCGAGCATACGTTACCGATACAGATGGTTTTGTGCTCTAGCTGGTTGCAACTGTCAGAAATTTGATCTGAGCTAATGATTTTAACCTCAAGATTCTTGGTTTCAATCAGTAACAGAAGCCTGTTCCCAGCGAGTGGCCACAAACTATAATCTTAGACATTAGCTAAATGCACAAAGTCCCTAATATCTTGCCAAAAATAAAAAAATTTAACGCTTTCGCTTTATTAGGGCTCTCAAAAAACTGTTAGTCCATCTCAAGAAACCTATTAATTATGCATAAACAGCAAATATCTAATTTCCTTTAGCGGTTCTAATTGCTATGTAGAAATCAAAACACGAGTTCCTTTGATATCGGGCCATCTTTATGCAAAATTGTGAGATTTGTGGTTAACGCTTTAAAGTGCTTTGAAGATAATAGAAATTATGTTTGTTCTAGATGCATTAAGTTTTCATGCGAGCAAGACTTAAAAAAAGAGAAGAGTTTTTGCTATGACGTTGTACTGCTAGTATATAAAATAAGAGGCATGTGGGGAAATTTTGATTTAACACTGTTCGGCATTATGCAATGCAGTAGAAGTTTTTTTCGATTTGTAGATTAACTATCAGTTACAATCCGAGTTGGCTTTAACGTACGTACCCACAGCTTGTTTCCAGCATACTGTTGAATGGCTGGAAGAGAGAATAAGAATCAGCACAAGCTTGTTTTGGAGACCAAATAGACTACCAAATATGGTTCTGAAACGATCTTAGGCAAAAATGAATTAGAAATGACACAGGGTAGCGATGGGTGAAATATAACTGAATGAAAATTATCGCGACAAAGAATTGCCTGCCACACTGTCAACGTGTTCATGTAACGTCTTATTTGCTTCCAAAGTGCAGTAATTATGTGTCAATGGGTCTCATTCTGCAGTTTCACATTATTGTTTAATGCTACGAGACTCCCAGTATCGAATATCAGATTTTCTAGCTTTTCAAATGTAGGTCCGGCATCTCGCACAGAAAACCTATTATGGAAAAAAGTGCTTATGCTTTCATCTGTTCCTTGTCATCCATGCTCTCTATTCATTTGGGGTAATTTTTCGCCTAAAATCTTTGATAAGGCAGTAGAAACGAGAATAAGATAGCAGCATCATTCGAGTTTCTTAGCCTCGCCTCGTTATTAGTTGCAGACAAACAAAACAATGACTCATCCAACAATTCCAGGTATGAAACTTGAGATATCTTACGCCAACCTACATCTATAGTTGTACATTCGCCATAACGCCCCATAGCTATGCTTGGCTAGTAAACATGCAATTTGGAGATTCTCTTCAATGATAAGCAGCTGTACCAATCATAAAAAAGCTTATCGAAAAACCAACGATCCATAACGTTTTAAACGCGGCTGGGTGAAAACCAAACATTTTAACTTTTGATTATTTATAACTATTTATCAACAAAATCTTCAGGCGTTGCATTATGATTGGAAAATTTAAAACCGACGCGTGGGCAGTGTAAGCAGTCTTTATCTCGGTGTATTTTGACGATTTTCTGAAATAATATTAACAAAAACAAACACCCTGTTTTAAGGAAGCCCGTGCTTAAAAAATAAGTAAAAAAGTGCTCTTTCATTCGTTCAAGCTCACAACCTGAAATTCAATATTTCTGTTTCAACAGCGCATATTTCATTGAAAAGATCCAGGCTTAAATTTGATTTCGACTGAATAATTATGCCAAATTTTAAATGAAGATCGCCGATTTCTTCAATCTGGCGAGTAGTGAAGTAACAACTGTCGAAAAAGACAGTTTAATTGCTAGCTGATGCTTTCGAATTCAGTTGTGGAATTGAGAGCGGGAAATCACAGGGAGGCCTGTTTCTGATTATGTGACGAGCTATTGTCGAAATGTATAGGGATTTATTGTTGACATGTATAGACACCTATTTGGAGATCCAGGCTCTGAAACTGAATACATGAAAGAAAAACTAAGTGAACCAAAAATATCGGGTAACATAAAACTGGTGTCAGATCACTCACTTGAACAGATGCCATGCCAAAATCGGCTATTTTTACGTTCTTTTTGTTATCCAAGAGGAGATTCTCCGGTTTCAAGTCTCGGTGGCTGAAAATATGTAGCAAACATAATCGATAAGTTTCGATTTTCAATAAGTGAGTCAAGCTGCGTTTACTGCTCTACCTTAACGCCCTAGAAAACTCGTCATACCCTAATACAGACTTGCATAATGTTCAGATCTAAATCCGACAATTAAAATGAAACCCAGTGCAAAACATTAGTCTGAGCAACAATGGCATGGTTTTAGCGTTTTATGGTTTCCTTAAAAGCTTCACCGTATCTTCAACAATCAACAGGCTAATTCAGGAATCTCACTTACCAAATGAGATGCTGGTGACAAAAGTCAACAGCTGAGACGATTTGTCTGTAAAACCTTCGGGCCTGAAAAGCGACAGTTTGCATGTCATAATATGTACCTCTGAGATATTGTTTGCTTTATCAAAACAGGGCATCGGATTATTTTCGAAAAATGCCAGCCTAAAAACAACTTCTTCTCAAAAACTTTTAACACTTGACAAACAATTTCAAGGTGAAACTTAAAACTTCGAAGCGAAACTTGCCGATAGAAAATTCGATACAAATCAAACAGCAGACATCATTGAATGAAATCCAGCATTCACTAATATCATAAACAGAGATCTTTCTCTAAACCAAAACAGTGCCCAAGGGACCTACCTCTCCAGACTGCAGTCGTTTTCGTTTCACTAGATATTCGAACAGCTCCCCACCTCCAACATATTCAAGAACAAGATACCTAGAGTTTCAAAAAACAAATAAAGAGTTTTCAAAACAGCAAATCAACTCAACATAGCCACAAATGTCTGGATGTAATCTTCTGGTTCAAGGTCTTTAAGTTGCACTGTAATTATGAAAAAAATTTTGTACATAATTTTAAAAAAACCTGTTCAAACGATGCAAAAAACATTAACAATCAAAATGAAAATTTAGAGCCTCTGTATAGTTTTCTCTTCACAGTTACTCTAGATTTGACAGAAGAATGTAAATTTGGAAACTTGAATGAAAGATCTCCTGCCCAAAACGGCAAACAAATTTTATAATCTGTAAATGATCTGTAAACCAGTCAACAAATTTTATAGTTATTTTATATGACCAACCAGCTTCAAACAAACAAAAGAAAAACAAGATATTTCAATCATATTGAAAACTTTATAAAAGATGGGAAGCTTTACAGCTGCAACCAAACAGGATGTTACTACTGGATATTGCGCAAAAATATGCTCACTTCCTTGGGATCCTCAGGAAAATTTGACAGAAATATTGAGGTCTAGTTGCAAAAAAATTTGGCAAGTCTAAAATTGCAATTATTGGAATCATTTTTAGACAGCACAGTTTAAAAGTTGAAATGGAGTCAATCAGTTTACTGAAAAATAAAAACAACAGAAAATAATAACTTACAAGTTTTTTTTGTTTTCATAAACATCATAAAGTCCCAAAATATTGGGATGGTTAATCAATTTCATAATTGCAATTTCTCTTTCCACCTGCAAAAAAAGAATTCAGCTCAGTTGCAATTTACTGCCTTATTTGCTATGAATCAAATCCTCAGACAAATTTATTGGTGATTCAAGGGCAATTTGTAGCACAGAGGAGTAGTCAACCAGAAATATTTTACTTGAATAATCTAGACTTCTGCAAAGTTTCCAATGCAATAATCAAGATGAGGGAAATTGATCCATTTAAAATTACAAAATGTCCTATCAGTAGGTCCTTGAAATTTATTGCAAACTGTTTGATCAAATGAATAATGGAGATAAAAAAGCAAACAAAAGGTACTTGAAGGTGAAAATTCCTTTTGTTATCTAATCTATAAAAGACAATCTTTTTCTCCAATTTCTTACAATTTTTCAGCCTAAAATGTTCCTTCCAGCATTTAGGGAGCTACCTGCAGCCTCTTGATAATACTGCAGAATCAACTCACAGAGGTTGCCAATGTAGCCATAGGTAGGTAAGGTTTACCTGAGAAACCTGAAAATAGCTTGTTATTTTTTTGTTAGCTTATTGCTAACAGATCGTACCTTCTGCAGAATATGAGGTGCCAACTTGGTACGGTCAATAATCTTAATGGCAACTTTCTTTTTTGATACAGTATGCACTCCAAGTTTAACAACACCTGAAGATGAAGAAAGATTGATCAAACTTAAGAAAAGCTTCAGAATCTGAAATCTGATGCATACACATTCAAAATATCCTTTTTCATTGCTATTGAAAACAAAAAAGTAGAAAAAGCGAATGAATACAAAAACAATGTAAATGTGTAGAAGATTGCATGGACCATCACTAATGAATAAAACTTCTAATGTCTAAAAAACTATGAACACAGTTAGTCTGGCTGGTTATTGATGATTAAGCTGACCACTAAATCTTATTGGACCTTCAGCAAGTAGATTACGGTAAGCATTCCATAGCTTAAGGTTCCAAAGTTTTGAATTATTCTATCTTTTAAAAGACAATACAATGATTATATAAATAATAAACTTGCCATTAAGAATTCATAGCAAAAGATTTTTGCTAATCAGATTGCTTTTATCCAGACATTAGAGTGGTTTATCAATTATTCACCATTAGACTATGCTAAAGAAGGAAAAATACCACCAAACTGTTGATTACCTTAGCAATGTTGTCAATATTGACAAAAAGAGAGATCTGTGTAATTGGTTTTGTGGATTAAAGAGAGTAGTTTGGAATTCAGAAAAGCGAATTCTGATAATTGATTTTGCCATTCAATGAACATCTCAAATTTAATGGTTTAAAAAATTTTGTCTTCTAAATTTCCTTTCAAGTAAAAGTTTATTGGAAGCAGAACAATTCATGTTTGGAACATTACATTGAGGATCACAAAAGGTTTACTCTTGTACATGGGTGATTTCTAAAAGTTTAACAAGGGGGGCTCCAGGGACCATTTCATAAGAAATTGTGTTGTTTTGTTTGAACATGCCCATCTTTTCATAAGTGCAAATAAAACATCCAAAGCTTAAGCAAGCCTATACTTTTTACAACAGTTTCTTCTAAAGCAATGCTGCTTAAGGAGACAATGGAAAAGAAGATTGGTCAATACAGCAATGTAGCTTCAAAGAAATAGACAAAAAAAGTGCCTGGGATAAGATAATTTGTGTGAACACTACACCTCAGTCTTTGCAACAATAGCAAATCTATATGTTTTAAGGGTAAATTTTTGAAAGCAAGATCAATGGAGAATTGTTTGAGGGGGGGGGGGCTGAGCCCTCTAGAATCAAAGAAAATTTAACAAGGGGTTCCACCCCTTGCACACCTTGGCAATCACCACTGACCCTGTACTTTAAACTTATAAACATATAATAAAAGTAATGAAAGCCAAACTCCCCTAACTTCTATATACAATGGGGAAAACAAAAGGTAGGCTATTCATAGCTGAATTGGAAGGAGCTTGACAGAACTCAGACTTATCAACTTTTCCAGTTTTGCCAAGGGCTAAAGGTTTTTCTTGCTTTCTCCTGGTTGCTTGATTTTAAAAAATTGTCTCCCTGTTTCTTCTTTCCGTTTACCAAAGGTTACTTTATAGAACAAAGATTAAAATAACTTTCTTAAGACCATAATTTTTAAAACCTTTAGGTTGGCAGGTCTGCAGAACTGTAGTAACTAACCTTTGACTCAATGGCATTTGTTACCTTTAAATCTAACTCAATTAAGCAAAAAGTAGGGTGCTCTTTGCTATGGAAATACAACTAGGTTAACTGGCAGGGAATTGATAAAAAGTGCTTTAACAGATAGAAAGATGTCCTTATGAAAGAAAGGTTTATGCTCCATTTCTCTAGATAGTTTGATGCTGATATGATTAAATTTCTAGGGAAAATGTTGGCCATAGATTAGAACAGGACACAAAACAAGAGTTAAGCAGTAAAAATATAAGTGATTCTAAGGCCAAATTTTCAAAGGCATAGCCCATTGTGACTAGAGCAGTTGCGTGGAACTAATGCAATGCCTATCCTGCCCCTATCAAGAGCTGCTGGCTTCAGCTTCAAGCCTACCACTAAAAATTACGAGGGTGGGGGCTGCAGCTCCCAATACTTGTCAACATTTGAATTTGATGGAGCTGCTCTAAAATGGTAGAAATTCGCTGCCTTTTGTGAGATTAGAACTGCTCAGATGGAGTGTGTTTGTTGGTGGTCCAGTGAAACAGATAATTAGGGGTGCAGTAACTGGCTGAGCAGGGTGGACAAGAGCTTCAAATATAAAGTTCAGTATTAATTGGATGTAATATGTGTTCATTTTGATTCTGTTGAGAATTTCATCTGTTAACTCCAAAAAATGTAGGCCCCACTACACTCATTCTGACAGGCATTGACACAACAATGTGTTGATAGATTAATCCCCATTTCTCAGCCCATTGTTGTATTTCAAAAACTGGAATAAGCTATGTACTAGAGAGAGATACTTTTTCAAGCAGACATTTTGTCACAGCAGTGGTGTGGCTCTTCAGTGCACTCAAGCTGGTGGAAATTTGAGCTGCCTGTGTGTATAATTTTATTACTTTTCATCTAGCATACAGAGTGGGAACATTGAAAATACGCTAAAAAGCAAAATAACTAGAATATTGATACCCAGGTTGCCAATTATTAAAGAAAAACCATTAGGAGAAAATAATAGCTAATTGATATAACTGCGAGTTGCTTGAAAAAGAAACTTAGTGCATAAAGTCTTTTCCAGGAGAAAAGAAAGAAAAACAGCTCTGAATTATTTCAGAAACCCTTCTTGAAGAATCTTTGAAATGAAGCTTCCAAAAACTATTCATTAATCATTTCAGGGGAAAAGGCAATATTTGTGTTATTCAGGAAACATTAAAGAAAGAGCTTTGCTCTAGACAACTTTTCTAATACGGCAGACGACCCTTGTGTTGTAAGCGTAACTCGCATCATGCCCATGTTCTAGGTAACATTGTCGTTTGGTTTACTTGAAAAGACTAGCTGCATCGTTAATTATCTACAAGTGGAGACATTTCAACTTGTTAGCGGCTTGTTCAATCACTTAAGATAATCCCTAACACTTGGTTACGATCCTTGGCTTCGGCTTCACTCATGCAACGATAAAGCAAAAGCCTGAAATATTATTCAAAGGGAGCAAAAATAAACTTTACTGGCAGTTGAATGGAATTAAAGTTCCGCGCATTTAGATTCAGTTACAGACCCAGTTACTCCGTTATTCGCAAGCATCCGATTAAAAAGACAAAAAGCGTCTAGCAAAATATTTTCGTTAAATGGGAGATAAAATTCTCCTTACCCGTTTGCCCTTTGCCAAGAACATTCTGCAACAAATATGGACCGACAAAAGGCGTTTCTTGCATTCTTTCTGCCATGCTTCAAAACAAAGTGTTTCAAGCACGCATGAGAGCTTCCAGCATCTTTCTTTGACGGTTGTGATTACTCCTCAGCATGCAAAACATCCATGATGAGGTTTACTTCAGGCCGATTTGCTCCAGGATTAATTACAAATAAGTCATTTTTGCAAAGTAACAGAAAGATGCCAAATACACGGTTTCTGTGAATACAGTTGTATCTGCTAAGTGCAAGGGTTACTTCCTTTTCACTGTCAACCAAGGCATTTTGTCACAGCTAAACAGCTGGACTTTCCATCATCACAAAGCTTCCTCGCCTTTCTGTCAACAATGATTGTTTGTGTTTTTGGTCTGCTTTCAGGTGATTGTGAAGGCGCACAAATGCGTCACAACACAGCATCAGCGACATCTGCAATAATTCTTTCCTCTGTGCACTATGCAAGAGCTTATTCAATTATCAATGTTCTCCAAAATCAGAAGAAAATTTAAATTAATAACGTTCGATAAATTCGCTGTTGGGCCTGGGCGTAGGAAAAAGCTCACAAGTTTAAAATACAATTGACATTTGGACTTACTTATTGTTCTAATTTTTGAAATTTCTAGAAATTGTATTTTATGTCAGTATATTGTAATTAATATTTGTGTTTGCTGATAAAGGTTTTGAGTTTGAGTTTAATTCTGAATTAACAAGCAGGTACCTTAGGGCCAAATCTTTTCAGAAATTGAATTTCTTAAGACAACATTATTCTTTTTAATCGTTTACGAGCTTCGTTGTCAAGGAAATGATTAAAATGGTTAGCAACCTATTGTTGTCAAGGCAGTTTCCTCTGGTTTTTTTTCCATATGCTCTCTCGGCAAGCTGAGCCTACAAAAATATTCTCATTTGCAATAATAATAAATAGCATTATGTTTTTTCACCAACAGTGATAAATCTTGATGTATTGTCACGTCAACAAATCTATATTGTCAGTAGCGGACCAAAGTTTCCTCTCCGTATTAATTTATCGATGACACCTGCGCATGTAGCTGCGATTTTCATCGAGAGAAAAACTGAAAGAAACAAGTTACGCAACAGTAAAGTACAATGACTGACTATTTTTGTGCTGACCAAGACTGACTATTTTTGGCTGAATGAGCTCTTGCTGAATACAGTCTCGTTTTGGTATCTATTTGATAACGTCATTGGATAACGTCAATGATCTTTTTTATAGATCATTGGATAACGTCAATGATATAGCAGCGCCATCATGTACCAATCCTCTTAACCTCTCTTCCGGTCATTCTGATTCATTGTTTGATTTGTATATGTTCGAGAAAAAAAAACCAAGGAAAATGATGAAGGAAAACACAAAAGTTTCAGACGCTTTTGTGCATTGCATGGGAGCAACTAAACTTAAGATGAGTGAGGCTTCTCGCGATTAAGCAGCGGTATTATCTTACTGTAATGACTGGAGAGCTCTTCAAATGCTTCAGTTTTCTGTCAGAACACAAAACAGAACAATGCTCTTTGCTTCGAAATGCTGCTGATCTGTTTTTCGCTTGAATGCAACCGCCTATCTGCTGGCAGTTTCGTCGTCTATTGCAAACTGCGTCATTGCTTATGCTAGACTCCATTGATTTGAATGCATCTAGGTCACGGCATCAAATGTAGTTGTTTATTGTGGTTTTTGGTTAATCTACAGACATGCAATAAGAGATACCTCACCAGTGTGCCCCATGTTTACGTTTCGCTTTCACGAAAATCATGCGCAACGCAGAACGGTTAGGCCAACGAACCGAAAGGAGGAAATTGCAAACAAAAGAATTCTAGGTAACATGCCAAAGATACCTCATTTGCTTTCCCTTCTGTCCCTAAAGATAAACCGCTACAGCTTTCCATTTCAGTTTGGTTCGTTAATTCGCTTCTTGGGTAGTTTTCTTCAAATACCGTCCGTTGCGTGACAATATATTTTGCATATTATATTTTAAAACTAAGAACCCACGGAGGCACAGATACAACAGCTTCTTTCTTTATATTATATATCTCCATAAAAAACTAGTACACATACAATGCACATACAATACTTAATCAAGTAATATTGATAAAAAAGATTCTATTGTAAGTGCGGAGATACCACTTCTAATTTCCAATTTGAAAAGTTAGTCTTGCGTCAGACTGACTAAAATTATAAAGGAAGCGTCACGGACCAATCAGGGAACATCTACATCTTAACAAGCACATCTGTTTGTTTTCGTTTGCTATTGGATTATTTCATAAATCAAACTGATTACTACTCTTTTCGAATTTCGCTAGGCTTTATCATACACCAACTGATACAAGTTAGACTCTATTCCCTAAAAAGAAACTAATATCCAATTCAGGCTTCTTAAAAGATTATACTTCTCCAAGGTCATAAACTTATCATATTTTTTGTCACAGAAAAACGCCAGGAAACCAACATTTATAAAATTTTAACTAATTCACCATACTCAATAAAAAAGAAATTTGCCTCTCGTGTATTAAGGCTTTAATCACCAACCGGTAAAGTGAATGACACAGGTCTAAAGTAGAGATCTGCAGAGAAAGAACATCACAAAACAACTCTAACTATGAAAAATCAGTTAAATCTGTTCGAAATTGACTGAGATATGGCCAGTGGGAGACATAAGTTTTGTTAATGGATTGGCCTAGTTCACAGATGTTAGAACTAGGACCAAATTACAGTGATATGATGGGGCAAGAGCCCGGGCGTATGAGACAATATCTCAGCAGATTTGCAAAAGATTCAACTAATATCGCACATCAAGAGGTATCTCGTGGGGTTCTTATAGCTTATGACGTCATAATCCTAAGATTCGAAGAATGTATTTTGTGGATGACGTCACTTTGTCCCTCTATTATGCCAAAAATAGATTCGATTATCATCCAGTCAAAATGTCTGATCCAAAACCTCTGTGATCTCTTATCACCAAAGGCTACTTGCGCATGTCTAAATTGAAATGAGCTGCTTCTTAATTCCATAATAGGCCTTTGAGGCCAGGTCATCCATTATAACCTGTAACTGCAAATGAGCGTGCTGCAGTTAATGTCTTAGTTTGTCTAAATGTATGTATAATGTGTGCACTCGAAGTAGAATTCGGAAGAAGACAATTCCCTGATTGGCTATGAGCTGGGCGAAGGCTTGGTTATCAAAACGATATATCAAAGACCTTCATTGTGCAATTTCCAGAGGAAGCTGCGATGGAAGCACAATCTAGGACTCTTCGGCCGATTATCCAAAGACGGAGCTCAATGCTCAATCTACTTGGCTGCAACAGTATGTCGTGTACTGACAAATGGCTACTCTAGCTAATCGGGATCTCTGTTGTTCATTTTTTTCTGATTTTCTCTCTCCAGTTGCCTTTTATTTCTTCAAAGTTTGGATTGTAAGAGGCACGGCCGCTGAAAAATAGGAAAAAAGATTAATGAACATGGATACAAATTGAAAGCCGAAACAGTCGATTGTCAGTCGATTGAAGAAATATCTAGTCAAGTATTTGATAAGTTTATAAATACTACTTTAGTGTGACGAACAGGAGGGTTCTAAGTGGCAAGCATAAATGCGATCTAGTGTGTACAGCTTTGTCGATACGGCATCGAGCACTACACAATGAAACAGTAATCTTCATTAAATGAACTTCTGCACATGATATTTTTGTTATTGGCAATATCATAGATAGTTGAGTGCAAGATACACAAATATAAACACGATTATGCAGTAAACAAACACAGTCCTTATCGTGAATCTTATATGAAATATTAACGGGAAAACCTAATAAACTATAGAATAATGAACCGTTCACAACAGAAGGATAAATGATTAACACAAAACGCTGCTTTCGAAATTCATTCGCAGCGGTCCAGCATATCTGAGAAGAAAGGGACAATGTGAGCATTTCTCCTTCATAAACAATCTATTTAAATGTAAACCATTCAAAACCAGAACTGCCAACTCCAAAGCAGCTTACAACTCAACATACCTGTCGATCTGCGCTCTCTTCCATTCCTCAATTCTCTTTAAAGCTGCTCTTTCGGGGTCCTCATCTTCACTCGATTCTTCCATCATCTCTTCGTCAGCTTTTTGCTTAACTTGCTGCCATTTTTGTACTAACGATGACACCGTTTTCAGTTTCTTTGATGGCAGACTTCCAGAAGCCAATTTTTTCTAAGAGAAAATAAACACGAATTGGCCTTGATTAATTAGGCTACCCATTTGAGGGGAGCATGAAAAAACCGGGACTTGATGATATCTAGCCCTACTTTAAATAATCTTCTAATTAAAAGCTGATAAGGCGTTATTTCAATAGCTTTATTTTCAAAAATTTTGTGGGAAAACAAAATAAGGGATATTATTTCTTAGAAATTTGAGAGACAACCCTAATCTGCATCGAAAATTTAATGCACTGCAATGCAAAACTCTTTTATAGCAACAGAGGGGGTTTGGTCTTCTTGGGTGCTCGAAACCGCAGATACATGCCCACAAGAGCTAATCGGTATTCGTATGAAAGGCAGCATCTCCAAAATCAAAGACAGGCCAACATGAGATAAATGTGACGGGGACTTAAGCACTGGACAAAGGCCGTCTCAAGACTGAGGTATTATTCAAGGATTACGAGCTACTTTCAAGTCTTTTTGATGCACTAATCATGGATTCAAGTTCGTTAATAGAAATGGAAATACCTTGGATTCTGACTTAACAGCACTGTTCAAGCTGATCTTAAGCTACCGAGTCTTTAGAATTATTGAGGATTTTTCGTGACTAGTTCTAAGCTCCCAGGTTGATCCATTTGGTACATCACGCAACATTTTAGTCTATTTTTCTAAATTTCCAGCCTCTATTGTGAACAACAGAACCATAAAAAAGGCGATTAATTCAAATATGCATGACCACATGGTCGACCTGCTTTGTTAGTTCCTCGAAATTTGTACATAACCCGAAAGCTTGTTCGCTGTGCCTCAAGAAGTAAAGCTTGACATTAACAAGTCAACTGAAAGTATATACACACGAACCCTTTTCTCCTTCTTCTTTTTCTCTTGTTTCACCTGACTGATATTTGTGCTGACTTGCGATGCTATTTGATGAGCCTAGAATGTGGGACAGTCCAACATTAACGAGGGAATCTTAATTGCTTTAACACAAACCTCCTTGATGGTCGTTTCAAACAGGGATTAAAAATCTGAAAATTCATAGTGTGGGACAAAAAAAGCATGCGTGATGGCTTTTTGGAATGCAAGTATTACAAAGCGTGTACTTCTGCAACAATATTGTTTGTCAAATGCGCTTTATTTTGTTTAAAACATGGGTACATTTAGCAGAAAATGGTGTTTAAACGGCAGGAAAGAGCAAATCCATCGTAATTGATCAGCTACCACAGTGGACAAAACAGGTGCCTATTGAACGGGCGTAGAAGTAGCAACAAGTTGCTCAATTAAAAGTGTGTCGTAAAAATTACCTGAAGGTCTGTTGTAGATTGTACCAAAAACGTATTTTGTTGATATAATTAAAAAATCTAACCAAAAAACATTGATGTTGACAGCAATATTTTTGAAACGGTGCCTGTTGGTTACAGGCAATCTTCAACAAAACACACAACTGCCAAAATTACACGAACCAAAATATCTTTTCATCTGATACACTTATCATTCTTTTTAAATACCATCACTACTGCTCTTTACCCCCCAAACATTGTCGATAGATTTAGGAACTAAGAGACAAGTCACGTGAAACAAGATTCGAACAATAAACGACATTTGAAGCCAATCAACTTAATCTAAAGGTTGAGGAGAGAGAAAGAGTTGAATGCAACCTTGCAAATCTATGTTAGTGATCCAAAGGCAGGAATGGTTCGTACCTGCAAAGAATGTGAAACCAAAAGTGCAGAGTCACTAGCCACCCGTGGCATGCTTGATAACTGTGCCGCTGCTTTGACTGTGGTAGCAGCGACAATATAACCTGCATCACCGGATTTCATCAGCTCTGCTGGAACGAGGGATCTTGTCGTTGAAGGAACTGGCTGGGAAGCAGGGACTGGCAAACTTTGAGGCAATGGACTACGAGAAAAGGCAATTATTGTTTTTACTTGCTTTCAGGGATCTGGGGAAAATATTCGACAACTTGTACCTTAAAATAATAGTATTACCCGGCCTTAACTGAAGATGTGTTTTGCCAAAAGTTACTCCACGTGTAATTGAAACTAAATGGAATCGTAATGGGGCTTATGGAGCAATGACAAAACGAATGACTAAGTGGAGGCTTAACAAAAGTCAGAACTTCATAAATAGAGTGGCATTGCAAAGTAAAATTCAAGCATAATAAATCAAATGAAAAACTGTTACAATGGCGACACTGACGTCTTTGCACGATGCAATCTGACGCTCATGCTGTAAACACCCCTTTTGAATTGAGACGTAATTTCTAGTAAAGAAAAATTCCTTACAAAAAAGAAGATCTCTGTATCTATAGAATGGCAAATTCATCTATATGCTCAGAATAAATATGAAAATACAGACAAATTGGACAGCAATACTTCATAGTATACCATTCCCAAATCTAACATTTTCACGAAAAACAATTAAATAAGGTCGTGAGGTGAAGGGATAAGCGATAAAGAATCGATTAAGATTATGATAGTTTTACCAACAGAAACGTTTACAAACAGTTACAGATATTCCCAGAGCAGTTTTGGATATTTTTAAAGGCATTTGACATGCATAAGAACAGCGAATCCAAAAATAACTTGATCAGAGCACGCGCACAAGAAAGGAATTAGAAACTGCTCACGTGAAACCACTGCGCGCCGCTCTAGGATTTCACCGATTTGCAGAAAGTTGGAAACTGTTCACATGTTCTTCTCTATGCGCAATTTGATCGGTCAACCGTTCGTGGTTGAGTGGCCACTTTTACCTGTGTCAAATGCCTTTAATGGAAACGTTTTAATAAGAAACGACTATCCACGGTGCACAGAAAGAGTTAAGAAATAATAACTGCACGGGTTCATAAGTATCTGAATTTATACATGGCTATATAAATGGCATTGCATTCAGCTCCCCTTCGTTATAGAAGAATTGTTACCTAGATGTTCCACTTCTATTTCCGTCTTCCCAGGGGTTGGCAAAAGAATCTTCGTCTTCTCCAGGAGGCAACGGAGGGTCAGTGGATGCTGTCGGCACTGAAAAGATTTGCATAACCATTAAATCTTTGTCTGATGATTTCAGTATTTGTTGCAACAATTAGCAGTTTTATTAACCAAGGTGGCTGCTTGTTAGGCTAAAATAAACTGACAATACACTCATCTTTTTAAGAAACAAATAACTTAATTTTAAGAAACTTAATTGTTTGTTGATCTCAGAGCTAAAAGTTTATTAAAAGTTTCCCAAAAAACCAAATGCTAGAGAGCTACATCTTAGAAACACAGAAACGAAACATAAGTTTACATAAAAACACCTAGTGAGTCACAAGAAACTCTTTATTCTACTTATCTACATAAACTAAACAATAAATGGTGTCTAATCGTTAAAAAGAAAGATCTTTCTTGCAGATTCTTAAGGTTGAGGGTGATCAGTACTATGGTATGCGGAATTTGGCAATCTGTGGACTTGGTTTCTTATAGACGGTTTTCTATAAACAATGAGTGCAGTGCATAAAGAAAAACCAGAATGTTGCCGCTAAACCAACAACGAACTTATGAGTGCAGCATTAATGAAACTAATGAGAAATCCACAAATAGTAATATGGAGAAAGTCGCTTTGCAATTTATTGTGTCTAAGAAATAACAACAAGGAATATTTTGCATTTTACCTGGCGACGGTGGAAGTGCTGCTTCCGGTTTCTTAGAAGAACTGCGGTAAGGGTCGCGATATGGGTCTGAAAATAGAAGGAAACGAAAATATAGCAAACACGTGATAATGTTAAATCATATGAAAATATGTTACAAGGACTTAGCTGATATCACAGTTATATTAAAGGGAAGATAAAAGAACATACCTTTCAAGTGGGAAATAATAAGTCGAGATTTTATACAATAATAGAATGAATTGCAGATCAAAGCTGGCACACAAGGGTCATACAATAATACGCTTATAGGGTAATACGCTCCTTACCAGCGACTTTTCCTTCGAGTTTTTCAGTTATTGCCTTGGCTTCTTCCTTCTTCTCGTTCTCGACTATATAGAGAGAGAGTGTGTGTTAAACACCATCAACAACATAAAATGGAACAGTTTTGGTGTTCCAAAAGACGGTTGGTTCTTTTAAGAAGAAAGCAATTTGGTGTTTTACTTCGGTTTAAAGTAATTCTTTCTAACTGAGTTGCCGAGTCGCTTCGAAAAAATCATTAATACAGAGTATGTACGTTATACAATGGCCAAGAAAATGACAAAGGTGTTATATTTTTGTTATTATTATTATTGCTATTATTTTTGTCTGGAATGCAGTTAGTGATTATCATTGCTTTGTTTACAAAATGATTAATATCTGTGTACATACTTTACATAAAGAAAGCAAGAAAGAATGATCAAATGTTCGATACACAATTAAATGTTGATAGAGGATAATCGCCTCGGGTTTATTTTCTATTTCATGCTTCTGGCATAGGATTCATGTTTTGCTGCAAATAGTCTCTAAATTTTTGCTAATATTCCTCCGCAAAGATTTCTTGTTGCCAGGGTATGAGAAAAAGCAAGGTAAAAAATTGCATGATTAAAAGTTTTCTAATGTCTTTAACAAAAATCTTGAAATTAAATCATTACTTAGATCAGATCTCCACATCATCATGTTCGTTCTGCCGTAGCCATAATTCTCCAATGGCGCTGCAGATGGCGCTGTCGGTGCGGGTGGGCTCTCTGATGTAGCAGCACTGTACGCGAGCGCGTTTTTGCCGTGCCCAGCACCAGTGTCTTGAGCGGTGCTTGCCGGATAGCTCCACGTTGACTCTCCAGTTTCTTCATTATAATAATAGTACATTCCATATTCGCTGTTATAAGAAATATTCATAAATGAGCAAATGCCACTAGAAATACGGTAACTGGATAATCACGTTGGTGACGTAAATAGAGCTTTGGCATTTTTAGAAATAATTCAGAAAAGAATCAAAATATCAGAATTGTCATGTTAGAATAGATGACATCCTTACCTCATAAAAATCGAATAAAATTTCTACGGATTAGTAGACCCTTCCTTTTTCATTTAGCAATGGTCTTCTTAAGAAATAAGGAACAAATACCATTCTAAAGCTCGTTTCATTGCGCTTTAAGCATACAGAGCCCAGAAAGCATAGCGATGATACCACCAACAACCACAAGGAAGGCCAGTGAAAAAGTGGTTTTCTATGGGTGATTTTAAAGAGCTCAAGAGTATTGCCCAGAGGAAGAAACCCTTTCTAACTAGCCTGCGTCACAGATCATCATCATCACTCTCCTCCTTGGTGGTGATGGTCTGTGACGCAGGCTGTTTCTAACTGGCTTTCTAAGGATGATTTTTAAGAGCTCAAAGGTGTTAAAGCCCAGAGAGCCCAGAAGAAGGACAAATTCTTCTTAATTGTTTTTCCAAGGATGATTTTTAAGGCTGAAGGAAATTGCCCAGAGGAAGATTAAATACTTTTCTGGACTCTGTAAGCAATACTTACCACCGTTGACAATGCCAGTGGTACTTACCAAACATCCTTAATAGTCCGGCGCTTTGCTCGTTCTATTCCAACATTTCTGCCATCTTCTGAATCACACATGGATCTGAACTGAGGTACTAAAACTACAGGGGTACCTTGGGGTCCTATTCCAACTTTCTGCTTGAAATAGAGATTATATCGTCGCAGAAATGAGGCAAACTAAGATTGGGTAGCAAAACCTTTAAGTGCGTATTTTCAGAGTTTGAATAACTAAGAGAACTGCCAAAATGTCATGGTTATTTCGAGACTGCCACTCAAGCACTGGGAAAGCCAGGTGTTCTTTAACTCTTTGAGGTGAAATTGATTGATTGAGCTGTTTGGGCGTGTAGAAACAACAAGGTTGTTTGGGCTAGGAAGCTTTCGCACAATCTCTCTAATTGTCAAAGAAGATGAGTTCATATATTTTCATGCGAAGAAAGTTAGCAGGAAAAAGATCAGATTGATGTATAATTGGAACGCAGATGAAAAGCCTGCAACGTCTGGTCAGCCAACATACTAAACTATGCACCATACAGAAGAATTATCGACTTAAAATTCCAGACTCATTTACTGCTATTTGGGAAAGGCATATACTGAAACTAAATAAGAAATGAGGTGACAGGTTACATTGGCTGTGATGAAAAGTGAGACGAACTGCATAATCTCCAAAAGGAAGACTTGCGTACACTCAGCATGCTAAGCAAACCGTAAAAATGCCAGAATAACACGTTGTTTGAAGAGCCCTTCTAAAGATCGGACAATTTAAACTTTGGGTGACGGATAGCTTTCAGTTCTGCAGAACTGGCTTCAGCGGCTGCCATCGTAACACAGCGCAAGATTATCCAGCGCCGTGAATTCAACTCGATACAAGTCACTTCTTTTTCTCTCCGATAACAAGCTTTTGTCTCCTGCCCCTTAAAGTAAGTTGCAAACATTGTTTTGTCTATAACAATGGGTAACAGCCAGCGCTGTAAGTACAATGTATATCTTTGGGGTTGATTTCTCATTATATTTACAAGTCAGTATCGAGAAGTAAGTTTTGCAACGGATTTATAGCCAGGGTTGGGTTAAAATCTATATGACTGAGACTAAGCGAGGTATTGTAAAGGAGGTATTGTTATACCTGCTCCAATGGCAGCTCCATCCGTCCGGTGCAGCTGTTTCTTCGTATTTACATATTTCCGCATCAATCTGCTCGAGTTTGTACACGAGATACTCGGAGTCAAGAGCACCCTCGCGCCAGTCGTTCATACGAGTCTAAAATGCAGTACATCGAGGTATAGGCGTAATTTAGACCAAGGCGAACAAATGGAAGCATACTTGCCCTATTTGGTGCATCCAAGGCACCTTATGTGAATGATCAGTGTGTCAAGCTTCCTTCACTGGAGGTTTTTGGGGGTCCGTTACTGATCACTAAAAAAGAACTTGTTAATCTCGAAGATTACAAATGAATTTCAGAAATTAGAAATAATCAGTGATCAGTAATGACTCGTCAAAGCAGAAATTAAATCATCCAATCAAGTGGGATAATCATAGATCATTCTATTTGATGATTTGCGATTATCAAAATACAAAGATGACACTTGCGATAAAAACCGTGAAAGCATAGATTTGTGTTTGAGATCAGGATTTTGGGAGGTTTTAAGAGACATATTCCACTCCTTTCAGCCTATACAATACTGAAACAGCACCTGATACCAAAGATTACTCAAGATACAGAAATATTAGAGCCAGAAGCAAGAAAACTAGTAAATTTACAAAGGCATCGCTGCAGTAAATCATAGCTTGAGGCGTGCAGTGATAACTGACTTCGTGGGTTCATATGCAATGTGGATTCTAGCTTCAGGATTGCATAATATGGCAAAACAGACTTACCTTCCATTAACTTCAAGACATACGTACCTTCATAACTGCGACATGTAAATCTCAAGTGAAAAAATGTTGACAACTTTCTAAATCTTGTACTTCTCCTGTAACATTTTTTTTGGATCTCTCTCTCAGCCCTAAGTTCTCGGACACGGATACGCTGCCTTCATGTCAAGCTTTTCAAATTTTTAACTAAACAATGCACTACATTCTTATCTTGAACGGGAAAGGAATAAAATTGATTTTGGCAGCATGATGAAACACTCACAACACATGCTGATCAATTCAAGTTATCAGAACATCAGCTTTCAGTTAAATGTCTGCAGATTTGTCTGAGCTCTTCCCCTTGCCGTAAAATTCGGCCCAGGTACACAGACATTCAAGGTAGCTCAGCAACCAATCATCGCTTAAAACCTACAGGCAGATATCTTTTGCACGTCTCCAGGCACAGATGACTTCCAAGCAGAAATTGAAGTGAAGTGAAACTTCGGCACTGACAAAGTGAGGCTCATTTTCAAAGCAGCCAAAAAGTAATTCTACTCTCCGACCAGGCTAATGCTGAATCGCTTCGCAAAACACAGCTGTTATCGAGTCTTTATACTCCTTCTTAAACAATACCAGGAACCTAAAGATTGTTTTAGTGTAGCTCAATGATTAAACTTAATGTCGAGAAACCAATGAGAATGAAGCTAAGTTCACTTTTCTGAGCTCATGAACACATCCTTCTTTTAAATGCTTTTTCCAAGGTAGGAGTTGTTTGAATGAATGAATGAATGAATGAATGAATGAATGAATGAATGAATGAATGAATGAATGAATGAATGAATGAATGAACGAACGAATGAATGAATGAATGAATGAACGAATGAATGAATGAATGAATGAATGAATGAACGAATGAATGAACGAATGAAAGAATGAATGAATGAATAAATGAATTCGATGAACGATGAGCGAGTAAACAATCATTCTACAAATGAATGGATGAGTGGTAGAATTAAACGTTGAATGGATAATGTTACTTAAGACAAGATTAGACAATCAATGTAAATGTCAGTTTAGGTTTACATTGTAAGTACATAAGAGCATCCTGGCTGAATAACTTCATAAAAGTCATCCTATTTATAACTCATGGAAGCAAATATCCTCTTTAAGAATAGATGAAGAAGAGGCATAAGACATCGGCAGAAACTTAAATGGTACAAAACTAAGTAGCGAGCAATTGAAACCCCACCCTTTTTGTTATGATCATTACAGCAAATGATCACAATTCAATCATCATGGAAAACGATCAAGCCCAAATCTTATAATGGTAACACTCTCCTTAGAAGCGAGGTTTAGATTTGCTCCAAACTGTCTGTGCTAAGGAGGCTTTTCTATATTTTATTGCCACTGTGACATTCATAGTTACAAGCAGCCAGTTGAAAAATATTTCTCTTTGCTCGATAAAAGAAATCAACCATCAATCCAATGATATGATTTATCAACGGCACTAATAGCAAAAACCTTGTTCGAACTCAGTTCTTAGTTTTGCTATGAGCCTCTTTGCAGCTCTAACACTGACTCTCAATTCAGACAAAAATCGAGGAGAAAACACAAAACGTTTCAAGCTCCAATATAGATAAATGGAAGATATGTCTTACCTCCATTTCAATTAACAACACTTGAAAGTTTGTCAGTCCCTTCCTCGAAACTTCAAGGAATTCAAGTTTATCGAACAATAGGATGGAAAGGTCTGATATTTTTGAATGCATTGCTTCTTGTTGCTTGTAAAAATCGTCATCGACTTCATGATCTATCAAAGAACAACAAGAAAGCATAAAAATAACAGAGGAAGGATGACGAGTGAGCCAACGTTTCCGTAGGATTCCCTGAAGCCCATGTGTGATGTCAGGCTAGTCAGCTTAAAGGGACTGGGTCACGTAACTGTAAACAAACATGTAAACTGGGTCATGTAAATGCGCAGGACAGCCTGCGTGTAAGAGGGATTTTGTTGATGTTGAATTGTCAATGCTGAGTGTCTGACAAATGGCGGATCGTAATAACTTGAAGCAATGCTTCCCAGAATAAATCGTTTTTAAACCGTTAGCTTTTGACAATGTTTACTAATCGAGAACCTGTTCTTTCACAAACAGACGTTTCTGTCCAGTTCCTTAGGCTTAACAGCCTGTTACGGCGTTTACCTCTTATTCCCGCTGCTTTCTTGCTATAATACTGTAATGCTTTCTTGAATTTATGATAAGGGTTGCAAAAAAGTAAATACTGAAAACCTAACATTTCAAATTAATTTGTTAGAAAGAATCTTTCGTTAAAAATGTCTAGCTTTAGTTTTCCTACCGTTCGGTCGCACTTCGGTTTGAAATGGAGGCTCATCTTCGGGTGGAGGCATTGGTGGTAGCGGTGGTCTCGAATCCTCAGTTTCGTTGTCACTAATTTCCATGTCATCAACATTTTCTGGCACATTATCCTCTTTTGGTTCAGAGACATTTGTTTCTCCATCAAGAGCCCCTAAAAACAAAGTACATCAAGTATATTGCAATAGAAAACGACACAGAATGAATCTTATATCAAAAACAGCTCCACTACTTTAACAATAACTATCACTTTGGTCGCGCAAGCTATACAAGACACAGACACATGTATTTAAAATAGGAAGTGAATCAAAATGGGGTTGAATGTTAGAAAGTAGTGATTAGCTGCACTGAAAACAACGATACAAGCAAAATAGTGGTTACTTAAACTGGAAGCAATGCTTGTGTAAGTTGAATGAATGAATGAATTAATGAATAGAATAACGGATGAGTGAATTGAAAAGATTCAGCAATACTTGATTAAAAGTACTACAGTAAATTTAGCATACACGAAACGTTACTGGTAATATATACGATATGATTTTGCTGCCCCAATATAAAACGGAATAAGGTATTCAGCCTACCCTCTAACAACATCTCTGCAAAATCTGCAATCTCTTCTTCCTTTCTTTTCTCTTCTTCTTTTCTCAGCTCTTCCAACCTCTTCTTCTCCAGTTCCATTTTCTTCTGCTCCTCTTCCTTTTTCACCTTCTCTTCCTTCTTCAATCTCTCATATTCACTTCTAAGACGCTCTTCCCTTTCAATTTCTTCCTGAAGTGCCTTACGATCTTCTTCTGCCAACTTTGCTTTTTCTTCATCTGTCAGCTCCTTTTTAGGCTTTGTTTCTTCTTCCTTTGATCTTCGAGAATGTCTGCTCGATCCACTACTTTTCGAAGGATGTTTCTTGCTACTCTTCTTTTCACCTTTTTCTTGCTTTCTTTTCCTGTCCGATTCCCTGTGGCTTCGTTCCTCCTTATGCCTCTTCTCCTTCTTTTCCTTGTCCTTCTTTTCTTTGTCCTTCCTATCTTTATCTTTCTTTTTATCCTTTTTTCGGTCTTTACTTTTGCTTTTTCTCTCTTTTTCTTTTACTTTCTCCTTCTCTTTCTCTTTATTCGTCTCTTTTTCCTTCTCCTCAGACACAGCCTTCTTCCCTTCATCCATCTTACTTATACCATCATCATTACCAGAAATTTCTAGTGGTAGTCCTTCCTTCAATCCCTCATTCTTCGATTCTTTATCAACTTCACTTTTTTGTTTCTGGCTTTCCTCCTCCTGAACATTCTCTGCTTCATTTCCAGATTCCTCAGCAAAAATATCAACTGAAAACTCTTTCTTTTCAATATCGTGGTCTATAGAACCACGGTTCCCATCAGAAGGTGACAGAATGTCTGCATTTTCTTTCTCACGTCCATCAAAAGATTCTTTATTTTGATTGCTTTGTGCATTCTCTACTTCCGTAGAAACGTTTTCAATTTTGGGGGTCATTTCAACATCCTCTTGATTTGCAATATTTTCATCTAAACCATACTCGCTTGTGATAACAAGGTCTTCTTTTGCATTACTGTCATTTCCCTGACTATCGTTTTCAGCGTTGATAGGACTCCCAACTTCCATTGCAAGTGCATCTTTGCCGTTCACATCGCTTGGTCCCTTAGCCTCGCCAACCAAAGCTGTTTCAGCCTTAGAAAAGTTATCGCAAGCAGGAATATTAATCGCCGTGTTTTTCTCTTCAATCAACGTTTGAATCGTCTTAACATTTTCAGCCACAGCACTCTGCACATTGCCCGCATTTTCAATTTGCATTGAACTTTCACTAGCTAAATTTGAATCCGCGATTTCCTTGGAATCAGGCATGGTCTCGCTATCTGATGCCTCGCTATCATAGCCAAGAACAAGGCTCGCAACAGTGTCCTGTTTTGGTTCTTCATTGGTCACCTGACCCGACTCTGTTGTGTTGACAGCTGCAGAATCGCAGCTATTCTCTGTTTCACACCCAGGTGCCCCACCTTCCATTGGTGATGTTTCGTCTACATTTTCTCCAAGAGACAAGTTATTTTTCTGCAAAAGTAATTTAATCCGCTCTTTCTTGCTCAAGCCTGCAAGTTTGGCCGCCATTTCTTTACGACGTCTTGCCTCTTCATTTGCCTCAAACTCTTCAAGGCTCGGACCTAAACCAAACAGTAAAATGATTTGCATACGCGACGTCCATTATCGAATAAAGCCCAAGTAATTACAAAGAACCTAAAGGTCCTAAATATGTGAGTTGATGATAGACTTAATTTTTTTTAATATCCATTGTTATAGAGATAACATATTGTCCTAGATTACAAAAACAAGGTTCTGGCTTTTGTTGGCAAAATCGTTATAAACTCTTTATATCCGTGAACAATCAGTTAGAATTGCAGGTAAGAATTGAAGATGGTAAACTGCATCTAATTGCTATTGGTTAAAAGACATTGTCATCTCAATCCATGTTTGAAGATAAGAGACTTTATGTCACGTTATTGTCAAGACCATTCTTAACACAAGCCAAATGGCATTGATGAACAATTTTGCTAATTTGATGATCGTGGAATTACTTGTTACTGAAAATCTGACATCTAACAAAACAGATGCTGCAAGTTAAGGAGGCGCTTACCAGCTGGTTGCATCTCATCGGCTGACCCTTCATTGTCGTTAATCTTCTGGCTACTCTCCACATTCAGAGACGAAGGAAGAGGTTCTGGTAAAGGACCTTGTTGGACCTCTGTAGCTGGGGGTGGCTCCCACTGCACTTCATTTGTTTCGGAATTCCAATAATAATGATATCCACTGCTTTCGTCATAAACTGCTTGCCAACTGGTTGGAAGCAAATGAGCTGGCAAAAAGAAAATTCAAATACATCAAAAAGCATCCTCAACAAAATAATTTTGATACAAGGTTAAATATTTGACTAAATAATGACAAAAAATATATGACAAAAATAATAAAAAGTCGCAAAAATATATGACTGTTTTTGAAATTGTCACAAAATGCACAAATAGCTTGAATTATAACACAACAGAGGGCAAAACATTTCCAGCACAACACAGAAACAGCTTAGCTAAATAATTACCTTGTGTGTGTGGATCAAAGTTACAAGGATCATAGACAACATTATTGGCAGTAGTTTCAGCTGGCTTGGTTATATTATCATCCCCAATGGCGTTGATTTCCTACAACAGAAACAAATAAGCATTTAGGCATTTCAATGAAAAAGCAATGAAGAACCATAGTCACCAGCAATAAGTGATGTACCTTACACTCTCTTTTCAAAGAACTTTGAACACAAATCAAAATTATTGGCGTTATTCTGACTTACCGTAAAAGCTGACATTACCATTATCATATAATAAACAGAAATAAGACAATACGCTGCATAAAATTACCTACCAATGTTTTACTTCAAGCCTTCAATTAATATCGGTGAACAAACAGTAATAAATAACAAAAGGGGGTTCTGTTTTTAATTTCTATGCAGTAGCTTGAATTGATATTCCTTCACCAATACTCATTAATAACAAAACACTTACAGCTAGAAAACCTGCCAGCTGGTCTTCCATTTGATGTCCAGTCCTTTTTGAATCAGACAATACTGCATTTTGTTCTGGCATATTTAATTGGCCTTCAGTGTCTAAAAAGGAAAACAAGTCAGGAAAGGATTCAATTTTGATTTATATATTCAACTAATTCCAGATAATGCTTCTTTGGTACTCCTTAATGAACTCCTTAAAAAAATTCAACCTGAATATGAAGATGTTTAGCCATTAAAACATCATTTTGTTACCTTAAATAAAGAGAGAGGAAACAAAGGCATTTCTAAAGGAAGAGCAAGATATAAAGAAATGACATCCCACTTCCATCAACATAATTCATGTTTTTACAGCAGATGCGAATGAGTCACAAGATGAACAAATTTAAGATGTTTGATATGCCACATAAGAATGTTTGTATCTGATCTTCAGCAGAACAAATTAAAAGATGTTTTCTTGATCTGCCATTCCCCATAAAGCTTTAAAAATTCTTAGTATTTCATTCTTTGTGGTTCAACCTTGCTCTTAGTTGGTTAACTGATTAAAAAACTGTAACAGCAATGAAGAAGTTAAATTACCTGATTCATTATCACTCTCTTCTGTGTAAGCACCAAGTAAACCAATACCTAGAAAATGCAAATTTTATTACACATAAGTGTTTGAAATAATATGAGGAGGAATAAAATCAAACATATTAAATGTGACAGCATTGATAGAGATTTCCAAATAATGGAGAAAATTTCCAAGGCAGATGCGGAGAAGATTACCAAACTGCACTACAAGGAAAGCAGAGAGAAAACACAAGCATGACCTAAAAGTGGAAAGTAACAGAGCTGTGACCAACACATCAAAAATAGACTGGTTGGTAAATCTGCAAGGAACAAACCAAGAAAGGGCTAATGTATGGAGGTAAGCAAGGTACCCTGCAATTGCCTATATGAGAAAAGATAATGTTCAAATAAATGACCACATAATAAAGCAGATTTAAAATCAACAAAATTATAACCATCCTACAAAAGTTGTCAAAACTTCTACAGACCAGACACCCTGGTGGCTCTGAGTGACATAGGCTGGCTATAGCTTTCTTCTCCATTATATGCTGGCCCTACAAATCAACATAAAATAGAAATGAAACAGGCCAATGATAGGAGAATGATATCCATATCAATTTGATGAGACAGAGTTGATTTGAAAATGTGATTAATGCTTCCTACACTTTTGAAGTATAGAACAGGTTGGTTCTAAGTTGCTAATAAACACAAGGTAGCAACTGAAAACAGCTTGTACAGGTCTGCCCATACAGCATAAAACACTTTCTAAAAAACATTTCAAAACATATTATACAGCATAAAGCACTGGCATGAAATTTTAATATATCTTAACCTAAAATTCATGATAGAAAAACATTTCCATTCTGTGTAATTAACTTTCATAGATTTTTGTTTTTGTTTATCCTTGACAACAAATTACCTAACCAAACATTTGCAATGAAACTAACCTGCTCTTCTTGTCAATCCATCCAACTGAATGGTTTGTCTTCTCCTCCCAGCAGTTTCTGCAAGCCTCTTTTCTTTTGATCTCTTCCCCATTTTAATCCATTCTCACTGTCTATTTACATCCTTATTCATTTTGAGTTGCTACAAAAAAGGTATGTGTCTGCAAATGCACAATAACAATGTCACAACTTATTTGTGGATGGTATATGGGTCAAAGCATTACCCATTATCTATTACTTCCCATGCAGCATAAGCACAATCTTTTTTGGCAAGATAGAGAGGATATTGTTCCGAAATACTAATTCTTCTAAACAGCAATGGTAGAAATGGTAAGAATTTCTTAGATTTTCATTTCAAATTCTAGGAAGTGCCCTGCCGAGTGTTGAGTGTACCTCTGTTAAATGTTGCAAAATAATATTCTAAATAAGTTCCCCAGGTGCTTATTTTGCCATTTACAATAACCCTATAATTGCAGCCTTGCTCAGTTAATCTAACATTTCATTCAACATTCTTCAACTACTCATTTCGGGGATAAGTTCCCAACTTTATTCAAAGAGCCCAAAAAATGTAAGCATGTGTTCCACATTTGGGTAGCGCACACCTTAAAGTGCAGTACTGCAATGTATCTACGATGCAGTACTGTAATCTGAGTAATGTACTGCAATACCATATTCTGTCTATGAGGTTCTGTCCATGAAATTTTCAGACAGATTATGTCTATGTCCGCATTGCAAGTGACAACTTTGGATTATAAGTACAATCTGTTAAAAGCAGCTCATCCTCACTCAGTCTCATTCACCCTATGAACAATTATTTTCATAAAAAATCATCATCTCATTTTCGGATCGTTGCTTTTAGATTTTAAAACAATGTTATGATAGTAGAGGCCTTAGAAGCACTGATTTCTGACATAAAACTCATTATCTTTGTCAAAGTGGAAAATCAAGAATACTTTTTCAAGTTTGACAAAGATAATCCAATTGAAATTCGAGCCCGCTGCAGTTCATGTGTGAAGTGGTTGTTTGCTGTTAGGCTAATGTAATGTGGTTTAAAACAAAGAACGATTTGAATTTGGGGATTCTGTGGCACCAGAAAATGTTAATTGCTTATCATTTCCATTTTCCAGTGCTCGTCCTGCCCCAGAGAAACCTTTGAGGGATTAGTGAATTTGGTTCAGTGGCAATTTGGGTGCACTGGAAAATCAGCATTTGTTTACTAACAAGCTTAATCCCTTTACTCTATGAACAATAGAGATCAAGTGTGTCAGAAGTTCTTCCTGAAATCTTGTTCAGTGCGTCTAAGACCCCATTTACACAAGACCTGGATCCAGATACATTTGGATCCGATCCCTGAAATGGCAATGCGTTTACACGGGATCTGATCCAGAACCATTTGCATTTACACTGAAGAGAACGGATTCAGATGAATTCAATTGGTTAGGTGCATCCGCTTTTCCAAAATTGGTGTGCATATGACATTTTCAGAACTTTGTGCGTGATAAAAACACAGTTCAACCTGAACATGTAGGGAGGTAACGCTAAAGGTAAAAGGGTAAAATTTTTGTGGACTGAAGAAGAAACTGTGCTATTTTTAAAAGTAGTATTGGACTACAAAACTTCAAAGCTTGCAGGTGGACAGGATTGAGAAAATATAGAAGTATGATGACATATCGTCAAAGTTTCACCTCTGAAAGCGATCCCAAAAGTGTTGGGATAGCGGATCCAAAAGTATACCGATCCATCAGTTCCCGTGTAAATGCAAGGCCTATCCGTACCCTTTTGGATCCGATACGGTTCGGATCCGCTCTCGTGTAAACGGGGTCTAAGGCCATTCATATTGTATGTATGTATAATAATCCTTAATGTGAATAACAAACAAAGTTTGAAAACTTTTTTTTCAGTTTGGTTCACAAAATTTTGTGAATATTTATTCGTCAATATTTCCATTCATCGTCCGAATTGTTAGGTAAGTGCTCCCCCTTCACAACCCTGCCTGGCACTGGCAGGCCTGCATTGTTTGTGCGTTGTTTTGAGTTCTGAATTTAGGCCCATTGATAATTCAAACGTAACGTGGAAGATTATTGTTGCTTGAGCCTTGTATTTCATTCTATTGACGTTAATAAAATGACTGAAGTTTGAAAACCCACTTACTTTGCGTATTAGCACGGGCAAGGCAAGTCAAAGTTCGAATACAACTCTATGTTTCGACTTTCTTTTCGTAACCACAATTTGACTCAAGGTTTGAGCGCCGAAGAGCATCGTGAGCGAAGCTGCCTGGGCGCATTTAAAGATGAGGCTGAAACACGAGGTTGGTTGTCTCTTCACTTAGGCCTGGCTGGCAAATCTAGATGAAACAAATAAAGTGTGTTGTTTAGCTGGACCTTAGTGTAACTGAATCCAACATGGGCAAGATAAAAGCAGAGAAGAAATCCAGAAAGAATCTTGCTGATGATATACTCAGTAAAGATAGTCTGAAGCAATCAAAACGTGGAGAAAAAGTCAGAAGTAGGAAGGACAATGCAGAGGAGTTTGTTGACAAACGCCTTTCTAAGAAGATATTGGAACAAGCACGTGAGCAGCAAGAAGAGCTCGAAGAGGAACATGGCTTACGACTGAAGCCAAAAAAGAAAAGAGAAAAGGATGAAGTAGAGACTTTTAAATTTAAAAGTCATGAAGCTGATGATAGCGAGGAGGAAGACGATGAGGGAATGGAGGAGTATGACGATGACTTCTTAGGCAGCGAATCTGATCTTGTAGGCGAATGCATAATTGATAAAGAGGATGAAGATGCCCTTAATTCGTTTATGTCCAAAGAACCAATTGCTAGAAGAACTCTTGCTGATATCATTATGGAAAAGATGGCAGAAAAGAAAACAGAAGTAGAATCTCAGTTCTCAGCTGCTGATGTTAAACCACATCTTGATGAAAAAGTTGTTAATTGCTACAAGACTGTTGGAAAAATTCTTAGTAAATATAGGTCAGGAAAAATACCAAAGGCCTTCAAAATAATACCTTCACTTGCCAATTGGGAGGAAATTTTGCTTCTTACTGGCCCAGACAACTGGACTGCAGCTGCTGTGTATCAAGCAACAAGAATTTTCGCTTCAAATTTCAATGCAAAGCTGGCACAAAGATTCTACAACCTTGTATTATATCCAAGAGTGAGGGATGATATTGCAGAATACAAGAGGCTTAATTATCACCTATACATGGCTTTAAAAAAAGCTTTGTTTAAGCCTGCAGCCTTTTTTAAGGGTATTTTATTGCCGCTGTGTCAAGCTGGTAATTGCTCTTTAAGAGAGGCAGTGATAATTGGAAGCATTTTGACAAAATGTAGCATCCCTGTCTTGCACTCAAGTGCTGCTCTTTTGAAAATTGCAGAAATGGATTACAATGGAGCCAACAGCGTTTTCCTGCGTCTTCTCATTGAGAAAAAGTATGCATTACCATACAGAGTTGTTGATGCTGCTGTTTACCATTTCCTGAGATTTCTCTCGGATGACAGAGAGCTACCAGTTCTATGGCACCAAGCAATTCTCAGATTTGTTGAAATATATAAAGAAGATATTGCTAGTGAGCAGAAAGATGCATTACTTGAACTCTGTCGTAAGCATTTCCACCCTAAGATTACTCCATTGGTTAGAAGAGAACTGGTTTACTCCAAGTCAAGGGACAAAGAAGATGCAGTACCAGAGAAAGCTGATGTAGAAATGTAGCTAGATTTTGAATTGCTAGAATTCTGGTTGGGTTTCTCTTTCAGTCGTGAATTATTTTATGACGTGCATCTTTGAAATCATTTTACAAATTGCTGGAGTCTGAATCTTGAATCTGTCTGCATTTCCACTCTCCTCTATAAGATAATGAATTGAGATTTCCGCAATTTGTTTTGCGATTTTTGCAAATTTTGAAAAGCATTAAAGGTTATGAGTAACACAATTCCATAGCATTGAAATTATCATATGCAATTGCAATCATCCCATAACTTTACTTTATTGTATTGTTTCACAGCACCTAGTGGCTTCTGAAAATACTTTTAGTATGGGACACAAGACCAATCAAATACCAGATTCTCTCTTGTATTAATGCGGTATTATTAAAGAGGCAGGACTATCAGAGAGGGGGATTTGATTTTTCATTGTTCTTTGAGCTAGTAATCTTGAATTTTTAACACAATAAATAAAACAAGTAGACTATATATTTCAGGATTACGAGAGCTTTCGAAATTGTCACAGCTGTATCTGTAAAAAACCTAGAATATTAACTGAACATAATCACTGAAGACAAAAGAAACTGCTCAACCAAACATTTACAAGCATTATCATGTTCGGACTTCGACTGTAGCAACAAATTTTACTCTCGTTTTTTACTTTTTCTACAATACATGTGTGATTATCACAAAGGCATGTTTAGTTTTTCAAAGTATAGAGAAAAGGCAGCATTTTTATAGAGATAGGAACATCAGCGAGGTTAGGAATACAAGAGAGTATACCAAGTAAAAACAGATTTCATCAATTCTAATGTCATCATCATCATTTCTGCAACTTGAGAATTATGGCTATAAAACATGGCTCTATTGTTTTTGCAACCTTCCAGACACTAGCAATAGCTCGCGTCCCTAAATGCTGAAAATTTCAATCTCCAGCTGTTTATCCCAGGCCCCTTTTCTGTTAAGACTTGAAAGTTTATGTGTTTAAAGTAGTTATCACATTTAATCAGGCTTGGGATTGTTACAAAGGCTTGTGAGTATGCATGTTGCGTGTTTTAGACTTTGAAAACTCCTGTTTTAGACTTTGAAAACTCCTGTTTTAGAAAGAAAACCTTGAGAGAAACAGTCACAAGTATTCCAGCTACCTTTGGGTGCGAGTTTTCAAAAGCAACTTGAACCAATAAAAATAGATTATATCAAGGCAATGTGTATCAATATTTTCCTAGAACCCTTGTATTGCTTTCATAGTTGGTAAAATGGAAGCTGGTAAAAGAAAAGTCTACCGTTCTAGATACTTCATCATTTAATATATCCACAGCCAATGAGAATATTATTCAAAACTGTTTGATTGTCTTGAAACTGGCTGGGTGGTGTTTGTCCTCGTACATGATATGTAAACAGATTAAAACAACCTTACACTAGGACGAAGCAGAGTTCAAAGTATCAGAACACTTTAAGTGAAGTGACCATGAAAAGCTCGATTACACTGGTGACATCACTTACACTGGTGACGTCATTTAAACTGGTGCTTTGGGACCATTATCAACTGGAATATTAACGTTGCAAATACTGTGGTGTTGTTTAAATGTTTTAAACAAACAAATAAAACAATAAATACAAGCTTTTAATTACAAATTATTTCAAATGTGTTACTTTGTTAGTTAAGTGGTAATTTTTGCAAAATTTAATTAATTTCCATCTCATCTGCAGCGAAAACTGGTCCAAACAGAGCGAAGAACGTCAGAAAAATCGACGCAATATACACCCACATAAGGAGAGTGTTAATAACTTTGCCGACTTCCTTCCATTTAGTTTTTAGCTCGTTGTCTGCCTCTTTCTCTTGGATTGTGTGTGCCATTAACTTAACGCTTTCGTGCTCAGCCTCCTCCCAGTCGACCGCGTTTCCTAGCTTCTTAGCTGTCAATTGCTTGGCTGTCGGTGGAGGCGGTACCAGGGGGTCTTGTTTGGCGATCGTCTTGGACTTATTCAGTCTCTGTGTCAAAGATTCTGTTACCCGCATTACGCGATCAACGAGTTTAAACTGTTTCACCACATTTGGCTTTATGCTAGAAGATGGCTGTTTCGCAGATGGTATCAAAATGCGCGTGTCGTCGTCACAACTATGAATGCTGCCACTGCTGCCAATGTCAGTCGCAGCCTCTTCCTTTGCGACTTTCCCTTTCGCCACGTCACTGGGTTTCATTGTGTCAGTTTCAACCTTTTGCCTCTGAAACATCAAATGTAAACAAGCAATGCCAAATATCAAAATATTGTTTATGATTTTTAAGTTAAATAAAATGATATAAACTAAATAATAACCTCATTCAAGGTATTTTTCTGTAAAAAATTATATGATCTACGCCTTACGGAGGTACTCGGCGACTACGTACTTGCCGAGCTCAGCGGTCATGGCCTACGATAAAGATGAAGATCTGTAGCCTAAAATGCGAAATCATAACTAAATTTATATAAGAAACAGGCTTACTTAAACGAATGCTTGTCCGAACTTACAAAACGGATTAAGCTGACTGTGTTAGACTTGCAGAACATTCTAACCGTCAAAAATCAAAACCAAAAGAGGCCAAATGAAAATGGATATTCGATGCCTACCAACTCATTTTCACAGCCTTCTAAATCCTCTGTTTCACTATCTTTGTCGTCTATCTTATTTTCATTCCCATTTTTAACGCTTTTGTTTTCTTGACTCCTCGTTCCACCCAACTGTAACACTTCCACTGCCCCATTGCCTTCGTCATCGATTTCATTTACCTCGAGTTCTTGGTCCTTCCTATTCATAATCGTTTGGCCTGTGGTTGAGTTTGTACCTTTCTCAACAGCTTTCTTTTCTTCCATTGCATTATCTTCTTTGTCATTCTCCTCATTTTTAAATTTTATCCATTTTCCATTTTTTTCTGGTCGTACCTCGTCATCTTTGGAGGTCCGTTTTGCAACATCTTCTTTCCTCAAATCATCTTTTTGAGCGTCTTTCTTGCTTGTTCCTTTATGTTCCTTTTCTGTCTCGCTATTAGCTTTTTTTGAAGAAGTTGACACTTTTGATCTTTCTTTCTCTTCGTCCTTTTTTTCATATTTGCTTTCTTTACTTGTGGTATGCTCCTTCCCCTTATTGTCTTTTCTGTCAACTTCTTTGCTTTTACTTCTATCCCTTTTCTTTGATTCATTTGCTATTTTCTGATCCTCCTTACTTTTCTTTTCAGCTTCTGGTTTTCCCCTATTTTCTTTATTTCTTTTTTCCTTATTCTCTCTTTTTACTGTACTTTCTACATCGTGTTTTTCCTTCATTTCTTCAGTTTTCTTCTCAGCATTTTCATGTTTTTCCTTTTTCAAAGCATGTTTCTCCTTTCTCCGCTCAGCTTTATCCTTGTCATCCCTATTCTTTTCACTACATTTCTCGTCATTTGATTTATCATTTGTTTGCTTATTTTCTTTCTCGTTTCTCGCTTTTTTGCTGTCATTTCGCTTTTCACCATTATCCTTGCTTGATTTCTTAACTTTATCTCCTTCTTTATTTCGATTGCTTTCTTTATCTTCACGGTGCCCTTTCTCATTACTGCTTTTTCCTTCATTTTTATCAGATCTCGATTCCTTTGATCTCCTTTTCTTTCTTTCCATTTCTCCCTCTGTCTTCCCCATATCCATAGCAATATCGTTTCCCTGTCTTTCGTGTTTGTCACTAACGGTTCCTTTTTCCTTCTTTTCTTTTTCTTTATGTCGTTTCTTCTCCTTCTTTTCTTCGCTCTTCTCTCTCTTCGTACCGGTTTCCTTACTTTCTTTCCGCCCACCTGCCATTGCTCCGTTGTCCTTTAAATCTTCTCTTGATTTTATCGTCCGAACGGGACTATCTTCACTTAAGTTTGTTAACAGGGTATCTCGACTCAGTTCCTCTTTCACCGCTTTCTCCCGTCGCAGACGCTTGGCTTTGGCTTCTACAACAAAAATGATTATGCAAACAATCTTTTTGTGGCACAAAATTTAAAATGAAAGGAGCATGTATTTGAGTATAATTAAGCTTTTCGTCTGGCACCCTTCAGAGCATGAAACGTCAGAACATAGATCAAAACACTACGATGGGAAATATATATATCCAGTTATGAATCGAAGTAGGCTAATCAGAAACGCGGACACAGGACTGTTGAGGTTCCCAATCAGTGCCGCTTGCTTATTGAAAATGTTATCAATGGAGTTCTTAAGATGAAAACAAACTCCTTCTATCTACACAATAGGGGTTTTTCATGCTCAACATGTAGAAATATTCAAAAACTGCTAGATGGAGTGACGATCGGGCTTTACCAATAATCCGAAACATGTCGACATGATAGTTTTTAGCACAATCGGGACACACTCTGGAATTGTGAAGAAATGATGGTCAATTGTCGAATCACATTTGCTCACAAATCCCGAGTGTGCCAAAACTTCAGCATCCTATGTTTCCGCTATTTTGTGCCATCTCCAAAAATTAAATTTGAAAGACAGACTGTGAAAGAAATTATCAAATTTTCAACAATGGGGCTGCAAGAAATTCGCATTGACCTCAATACTTACTAGCCTGCCATATCAAGAGATGACTTCTGCCAATTTCTGTAGCAAAGTTATCAGTTCTTCTTGTTGTTTTGTTTGATTTTGTGAGCCTTTGCAGAACAGTCCCACGCCTTGATTTGGTTTGAAGCTCGTTTTCACTCGTTTTTATTCTAAGCAGTGTGGCCAACTTGACCAGGATATACTTCTATACAATGAAAACAATGCAGATAGCGTGAACTGTTTGAAATTCAAAGAAGCAATCTACGTTGGGCGTGGATTTGGATTCTTTAGTGTTTTGTAACTTAAACTGTGACATAAAGACATTTCAATCTGCTTTCACTGAAATTACGTAAAAGTTCAAGTTTTGACTGAAAAACAGCTCAGAGCTTGGTCAACTAGCAGTAGAAATTCCTTTTTTCATGTTTTATCAATTGTCAATTTGCTTTTTGTCAAGGAATATCTTTAAAAAGTTTTATTGAACTTTCATCAATAGTTTGATAGTTTTGGAGAAAATTACGATCATTTTAATGCAGCAAGATTTTACAATTCGTTAGCAAGGCGCTGCTAATTTACTACCACAAGGAGCAGAGACGTACCTTCATCCACACAGGAACTTCTGTTGGCTCATGATGATGGAAGCACAACATCATGCATGTAGCCCACACCGCCAATGATATTTCGACAATAGTGCATGCGAAGTATTTGCCAATCAACGGAACATGATCAGAGGTTTCGGGCATTTTCTCCTCAAGTAACAGGAAAAAGACAGCCATGGACAAGAGAATCGTGATAGCCACAGCCATTTGTTCCCCAGTGTCTGAATGACAAAGAAAAAGATTAAATGAGCATTTTGTAATGCAAAATTCGAAGATAGCATGAAATAGCAGAAATTTAGTAAACTGAGAAAAAGATTACATTACTGACCTTAATAACCATTTACTCAAGAACCCTCTTTGACATTTAGAATATTTCCATCGGGTCAAAATTTGGAATTCGCCCCTAGCATCAACAGCCAAAAATGGTAAACAGTTTAAAATTTGGTTTGAAACTTTGTTTCTTGAGTTAGTGAACATATTATTTTGCAGTAGTTAATATGTATTGTGCAATTTTGTAATCTACGTTACGTCAGTTAGATTTAGTGTACTATTGCAAAAAGTAACATTGAATAATTCATAAAACACAATACAATGACGCTGTCTGCAAATGTAGTTACATTTTATGTTGTATTTTAGGAACAATATCAAAGCAATTAGCTTCAATGGCCAATCCCAATAGTGGCAATTATTATTTTATCTAGATAAATGTCTTAAATGAAGCATCTTGCTGTGCTGATGCTTTGTGCTTCTGCATATGTTTTGCATTTATAGTATTTTGCTATAAATAATTCAAAGCCAAAACCATTTAATGACGCTTGATCCTTGCTAAGTGTTGTAAGAACAACCATTATGACGTGCATAAATGATAGAAAAACCTCTCGTGTGCTTATAACTAACGTCACCAACATGGTTGAAGTCTGCTGTATGACAGTAAACAACTTTTTTTATAAACGAATTTATGATTTTCTTGCTTGCTCAAACATGGAAGTTCAAAGAATCTTCACAAATAGAAATTCAATAAAGAACGTTACGCTCTAATGTACGCTATTGTCACAATTGCAAACTGATTGCCTTGCTTCATTTTATTGTATTTTCACTTAGTTAAACTGAAGTAAAGAACAAACGAACGAAATAGATAATTGTTTTCTTGATATATCCTTTTAAGCATTGCTTGATATATCCTACTTTCATCTATAGATATAAGGCTTTTCTAAACTGGGGATTAACTATTGGTCTAGAATTCTTCACCTTACTGTTACTTAAATCAGATGCGCAGGACATATTTAGACCAATAATGATCGACTAGCCTGTTATTGAAAAATGACCAAATCTTATTACATTCAGTACAACATGATTGCAAGCTCCGTTATTTGCTTATATGGTCCTACTTAAAGACTCGTTGCTAACAATGAGCCATTGCGCTACGCAAGCATCCCATAATGCATTTTCAGACAGTCTAAATTCAAATTTGGCCTCAAAATTCAAAAATCCATAGAAGTTTCCTGCCATTGCTTGGGTCGTCGCAAAGGCTCATTATTAGCAATGAGTCTTTAAAGAAATAGAATACTTGCCTGCAGGAATGAGAAACAATAAGATGGTGATAAGGGCGATGAGAGCACAGGGAATCATGAAGTTAACAATGTAGTACAGCGGTTTGCGACGGAGCACCAACTTGTAGGACATCTGCGCAAACTCTGTTGTGTTGGAGAAAGCATGGTACACGCTTCCATAAACGACTCGTGTATCGCCTACTAACCATTCGCCATTTTCCTGAAATTTCGTAAGTCCTTGTTTTGAGATAACGTTTTTTGACAACGGAAGAACGTCCATGTGTAACGTGTCGAATTGAAAGGATCCGAATCGAAGTTCACAGACCTTGAAAGGTAATTTGGTAAAGAAATGTTATTATTGTTATCAACACTAACGTGGTAAGTCAATGTGAATTATACCGAAGTTCTTTTGAAAATTCTTTATATGGATGTAAAGTGCAGTAATCATTACCTGTTGATCAAATGGAAAATCTTTGACGGTGATTGGACAGGTGCTTTTCAGAATTCTTGGAAAAACAGCTGTTACAGTTCCATTGTACTTTACAATAGCCCTGGGAACAGCAATGGTGTCCAAGCTATCGTCAGCGCTAGGAGAAAAATAGTTTGTCTATATTTGTGACACTCAGAATGCTTATTCAATGCCTCTGAAGTATTTTCGTAGCCTTTAGTAGAGACTGTATATCTGAGACAGTATCTGAGACTGTATATTTATTAATCTTTCTTTTATCACATAGCATTTTGAGAAATCACAAACTGGCATTACATGTTGCTATATAAATATAGAAATTTGTCTTTTGATACTTCCGTAGCACAGTGCTCAATACGTTAGCACGTAGAGCGTGATATATCATAGAGTTGAAGAAAATAAGACTACATGGTTTATCTCTACAAGCCTGTTTCATGAGTAACTCATTCTTCACAGAACATCTCCTGAAGAGTGAGTTACTATATATATGATATATATATATATATATAAATATATATATATGATTTCTCTGATGTTCACATTAGATGTTGGGTATGTGTCGTGATAAATAGTGGAAAGGTAGTAAAGAAGCCAAGGAAAAAGATTGTATTTTCAGCTTAAAAGCTTATATCGACTTCTGCTAAATTTGCATTGCACCATGAAGATTTATCGTAGAAAATGTGTGAAAGTTTTTTGGTCTTGAAAAATACATAAAGCATGGAAGAATTCATTGTAAAATTGAGTTTCAAACCAAAAAGTGACTGCCTCTGAACTCTGGACAAATGCATTAGGCAGGATCTTTGATAATGTAAACTTTCCTTTATAATCTTTTATGCATCCTCTTTCAATGATCCCTCAAAAGACAACTTTTGCGCACTATTATGCAAGGCGCCATAGCATCTTATACTCACTTATTAAATAATTCGACCTGCGGAACCCAGATTAGAGAAACATCGATATTGAACTCTGTGATTCCGTTGTACAATGCAGGGTCCCATTTCAGGCGAACATCGTACCATTTCTGAATTAAAAACAAAACCAATTTTCACTTTATAGAATCTTTTGCGAAGTAGAAAATCGAATAAAACCATGACTTCGTATATAGGTATATATTTTTTAATAAAAACGCAGCCAATTCTTTTTACTTTTACTTCCTGTCTACACAAAAACCGGAAGATCTGTGATTGGTTGAACACAAATGTTTAAAATACGCCTTCAAGAGAAAAATCTATTTAAAACACATTTACTCTAGAAACGCATCGCTTCAGTGTTAAATACTTAAAATTGTTTTATTTTCATTCATTTTAAATGATTCTAAATAATTCATCTTCAATTTCACAATCTTTTGAAACGAAAACGTGTGGACACGATCCGGATCTCCAGTAAATAGACAAAAACTAAAAAGCTCCATTGGGTAACTTACCATCTTGATTATGACTCGAGTGGTGATTATTTGGCTCTTCTCATCCTAACAAGAAACATAAAACATATTATGCACACTAATGGTTCTAGATGGGAGTAACTCTAAAAACCTTAAAGACATTTCCAACTTAAGACTTTTAAGCCACTCGTTACACCCTATTTATGATTTCTTAAGAAAAAATCAATTTTGAATCGCTTAAACATAAAAATGTATGAACACTTAGTCGTTTGTCTCTATTCATACAATCTTTGCTGCTATAAATCGAAAAACCTCTCAGCTCACCAGCTTGATCAAATGTGCTAGCGTGAGACCATGGCGAACAATAACTTTCTCGTCGTACTTGAGGACAGGCCTAACTTCTGGCGAATATCTTGTTGAATTCAGCAAATAGTTGGCCAATCGGTTTTCTTCAGCGGAAATACTGTTCACAGTTGTAGCTAAATAAAATAAATCTGAATATAGAAGAAAAAAATGATACATTACCTCGACACACTACATCTAATCGATTAAGATTTAATTTAACTTCTTGGCTTCTTGTTTGTTACTCTGTATTTTATTAGTAAGTCACACAAAACTTGTTGTCTGATACTTGCAATTGTCACTTGGGTTGTGATGTTCCTCGGGAATTCTATCCCAAAACATTTTGTAGTACTTAGGAATAATGATTAACTATTTTTGTGCAAAGAGTTCTAACGTTTCACATCAAAAAAAGAACTTTTAAACTTTTGCAAAGCAACATCAAGTAATATAGGTCTAAGAAAAACAACATTAATCTTGTTTGATACATTAATCTGCTTTAAACTGTCTAAGATTTAACATGACCAAGAACGAGCTCATAGCAAACTAAACTGATTCTCAAAACAGTCGTACAATTTATTTTCTTTGTCAGTCTTTTTCTATTTTGTTTTTTTGCTTTTATATATTTAATTTAAAAAAAACTGAGCGTTTTAAAACATAAATTGCAAAACTATCAAAACATTTCTTGGTTTAGAGTTTATATTCTCTTCATAGAGAGAGAAAATTGTCGAGATGCATAATTTTGTAAATTCAAAACGTTTGTTCTGAAACATTGTTCAGCTGTTTCGCTTGTTTTAAAATAAAGTCGGGCAGTTTTGAACTAATTCTTGAAACCTTATGGTTATTTCGAAGTTTGAGGCTAGAAACCCTAGAACGTTTTCATCACCTTCAACATGCTAAGCGATAAATTTGTTCGTCGGGCAGTTTTGAACTAATTGAATGAAACCTTATGATTATTTCGAAATTTGAGGCTAGAAACCCTAGAACGTTTTCATCACCTTCAACATGCTAAGCGATAAATTTCCGTTTTTCAGGGTAATGGATGAATATAAGTATTTTGTGAGTTGGTATTATCTTCTCTGGCATCAGGTCCAAGAGAAATTTAAATGAATTGAAACTATGGACTTACCGTGTAATGTCAACGATGATAGAAAAATAAAAAACGCGCTCATGTCAGCCATGTTGATAAAAGAATCATTCCACATTTGTTGGTTACCGGACTGTGAGTTTCACCAAATCAATTCAACAGGTAAAGTTTCTCTATTAATGCCACCCGCTCGGTAGCCATGGTAGCAGGAAAATGCTTTCAAATCGATCAATACTAGAATAAATATTTCATTTTGGACGAACTTATTTTGATAAATTATAGAGCCTAAGATACCAACCTTTATAATTTGAAGACAACAGTTACTTTAAGGGCATTCGGCACCAGGTGGAAATGAAATTCAGCGTTCAGGTAAGTTTGATTTTAGGAAACATGACTTCATTTCATCTTAAAAACAATGAGCTCAATATCTCATATTTTGTCTGTCTATGTCTAAAACGTTCTCTTTGATACTCAAAAATCTTAGGCCATTAGAAGAATCAACTTTCAAAAAGAAAATATGAAAATCTGAAGTTGCAGGCAAAGCTGTCTATTATTAGGCAAGCGGGAAAGGATCTCAACTATATAAAAATCTTTAATACATATTTGAATAAAAATAGGAGCAAAATTTAGCCAGCACTCCACTAGAGTGACAGTTTTTCTAACAGATATTTAAGCCAACTAATTTTATCTCTAGCTCGTTGTACAGCAATGATAAAATAAATAAAAGGCAATATATTGTCGGGACACAAACATTGAGCTGGAGAGATTAAGGTAGAGCCATAGATAAATAAGAAAATATTAAATTTTTAAGAATTTTGGCTGCTTACAAACTTCATTTGCAGGGAACAAGCCTGAGTTGAACAAAGTCCAATCTTAGTTGGCCATTGAGATGACGTCTTAAAAAACAAAGATATGCTGTTACTGAAAACATTGTTACTTTTTGCTGTCTTTTGCCAAGGTAATGCTTCTATTTAAGCTTGATTAACATTTTATCCTAAAGGCATTTTCTGCAAACGTGATTGTTAAGGAATGCGTGAAGAATAATTGTTCGAAGGCGTTAATTAGTCACTAAGGAAGGTGGATTCTAAGTTTACACGAGCTAACCTAAAAGTGTTTTTTAAAGTATTTCGCTGTGACCAATCTCATACAAGTCCTAATTCAATGAATTCAGATGCTTTTTAACTAACGCTAAAAGCTATGCAGAAATAATAAACGAATTTTTGAACAGAAATTAAAGGAAGAAAATAGCTTAATAATGATTTTTTACAAGAAGAAGCAAATGCATTTCTTGGCTATTTCAATTTTTGTCTGCTTGTCTGAAATAGTATATAACATGTTCTAAAACCTTTTATCGCTATGGCTCTATATGTTGATATGGTATAGTAAGGAGAGATGATAAGCTTGTTTCCCTTTTGTTGGTAAAAACATTACTTATATGGATAGAATATTACATAGTTAAACATGTTTTTTGCTGATAGTATAAACCGGACTTTCATGGCTTTAAACTGACCAGTTAGCAACAATGAGCAATTTCAAGTATTTAATAAAAGAAATATTTTGTCTTTAGTATCATTAACAAGTTTTGTAAATTAGAAGAAAAGCAAGACAAGAAGATAAACAAATATTTCAAACAGATATTTTAACATTAGCTGTTTGCAAAGTAGAATTTTTTTTTATTTGTTAATTTTACAAACAGAACTTTTTTGTTTTCCAATTGATTTTTTGCAGCTATTGGCTGTTTTACACTGTGAATGCTTTCCTTTTGTGACAATTGCCACTACTCATAGAGATCTTATAATACTTCATATCTGTTTTGCAGTTTTCAGCACCTATGAAAATCATCGTCAAAAACACGCGTATGAAACCTTGATCGAAGACTTGCTCAAAACTGATCGATATGACAACAGAGTGCGGCCTATCAGAGACCCATCTTTGCCCATCAATGTGACCATAAGCCTGGCACTACATGTAATCGAGAATCTAGTAAGTTCTGATATTCAGTGACCCATAGCTATTTTAAATGGAAATTGATTGTAAGGACAGGCCTTTGTTTCTATGAAGAGACGGACAATAGCTTATTGTAATTGAAAGTGACTGTGAACGGAGGAGCACCGATCCCCCAAAAAGGCTCTGCGAAATTGAGCAATTGATAGTAGTAGCTACGCACTCCAATCCATACTTTCTACCAAACCATTTGCATTAAATGAACCGTTTCAGCCCTGAAAAACGGTTTGAATATTTCACTAAACATTTCACTAAACATTTCACTCAACTCTTGTTTAGTCAAAAGAAAAGTTTAAAGTTTTGATTCTGATCAAAAATGTTTAGTGTTGTTTAGCCAATGTTTAGTCGTTTTGCCACCAATTTAATATTTGTTGTGCTACTTGTCTTTCGGTTTTTCTGTCTCTACTTGACCTAAAATCTCTAGATTGCCATCGTGAGGCAACTGCATCATCTTGTTGTCATCCGTATTGTGTATTCTTCGACATTAAACTTTGTCATCATTGTGCTGAAAAGTCATTTTTTCCTGATGATTCAGTTCTTATTCTTATCCACTTCTTGAACTTTGAACAACTGATTTATGATTTGTGTCCTCTATCGTTATTTCATACTAACATACAAAACAAGCAGAAAGCAAACCACAAGACAACATCCCCTGCACCCTCACGGCATCCTTCAAAGCTCGCATTTCAAAAAAGGTTCAGCCAAGTTTGGTAACAAGTTGAGTGAAATGTTTAATGAAATATTTAGTCGTTTTGCCAGGGCATTAGGTTTTTCTCATATGTAGATTATGAATTATTGCTATCCATTTGAACGCGAGATTTTGCATGGCCTGAAAGGGGAAATCTTGTTAGAGGCACTGTGAGAATAACAGCAACGGTTTGATGAAAGAAAAAAAGCGTATTATTCTTCAAGCCAATATTTTTACTAAGTGCACGAGTATAATGTTTGAGATACCATGAATGCAATATCTTGCCAACATCAATGAAGTAAAATCTACTAATATCTCTTTTCCTCTAAAGGATGAAAGAAAGCAAGTTCTCACATCAAGAGTAGAACTATATCAGGTAATTATTCTGCTTCATTTAATCTAATCATTTTGAATGAAGTTAAGGGGAGGCAAACCAATTTGGTCACGTGGTGGGTAACAAAGTTTTTTTGCAGCCACCAAGTTAAAAATCTCTTTGAATAAATTTATAATATGGTTTACAATTTTTCGTTTGCCGGTAACAAAGGGCATACACATGTTTCGGACATCGACTGCGAGTAAAAAAAACACGATTTCCTTTCCAAGTTAATATCGAAATTTCATAAAAGAAGAGAAAACGTAAATATAGCCATAGGTGATATAATGTTTATGTAAATGATATAATTCATCTATGTCGTTTCCTTTCTAGAGTTGGTATGACTACCAGTTAAGATGGAACGCCTCACAATATGGTGGCATAAAAGTAATAAGTGTTTCTTCACAGCTAGTATGGACCCCAGATATATTTCTATATGGCCAGTGAGTGTTCTATAGATGAATTTCCTTTGCAGCTGCAAAATTCATTTTCTTATCAGTGTTTTTAACGATGATGCTTCTAACATGATATTTTTAAACTATAAATTTTTTATTTCCACTAAAAACCATCAAAATCTTTTATCAAATATTTTTATGTTTTCGTGAGGTCATTTTATCAATCTAACTGTCTGATGCTTCTTATCAGTCATTATTATTTTTGCCTATACCCAGATTTGCTAATTTGAACTTACAATTATTCGAGAAAATTTTTGATTTCGTTGAATGTTGAGGTAATTATTCAGCTGTTTAATTAAGACCTAGCAGTTAACTGAATATGTCATATCGTAAAATATTTTGTCGGTCAATCCTCTTGATTTTGGCAAATGGTCCTGGTAACATACGTAATCAAAAGTACAGCAAAACCTATGTTATTCACAAATCCAGCTAGAAAAGTAATTTTTGTTTTTTCATATATGTCATCAAATCATATCAAATCCATACAATACTCTACATCATACAAAGTGGTGGAAATTGTGGAAAAAAGGTGGCCCAAACAAAAATATCAGAAACACACTCTGCTTGCTCCATTGCTTACTGTGCTTCGGAAATTCACTCAAAATGATAAAACTTCGCTATCGATTAAACATTAACTCTGCTAATTGAACATTCATTTTCTTGAAACAGAGCCGAAGGTCGATTCGGAGCCGGACGCAAGAGGAACAACGCAGTCGTAAACTACAACGGTATTGTCACCCTTGACTATCCTGCCATCTTCAAAACGACGTGCGAGCTGATCATTGACAAGTACCCATTTGACTCCCAGCAATGTGATATAAGGCTTGGAAGTTGGGTATACGACACCAGACAGCTGAAATTGTTTCTCAAGGTGAAATTCGCTTTTTAGCTACCTTTTCTCGCGATAGAGCTGCTGATACCTTAGGATATAGACATATGCAATGTTCATTTAGCTCGTCTATGATTGCTTGATAATAAGATTAGAAATTGCAGTTCAGCCATATCTTAAAAGAGGTTTTGACCAGACATTCACTGGAGAGTTTTATGATATGTGATTCAATTCACACAAGCATTCAGGGAACTAGTTGTCTGCATCGATTTAAAACTTGTGTCAATTTTTCTTTTGATAGATTTTGGAATCTGATCAACAATTCATATCCATAAATTCTTCCATTTTGCATAAAATAGAAAATAACAAGGAAAAGTTACGTCACCTCTAATTCCGTTTAGAGAGGAAAACAAGCATAAGTCTTATAACAAGTGGTCCCCTTCTTACACCTATGGAGTTTACGCTTATGTGTGCTTACAGCAGATAGGGTTTGGATGGTTTCAATGCACGGACAAGAGTAGCTCTGTCCCTCTTTTGTGTCTTTGACTCTCTCTATGTACAATGCCCACAAGTGCTTATGGCCTTCCACATTCTTCGATTTCTTGCATCATGTAGCATGTAATTTGCCATGGATGGTAGCATAATCTTCTTCTGTCTTTCTTGCCTTGAATCTTTCCCGTCACTTCTTTCACATGATCTATAGTCTCTGACTTTCTCTAATGTCTATCCCGATAGTTCTTCGTCGCTTTGGTATCTGGAGTACTTCCTCGTCTTTTCCTTGCGTTTTTTATAAAACAGAACGGTGTATTGTTTTTAGGAGCCGTCAGTGAACACTAAGCATTACGTACCAAATGGTGAATGGGAACTCAAGTCTGCGACGATGAAACTAAATGAATACAATGGATCAAAGATATCCTGGGACAGCGCCGTGATTTCCTTCCATTTAAGGCGTCTTGCATTGTATCATTCCATGTATTATCTTATTCCTTGCGCGATGATTGGCTTAATGACTATAATAGTCTTTGTTCTGCCTGTCAACATGAACGAGAGAATGACAGTGGGTAAGCAATAGCTTTCACGAAGTAGGTCGTGCAACTTTATTATAGTATGGAAGTGAGCATAGGAAATAAACAATTCTATGCAGATGAATATATTGTGGGCTATCCAGTACAAAACAGTTGGCTTTATTGTAAAGAAGATAAACTGCAGCTAATATATATTTTCAATAAATAGTAAACAGGGACATGTGAACAGGGTAATGTAAAAAAGGCTAGATGACAGAGGGCTACGAAAAACAGAGAGGAAGTCCTGTTCATTGAAACGTTAGTTCAAATGAACAGCCCACAAAGGTGATTTTGGTTTTTGGGCAAGATGTGCAACTTTGCCTTTTACTACCTCTACCTCATACTACTTGAATTTCTTTACAACTGTCTTTTTTTTCTTACTTCAACTTCTGTTAGTTTACCCTGAACTTCACGAAAGCATTTTTCACATAATGAGGTAGCTGCAATTTTCAATCCTTTGATTCATTATAGTTTGTTCTTTCTCTTTTTCTTTGTAACTTTAAATTCATCAGTTTAACTCAAACTTCAACTCAAACATACTTCGCTCATTACTTCCCAAGGCCTAACCTTGTTGATCGCCCTGAGTTTCTTCTTCTTGCTGATGGCCGAGAACTTGCCAGCCATTGCCAAGACGATCCCCATTGCTGCCAAGTACTACACCGCAACAACCGTTCTCAGTGCCATTGCCTATTTCATGACATGCATTGTTCTGAAATGCCACTTTAGCAACCCTTTGGAAGGAGACGCGCCAAACTGGATCCGGGTAAGCTCACTTTTGTTTCACCAACTAACTTTTCACCATTTCTTTTTAATCGCACACACAGGAGCACCCCTGCATAGACCTGCCTTGTCGTACACCAAATAAACTTGGGTTTTTCATAGCAGCAATCTAATATAATTTAACCAAAGGAGAGCATTTAATATGAATAGAATTTGATTTCATTCGATATCAAAGCTTTCGTACCGTAACAATAATATTATTTCTTATCACATGGCTAGTAATAATCGCCTAATTTTACAAACTAGTTATCGCCCTTCCATAAGCATAAGCAAAAACTTTGAAACCTTTCCTCAAAAATGTGAAAACATGGCCTGGTTCAGGCGTGGTAAATGCCTTCGTCTTCGATGACTTTCTTCGTGGTATTAAGGCTTGCAATTTATCTTGATTCTGATCAGTTGTGACCATGAACCCTGTAGCGTTTGTTTGGTAAAACAAACATCAGCATTAGAGCAATTTTCTGCATTTTCTGCAAAGTTTTGAAGTGTTTACATTCAATGTATGCATGATTTTTAGGTATTGGTACTAGATTGGATTGCTAGCATTATATTTATGAAAAACAAGAACGAGGCTGATAATGACAGCGATAACGAGTTTGCAGGAAGGCAGCTAGAAGATAACAACAAGAAAGGCAAGTATCTTTGTAATGAAAAAAAAATGATTCAGCATTATAATTTCGCTGCCAAAATAGTTAACTTGTATCCATCACTATAGACATTCAATCATTCTCTTTCGATTGAAGAAAATACCAAATATTGTGCAAGCGTTTTTGTCACAAAATTCCCAGTCACTTAAAATAAAAGCTAGTCAGATAGTTCTTATTCTTGTTGAATTATCTTCATCCATACTTACTTTGGTGTGTAAAGCACAACGGTTTTAATTGGCTCAGCATTATTTTACAACTCGAAGAATACTGCTCTACACCCCTAAAGAACGTTCATATTGGCATATGCGGTACCGAATGCTCTTCGACAGACAAGCTGTAAGCTTCTTTACTCGTACATCTAAATCTGATTTTGCAGTTTATCAAGGACTACATAGCTCTATCGAGATTCAAATTTGGCTTTTTAAAGAACATAGCTAATTTTTACAGAGTTCAAGAAAAGGGAGATGACAAAGGAAGAGAGGAGGTCGAACAGCGTGATCAAAAACAGTGTTCGCTTGCAAGCAACATTGGATGGAAGAAAGGAAGAATGGAACAAGATCGCACATGTCCTCAATCGACTTTTCATGATTCTTTATACTTCTTCATTCTTATTAGTAACCATCATGCTGTTAGCATCAGCTGTTTGGTAAACAAAAACAAAAGTTGCATAACAGTCGTTGGAATTTACATTTAAAAGTGGCTAGGCCATGTTTTGATTTCCGTCAGTGACAAAGTGATAGGTCTTTCATATTTGAACAGCCATTGCAAAGAGACCTTCACACTATGAACGTTGAACTGACTATGTATTGCTATTCAAAATAACATACCAGCATGTTATCCTTTAACACTCTAATGGATTTTTTATTAGCTATGTAAAAGTTGTACTGAATTTCTTTCGTTCTGAATCATTTATAAACTAGCGAGTTCCATGCGAACATCTACTTTTGTTAGCACAGTCTAACTTTTGCACGTTTCAACGTTTACACTTTGTTTTTAAAATTCTGCATTCAAGGAGAGGCTGAGATCTCGAAAATTTAGACATACAATTCCACAATGGTATACTGGCTATGGAGAACATGGATAGAAAATGAAAACAGTGTCTAGGCACTGCAGAGCATTGAGAAAAGTTGGGGGTCTGAAAATAGGGAGTAGAGCTAAAACCGAATGAAAAGAGACTCAACTGGTGGTTCTCTTTGCATTCAGGGGGCTATAGCCCCCAGCAGTGCGTGGTGGCACAATAAACAGTATTCAAATAGACGATATATCTCCACATCTTATATTGATGTTAAAAGTTGATTAAAGTTTTCACAGAGCTCGATCAAGCTGAAAAATTAGGTGAATTCAATGAACTAGTGAAAAGGTAGTGCCTTCTTTGGGAATATGGAACATTATGAAACAAGTGACAAAAATTCACCGTTTTTATTGAATATAATATCTACTCCCTCCCATTGATTAGCCCCAATGGCAAAATTTGCGACTAAATAGTCTGTAAACCAACCAAACTCAAAAGGTCGTTGAAGTCTGCTTCTTTATGGTTTACATCCAGTCAAACGCTCACATTAACAATGGTTCTGGGCATACCAATTGGGTAGAAAATTACAGCCAAGGGGAATTTAAGTGACCACTGCAATTGGATTTACATAAAGTATTTAGGTTCTTTGTCTCGATGGATCTTTTGTCGATACTACCTGAAGGCCAGAGCGCAGAATTATACATAATTTATACTGAATGAAGAATATCTGTGCAACACTTGCTGCAATTTCCAAATATAATATTTATTCATATTATCATTAAATTTAAAGGAACAAGCAATTTATTGCATAACGATATCAGTACGCAGCATGGGCATAAAGACCCCTTGGCCATTACACTTAACATGTGAATTAATGTCACAAAAAAAGAAAGATATAAAGAAATAAATAAAAGAAAGATAATTATACTTGAAAGGTAATTTGCACATCATAGTTGTCCAACATAAAAAGGACCCCACGAATGGCGAACGCAGTCCCTGCTCTAACGAACGACCTGCTGGAGGAAAACTCCAAGCGAAACGAAAGACGCACCTACGTATGTGATGTAATCAGGGACTGCGGAAGCGGGGGTGCTACGGGGGCTTTAGCCTCCCCCAATAATTTTCAAAATGTACTTAAAGTCATACCAAAAATCGCCCTGCTTTTAATTTTCAAAAGATCCCGACTAGTGTGGACCGAGGGGTGATTCACTCTTGCAAATAGCGTACGAGATTTTGCTTAAAACAAGAGGATTTCTGGGGATTTTCAGATAAAATAATAGGATTTTCACGAAAGGTGTACGAGATTTTCTTAGAGTGATTTGCCCCTCGGTGTGAACTTGAAGGATTCGTCTTTCTGTTGGCCCCATCCTACCAATATATGTATACTGCAAATAAAATTACACACCAAGCTAGCTATTTAGAAAAAAAGGGACCCAGCAAATGAAGAACCTCTTGAAATCGAGTGAAACATAATTAACAAAAATGCAAAGCCCAAGCCCAGGTTCTTCAGCGACCAGGTAGTAGCCCCTGCTGGCAGCATACTTTTCTGAGAAACCTCGTATTCGACAAAAGAAGCCAACGGATAGTGGGGACCAGTGAATGGGACTTGGTAAGTGGAACAGGACTGTTTGAAAGTGGGACTGTACTGTATTGTTACCGTTATTGTCCTTCCTTCGTTTTGGTGAATACACGGTAAGCTAAATTCAACTTGTAGGTTCTCATATAAGTAATATTTGAATAGTGCTATGGTGCTCGCCGTTTTAGGCCGATCATGCATGGTCAAGGATGATTTAGTGGTGTGATGGAGTACAAATAACATCATGGGGAAGGGGCGAAACATCACCACAGTCTCGCAATGTTTGTGAATGATTGAGGGTGCCCAGTAGTGGGTTTAAGGGGGGCAGCTAGGGGCCCTTGCTCCTCCATGCTGAGTTAAAGCAAGTCTGGCACCCATAAAGAATGATAATCTTGTGAAAAAGTTTCTGAGACCTACAGGTTAATTTACATCAAGGATTACCCTAAAGTTAACTTTTTATTTTGAAAATGGATCATGTTCTGCTAGAAAAGTAACCCTTTTGAAGACAACAAGGATATCCATAAAGTTGTGTTCTTTAACTCTTGCCTTCATTCAAACAGTGTTCAATTTTTTGCTCTTAAAATTTGTCCAATCTTCATGCCATCGTGGCACTGATTGGTCAACTATACCGGTCTTGTGCTTGCGTTTTTCTGATTGGCCTATTTCGATCCACAACCAGGTATATATTTTTCATCATGTTCTTTCGGACCCTGATTCTGATGTTTTATGCTCTTAGGAGTGTCAGACGAAAAAGCTTTTAGTATGTTGTAAAATGTTTGCTTTTTTCAAAGCCATTTTCAAATTCTGTACTGCAAAAAAATTGTTCTTCATGCCATAATAAAACCAAATAGAACTATGGAACATAATTGTGATAGAATATTTGTCTGTTGTGCCTATGATCCTTGGTTTTCAGTCGATGTTGTAATTATCTCAGACCCATTTTCTGGCTAATTCTAGAATGTCATAGTTGCAAAAATTTTTCTGCTGCTAGCCATTGTAGCCGCCGCCTTCATAAAGCCCTGGACAATCAACCTTGCCTTTTGCAATAATGACATACTATTGAATGTTAGGAGTTCATTAAAGTACTGTCTAACTGTAGAGCCATACTCCAAAATTAAACCAAAAGCTGCAAATTTTCACTTTGGCAGAGCAGTGAATGTTCAGCCGGAAAATTTATCTAAATAAAAGAGAAATTTTAATGAGACCTTCAGTTGTGCTCAAACTATATATCATTGTCTTGTTGCAATTATTGTGAAAATTTCCTTAGATAGTGAATAGAGAGCCTTCTGTCAGTAGTTAGGGTATGAAATTCTTGTATACAGCTATCCTGTGTTCACAGACCTACCAAGTCACACGCATTTTGTGTGAGACACACGCATTTCAGTCCTTTCTCACACTCACATGCATCCAAACAGAATTCTCACGCAGTAAAAGAAAAGTTTTTCACTTCTAGTTGAGACCAAACATTTTCCCTTCCTTATAAAAAATTGCACTCATTTTCAAAACTGAAACTTGACAGGTCTGTGTTCAATATCATAAAAAATACATTTTAAACATAAACAAAACAGAATTAATTTCCAATACTTTAATGCTTGGTTTTTGGCCTTTCAAGGCCCTTACGGGAGAAATCCTTACCTGGAATAATGCATTATGGTTAAAAAAGAACCTTAACTTTGAGCCTTGGCACTGCCTCATCTGGACCCCCTATCAGCGCTAGTGGGTCATATTAACAAAGTTGTCTGTAAGGCATTTTATTGCATTTCAATTTATTTTGAGGCATTGTTTGTGCAAAATCGTATACATTTAGTCCCTTTAAAGCTTTAGACTGCTGCTTTGGGCTTAATGTTTATGTTAGCATATTACGTTCTTGCTTGTTTTTGTAATTGTTTTTGTGAATTTTATAAAGTTTAGAATATTCTTTGATATTTTATGGTATTGATCAATTCCACAAAAACCACAGCCAGCCTTCACATCTTTTTTAACATACCAAGATACTCACTAACATGAAAATAATAAGAACAACCTTGTAATTTTCATTGTGAATTCTCTTCCTTTTTTTGAATATGCATTGATATTTTATATGTGGTGATACATCTTTGTCTTTGGCCCCACCACCCCTTTGATATTGTATTAATATGTAATTAAGTTGATATTATATTGTAATATGTAACTGATGTTTGTCTCTTCTCCTCAAGGAAAGATTGCAGAGCAAAGCAGTGGGCATTTCAAATATAAAGGATGGTTTTGACTGTAAGCAGCAAGGTGGAAATACCACTTGTCATTGTAAAAAGCTCAGTTGAATCTCGTGAGCGCAAATACAAATGCACTGTCTGTGAAGAAGTGATTGACAGATTATTCATGTTTGAAGACCACTGGCTACATCATTTAATTGATGGTTTTAAGCCAAACGCAACACCAAGTTTTCAGAGGGTTAGCTCTGTTCAAAGCTTTCAAAGGGAACCTGGAGCACAGATAAAATGTAAAAATTTAAATACAGCTAGTGATTACAACATCAATAAAGGAAATATTTTTGCACTTAAAGCTAAAGTTTTGAATGAACAGGTAAGTATATATAATTTTTCATCTTTTTTAAAATGGGGGCTCTTTTTTGTCTCCAAACCGCAATTTTTAATTTAGGTACTGCACATATGCACAATTAACTAGACAGACTGCTAAACAAGAAATATTATGCTGGTAGGTAGCATTTCAACAGGTAGCTTAGTTAATTTTATCATCACATAGTTTTCATGGCAGCTCCTTAGACCTGCCAATCTTAACCTGGAGAACAGGTTTTCCAAGCGAAGTTTGATAAATTCATGATATTCTTCTCAACATATCTGACCACATCTTCAAGGCCACATTCTTAAATATGTTTTTTCATCAGATCTTTATCATTTCTTGATTTATTTTTTCTTTACCAGCCTGTCCTAGCATGCTCCATGCCACATAGGCAAAGTAGTTGTATGCAATTATGTTGTATAGAATGGGACAGTTCTAAGTTGATACTCTGCATTCCAAACTAAATGTGACCCAGGCAACTGAACAGCTCAGAAAAGAAAATCAGAGATCAACACCCTGGATCAAAATTATGCCAGAAAGCGATCAAGAAAATTTTGCTCTGAAAATTATCCATTCTAAAGCTTATACCTTTCACCCCTTAGAATATTTGTGTACTCTTTGTTATTCTAAACAAAAATATTTCTTATAAATTGCAGATATCACCATTTGAAAAAGAAGAGACTGTGATAGAAGAAAGTGTTTTAGAAGAAGCTGTTGAACTGACTGAGGATGAAGATGTGACAGTAAGCGAATACATAGAACAAGGAATTGATGAAAGTGACGTTGAGAATGTAAGTTGTTTCTCGATTAGTTTCTTTGGAGAGAATAACCTTGACAAAGCCCCATGTCTGCTCACAAATATCTTCCCAACAAAGTTCTTAAAATTGAGAATGGAGTTATTTAGTTATTTTAGCTAATTTGTAACTGTCTCACAAAGAGAAGACAGAAGAAATGGTCAAAATCAAAGGTTCCTTTAGCATATGGAAAGAAACTGCCTTAGGTGTACCTCAAGACTCATCTTAAGATCTTACTCTTAAAATTTATATCCACTGGCAAAAAGTGATGGTATTGATCAACTTACTTTTTCTCGTTTTCAAAAGTTTAGCCTTATGCAACAATACTGCATAAATTGTCAAATCTGGGACAAAATTTTCAAATATGGTAAAGTTTACAACTAATATTGACACATTTCCATTACCAAATTTGGACCTTGAAGATTCAGATTTTGACTGACAAAAACCTGAGCAGTAAATCACTCTATGGTAGAAATCGGTAAATCCTGGAAAATATTTTTTGTGGAAATCTAGTATTTTCCTTTTTACCCACAGTTCAAGCTTGAGAACTTTCCAACATAAAAATGATTTTTCTGAAGATCTGTCAAATTTTGAAAACCTTAGAGCCACAACCCCCTCCCCCTGACCATGATGCTTCTGCTCAAGATGCTAATATATAGGGTATGAAACCTCAAAAGCTTTATGAATTTTCCTATCTACACCACTTGATTGATATTTACCTTGATCGTTGGAAGATCTTCTTTTGCAGGTCTATATGTCCTTTGCCTGCTACATCATTGACAAAAAAGCCCATCTTCCTTTGAGCAATTTTATTGATATTTACCCTGATCATAGCGAAAACGGGAAGGTTAAAATTTTGATCACTGCTTGATGACTGCCATGTTTCCTTTAAACAAAGCAAAGCGATTATCCACAATAAGGAGCAAGATAAGCAATATTCAAAGAGTTTGCAGATGTTGCTAAGCTTATGAAAAACAAAACTTCCAATATTTCGTTGAAGAAAACAATTTTATGAAGGTTAAAAACAACGGTCAAATAAACACCTCATGGGTGCGATCAATTGCTTGCATTATTGGCGCCATGCGTGTGCGATCCCACGCATTAAACAACGAAGTCTGGAGACACTATCGCCAGATATTGAAAAATGAGACTCCCTTCAGATATTCAAAATACTTTAATGCTAAGCTTGAAACTGAAGATTATGTAATTTTTTTATCCAAATTAAAGTCTTTTTATTGTTCAATCTATTATACTAAATGTACTTTTCTTGTAGTAATTTGTAAGTATTTTTCAATTATAGTTTGCCTTAATCAAAATTTTAGGCTATAATCAAAGAATCAAAGAATCTATATAAAACAATTATTATAATGAGAATAGCAAAGTTTACACATCCTAATCAAACTATGCCTCAAAGCTTTCTCACGCTATAATCAAGTTTATGATTTTCTGCTCTACACTTGATCTTCCTGACCAGGGTTGGTGTATGAAAATTAAAATACAAACAAAGACAAAATTTTAGATAAAGTGGTCCATGTTCACCAATCAAAAATAAAATCTTTGTGAGATCAGCCACAGTTTCTTTTTTGTTGAAACAAAAGAAAAGTCATGTTTTTGGTCACTGGTATTTTATGCCAATGATTTTATGAGATCCTGTGTGTTATACGACAAGTTATATTTAGGTGACTTGGTACCTTTATTGAGTTTAAAAACCATAATTAAAAACACACACAATCATAATTAGAAAAAAAAATAATTTCAAATTATTATCCTGTTTGTGTGTTCTTAATTATGATTTTTAAATTCAATAAAGGTACCAAGTTACCAAAATATAAAGACAAGTAATAGTTAATCTATTATTTACTTACAGCTAGATTCATTTGCTGATTTCTCTGTACTGCTTAGGCTCAATGATTTTCCTTTTCTGTTTCAGAAGTGACTTTTTGAAACTACACTTCACTGTACTCTTCCTTGATCGTCACTGTTTGTCTTAGCAATAGGTTTTAAACCGAAATGTCATACAAAATTCAATGGACCAACTGATTAACAAATTATCCATCCAGTATTTGTGTTGACTGAAATCAAAATATGCTACTTTGTTTCTTTTTCCAGGAAGATTTTTCATGCAGCATTTGCGGGGAAAATAACCAAGATATATTCTCTTTGAAAAAACACAAGGAAACAGTGCATAACAAGACTTTAATTGGAGAAAAACGTAAAGCTGGTGAAAATGCTTTGGAGCCAAAGCTAGAAGCTAAAAGGGCTCACTCTCAAACAAATTATTCATGCCAATTTTGTCCAGAAGTTTTCATTGGTTTTTCTTTGCTTAAAAAACATATGCGTAACCACCACCCAAAAGAGGAGAAGAATTTTTGTAATATATGTGGAAAGTACTTTAGCTCTCATTTTTCGCTAGTAAAACACTCAGTTGCGCATTTAGCAGCGCAATTAAGAGACGAGGTTTGGGATACAGAAAAAGAGGCACTGACTTGTCCAAGTTGTAGGTCTGAATTTATGACCGGCGAAGAATTACAGGTGCATGACTGCAAAATAAAAAACAATCAATGCCATTTCTGCAGACAAAAGATGTCGAGAGGTGACCATCTTAAGATTCATTTGGTAGATCACGTGAAGGCAAAAACACACTACCAGTGCTCAGTGTGCCAATGGAAAACACACAAAGTCAACGACTACGCCAAACACATGGCTGGGCATTCAACTCATCCGAAGCCATTTGTCTGTGAAGACTGTCAAAAACGTTTCAAGACATTAAGGGAACTTAATAAACATAAGCGTTGCCATGATAAAAGATTCGAATATACTTGTCCAGAGTGTGGAGAAGTGATTGCAAATACAGCATTGATAAGAAAGCATATGGCAGCCAAGCATAATATTCGGGATGCTGAAAGGAGGTTCCAATGTGACAAGTGTCCAAGCAAATGCTACACTCGCGGCGCATTAGAGGAGCATCGTAAGGCCCATGGGAACCTGGAAATTGCAGAGTGTAAGTATTGCCCAGAGACGTTCTCAAATCGTCGGCTTGCATTATTGCATCAGCAAGAAGAACACGAGGGCAGGGTATATAGGTGTGAAGAATGCAAAACTAAGTTTACAAACCAAAAACAGTTAGATGATCACATTTCAAAGCATGGGAACATGCATGGATTATATTTATGTGAAATCTGCGAGGAAAGTTGTCCTGCTCAAGCATGGCGTTCACATTTGCGTCAACATGGTAGATTTGTGTCTCAATGCGCAGCATGTAATGTTGCTCTTGACGACACGAAGGTCATGTACCACAAGACAGCACACTTGCAGCTCAGTACGGTTGTAAACAAACAGTGCAGATTATGCGGAGAAGTGCTGGAGACCGTAGAAGAGGTCCATAAGCACTGCTTGGAGCATCATGGTTTAAGTGATTATACTTCTTATGTGCTACCAGAAAATCTCATAAGCGACTCTTATCCTGTGACAATGCAGCCAATTGGTTGGGCTTGCCCCATTTGTGAAGAGAGTTTTAGGGTTGAGCCAGATTGGATAAAACACATCGAGGGACACACATTCAGCGAAACAGCGGCTGTAAAATGCAGCATTTGTAAAGGTCTCTTTTTTGACAAAAAAATCTTTATTAAGCATTTGGCAAACTGCGTGAAAAGGAAGAGACATGCGAAGAATCCAATTATCGGAAAGGCAGATGACAATGGAATGGATAATGCCACAAGCAGAATGAGCTCCAAGGGAAGAAATACGCCACAAGACGAAAATAATGAGACAAAAGCCTCGTTTGATGGCAGCGCTACGGACGTTTGCACTACGGACGTTTGCACCACGAACGGCAGCACCACGGACGGCAACACCACGGACGGCAACACCACGGACGGCAACACCACGGACGGCAGCACCACGGACGTTTGCACCAAAGAAAAAGCTAACTTTGATCAGCGCCCAGTTATGTGCGTGCTTTGCTTTCATTTCTTTGAAAGTGCAGAAGGCTTGGGATATCATTTGCTTACGTCGTGTGAACAACTGCTAGAAGAAAAATGCTGGAGATGTCACAAGGAATTTCCAAACATTGTTAAGCTCAACAAGCACATAAAGGAAGTGACGAAACCTTGCTCCATTATGAAACCTCGTGAACCAAAAATTGGTCGTGATGTATATCCATGCGAGTACTGTCACAAAAAATTCAGCGAAGGTTCGTTCTTAAAAATGCACATGCTACAGCATCATGATCCTGGAGAATATAGTTGCTTAAAATGCCTGAGGACGTTTGAATTAAGAGTTCTTTTGGAGAATCATCTTTACGGCCATGCAGAGGAAGACCAAGTGTCAATGTTTTGTGTGGCATGTGGGAAATTGTTCAATCGAATGTTTGATTTACAAGAACATGTAAGGGTTCATAAAATTCAGGCAAAACAATAAAAGAACTGTAGGCATGGATTCAATGATTTACTTTCATATTTGTTAAGGACTGATCATCTCTATTTCTAATGAAAAGAGGATTATTGTGTTTAGTTGAGGAAAATCGATTGGGCAATAGACAAAGAACCAACTGCAGGTTCTCACTGATTTTCAGAGGCAATGAACCCCCGCGTCATAAATTTTTACAACATATTTTATTCTCCTATAAACCAACCCTGCTTGGAGCTTTGTAAAGAGTATGTATAGATTTTAATGCAAGCACGTCACGGCCTAAAAACGTGTGATCGCTTTTATTTTAATGACCTAGAGTTATGTAAACGCAGAAAGTCAAACTATTTTTATCTAGCTTCTATAAGAATTTTAAGTACATTGCCAGATTTTGTACAAAATTTAATATATAAAAATTCATCTGTTGATCGTACATAGCTGTGCAAAAATAAGAATGTTGTTGTTCGCTGCTTCTGTTTCAACTTCTCTGTAAAATGTTCAGCAACCTCTGTCCAATGCAGCATAACCGAACAGAATGCAGTTAATTGAAACACCAGTCCAGTTTCGAAAGGGCCTAAAAATTCTGCAGTAGCAAAAACAAAGTATCGTTACTTTGCAATAGCAAGTGCCTATTTCCATGTGCGAGATGTAACAGTATCTCCTCCGGTGAGAAACGAAGTGCCATTTGATACGGATCCAAAGTGGAGCTTACATCATATCCAGCTGTCAAGGAAAACGGAAGCTGTGAAATTATTTGTGCCTAGCAGTATTTGTAAACATTTCATATAGGATGGAGGACCATCGATTTTGTAAATGCAATATATTAAGTAACAGTTCATGTGCAAAACTGTTGTACTTATTCAATGCCGGGAAAAACATACATTTGCGTTTGGCATCAGCCTACCCGCCCTTTATACTACAGACACCCACTCACTAATTAGAAAATGCAGGCTGGCCTTATCATACAAAAATTAATTCCTTGAAAAAAACAAAATTTATACCGCGGAATCCCAATTTAAAAGACCCAAAACAGAACGAGCTTTCCATTTAACGAATTTAACATCTGGTTTCCTGAAAAATGCGTAATAAGAGTCCTAGTTAATGAACCTTCAGTTAAGCAGACTAACTACTTTTGGGTTCCCTTCAAGATTATTTATATAAGGGCTTCACAGTATTTATTTTTACGTTTCTTACTTTGCCATGAGAAGAAAAACCTGATTCAGGTGACATTCTGAGTACGAGCCACTGGTCCTCTGTTCAAGTACTAGGGTTGGCCCGATCAGTTGTACCCTGATTGGGCCAACCGTAGATTTTAACTTTAAAAGGTTGCATAAATCGTGAACGGGCATGTTCGTATATTTCTTACCAGGTCATCGACATCTTTCACATCTTCTTGAACAGCAGCAGTCTTTTCGGTATTGTTCTGTTGTGATCCAAAAAACTGAAAGGATACATTGAAGGAAGTTATTTGCAATCATCATTCAGTAGCAATGTGTGGGCCAGGTAATTAAAAAAATTATAACGGTGCTCAACTCGGAAACAGCAGCGAATAAAATTGAGATTAAAAAAATTATACATTGGTTATTTCAAGAGATATCGGACCTTGACCCTGGTTATCTTTGAAAAAGATCAAGTAATATTTAATTTATACAGGAACTGATCTTAAATCACGGAAAAGTGTCTAGCAACAAAATAGGTTTCTTCTTCCTGTTAATAGATAATGTATAAGCACTGTTTTACTTTAAATTCTTTCATCAGCAGCTGAGATCTTTGCACGGCAGCAAAACAAAAAGTATTTCAAGAACTCTCGATCGCTCCCACTTTGCCCGACTGAGCAACACGGCTGCTTATTTACATTATATTCGCTAGAAACTAAGAGCCGTAAAAAGAAAAAAATGTTCTTGGGATTAAAGTTGTTATGTAACTTACTTGTGCCGCTTCCTTTTCTATCACGTGGCTTTTCGAACATTCCTCCTGCGTTATTAGCCCGATTCTCTCTAAAAGTATAAATCTCAAATAAAAATTCAGACTGCTTTCTTTAGAATGTAAATAGAAACAATGATTAATTCGAATTCAGAAGTTTTCAGTCGAAGCACAAATTACCTACATAAGACAATTTTCATAAAAACTAACTGTTAGAATTACTAGGGATGAGTACAATGAGATATGAGAAAACAATTCGAAAACTAGCAATAAAGCATTTTTAGATAAAAGTTGGCTGTGGGGCATACGGAAGAACTCGTAAGAGCTATCTTATTGTAGGCCTCGTATGATTGTTGCTTTGCTATGACAACAATCTTCATATCATTACGGCAGAAATCAAAACTAAACTGTGAACAAACCCAAAAGTGATTACATTTTAAAAGCACATTAACAAAATTTATTCATATCAATCCTGTTCATTCTGAACCTGGGGTAGAAGGACAATGAAGAAAGCAGGGGTACCATAACAAGCGGGGATTGAGAAATCTTGTCACCCTTACATTTTGAACAGCTGTCTTAGAAAATCGAAAGGGAGGGATGGAATAGTTCTGTACACTTTCGTGTGAGGTGCCGCCGAAAAAGAGGCTATTACCGTATTTGATATAAATTAAGTTCAAGAGATCTTGGGCATTAAGTCTTAAGCTAAGATCTCGGACATAAACGTTTTAAATCAAGATGCTGTCAAACTTGAAGAAAGTGGCAAAAACAGCACGATCAATTAGCAAAGTTAAACATAATTCGATGACGTTTGAGAAGAGGGAATCTCAATTGACTAACACCAGGATTATTGTAGGGGTAAGGTTGCGTATGCAAAAAATCAGCCCGTAATTCTCGTATTTGACTTATTCCAATCACAAAGCTTGATTTTTCAAACTAACCCGTAATGATAAGTTCCCAGAAGTCATTTCTCCGCTTTCCTTTCATTGATTCTTTTATCTTCTGTAAAAGCTCGTTGAAAATGTCAATTTCTCCTCCCTCAAAAAAGAAAGAGATACTCTTACTTTAAAGTTTGTCGAAATTATATCCGTTGAAATACACGATACATATAAGAAAAAATCCATCAAAATTGGCTAAGATTTCTGTAATGCAACTTAAAAAGTATCTTCATTATATTTTTGACATTGAAACGTAAAAGAAAAAAATACATTTATAAACAGAGGTTTGAAGGCCTTGAAAACTAAGGGAAATACATTGTAAATAATCAGCTTCTGTCACGTTGTTTCACCCACGTGTGCACGTTGTTTCACCCACGTGTGCACGTTCTGGTGCATGTAAACCCTGATGATCGCATTAATCTCAGAGCAATAATTAAGCAACCTTGTAAGTCCCTTTACACACATGAGAAAGTGAGTACACCTCGATAGATCATTCAGAAACAGATGAGCGACATGTAATCTTCATAGAGAAATAATACTGTGATTTTGATAGCATAACCAGCAACACTTACCTGTAAAGACTCTTGGCGCAACGCCTTAAGGCAATCAAGCGCTTTCTGATAATACTGATCGAGGAACGAATCGTTGACTAGCTGCAGGATTCGTTTGGCAAGTTGCTGGCTCACTGAAAAACAAACAGTATCATCGACTAGCTTCATGACGTAGCAAGGTTCGTCGAACTAAAGCCGTCTAAAAATTGACCCACTCATTAAGCCAGCTAATAGGAACATCGCTCAAAATTCACAAAGAATAAAAAGGACATGATAGCTATAAGTAAAGGAACAAAGACTTAAACAAAAGTGAGGGTTAATCAACCTACCTTCTCGAAAAGTCGAAGAATTAGAATTATGAAGAAGAAGTTGATAATCTTTAACTGGATCAGCTGTTCCAACCTGGTATAGAAAAAAAAGCTTCAGAATTACTAGTCGCAGTTTCACCAATGTAGAAACAAAAAAGGTCCAGTACTTCGGATGCAGTTTTAGTTATATCAAAACAAACAAGATCTAGTATTACAGGGTGCAGTTTTAATGATATTAAAACAAATAAGATCCAGTATATCTGAGAGCAGTGATATGGAAAAAAACCAGATCTAGTTTTTACTAGGAGCAGTTCTACTAATTTTGCATGAAACACGATCCAGCTCTAATAAAAAAGAAAGCAAAACCTGCGCCGCAATTAAAACGTACATTAGCCAGCACTTTGAAAATATGATTTTCGAATTGACATAGTAACGAAAAAAAATTTATTTGCAAATCGATGAAAGCAGCAATATTTGTGCATACCTCGGTGATACAGGATGAAGCCAGTCGCGCAAAACTTGGTTCCCCATTTTCGTTTTCATTCGCTATTTTCATTCTTTTTAGCTTTGGTTCTGTGCTTTCCTCACTGTCAAAGCCAAGAATAACACTCAAAGGAACATTTCAATTAGCACTGAGAGACATATAGCGCAAATGAAGAATCATCAAAGAATTCAATTGTGATTGAATCAGATTGTGCAAAACTCTATAATGACGACATGTTTCGGATAATTTGCAGAGCCCGGTCGTCCTTCCATCTAGCAGTTTTGGAGTCGATCTACATACAGACAAAAAAGCCGCCATTGTGTAGACAGAAGGAGTTCGTTTTCTCTCCTGGACTCCAGTGGTAATTTTTTAGGCTCGCGGCACTGATTGGTCAACTATACCGGTCTTGTGCTTGCGTTTTTCTGATTGGCCTATTTCGATCCACAACTGGGTATATATTTTCCATCGTGCTCTTTCGGAACCTTACTCTGACGTTTCACGCTTTGAGGAGTGTCAGACGAAAAAGCTTTTAGTATGTTGTAAAATGTTTGCTTTTTTCAAAGCCATTTTCAGGGCTTTGATTTCAATTTGAGCTAAGCGTGAAAACACGGCATCATATCGAGAGGTAAAGATATAATTGTACCTTATCTGAAAAACATTCTTATTCTTCTTCTTGCTGATTTCTGCCAGTGGAAAAAGTTCCTAGGTAGGTGAAGAGAATACTTCGGCACTAAGAACTTAAATAACAACGTAGCAATGATTTCATTTTAAACTAAGATAACGAATTAGCAATGAAATTATATTGAACAAAAAATCAAAGAATAATAGAGCAAAAATGGAAACAAGAAATTGATTTTAGCATTAAATTGAAAAACGTAAACTTACAAATAATTAATAGTCAAACATCGTTCATAAATTTAAAAGGTTTTGTTAAGATTAGCAGCATTGTTAAGATTAAATGTTTTCAGCTATTCATTATGAAACTAAAGCATACAAACAGTTGATTCAATTATGATTTATGCTTCATCTTTAAATTATATTTTTTGCTTTATCTAAAATTCAATCATGATTTCATTACAAGCTCAAATATTGGTTATTTGACTATTTCAGAATAACAAGAGTATCTTAATAATAAAAAGAAATTTTGGAAAACACATTTGCCGATTTTACGCAAAATGGCGATTTTTAAAATACCGAGACGTGAGTCCCACAAGGTGGAGCATTCAAAATAAAAAACCTTCACCTTGATTTTGTCTATCGTCGGTCTACAACTGGCTCCCTGTCGCGGCAAGGGCTCAATTGACCTGTAAGCAGAGTAAGAATTTATCAATACACACTAATTTTTGTATAAACTAAGAAGTAAATCACAAACTAAGAAGTAAATCACAATATGTTTGTACTGTGTAAGAACAAATTGCAGGAAAATCGCTCCATGCTATTTCCACAATAGGTAATTATAACTGTTTCCAGAGACCATGGTTACAGCCAAATACTGACTGACTTATACTGACTTAGGTCGCATTTAATTGGCTACTTGTCCTGAATAATTTAGGGAAGTCCTGTCTACTGTTACAAACTGACTGATATACAAGCCAAAGCGTGTAAAACACTGATGATGGCATAAGGATGAACTGGGAGTAGCAACTTTTAACCATGCACGCGTAGAAACTTTTAACCATGCACGCGTAGACAACAAAGTGCATAGCGCGACTATGGAACAGATCCGTTTTCAGTTACCTTATGTTTTGAACAATCATAACATAGAGCCAAAACACGTACAATCATTTTATCAAAGATTCCTTTTACTGACAATTTCACTATTAAATGACTGACTTACTTTTTGATAGGTTCTGCGAGTGGAGGAAGTGTTTCGTCCGTGGGATTTAATGCTCTTTTTTGCACGCACTGTAAACGAGGAAACAGATTCATACACCTGCGTTCTAGTGAATATTACGAATAAAAAAAGCGAATTCGTGCTTGCACGTAAACAACATACATCGCAAAGCCTTTGTATGAAGGGATTCAACGTATTCTTGGGTTTGAATGCTTCTTCTTTTTCACCACTTGCGGTCCTAAAATGTGAATAAGGGATTATTAATATTATGTATGACTCTTCCAGTTATAATCGGCATTATCATAATAGCTTTATCTCTCTTGCCCAGGCAAGTGACGCACGTAGAAGGTATAAAAGAGGCTAACTGCCGGATGGAGATACCACTTTAGTCAAAAAGGCAGAATATACTCCCTATAAACCGCAAAAGGGTCCTATCCTTTCCCTCTCATCTTTCTACGTCCAACTTTTTGCCTTAATCCTAACCTTCCCACTCTTCGCCTTAAATGCAAGCTTGCGGCAAAGTAAAGCCAGAAAGGAAACAAATTCTGCTGCTATGAAACCTTCCAACACAAGCTGTCAGGGTACGATATCTATTGAAACCCAATCAACAAATAGCGAAAAAACGCTGTATGAAATACAACGTCAAATGGATCCAGAGTATGGAATGGATGATTTGCATTCAAGAAAGAAGGTATTTCTAATTACTGATTCTGGGTGAATTCTTAAGCTTTAAGGGAAGCTGCAACTTTGAATGTCAACAAATGCATCTCATTTTGATATAATTCAAGAACTCGGTACACATACACATAAGCATTTGAAACATCCATTCCATCTATTAGGGCGTCTATGGCTTGCGATTGCTCATCTACAAGTTGATAAGACTGAATTACACTTCTATTTTCCAAACACAAAATAGCAAGATGAATAAAATCTAAGCAACAAGACAAAAGGCAGCAAAAAGGAGGAAATACTCCAGGGTGTACAGTATAAAAATTAAGTGGAAATTTTTTGTAAACATGAAAGAGGTTATCCAAGTGCAATACTATTATGAAAAATTTCTGACAAACGTAGAGTCCAACTCCTATTTATGTGGGGCACACCCCATTACTGCCGGTCTGACGAAACACTGAGACATAGAGTTGTTGATTATCTAGAATAAAAACTTACCCGAAATCTTAACAGTATCAAGTGGCAAAAAACCGTATCTGCGCAGATCTTCTACAAATGGAAGGAAGATCATGTAGAGGCCCTAAGGAGATAGACGATGGGTGATTTAGTTGATGTATTATAAGGATAAACACAAACGCAAAATAAAGAGCTTTCTGATGGAGATGCAACTGGCACTGAAGGACTCCGCAATGCTATATGGCAATGTTTCTCAATGTCAAAAACATGTTAGCAACAGCAAAAAACAGACCAGTGACAACTAGAAGAGGCTGCCAATGAGAAGAGAAGAGTCCACCGGATTCTGTGAATCTTGCAATGATTGATAATATTAAAAGTAATCAGGACAAAGCAACATGACGACGAGAATCCAATATAGTGAAATATAACTTAAATAACTTAGATTTAACAAATACTAATATTTCGCCCCAGCAAACCGAGCTTCACTCTGAAGGATTCTTGTCGTCGTGTTTCTTTGTTCCTGACGAATTTTCGTTACCAAACAGGAATCTGCAAATGGGTAGACGAAGTAACAATAAAGAGGATAAAGTCGTGTTGCACTAAAAGAAAACAGACAGACTCGCCTCGTAATGGACTTTGATGAGAGGGGCAAGGAAAGCAAGACTTGGTACTGCGTTTTTGCATCTACAATAACGAACCAATGCCACTGTGTTTGTTTCTTCTAATGCGTGTACCAATGCTGATAATGCGATAGCGGCATCCTAGAATGAACAAAAATAGATGAGGCACTGGCACTGATGAACACAATACACAGTTAGGTATGAATAGTCAGCTTTAAGCGCTTGAAGAGGATGTGGAAAACCTGGCAAATGTCAATGAGCTGAAATGTCTATAAGCAGCCACAGATGGCATATTAAGATTTAAACTGTTGGTAACAAATGTTATACCTAACATTTCTAATGGTAAACCTAAGAGGAGGGAGAAAGTGAATGTCATTGGGCAAAACACTTTTTTAGGTTACTCACAAAGACACCTTTCACAGTAATTGGACGAGGTAATCATAGCAACCTGAAAAGACTTGAAGAAAAGTCACCTGCTTGAAAGACCGCGGAAGTGCTAAGCAGACAATGAAACATCTGAGAATCAAAACAATGCACACAAGAAACGAAAAAACAGAGAAGAAGAAGTTGACTATTAGGAACTTACCTTATCACCTGGCTGCGGGACAAAAAGATAGACAGCCTCCCCTTGATGATCATACTCATTAATCTGCAGATAAAAGCCTCGGTTACATGCACGTAATGGAAATAACATCGAAAAGCTTGAAAAAAATTCTTAAAATTGATGAATAGAGCAAAAAACATGTCAGTTAGTTATTTCAACAAACTTTTCAGTGAAATTGTCTCTAATTAGTTCATAATCACACAAAATTAATATGATAGAGGATCTTTTAACGATTCAATTTTGCATAAAATATCAATGTAGACGAATGTTTTATATCAAAGTTTGATTGACCAAAACGTCTGCCACAACGAATCAACAATTACAAATGAAGGCTCAAAGACTGGACTAGATTGGATAGGGTTAGATTGGAATGGATCGCATCGGATTGGATTGGGTTGGATCAGGCTTGATTGAATCGGGTGAGATTGGATCCAGTTGGATTGGGCTGAGGAAGACCTCTTGGTCTAAGAATGAACGTAAAGAACCAAAACTTCATTATCAATACAAAAAAAGCCCGTAAATGCCCCCTAATCCCTCGACCCGCAATATTGATCGATAACAGGCAGAACTACTAATCTTGTGGTGAATCTGTCGAAACTTCAGCCAAAAAGCTAGAGCTACAGATAGAGAATGGAGACCATCTTAATAGCAGCATATGAACTTAGGATACAAATTACACCTAACTTACATTCGATCGATCAGTGAATCCTAACAGTTTTAAGCATCTCTCTGTTTGAAGTTTTGCAAGTTTTTGATCTACTTTACCAAAAGGAACAAGGGACTTTCCATACTTATACGCTAAAAAAACAAAGTAACATCACTTTAAGTAAAATGTATTTAATAAAGAAGAATTCATTAATGTATTTAAAAACTGACAAATCCCTCGATAAACAGTCAAAGTGAAGGCAAAAACTGACGTCTGTTTCTTGCCTAGAGGGATGGAAGATGCTAACTCTAGCAGTTGTTCCTATGTTACAGGAAATGTGTAATTTTTATAAACACAAACAATTAAGAATTTTGTTCAATATATAAAAAACGTTGGCAGTAAGGATGATTTTAAGCTTTTCAGTGTAATTTCATTAAAGTAAATATTTCTTGGCACAGAATTAGGCGTCATATCAAATTATGTTATCTAAGAACATTAATGTAAATATGAAAAGGTCACACCAATTTACTGATAGCAGAGAATCAGGTTCTTAATTTTGCAACATGGCAAACTACTGGCAGACAAACCATTTGCTGTGAACTTTTTGTCAACTTCAGTAAGGTCCTCGTCTGGAAGATGGTATGATCTCTCGACACATATGCTCATGTTTCCTGGGTTCTTAGAAGCCTCTGATATTGCAGATATTGGTTCAAAAGAGCTGACTCTTGTTTCTTTCACCTGTGTTCCAACATATTGTGATGTTAGTCTTCAGCTAAATTACGCCACAGTTGAGAAAGAGCGATATTTTAGACATAAAGTTACAGAAAGTGTCTAAATAAGTTAAAAATGCATATTGCTTAACATAAATAAATTATACTAGCTTTAGAAAACTTTTTTTGGACTATCTTTTTATATGTTTGATGCACATTCATCAAAATATTCATTTTTCGTCTTTTAGAGCACATCAGAAATTAGAATTACAAACACATCGGCCTGTACACCAGTAAATAACGCCAATATGTGAACTATAGATACCTTTATAAAACCAAAAAGGTTTATTTTCACCCAGTCTCCAATTTCAAGAGGTCCTCTGAACGATGTCGTCTGCTTGACCTCCCTTGTCTGAAAGAAACTTAGCATAGGCAATACTTCAGTAAAAGATAAGCCCTCGCCATCAACCTGCTCTAGCATTCCACTGACACATTTGACACCTTTCATCTGGAAAAGGACAGAAAGAAAATCAGCTACAATCTTACAAAGGCTGGCTACACGGTCAAGAGGGAAACGGATGGTATAGCCTTGAGGTACAATGAAGTTTAATTGAATGAAATATAGATATTTATGTTTATTTACGCTATTTGGTGTATAGAACTGGACGGTTCGAGATTTTTCTCCCAGTTTCACGCTTAAGGCTATCACGAGACGACTGTCCATCGACTATGCAATCATAAATTAGATCATACATGCGATCATATATGCGACCATATATGTATATTTATATATCATATGACTTTGCATTAAACTAATACCTGCTGATATGACAAGGGCTTTGGCATGTCATTGTTACTTTCTGGGGCACTTGTTTTTCCGTCCTTTTTAGATTTCCGCCTGTTCTGTTCAAGGTCAATTTCATTTATATCTTCAGGAATATCAGGACCACTATGATAAAGGAACACAAAATGTAACACTATAGAAAAACACACATGATATCAAAACAAGCAAATTTTTCAATAAGCAAATCTCTTTGTCTTTCTTGAAGATAAACCGGCAAAAACGTTGTAAAAAGATTCGTATAAAAGCAACCTTTAATATTTTGTTAAGCGCAAATACTGAATGACTTTCATTTGTTTTGTTTATCTATCTATCATCTTAAGAAAGATTGGCATTTGTATATCAGCATTGACGATGACGTAAGGAAGAAGTGCCAGCGATGAGAATTATGAGTGCTTTTGTAGAAGTACTTTTGTTACGTTGAGTTAAACATACAGTTCTTAACCATGATCAATTTTGACATGATAATAATCAACTTAATAATCAATGTCATCAGCAGGGCCGCTGTCGTTATCACTGTTCTCCCAGGCACACACTACCTGGAGCTCAAACCAACATCACCCGTTTACTAAGTTAAAAGGAGATCAAAACGACAAAATGGAGAACCTCAGAACGATTTTAGTGTTGGCGCCCGTATCCAATTTCCGTAAGGAGCTATCGCAACCATTGGACAGAAATAAATGCTATGTTAATTCACTTTGTTTAGGTAAGATTTGTCGCTAATTTTATTTGATTGTGTTTATGGACCAAGCGCCATTTCCGTTATATCACCATCTACCCTTATACCCTTACCAGCCATTTTACTAGCCCATCAATCTAACAGTAAGGTATAGAGCGTCAACTATTACATACATCTAGCTTTTAGCAGATCCGAAATAGCTTTGTGTTAGCATACATATACTCTCGAGTCCAGAATAGACGACTCTTCTTGCTTATTGACACCCATGACATCCATTTCCAGACTTCCCTAACCAGTTTTTATTTGTTAGCCCCGTGTATTTAGAAAGTGCATGGTTTACACAACTAAGCTCATCTTAGCTTAAGGAGGGCATTGAAAATAAAAGGATAAATTGAAAAGACCATTAAGCACTGAATAATGTTATGTTATGTTATGAATTCATTTTTTTCTATTTTAAAAAGCCAGTGTCAGTTTTTGAATTCCTTCTGTTTCCAATTCAAAGGAACTGATCTCGAGTCACCCTGTTCTTCTATTATTTAGGGAACTTTGTATTCTAGTCCCATGTATTTTAGCCCCCCCCCCTTGTTTAGTCCAAATGCTATATTAATTTACCATTTATATCGCAGTGTTCCTTCTTTATTCCCATCAAAGAAAATATTCATTGTTTAAACCACTTTATATGGATTCCATATCTACTCACATGAAGGTTAGCTGCACTTTCAAGCCCTTCATGCTTTTAACAACACTTTCTAGTTGGTCTGTTCCAAATGCAGAAGCAAGGTTTGAGAAAAGTACAATTCTTGGCTCAGTTTTCCTACCACTAGAATAAATAATAACATAAAAACTTTTAGCATGGTAAATGTGGAAGGTTTAATAAATGAAATGAAGCAAATTAAATGGAATAAAGAAGCTGCACAGCTTCACCCAAGGTTTGTACTGAATAATCTAACTGAAAATTCCCTGAAACTTCTTTGATTCAAGACGAAAATTATATGATTTTCCCTGACCAATTGAACAATTTAGCAACCAAGTCTACATATTCAACTTCAGACAAAAGCTATTTCCATGATTTAAAACTGTGTTATTGAATACCATGCAATTATGATTGTCTCATGAGCCTCAAATCCAACTGAAAAGTTCAAAAATTGGATTACCAAACAACATACTGAAAAGACTCAGCCTTGCCTACAGACAAATTCAACACAAAACTTATTCAGGTTTACCAGACTCTGCAGAAGCTATGTTATTGAAAGCACCTCAAATCAGAATCAATCTGTAGTCTCTGGTCATCTTGAAGGCTGATATCAATCAAATAAAGTACAATAATGACCAAAATAAAAAAACATAAATAATTGCCTGATTTTGGTTAGTAGATGATCCATAGCCACAACAATAGCATCAATAACTGAATTTAGTCAAAGAGACCAAGCAAAATGACAACTTGAATTTATCTTAATATTCTAGATAAAGCAAAGTTATAAAGGTTAAAACCTAAAACAATTCAAAATGACCATGTAAGATTATAAAGAGTTATGCAATTTATGTCCAATTTCCAATACATTAAGCAGTTTCATTGCTATGTCATCCTTACAATGCTATTAGCATAAAGAATTGATCTAAATATTAGTGCTTTCGGGTTGAAAATCAATATTATTCTAATGTAGAGAAAGTTGCATTCTTGGTCGAATTAATTTTATTTTTTTTTGAAAAATCTGCTCCAAAATTATTAAACACCATCATTTAATATAGGATAAATTGAATCAAGCAAGGAAACTATTTTAAATGGAGAAATAAGGCCAAAATGCAAGGATACAGTCTCCAGATGCAGTTCCTAGAAAATTTAAACCACATTATGATGAAAAGCGCAAACCAATGTGAGATCTTTATGATAATTGAAAATGGACAAACTTGAATGTTCAAATGAACCAAAATTGTTATATGTTGCCAAAGGCAGTAGGAGTAACTTCCACAATACTGAATAGCTGAAGTTATCAAAAAAGGCCATTGCCATGAAAACATGACTGATGTTTCCATTACCTCGAATTTCTTGAAGCACCTTTGTGCAGCTTATATATTGATATATAATTTTAGGTATTTCCTTAATTAATTTTGCATTTCCAGGCCAATAAAACATGGCCTAGATATTTATCTATCAAGTCTAGAAGCAGAAAACCTAACTAATGATACAGAAATAGTAAAAGAACTACCAAACATACACACAAAGAAACTGTCACTACAAAAATTTAGTTGGAATCTAATGCGAGAGAATTTTTTTTAAAAAGGTTTGTGGCAAAATTTTAAAAAATTAACAAATTTCTTAAACAGACCTAAATTGACATCCTCATTGAGCATTCGCAGTAGTTCAAAATTTGGCAAACCCAATTCTTGTAGAATTGTTATGTTTCTGTATCCTGGTAAAGTTTCTGCAAGTGGGTTCTTTGTATCTGCATGGAAAATATCCAGTGAAAGAAATGATGAAAGCATTAGATAAAATCAATTTTTAGTCTTTGAAAACTATCGGATATCGCTATTGAACAGCAGACCTTCTGTTGTATTTCTATCTGTAAAAAGGGGCTTAGAAATAGAGCTCCTGCTAAACTTGTGTTTCAATTTAACTCTACAAACATGTCTGCATGCAGAGATATTCCAACCATTAAATTCTTTTTAGAGTTGCGAGTAAATCCATTGGCTGAGTTAGCTAAAATAGGCTTGGTGTGAAATCTATGCAAACCACACATTGATAATATAATTTCCAAGTTATATTTCCATATTTCTATCATATTTTGAAAGACAAATAGGATACTTTATGAAGAGCTTAAACAAAAAATTTATTTATGCAAACAATTGCTTAAACAGCAATATTATTTTTCAAACACAAGAAAAGTTACTGGTGAAACTACACTTAAGTACAAGCTAGATGGTTTGGAAACATTGCGAGGTAATGATAAAAAAGCAAGTCTCTGAAATGAGACACAATTTACATGGATGTGTTTAATATTAGAGCAAAAAAAAGAATCTTTATGCATCATTCTAAAATGTGGTTTTCAGACAGGTTTAAATGTTTATCTTTCCCTGGTATCATTACTTCATGTCACTTTAAAAAGGTGTAACACCTTTCAGGATAGCAGATTAACTATAAAATTTGGATATAATCATGAAGATAAGACTAATCTACAGTGGAATCCCGACATTATGAAACCTGGTTATAACTAATTTTCTGGTATAACAAAAAATATCTGGCTACTTGGATTCTGCCAAAGCCCATACAAATTTCTTTGGTATAACAAATCCTGTATATATCAAACTCTTGTTATTGCGAGCCTAATTGCAGGTCCCTTCATCATAATTTTATCGATATGAAAAACTTTTCTATAAATTTTTACCGTTATTTTGGTCTACTTATTCCTGGTATATATTTATCACTATTTTTTCAGGGAAATCATTATTTTCATTGGTAAAACATACATTGGCAACATGCACTTTTTAAGATGCTGAAAATGAAGAAGAGATTGTGCAAAAGTTTACACCTTTTCAAGGCTTTATGCCATTTCAGTGAACAAAGCCAATAAAAGAAGACTATAACAGACATTTTTATATCTGCATTTTAAGAGGAAAATCAAGTGTTGCGAGCAAGATTTTCATTTTCGTTTGCTAATTTAAAGAAAGTAGCGGATTTACCAATTATGCGATAAAAGACGCAGACTTGCGGATTTCACTATCCCCCTACAGTCTCCTTATACTTTGCAATAATTTTAATCTAGATTTTGGCAATATTTAATTTAATGAAAAATGGCCTACCAGTGAGGTACATAAAATAGCTGTCATGCTTGATAACTGAGGGCCCTTACGATACAGATTTACATGCAAAAATGGTTATTTCAACCAGATGAATGCCAAGCCCTTAATTATTCTTAATTATTCTACAGTTATTCTCAAGGATTCAATATTGAAGCTGATGAAAACTTTTGCTGATATATGTATTAAATAAGTTCATTAAGTGGCTTTGAAAAAATCAAACATTTCATAACATATTAGCCTGCATCCTAGTCCACAAATTCTGCCACATTTATGGACTGTGCAATATTGATAAATATTCTGTCCAGACAGAGAGCTAGGTCTAGCTTATCAAATAATTTATGCAATGAAACTATTGAAATATTTCATGATAAATCTTTGAAGAAATTTTCACTGAAACCAAACAGGATGTAGACATGATGGTGCATGAAGAGTTTTGCAAGGTTGGAGCCATTGACAGTTTCAGCTAATTGCACAATTTTATAGGGTTGCATAAATTACCACCAGATGCTGGTGGAAACTTTGGACAGAATGTTTATCAAAATCGTTCAGTCCATAAATGTGGCAGCATTTGTGGACTGAGGCACAGGCTAAAAGCACATTGGCTAAAAGCTTTTTCGTCTGACACTCATCATATCATAAAATGTCAGAATAAAGGTTTGAAAGAACACAGTGAAAAATATATACCCAGTTTATACTTATGTAGAAACTTACTCAAGTTTTTAGAAAAAACGCACTTTTTGTTCAAAATTTAAGATTTTTAATCAAAATTATTTATTTATCAAATTTTTATGATCAAAATTTTCATCAAATTCATAGCTGTCATCATTGTCATCTTTGCAATTTCTGCATAGACATATTAAGATGACAATAAATTTTTGCGAAAAAAATGTCTCATGTCAACACACGCCTGGACCTTTTTAGGTGTGCGGTGCTTAGCACTAAAGCCTGGTGCAAAAGTCACAACAAGAAAATTAAAAATACTCAGAAAGGTTAGTTGAATATTGGCAGTAAGAATGTATCTTGTTAAGCCTTTGAACAAAATATTAAAGTTGACCTGCATTTCAAGTGAAAATTCACCCACTTACCATCTGTCCCAAAGAGAATGACTGCCACTTCATCTTTTGATTCTGAGAAAATCTAAAAGATCAAGCAAAATTGCTAATTGACAATGCTGATAAAAAAGAACAAGCAAGCAAGGCAAACAATAGGTAAGCAGTCACTAAATTTATTTATGCCATGGCAGTTCAACTTGAAAAGGACCAACTTTGTAGCTTTATAGATAAATATTATGGCAAGAAAACAAATTTTATTGTTCATATTTCACGCATATTTCAAAAAAACATGCATATTTCAAGTCCACAAAAATCAACTCAACTCTCTGGCTGGCTAGGCAGAATAATTAACTGAACAAATGTTATTACTTTCATAAATTCACATTATTAGCTTTTGGTCAAAAGATATCGTCTTGATAAATGTTTTGATATTATTGTTTTCATCAAGTGTTTAAATTCTGTTGCCCACTCAACTGACAGGATTCATGAAATTCTAAATGTTTAAGGCCTCACATTAGGTGTTTGGTTAAACCTTGAGAGCCTCCCCTTGCAAGGCCTGTATTCCATAACATATGCGAATAAAACTAAGAAACATTAATCCACCTTTCGTTTTAGTATCATCATTGCTATGTCCAAACATCTTTTGAAAGATGATGAATCATTGTCGGCTGCATCACTCATGGATGGACTGACATCCAAAATGAGTGCTATTGCTTCCTGTAAAAGAAAAATAAATTTGTTTTTTAAGGCAAGAAGTTTCTATCAAATGGAGGCTGCAAGCTGAAGGAATATATATCCTGCAAAAAGTCCATTGGCAAGAATGGTATGTTGGTAAAGCAAAAGTCATGGATCAAGTTTCATAGCAAATCTAAGGAACAGGAAAATTGTGGTACAGACTATTTCAAAATGAAGGTTTCAATTTTATGCTCCATTTCTGCAGATATGAAGATAAAAAATCTATAACATTAGATGGGGAACATGACAGGCAGCACACCTTCCAGAGTGCAAAGTATATATTGTGCACAGAGAGTTATTTTCTGATGCTTATGGTTGCATGTAAAGAAATCATGTGGCATTTGACCAAATCACGAATATGTTCCCCATGCATGCCCAAACTTTGCAGTCTGGCACACCTTGTGTACAGAATTTTGCAATTGAGATACTGGTGATTAACAGGCCTCTCCAGGAATAAATACAAAGTGGGCTATATAAAGCCCTTGCCAGTTTGGCTTTTGGCTTAATTCTGGGCATCAATGGATTTAGGGCAAGCATAGGTCATTTCAAAAAATCAAATTGAAAATTTTCCTGGGGAATACCCCAGACCCCCTTTATCCAACTTGAAACCCTGGAAGCAACCCAGAAAAAGCTGTGCCTCATATTTCATTCAATGTATTTGCATGCCAGACCTTTTCAAATTAGGAGAGTATTATCTAGGGAAACACAATCTGCTCACAATATGCACAAAGCAAAAGTAGTATATGTTCTCTTATTTAGGTATAGACAGCAACTTTTTCAACTTGTGACAATCAGGTGGTTCTGATGCTGACCAACACAAGTTAAAGTTGTTTTATGAATACTGAAGTCCCAATTCATCAGCATTTCAAAATTTTAAAGAAAATGTTGTATAGACCAAGATAGGAAAGCAACGTTTCAAAAAGGGTGGTCTCTAAAATTTTCCCAGTACCCAAAAAAATGTGTGCCCAGCCTTATGTTTTTGTGTGCATTGGACAAGCCTCTGAAAGAATCTTGTGTGTGCACATGCCACATTCTGCAGACAGGACCCTGGCCTAAAAGCCACTGCTCACTGTTCAAACACTGTTTAAACGGTAATAACGCAACAGAGAAAACAAAAAATTGGTCTTTGATGAGCAAAAAACATGAACCAAAAAACGCTGCCATTTGTAAATAGCTTTATTAGCTGTTTCAATTTTATGTGATGTTTCAACATCGTTCGTTTGCATGCAGTTCAACGTTAAAGTTAATCATTTCTACTTCAATTCAGTGCGACTTTGTGTTTTCCTCTAGCAGATACTCCGTAGCGAAGTGAAAAAAAATATTTAAAATAAAACCAAATGTGGGGTAAAACAAATACAGAACAAGCTTTGTGCTCTTAAAGTCAGCCAATCTAGAGAAAAACATTTACCTTTCCTCGCGCCATTGCTGTTCCGTTCCAAACAGACTTCTTTTGAAAGAGCCTCGTTTCTATAGAATGCCAAGAATTGCCGGGAAAACCCCGACTAGCATACCAATCTTGATCTCCCACCAAAGTCATTTATTTCTTCCCTCTTCAAGTCCTTCGTGTGCATTTTCGCGTAATTAGTTATTAATATGTAGGTTCTTTGTTTTTGGTTGTTTAATATTAGAATGTTTTGGGAGAATCCATATAAATCATCAACTTCGGCCAGAAAATGAGAAACAAAATATTTTTTGCAAATATCGAAGTTGCCTAAGATACTGATGTTCCCTTACCCGTTTTAAAAAAATGTGAATACCAAAATTTCCAAAGCAGCAACCAGAAAAAAGCAATTTACAATAATTACTATTATTTTGGCTTTTAAAAAGATCATAATAAGAAGTAAGATTCTAGTTCCCTAAAGTGGGGAGCAGTTGAGGTATTCTTTGATTTGATATATAGTCACCTCTCAAACTCAAAACATTTTTGCAGCAAATCACTTAATTACACGTTACGTCATTTAGGTAAGTTGTTTAAAATTCAATTATTAAATCCAAAATTACAATAAAAACATTAAAGAAAGAGAAAACAACCCTATATAAGAATAAATCAGCTGACGGACACATGAATAAACTCAAGATAGAGCAATCAAAGCCATGTGCCCGGTTGACGTGATTTGACGACAAGTTTACAATTCATTTTGGTTTGCATAACAGTAAGAATGAGATAATAGAAATGTAAATGACACTAGAAAAAAAGCAAGGGAAATGAATAAAGAAAAAGGAAAAAAACTATAACTTAAGCCGGGGATTGAACAGACTTTGTCATTTTTCATTGCAAGCAAAATGACTTAAATTATAGGGTGAAAAACTGGTAGTCAGTATTCAAAACAGAAGCTTTATTAGACGGAAATCTAAGCCGGACGAAAACATTCAAGAACTTGTGGCATGTTCTTCAAAGTAAGGCATCTTTTACTAACTAGTTTTCAACCTTCCTCATTCTTCTCTTAACTTTCATAATTTCTTCTGTATCGACCCATTGTCTGAGATGCTATCTATGACACTCATATTAAACCGATACATCCCTTTAATAAACAGGGTCCCCGCCACCGGGGGGGGAGGGGCGGGGTGGCCATGGCCCCCCACTTTTTTTGCGAAGCAAGTAGTTTTAAAGGTAAAAGGGGAAAGAAGCCTTGGCTTCCTACTTCTGCTAGTCTTGCCCCCCTCTCACTTTCAAATTCTTGACGCGAGCCCTGATAAAAACGCTGACATAAATATTGATTTTTATAGCTTAATATCTCTATCTATAAAAATGTTTTTCGACTTAAAATCTCAAGTTATATGGTCTATTTACTTTAAGATATTTACTGTCATGAATGAATCTATTTTCAGGATTTCTCCTTTTTCATAGTTTTTAAACATTTATAGCTTTTTATCATTGTGACCAAGGCAGACTTAAAAGGTGATATTTTCTCTACTCGGTATAAACCAATCTGGTAATAGTTAAAGATCTGATAGCTATGCGTGCACGAAATCCTTGAACATTTTCAAAAATCACGAAGCAATCTCCCTCAGTTTGAATTTTCGTCGCTGTCTCAAAATTCACATATTTTTCAAAAATACCAAGCTAACCCTCTCTTAACAGTGGATTAGCTCATCTATTGAGCAGTTTTCTTCTTGCGTAATTCTTTAATTACAATAGTTAACTTTGTATTATATACATAATGATAAATGTGATAAAGATAAAATCGCATAAAATACTGACCTTTTTTTCTACAGCCGAACCGTTTGTGAACGCTATTAAAACTTTAAAGTGAACTATAGAGATGCCACTACTATGAAATAATAGGCCTTTAGCAAAGGGGGTGCTTTCCCCGAGATCTATTAAGAGATTTCCTCCTTACGATATTAAATACTCATATTAGCAATGTCTGTATACAGTTATTATTAAATCAATGTATTGTTGTTTAATATTACCTTTTTTGGTTGTTGTTTGGTAGAATTTATATGATTATGAAATTTATGAAAAATGAAACTTGAACTAAACTTGAATATATACCTAAAAAGCATAACAAAACCAGAAATTAAAAAAGAAAGCGATAACGAAATTGATGGACGGGATATTTATTTCTATAATCTGAAAAATGACTGTAAAAATAATTTGATTTCTACTTTTGAAGTGAGGTAAGTTCGAAAGGAACATAAAACAAATCTAAAAAAATTAATTATTCATACATTCATATTTATGGTAATGTGCAAAGGAATTAATTTAATTTTGTAGTCAGGATTCCTATATAAGCACACCTTTATCAAATTAAGAGACAGTTTGTTTCCTTCAGTTTTCTTCCCATACCTAGGGACGGTTCCTATTGCTTAAATTTATTAAGAGAAACAGAGCAGATTTGTATTATAAGAATGCATGCTGAGATCTGTCTCCATTGTGAAATAGAGGCTATTAATTTCAATCAAAAAGATGTGAGGTGAATGGAAAGATTCTTGCTAGATGCGCTCTTTCAATTTACAACACTACTATCTTTCTGGATTGTCTTTTGAAAAATTCACGTAAAAGTGATCTTAGGTAGGGAAAGCACGGTCTAAGTAATGCTAGAGATTTTCAAGTCCACAGTTGAAAGAAAAATTATAATATTGTCATTCCTTAGATTTTAAAATTCAATAACGTTGACGATTTATTTGGGAAGCTATAAGGAACCCTAAAAAAGCCTTTTTCAACGTTAATGAATAAAGACTTCTATAGACTTGAAGGTAGACAGGTTGACTTGGAAAAAGAAGCGAAATAGACAATTAAACAACTCTTTCTAATAAAAAGAAGTTAAAACTTCAAAATCAACATAGCACTTTATTGATTGAACCAAAATTTAGCTGATAATTTGTCCTCACGTTGCGATTTGAAAAAAATGGCACCAGGCCTTTACTTTGCAATCTTTCGCAACATTTATGAGCTTGAACAACTAACGGCTACTGTTTCTTGAAGATTGTTAAACTAAAGCTGCAATGCCCGCGGTTTCACTTTACTTCTGTCAATGACAGAATGCTTCTTGCTTGCAGAATGATCAGGAGTTACGAGTACTTGAGAAAAGGCTTTTGCAGTAATCAAACTACCATCTTCTTCAGGGAGCATCTTTGTGGGTGTGGCAAGCAACTTCTCCACACTTCTCCTGACCTCATTGTCCATGTCTGTAGTCATGATGTAAGCTGGGTGGAGACTGTAGCCCTGGGTGTCTTCCACCTTCGTTAGATCATTTAAGGTTAATACTGCCGCACAAACGTGCTCTGGCAGCTCGCTACTGGCACTCAGGCCAAAAGTTTGCAAGAAGTTCTGCGGGTGGTAATTTGAGAATGACGTTGAAGGCTGCTGCTCTTCTGAATCATCCACAAGGTCGACTGGAGCTTCACTCCCTGCAACAGATAACAAGTAAGAACTCATTAAGAATCGCATATACTTCTCAAAGAAAACACATAATTTAAGGCAATACACTTCTTACAGAGCCAAAGCATAAGAAAACATATGTTTATAGCGCAGTCAGTAACCAGATAGGAAAGATAATTGAATGAGTAAAGAAGAATGCAACAAAGGTGACCACTTAACAAACTAGAGTGAAAGAAGGTATCAATCAAAATCGATTTTATGTGCTTTGCTATGTTTTAGAGAAGCACTGTATAACTATAGAGCGATACAGTAAAAGAGGCTAATGCAACAAAGCATTGCATAAAGTAAGGAAAAGTTCGTTAGCAAGAACTAAGTGCTTGATTATGAGTCTATTTTAGCTTATAGTACAACTAGAGGACTTGAGTTTATTCTTGAGTGGTACGAGAATCGTTCAAATGTAGTCTAAGAAAAAGCCGAAAAATGAAAAACGTATTTAAGGTAAAAAGTGATGACGTCATAGAACCATACTTAAGAGTTTTCAAATAAAATAGAATATACAAGTTGAAAAATCAATTATACCCGAATCTCCATTTATACCGCTCTGAGGCTGTTCATGGTCAGCATTCTCTGTGCTGGCATCAATCAGCGCCAAAACAGCAGAACTGATTGCCCCAGATTTGCCTGTTTGGCCGGTGGAAATAATTTGTAAGTCTTTCTGCAAGACTGGGGTAAGAATGCTGTCTGAAGATATCACCTTGCATGGACTTTTAAGGCTTTTGAGAACACTGTCATTGAAAATCGGCCGTAATTCTGACAAAATTTTGCTTGGAGTTTCAAACGCTTTATTTCCAGAACTCAAATCAGAGGGTGAAAGTGACTCGTAAAGGAAGGAACTCGTTCCTTCGATATCATCATCACCACCAGTTTTAAGCACAGTTGAATCAACCTTCATGGGTTCAATTGTTAAAGAGACTTCCATCTCAGTTCCTGCATGTTCCTGGTTACTGCAATCAGCACCTGAACTTTCCAGTGAAGTTCCTTCTGCATCACAAGTATCTGGAAACGGCTTTAAATTTTCAGATAAATTTTGAAGCTGCAACATAAAAGGCTGGTTTTCCGCTGATTGGCCAGAGCTTTTTGGTAAAATTTCTTGAACTGGTTTAGCAATACAATATAACATGGCACTTGTATTCGGCTGGCCTAAAAGACATAGCAAGTTGTTTGGAAGCGAAAAAGTTACCTGCCTTTGGTTAAAATCATTAGAGTTAACTAGGCTTCCATTGGAAGTGCCTTGCTCAGATGTGCCATCTTCGTGGGTATTTAAAGAGCTCTCTAAAGAAGCCGAGCGTTGCTTTTTTGGATATAACCTCCATTTTGCAGATTCAGGAGCAAGATGGCCTTTTTTGTGGTTTGAAAAGTTTCCTGAATCTGAAAAAGTTTTACCACATACGTCACAAGTGAATGGTCTTTCTCCTGTGTGGATCCTCTCGTGCTCTTTCAGCTTCTCTTTTCGTGCAAAGGACTTGCCACAATTCGAGCAAGTAAAGGGTTTTAATCCTATTGAAAAATGGATTCGAAAATAAGTATAAATAAAAAATTACAAAAATAAATAACTGACTGAAACGGTCTTTTTGCAATATTCTTATATGAAATAGAATCGCAATGGTTCCATTTCACTGAGTGACAGGTTGGCTCAAAATAAAGATGAGTTGAAGTGAACCTCCTGCAACCTATTCCCCTTAATTCCCAGAACCAAAGATTTGTCAGAAAATGGCTTTACATAAACGTATTTAAAATTGCAACAAGCAAAGGAGGTGCTGGTTTTTGTTTCATCGTTAAAAATGGAATGAAGGTTGAAAAGAAGTAGCTGAAAGGAAACGACTGAATTATGAAAAAAAAACATTCTTAAATTTCTTGAAAATCCACCTTTATGATTGGCTTGTTGGCATAAAATTTCAGACACAGAGAATAAAAATGTACTCTGGGGAGGGGAGGGGGGGCAATTGACAAGAAAAGTGATAGGGATGTGCAAAAACCTTTTTTGCAGAAATATACTTACGTCATCTAAGTGCAGGATTATAACGAAGAAATGTCTCGAGCATTTAAGAAAAATGAAAACAATTAAAAGCTCACTGATTGCTGAAACCTTCCCCAACAGGTTTCTGTCGGAGTTTATAAGCATGAAAGATTGAATTTGGGTTCCTTAATGCTAATACACTACTCATCATAATTACAAAACTATTGATAAAAAATGAGCATTGAAATTCCGCAAAGCTTTGAAAAATCTGAGTACTTCATTTTTGACCTATGTTTCTTGTGAAATATTGGTTGTAAAATGCTTACCTGTATGGGTTGCCATATGTCTGTTCAAATTGCTTACACCTGGGAAAGATTTCTCGCAATACGCGCAGCTGAAGGGCCTTGCACCACTATGAAGAAGCAAGTGTTTTGTCAGGTCTCCTTTGAGATTAAAAGACTTGTCACAAGTGCCACAGATAAAGGCTCTCTCATTTTTGTGTTTACGTAAATGGTCCTGCAGATTGCTGCTCTGTTTGAAACACTTTCCGCATTCTTTGCAAATAAATGGTCGTTCGCCTGTGTGTGTGCGATCATGGACACGCAATATTTCAATGGTAGCAAAGAAACTCGAGCACTTTGAGCATTTAAAAGGCTTTGATATCCCATGTTCCAGACAATGCTCCTTGAGTTTAATTGCTGATTTTAATTCTTTGCCACAACGAAAGCATTGCCAGGGTTTCTTGCCCTTGTGGTTTGCCACATGCTTCCTGAAGCAATTCTGTTTAACATAGGTCTTTCCACAATCAGAACACTGATATGAATTTTGGGTCACTTTTAACTTGCCTGCTTGTTGTATTTCTTGATCAAGGACTTTAGTGCTTCTATCACCGGATACAGGTGCTTCTTTAAACAAATCATTTAAAAATACTTATCAAAAACCTGACCAAAAATTAAAGTGTGACATGACAGAAAATGAAAAGATAGATAAAATTCTTTACATTCTTTAGACATGAATAAAATACACAAAATGACAAAATAGATATTAGAAAATTTTATGTCAAAATAATGATTAGAAATTCAAAAAAACTAACATATGTTCCTTGCAGATATTTACAAACAAAATTTGAAGTTGAATCATTCTGGCAGTTTGGCAGGTATAAGAATAACTTGCAACATCCGTAGCTTCAAAATTATTAAAAAAATATTGCCAGCAACAGTGATAAATTTAGGTTATAAATGGTAACAAATTTGGCCCTTATCTAGCTCTTAGTACATTGTATTCTGAATAGATAGTTAAAAAATTACCTCATCTCTCACTCTACTGACAATTAGTAAGAAACAAAACCTCACTATCTACATGATCACTAAGCAAAACCATAAAGCTTTAAGAACATATAAAATGTAAATCAAAATAATAATTTAGAGTGTTTTAAGAAATGTCATAAAACAAAACAAAATACAGCACTAAATTTGCCAATGAAAAGAACTAAAAAATAATACAGATCTCAGAATAAAGATTTCAAATTAAACTTACCAAATGGCTGCTGCTCAACAGGACTTTCTGCCTCTTTCTCATCTTTGCGCATCTTTTTTGGATGGTTACATCTATGCCTATTCAAGGCTCGTAATGTTTTGAAAGACAATTTGCACCCACCACAAATGTATGTCTCCTTCTGATAAACTGGAGCCTCTGGAGTTTGTGGACTTCTATTCATGGCAATGTAAAGCATGTTATCAGCAGTGACATTCACCAGTGCATCCATATTCTGGCTATCCACATCTATACTGCTATCATCACTCATAGTCACTGAAATAGCAATAAAAGTCTATCTAGGCACAAAAGTAAGAAAACAGGGCATAAAGGATACTTTAAAGCTTCCATTATTCATATTGCAGTGATAAATTATTAAGAAGCATCAGACTGTAGATTCTTAACAAGGGGTGCATGGGTGGCAAGCATCTCATCTCCTTCAGCTCTAAATACCCTTTTAAGATAAATTGCCCTCGAAGTTTGCCTTCTTATTGTGGTGCCTTTTTGACATAGCTTCCTGGTTTATTGATGAGGATTCTACGCAAAACATATATAAACATATTGAGGGTTTAGTTAATATCCAGGATGCACAAATCTAGCAGATAGACTATATGCAAGCAAACTGGAGCTTCATTGTTGTAATTAGTAGATATATAAATTGGAAAAGCAGACCCATCTCATGCATTAGGCTTTTTTCAACTCAGGAAAACTAAAAGATTGCAACTTGATTAAACTTCACTCTTCATGTATTTTGAAAGTCAAAAGTTTTGTTAACTTTTATTGGTAAAGAGACCAAACATTGGAAGCATACAAAGAGAATGATTGATAATTGCTCTGAAAAAACAAACAGAATGATCGATCATTTTTTACATTGGAAGCATGCTCTGACTCTTGGTTCCTTGATTCTTCAAATTTTGTGACACCAAACTTTGATATACTACTACCTGCAAAAATCATGGAATGAGTTTTTTTATTGCAGCCAAGTGTTCAATTATGAGGTCACTATCTATTGCCTCCTTTAGCAGAGTGATATCAGAGGATCGGTAACACAAATCGGTATCATCAGCATACATGGACACAACAGAGTCTTTTATGGCAATTTTAATACATTTAAAAGAATGATGGTTGATGTTTGCTTGATTTCTTTACGTTGCTTCAGTTGAGTTTGCTGCCGTTTTTAGACCTAGTTTAACATGAAGAAAACACAGAACCAGCAAAATATGAGGTTATGTGACTTTTGAATCTTGATGAATTAACTGACATTACCAGCCACACAAAATGAGCCGATGCTACAAATGTGTGATTGATAACATTACTGTGGATACAAAGACAATGGAAATAGTATAGATCAAAGTGATACAATTGAGGAAATGGTTACATTCAAGAATGGTCAAAACATATTTACTAGATACTAAATACTAACAGTTCTAGATGAACCTGCTTAATTATTTCTTGATAAAAAGAGAGTGCTATTGACCTTAAATGTGAAAAATTTCTTTGGATGATTACCAAATACATCTTTGAATTCAGGTACTGTCAAAGCAGTGGGCTTCGTGGGCTTTAGCCCCACCAATAACTTCAAAAATTTACTTTAAAACCATGCAAAAAATTTGCATGGCCCTTGGTTTTTAGCATGTTCAGCCCCCCCCCTAAAGTTTTTAGCCTCCTCAAACATTTAAGTCCAACATTTTGTTTAGAGCTTCGGGTTATTGTACTTCACACTTGTCTTGAAATTTCTTACTATACTAATAAATTTGAATAGCAAAAGTACTTTTACCAGAGGCGGCACACGGTGATATCAAATTGCTATTACCTCAAATACATGAACACAGCAATAATCATCTTAAATTCAAATTTATCTGAATTTGCTTTTTACTAACTTTAACACTGGGTTAGGACATCCATCATTTTAAGCCGAAGGCACTGCCCATGAGTTAATTTGCCTACATTTGCAAATGTAAAAGGAAGAAAACCATTGAAACATCCTGTCTTATGCATCTATACAAGCAGACGCGGTACAATTGTCAATTTATTTTGTTTCATATCAAGCTACTTTGTTCTCCTCAAGATGAGCACCTATCTGACCGCATGCTATTAAATCTGAAATTTTAATAGCAAAGCAACAGGATTTGCATTTCTAACAATAGCCTATTGTGCCGCAAACAAAGGAAGTTATGATGCAATGTACTATTGTTTTCTTTCATTTGCTATAAAAAAGGCCCAAGTAATAGCATGGCCATTCTGTGGTTGAAGAATGAGGCTCCTCTCATGCCATGGTAAATTGGCTTTTGATGAAGATGAAAGGTCTGCTGCTGCAACTTTAGTTTGATTGAATGAGGCAGTTGCAACTAGAACTGTGGTTGGAAATCTTGGTGTTCCTTTTCATCTTTCTTACATTACACAAGAAATGGCTTTGAAAAAATTGCTTTTAAAGCAATAGCAATAATAGCACTGTCTGACACCCCTGACTTTTACCAAGGACTGCCATCTCTGACTGAAATACCAATGACTGAAAAACGAGACACATGAAAAAAGGTAATGGCTGGGAAGATCAGAAGAAATAGAAAGAAAGTATGAGTACTGTGCAAATGGTTTTGATTATTTAAACAGATGTTATATCAATCCTGTCTTAGTGTAATGGTATTGATCCTTTTCCATGAAATGAAATGGCGAACGTGAACAGACGATAAGAAATAAAGCTGCGAGGTAACATCAATATTTACAATATTTATAAATCAACAAGTAACTGAAATAGCGGCCATAACAAAAATCTATCGAGTTCTACAATATTGGAAATTCTCAATCCACGACAACTCAGCTTCAGCTAAAATCCAACTACCAAAATCGAACTCCTAAAACTTCCTTTCTAGTTCCTCAACCCTTGCCTAACAAATCTAGGTATAAAAGGTGCAGAACAACAACAACAAAACTAAAACAACACATAAAATAATAAACAAAACAATACAGACATTGGTCGAATATGTTCAGATAAAGCATGAACAAAACTAATGGAATCTGAAACAATGATTACAAAAAGCAATGGTAATCTTTGTTTAATTTCATTTTATTGGTGGCCAGGAAAGTGAGAGTAGAAGCCTAAAAAGGGTTAACAACTTAACTTCATAACGTCTACATATCTTCCAAATATTGGCTTTTAATGGCAAGTTTCAAGTAAATACCAGGCTGGCCAGCTGTTCAGAAACACTCTGTCCTGGTTCAAAATATTATTTAAGAAACTTTTCTACCAGGATGCTTTTGAAATATGAAATCATATATCAATCAAATCAACTAATCCAGAAATTGACTCTATTGAAATGATAAAATTGAAATAATCATAGAACTGCTATTTCTTAGAACAGAAAGATCTTCTTGAAAAAACATTAACAGGGTCTTTTGGTCAACAGAAACAGTTTGCATAAGGCCTGACATTGCCAACACAGGGCAAAATATCAGCCTGCCATTGACATGGCAGATGCTAATTTGAAATACACAAAACATTTACAGTATTCTGTTGTGGGAAAATTCTGTTTATAGACCATTTATTAGATAAAAAGAGGGTTGCTTGCAAGTAAAGGGTCAAACATGCGACTCAAATAACTGGAAATTCAATGAGATATGATAATACTTTACAGACTGGGCACAGGGACCCCATTTTCTCTTTGGTAGGAAGGGCAAGGGGACCAGACCAACATGCCCTTTATCAGACTCGTATATTCTAACTGTAATGCTTTATTCAAAACGACTTTTCCAAAACGTGAAAACATTTCTAACACTGGGAGTTAGCCCATTTTCAAGATGTACATGCACAGGATATATGGTCCGGCCCGACCCATTTATTTGACCCGCTTGGCCATAGTTCGTTCCAACTTCCCTGACTGGGCTGACTAGTTCTATTCAAAAAAATCGATATAAAAATAAATTAAACAACGATTGTTGGCTGAGAAAATGCAATCAAATTAGATTATCAAGATAAATCTATGATATCTGCTAGAGCCACAGTCAATATCCAGCGCCAGAAGACATAGGCCCAATTTGTAAGTTGTAATCCCTGTCATATTGAGCATGCGACAGGGAAGCATAACAAAAATTTTTATCATACACTCACCAGCGAAGCGTTGCCCTCGTCGAGTGTCGATGCCAAAAATATATCAAAATATCGCGAATATATCAATAATAATTCACTTTAAAACACCCTCCTTGAAAACGTTGTTCAGCTTTTAGAAAAGAAACGAAACAGTAGTACCCAGCTTTCCAATAACCAGTAGTGCACCCCAACGGCCGGGTGAAACGATTTGAAAGCGTAGGGGCCAAAATTTCAAGGCTGGATCTGGATGGGTTTAGTAAAGGATGCAGGACCATAAATCTGTCATGTCTATTGGGGGCGGGGTCATCAGAGCGAATGAATATAAAGTGTGCAGTGGGTCATGGCACAACCAAGAAATTTATGGTATGTGTTATGGAGACAGTTTGATGGGGCAAACGACTTAAAAAACAAAAAAATAAGATTTTAGATGTAGTCGGGTTTTTCAGCTCTATAGAAGGTATTAACAGAGACAACAGACGTTGCAAAAAACCTCCTCCTTTAGCAATAAACAATTGGTACCTCCTCAAGCATTCAGCAAACATTTACTTGAGGAGGTCTTTATTTTTTGAAGTTAGTGCCAATAAAAAAATCTTGAAATCATTAACTCTTTGTTTTGTTCACCTTGGGGAGAAGGTCATATGTAAGAAGGTCTTACTCCGTGTCCTTCAAAGTTATGAAGCGAAAGAAACTAAAGCTTAGAACTTTATTTGGCAAAGTAACATACTTAATGGTACGTAACACCGTCTTTTGTTGGCTTCGTGTTTTCTGGAATTACGGGAAACTCATAAAATGGAATAAAAATGAAGCAAAAACATATTCTCATGTTAAAAAATTTGTACCTACTACATTATTTTCTACTTTTTTCTAAAAAAGCCTATTCTGCTCTACATAAATGAAAGGAGGCCATGCCCCCCGCTACATCGGTTTTCAGGACCTATCATTTACATGTCTACTGTCTTCGTCAATCTCAATTTAAGAAGTCATTTGTCGTATGTCAAACATTTACGGTACATCTGTCTCAAGAAAGTTGTCATCAATTTGTATATTTAGGTTAGAGATAATTTGTTATCTTTATACGATAGGATCAAGGAGAGATTAGATCTACAGATGTATTTAGAGATTCAAATAAATTTAGACAAAATGTCATCTACCAAACAACTTGCTAAATTGCCGAATGTTGTTTATAAAGTAAAAAGAGTAGAGGTCCTAGCACACATCATTGAGGAACTTCTCACCAAATTGCGAGATTATCAGCAAGCTTGCCGTTTATTGAAGCTGATTGATATCTGATATTGAGGTGAGATTTAAGCCAATAAGTGCATCACCAATGATGTTCAAGTTTATTCAGTAGGATTTTATGCATGTGTTGATATGCTACAGACACTTTCAAGAAAAAATACAACAGGAAGGAGCCATTTTTGCCAGATTTATCAGTTTTATTTGGAGATCTAAAAGTGTCAGTGAGAGTGATTTATTCTTTTGAAAGCCAGGAAGGAAGCTCAAGCGCTGTCATGTTCGTGTCATATTCCGAAGAATCTTCGAAGCCTGTACCAAATAGCAGGCATAATAACTGGGGGACCTGAAATGAGATGAAAATTGCCAGTACCAACATACTAAATATTATATCCATGCAACAGAAGGTCTTATGATATACTGGCCTAACGAAAGATGGAAGCATTTTAATCTCTTCTCTACAGGAGGAAATATGAAACTTCTTAGATTGTATCATTAAACAACAAGGCAGAAGGTGGGGTTATAAAATATCGTTTAAAGTTATGAATGTCCTTTGAACTGTCTATCAAATTGCAGTCGAAAGACCATGGAAAATTTACAGGTTGACACATTTCATCTACATTCATAATTTGTAAACAAAACTTTTCACTTGAATTGCAGCACTGTAATGCTTTGCAACTAAAGGAAAACTTTAAGAGAATTGATTTGGAGTCGAAGACAATACAACTGATTTGGAGTCGAAGAAAATACAGAAGATTTATTCGAAAATATAATATAAAAAATTGGTTATATTTCAATGGTTTAAGATCATTATTTCAATGTTTGTAAAACACAATACCGGATTTTGATATTCACTTCTAATTCAAATCACGAAAAAAAGTTTCTAGGAATTTTTTGCTACCAACGGCGGCCCCACGGGGAATGGGGGACATGTCCTTAGCAGGAACGATTTTGAATTTTGTCTAATTTCGATGAGAAAATGCTTAGGGATGGGTAATATTTTGGCAAAGTACTTTTTGTGACAGGGTTTTATGATTTTGAAACTACCCTTATGTAACCAAATGTCAGTCATGGGAGTTTGCAGTTGGTAAAGTTAGCTCTCCCTGCTGAAAAATAGCATTTTCTGACAATATCATTGCCTAGATTATCGAGTTCCCCCCTCTGGCCTCTCTCTTTAAAGACTGGCGCCACCTTTGCTATAACGTTATGCAAAAGAAAGCCTTGGCTCAACATGGAAAAAGAATCTTTATAAAACAAGGCTGAAGAGAGAATACTTAACGAAATATTATACAAAAACTATATATTGCTAGGGACAATCAAGAGAAATGGAAATTTGATTCACCTAACTTCAATTTTTTAAGAATAAAATGTATTCCTATTTACTAAGTTGAAAAAGGGAGATATAATTTGAATGCAGTAGTAGAAGATGTCCGCATTGTATATTTCCATTTCCAAAACATACAAAAAGGACAACCCCATCTACTAATAAAATACAGAACACGACAACGTGTTAAGGAATCATCAAATTCTTTGCGAAAAATCCATGAATAAGACAATGCTGTGCTGCCTTTTTCAAGCTGAATGGTATCAAAGTTTTCAGTCATAAATAGGGAACATGCATACAGTTATTAAACAACACGATGAGACGAAGAAGACTGCAAATTTAATGGCTTGACAGCATAAAAGAATGAAAGGACATAATATAAAAGGATGACAGTACATTAGTATGCATACTAAATGAGTGAGTCTCGAGAGGGAATTCAAGAATATGCAACCTTGATTACTACATAACCACTATACTAAACAAGTTTCTTATCAATTGGTCATTTTCTTGAGCAATGAATAAGTATGACCAGCAAATCTAGTTTGAATTTTCTCTGACTTGAGAACGGTTTTGGACTGGTCCACTAGCACCTCTCGTTTGTACACCATTGATGATCGTTTGCAATGACCTTACATCATCTGCAGAAAGGTTAAATATGCTCCCTGGAACAGCAACGCCTGCCTGCGCATTAATCAAACTACGGATGTCTATCTGATCATAATTAGCGGCAAGAACATGACGAAGCCATTCCTGTCCAGCTGACTGAAGGTCCTCGAGTGTGGTGGAAATTGTGGCAAATTCCTTAAGTGTATTATCCTTCCCAGTGATGGCCTCAGAATTAGCCTTATGGCTTATCAAATTTGCAAGTGCCGGGTTCATGTCAGTTACTAAGGCTGATGTTGTTGGTTGACTGTGTGGGATTACTACGGAGTTAATGTTCTCCGGTCTGCTGCTAGCATTGCGCTTGCGTTTACGGGGAATGTAACCAGCCAAATGGATTTTCTTATGGTTGCTAAAATTGCTAGAATCTTTGAATGCTTTTCCGCAAGTGGTGCAGACCAAAGGGCGTTCTCCTGGAATGCAAATTGATTGAATGTCATTACGACTTGAATTAATAAAAAGGTTTTTTTCGTTAAAATAAGAAGGTTGTTTTTTACAATTCTGAAATCGATTCTCTAACCTCTTTTGTCTTTTAAAGGGAAAAAAAATTTCTAGGAAAAGGGATTTTTAATTCGCATTGCAAATGCGCCAATATCTTTCAATAATTGAATGTTTTCTTTGCAAATTATCGTAATTCTACTGTCACTCTCATTTACATAACATTACATTACATTACATTACATTACGTTATTGTTTTTTTTTCATGTTATGTTTTATGTTATGTTATGTTATGTTATGTTATGTTATGTTATGTTATGTTATGTTATGTTATGTTATGTTATGTTATGTTATGTTATGTTATGTTATGTTTGTTATGTTTGTGATGTTATGTTATGTTATGTTATGTTATGTTGTGTTATGTTATGTTATGTTTGTTATGTTATGTTATGTTATGTTATGTTATGTAATGTTATGTTTGTTATGTTATGTTATGTTATGTTATGTTATGTTATGTTATGTTTGTTATGTTATGTTATGTTATGTTTGTTATGTTATGTTATGTTATGTTATGTTATGTTATGTAATGTTATGTTTGTTATGTTATGTTATGTTATGTTATGTATGTTATGTTATGTTATGTTATGTTATGTTATGTTATGTTATGTTATGTTGTGTTATGTTATGTTATGTTTGTTATGTTATGTTATGTTATGTTATGTTATGTTATGTAATGTTATGTTATGTTATGTTATGTTATGTTATGTAAAGTTATGTTATGTTATGTAAAGTTATGTTATGTTATGTTATGTTATGTTGTGTTATGTTGTGTTATGTTTTATGTTATGTTTTATGTTATGTTATGTTTTATGTTATATTTTATGTTATGTTATGTTATGTTATGTTATGTTATGTTATGTTATGTTATGTTATGTTATGTTATGTCACATATGTTAGGTTACGTTATGTTTGTTAAGTTATGTTATTTATGTTATGCTATGTGTTATGTTCTTTGTTATGTCTTATGTTCTTTGTTATGTCTTATGTTCTTTGTTCTTTGTAATGTTCTTTGTTCCTTGTAATGTCCTTTGTTATGTTATTTCATGATATGTCAGGTCATGTTATTTGAGTTATGTTACATATCAGATATTACCTGTGTGTGTTCTACGATGCTCGTGCATCTTTTCCTTTCGGCTGAAGGCCTTTTCGCATAAATCACACTTGAATGGCTTCTCCCCTAATGGAAAAAAGCAAATGAAGATTACAAGGTAATGTTTATTAGTGATAGTAGGTAACTTAGCAATAATGAGCAATTTCAATTCATAGAAACCAGACGAAAAATACTAAATTTCCATTTTCGTTATGATATCAGAAAATCACATCATGAACAGATAAACAAGCAGGAAAAATAACGGTGTATTTTTTAGAAAGCATAAATGTTTCAAATGTTACACATCAGGGAAGCACGGAAAACAAGCCACGTTTGCAGTGTCTATTAGTTCTTCTCTATGAAAAATGCATAAAAACAGGGAGGTCCGCTAGAAGGCAGAATGTTGAGTGCAGAAATTCTTATTAGACTGAGCATGAAGTGTTGTTTGGAATGTTATTTTTTGGAACTCCACATATCAGATTTTGAAGCTACCTTAACAACATGATTAAAGTACTTTCGACCCACTAAATCATCTACTTCTTGCAAAGTTTTCGGAATGTTTAAAAATAAGCTGTGAAACATACCCGTGTGGGACCTCATGTGTCGCCTAAGGGAGGCAGACCTATTGAAGCCTGTGTTGCAGACAGGACAACAGTGAGGCTTCTCTGCCATGTGCGTCACCATGTGTTTCTTCAGATCACCCTTAGCATTGAAGCCGGCTCCGCAGTCAGGGCACCGGTGCTCCCTTTGATTCTTATGCGCAGTCATATGATCCTTAAGCCCAGCAGCAACTAAGTATCGCTTTCCACACAATTCACACTCGTATGGCCTAGCTCCGGAATGAAGCCCTTTATGCGTCGCCAATATTGTGAATGAGGAAAGACACTTGTCACATTGATCGCATTTGAACGGCTTTTTATTATCATGCACTTTTAGGCAATGGTCCTGGTACTTCCAGTGACTAGAAAACTCTCTACTGCAATCAGGACAAACCCATTTATCTTGATCACCATGAGAATATCGGTGACTTCGGAGCAATTCTTTGGAAATAAAGGTCTCCAGGCAAACTATGCATTGGTTTCTTGCATTTCTTTTCTTTCGTGCATTTGCTCTTTAAAAATTATAAGAAAGATCTTAGGCCAAATGATTATCGCGTTCATATCTATGTAATTATTGCCCAGTGCAAATCATTCCAGAGATAATTCTGTCTTACGTATAGCAAATAGTAAAAATGACAGAGATGTAGACTTTTATTCTAACTGTGGATAAGTTAGCCTAGAGAAACCTTTCTTGGATGGCTGATAAAATTTTTTGAGTACTCTGGCTCTAATTTTTAACTGATGAACGTGCAAAAGTGGAAAAGTTTTTTCCCTGAAATTAAACTATGTATAAAAAAAATGGTCAATATTCACTTTCCTATTTACTGCAAAGCAAGCGTTTAATGCAACGAAAACAAACTTGTTGTCCAAAAACATACTTTGCCTGTGCTTTTTGTTCTGAAAAACTGTCCGAATGTTGGTCTCCTATTCCCTCTGGATGGTCTTCTTGCGAGCTAGGAACATGGCTTTGACATTCAAGGGAGACAGCTATCCCCACAACGGAAGACGCATCTACGATTTCCTTCTTCAACGTCTCTTGGTAGTTTTTTTCTTGTTCCATTCCAAACTGAATGTCTCTTTTGAGGCCTTCGCTATTTTGAATGGGGGTACCAGATCCTCTTGGTCTAAAAAGCAAAATTTAATTTTCTTATAGGGAAATTAACATTTTTTAACTTTTTCAATTCAAGTCTCAGGTTTAAGTCTTGCACAGAGCTAGGAACTTATATTTGATAGATTTTGGCGCTTTATAAAGATCATAATTATTAATTGTTATTACTATTGAATTAGAAAAGGTTATTTTACCAAAATACGATTAGATAGCAATTGACACAAATAAAGCTTGCTTTACAGGGTCTTAATATGAAGAAAAGATCTCGCTAGAATGCCTTAACTGTTTTGATTGAAGGTTCATAAGCTTGCAGAGCTGGTTACCCGATAAGAGTATTCGTGAAAAGAGCGACCAGTCATTAAGAGCAACGATTTTCGATTGGCCGTCATATAACTTTTAAAAATGACCTGGACAATAAATCTAAATTCTGATAAGACTTTGGTCTAATCTGAAGCCTCAATTTGGTCTATTCAAGCAGATCATTTCCAATTAATTACTGACCATAACGTAGGCCAGTCAATTTTATCTACAATGTAACAGAGCAAGTTACCTGATGACATCATCAGTTAACTGAATATCAGGCTGAGGCTGAGAGACTTCGCAGAGCCTTTCTTGCAACGCAGGCAGCAAAGCAGAAACAACTTGGCCTATTCGGTTGCTGGTGGCAATGTCTACGCCAGAGCTGAGATTTACAAAAGAGGGTTGGAATCCAGCATCGCCATCTTTATCCGATGCAACTACTTGGCTTCTTGAATCTGGCGGTGACTCAATAACTGTTTCCTGGGCAACACTTCTCTGAAGCCTTCCTCTTCTCCGTGTTACTCGGAAGGAGGAGCTTACATTCTCTGTTGCTGTAAATCGGAAATACTTCGATAAAAAACAATTTCAAGATTATATTGTTATAGCCACAAGCGTTGAGAATTCGTTGAAAATGGTCGATAAAGTGGATTCTTGCCTAAGAAATTAATTACACTTCGTTTTTCTTCTAAAATATTTTTTATACAATCTTTCGAAAAGTTGTAATAAGAAAACTTATGAAATTCTCAATTTGAAGTTTCAGGAGTGAACTAACATTATTATATTCATAACTCACATACAAAAAATAAGAAAAACTCATCAATTTCCGAAAAATGATCGGTTGATACAGCAATTTTTCAAGAGATTAATAGAACAAACTTTCTTCAAAGCCATTTTAACAGTATGGAAACGACTTATTTTAACAGATTGACTTCAAACGCACGAATTCACTCACGAGAAAACGCATCCTTGTATTTTTGAATTAATTGTGACTTCCAAAATATTTAAATCTTGTAGGCATCATAGATGCAAAAAAGAAAATTCATGAAATTCCGACTTTTTGAAGGAATAAAAAGACATATCAAACAACTAGACATACTACACTACAAAAATCCTTATATTGCGCATAGCAGATTAGCTTTTTTTTGTTGCTTTGTACATCATAAAACGCTCAATTAGCCTCTGCTTGGCACAGATAGCAAAGACCTGCTCAAACGGGAGCCGTATCTTGAAAAGGCTTGTATGTACTTCAACGCAGTCGTAAGCTGAATTATGTTATAGTCCGAAGGAGGCTCGTCTGCATCCCCATTCTACCTACTGACAACAGGCACACCCACAAGGAGATTTATGCTACAATGCCTGCCAAAAGTACTTGGAACGCTAACCAATTTACGCTGCATTTGATATCTTTCATTCCTTTCATGAAAAAAAATTGCTACTTCCGCCCCCTTCCCCCTTCAAACAATGTTGATGATTTAGAGAAATATCATAAAAGAAGCGCAAAAGAAAGTGCTTCCTAAAATCCTAACCCGTTTGATAGTAAACCAACATTGTTCCGTGGGGGAGAGGGGGATGATTGGTTTTGACCTTGGAAATTGATGTCAGTGTTCCAAGACTTTTGGCAGGCATTGTAGCACCTCTAGCAAACTTACCAGTTCCAGGCTGCACGGAGACGTTTTCAAGCAGGTTAGATATTAAAGGGTTTCCAGCAATCTGTCCACTTTCATTTGAGCCTGAGCACTGCTCGTTGGCAGGCGAATCGCTCTGAGAGTGAGGATCTTGTGCTGGCACTGCTAACGTACAACTGTTCTCCACGCCTTCTCGTATTATGTTCTTTCCAGCAACATGTAAGAGTGAATGCATTGCAAGCGTGAGTGCGCTATCGAACTCCACCGTACACAGTTCACATCTATACCTTGATACTTTGTTTTTGTGGCAACTTTCCAAGTGCAGAATGAAGCTTTTCAGCAATGGAAAATACGATTTGCAGTTCTCGCAATTGCTCTCATCTGTATTGTTACATAAAGATTGTGGCCTTGAAACCACAGTTTCGTACAAGATGCTTTCCTCTAAAGAAGGAAGAATAACAGATATCAATGCTGAAATTCCAGGAAAACAACACAGCTAAAAAGGATGGTTTAATAAATCATTTAATTTTATAGGGTTCGTCTAGGGTAAAAGCTTCTAGGCCCGGGAGTGATGTCAGTTGATCCAGGTTTTCATCATTGCCAGTTGCTTTGCAAAAAATATACGAATAATCAAATACAGAAATACAGAATTATCAAAATTCAGAATGTCTAGCAATAGTAACTCTTTTCAAAATGATCTGCAATTACCCAGAGTGAATCTGCACAAAAAATAATGTCATGCAAACAATTGATGGTTTGAAAGTGGAAATGGAAAGAAACACAGTGATGTCATACCAATTTAAAGGCATTTGACATGCATCAGTACAGCGCATCAAAAAATAACTCGATCAGAGCATGCGCGTTTGAAAGGATTTTGAAACTACGCACGTGAAACCTCTCTAGGGTTTTGCCGATTCGCAGAAAGGCGGGAACTGTTCAAATGTTTTTCTCTGTACGCAATTTGATTGGTCAATCGCTTGGGGTCAGGTGGATGTAAGCCACTTTTACCTGTGTTGAATGCCTTTAACATAATCCTTGAATAAAACACTTTTCGAGCAAAAATTTGTCATTTTTGGCAACTGTAACGTGAAGCAAAACCGTTTCTAGAATCCAAATCAGTTGCATATCAAAACTCATGGAAACATTTCTGTTTTAAACCTTAACAGACTGTTCACGCTCTCTCTAAATATTAATTCCTAAGAAACTTTCTTCATTGTTCTAGCCTCCTGAATACCTGAAGAAGGACAAAGGCCTTCTGTGTCATGCACTTCTACTGCACCTAGGCTTACCTTCACCTTTCCCCAAAAACCTGATATTAATTGAAAGGCTTAGCACCATTAGCAACATCAATATCAACAAAGAGAATTCAAGCAATTGATACATTAACAAAGATGTTTGCTTGTTTGTAAAAATGAAGATGTGGGTGTATCTGACCTTGGTTAGTTTTTGGCAAGCCAGCAAGTTGGCAGCTAGCTGCATATTTTTCCCCACTCAGCAACTCAGCAACAATACTGTCAATGGAGTCACTAGTAGTAAATATTCTTCTGCCTCCGTCTGACATTACACTGGCCTGCCGCTCCACTGAGCGTGCTCTTGTGGTCATTGAAGACATGGTGAAATGTTTCAGACAAATATTGCTGCAATACAATAGATTTAATATGAAATGATGAGTGTTTCCACATTGTATAAACATTTTGTTCTAAAAAATCTTAGTGGGTTAACTTTCCGTGGAAGAAATTTCGGTCATATTTTCGATACTTCGGTGTAAATAGTTTATTTTCGAAACTGCGATGAGAACTTGAAAAATTTTACTAGAAGGAAAAATTTTCAGTGAGGAAAAAAATGAAACACATTCTGTGAGTTATTTCTATTTTCATCATAAAATTATCTCCAACACAATCATCAAGTTACAAAATCGAATATTTTGATGTCAGCCCAATACTAGAACTGAAGAGTAGGTACAAATGTCATAAACTTTTATTAAGAGAAGGTCCCTTTTATTTCATTTTTATAACCCATGGAGGAAAACAAATTGGAAGCATTTACAGCAAGTTTGCAATGACTTCGATTGCAAAATGCAACAGGGGATTATAAATTTTGATTGATTGTGAGTTAAATACTTAAGAATCCAAATTGAAACAACTGGAAAGAAATAATTGAGAGAAATTATGAGCAGCCAGTGGAAACATAAGTTCAGCCTGTAGAGAACTCAAATTTCTTGGATGTAGAGGGCGAAACAGAAGTAAGTGAACATGAGCTTGATATCTTATTTGTTAATGTTGAAGGAGGTTAAAAAACCAAAAATATGTTATGGATGTATAGTATGTGCAAACAATATCAAGGATTATTTTTTGTCTTTTTCAAAGTCCGTCCGTGCACAATAAGATTTTTCTAGTTGCCCTGCATCACCAAAAATAAATCCTACCAAAATAGTTGGTACTTTGTGTAGTAGGACTGCTATTGAGTAAGAATGCCATTAAGTAGTATATAGTAGTTGGGACACCATACAGTAGAATTTATAGTGTTTCTACCATTAGGACCAAGCAGGGAAGTCAAGCAGCTACCAGAAGGAACATGTACAACAGAGTACCAAAGTGTGACATCATCACAAATCTACTTTTAGAATTTCTTAATTTTGACCATACAAGTGCCTGGTCCATAAGGTTGTGAAACAAGACCAAATTAAAGAGATTAGATAAGGGAAAGAGCCTGTGCTTATGTGGCCAATTCGTAACAAATTCTACTGATTGTGCGCATTTAGAGGTATTTTTCATAATGCTCTTTCAGGATATATGGTTAAAACTGAAAATTTCAAAAAAGGATTTTTGCGATGTCATGTCATCACTTTGGTAGTCTATTACAAACAGGGTGGGGAATATTTTGGCAAATACCTTTAGCAAGCAAGAAATCTGTTGTGGGAAACTTAGCCTGTCCTTTATAAAAGTAGGAGCTTAGAGAATAGGTTAGTAGGTTGGTCAGTTCACATCATCAGAATAACTAAAAAGAACTGAAATATGATAAAAATAATTAGGCTCCCATCAACTTCAAATTAGAACAATAGATGCTATATTGTGGCATTTGCGGGAAATTTGCATTTAACATCGTTCAATGGGAATACTGTTGCAGTGAAAAGACTGAGTGATTCTGTACTTTTTAAAAAAGCATGAAAAAAGAACTTAGATAAAAATATACATAAAAAAGTGGTATTAGTTTTAGAAGATAGATTCATATCAGAGTATCTAGACCATTTAAGTTATGACTAAATACTAGTCACATTATCTCTGGCCACATTCATTGTCTCATTCCAGCTACAACAATGTAGCATTGCAAAATTTATAGGGGTGACCTAAACTGAGCATCAGAAAATGTTGGAAATTACCAAAGTTATAAAGCATTTACAGTCTCAAAAATCAGGGTATACATCTTCCATTGTTTTTATGATAGGTTGTCTTAATGAAAACATAGGAGCATCTATATGGCTTCATATAGATACTGATGCAGCTTTGATTGACCTTTACGAACAGATGTAGCATTTGCTATGAAAGATAGAAATTCTAAAAGGAAGAAACTGCTAGACAGGAACATAGCAAAGAAATGGAAACATCACCACTTTTAGAGGCACAACTACTACCCTAGGGTGCAAATTCCCCCTTTGTTTGTTATATTGAGAGATCCAAAGCTCTCATGAAAATTACTTTAATGTTCAATATTGAATTTTTATTATTTGAGGACAATAACTTTCATATTCAAGTATATTAAAAAGTCATATTTTAGTAACATCAACTCTTACTTATTAATATTCTTCTTATTTACTGTTTAGTAATGTTATGTCAAATTTCTTGGTGTTCTCTTAGATGAAAGCCTTTCATGGAAGTATCACTTGTCTGAACTGTCTAAAAAATTGGCCAGAACGTGTGGTATGTTTTTCAAAGTGAGACACTTCTTACCCATTCATGTTTTGGTGTGTCTTTACAACTCTTTGTTTTCACCTTTCCTCCAATATGGTATTTTAGTTTGGGGTCTTACTTATGAGACATATATCAATCCAGTGTTGTTGTTACAGAAAAGGGCCATAAGGGCAATTTCATTTGAACACTTTACTGCACCTTCTACACCCATTTTTTCATACTTGAAGATTCTAAATCTACAAGATCTTTTTCACCTGAAATTTCTTAGGTTTTTATATGAATGTGTAAGTAAAATCTCTCCTTCTTGTTTTCACTCTTTCTTTAAGTTAGTTGAGTTTGTTCATCAATATGGTACTCGGCAAGTCATCAAAAATAATATTTTCCTAACCCAAAAAAATTTCCTGCAATATGGTCCTAGGTCAGTGCGTTATTGTGGAGCTAAATACTGGAATGACACTCCTGTGGAAATAAAACAATCTCCATCTGTTAATAGTTTTCGTCAAAAAATCAAAGCTTTCCTATTTGAAACTAATTACTAAATTTTGGAAAAGTGGATATCAAAAATGTCACCATCTGCCCATCAAGTAGTTTTGTCAACATCATAATGTCAATTAAAGAAATCAATTGTATATGAGATACTTTTATAATAGGGGGTGTTCTCTCCTCAATTAGTCTAACTACTGAGAGAGCTCCTCCTGTAAGTAATTCCCTCCATACAATCTATCTTGTGTCTATGTTTTGTATTGGTATATTGTATTAATTTCTTGTATTTTAGATGTATGCTTGTCTTGTTATTGATAAATTGTATGTAGTGGAATTTAAAAAATGAAAAACTGAACTGAAGTAATAAATTTTCTCCTAGCAGCCAGGCATATTGAAACTTCATTTTGCAACTTTACCCAAAATGATTATTCAGCTAAACAAGAAAATTCTGACAAAATGCCAGATCTAAAGATTTCTGGTCAATCTTGCCAATTTTGTCATGGAAGGCTAAAAAATCTTCTTGATATTATGTACTGGTGTGCAAAACTAACTACACCACTATTAAATGCAAAAAAACATATAATAATTTCAAGGCATTTTACTTTGTTTTAAAGTTCTGTTTTCTGTTTAATTCCCTTTTAACAGATATCTAAAAGGAATGCAACTAAACATGACCATTTCAAATATACAAAAATGCCATATTGTTAAGTCTTCATACAGTTCAAAGCTTTCACAAAATACCTGAAATTCAAAAATAATTAAAGAATAATACAAGGCTCAAACTTCATCAAGAACAATTTTTTGTTTTTTTGAGTTTTTTTGAAATCAAACAAAATGTGAGTTTCATCATATATGTTTTGAAATAGACGTATCCTCCCTTGGAGTCATAAACACAATAATGTGACATCTTGTCTTGCTTAAAGCCTGGTTTCCATATAGCAATGATTCCCTTCAGCCTGGTTTCCATATAACTCTTATGTGTCGCCGATGCATCAGTGACACTCTTAACCAGGGCCTCTTAGATAGGCTTTTGACAACAAACTGTGCCTAACAAGTAGGCATGGTGATTGATAATGGTTTTGATTGATCAGTGTGGGTCATGTATTCACACATCGTCGCCGACCTGTCGGCGATTCATGTTTCCATTAAAACTTTCAGTCATCGCCAGCCTAACTGACAGAAAAAAGCTGAACTAGATTCAATTTTTGCAGGGCATCGCTGAAGTGTCCATGATAACCAGGCTTAAGAAAAATTTAAGGCTAAACTGATCTTAGGCACAAAATTAAAAAAAAGGTAAGAATATTGGGGCTTAGCGAAAAAATAGGTATTTTAATAAAAAAGTTTGTAGAGTTAAAAGTTCTGGTTAAAAATTGTATTATAGTTCTGGTTAGAGTATTCTGTCTTTGTGTATGTATGCAGTCAACAGCATCAAATTTTAATCACAATTGGATATTTTCAGCTTCATTGATAAAAACCCACAATGAGGTTGAAAGCTTAATTCACATTCCCAATAAATTGAAATAAACATCATCGGGAAAGCCTGTTTTTCTTTAATCAAGAAGGTTTTTTTCTAAATTCTTGATTTTATGCTGGACTCTCTGTTGGGTATTGTATCGTTCAGAATGACCCTTAATCAATCTTGCAAAGTATGGTTTCCCTTTCGTTTTCTGATATTTGGTTTGCAACAAGCATCAAAAGCATACGATTGCAACAAAAGGAGTAAAAACCAAGAAACTGGAAGTTCGTCGCTGTATCAAATGAGAGAATAACAAATGGCAAAGACCTATTTGAAGGGTTTCGGTTGGGGTCAATTGTAAAAATACATAAAACGGTGTGACCGGTCACTTTCCTATAACTCATCTGCACAGAGATCAAAATAAGAAGCCAAGTTGAAGTTGAACTTAACTTGGACAAACATCACAAGTCGCCTACAAAAGCTTCCGTTATAAAGTTAAAAAAAAGAGGATGAAAACTGGAACGAGAGCGCCAGCAAAGATCTTGACGATAAAATGAATCCTTGCAAATTTCCACGAAAATTTCCTTTGCTCCCAGGAAGTTGTCCTTTGTTATCAAGATGGTTGCCCTATCTCGGTACAGGTAAACTTGCGAACTCGTTCAATGCCAAAGAATGGACAATCCAAACAAACAACACCAGTCAATTAAATAAAATTCGCATCTGGGAGACTCAAAAAAACAGATAGCTGAATTGAAAATAAACAGTCACGTACATTTAAATGATCACTGCTTCAAACATTACTTGTGTTCGAATCCAACATGGCCACAGGCTGCTACCGCTTTGCTGGTCTCCGTGTCACACAGGGATATATGCCTGCGCCTTCGCAGCCAACAACTCACGTCCAAAATCTATTGTATTTTGACTGTCGTTATCATTGAAAACTTAGTATTAGCAAACATTTGGCTGTGTTATAGGCAACGTCTTGAAGCAAAACCTTGAAGCAAAACAATATACTCGTATTTGAAATAAAGATTCTGCTGTGTATATGAAATCATTAAAAAAGACTGATTGGAAATTGCTCATTCTTCGAAAATATATAGCAAAAATGCATTTTTTAATAAGAAATTCGTTATAGGAAACTCGGAATGGGCAATCAAAAAAAAATAAGAAAGTTCAAAACTCAAAGTTAAAAAGCAATTGAAGTTTGAAAAGGCAGGAACACGCAAAGCAAGATATGATTTGCTGGTTGGCAAAACAATTTAGGCTGAAATATCACGAGCATTTGAAGACTTGTGACAATTATCGAAGCATAGACCATTATCTTTGTTTAAAGCTGCAAAAACCCTCTTCCACAAGTTTCTGTTGGAAAGTTTTCTTGTATGAAAATTGAATATAGGACCACGAATGTTAAAATTACTGACATCATAGTTTTAAAACTTTTAAGAAACAAGGAGTATTGAAATCTTCTAAAGCGTTAAGAAGCTGCAGTACTCAACGTCGATCTTTTGTGCTACATGGTGGTATTTTTGGTTTTTTTATTGCTGAAATATTCATGAATTTGTTGTATAGATAAAACATATAATATTGCTGTGTTGTAGTTCGCTGTAAATTATACTCTTGTAAATTTTCTCAACTGTTGTACTTGCACTATCTTTACGAAAGCTCGTTTGTAATATTTTGATTTCATTTTTTAAAGCTGTAGCTAAAAGGTCTATTTACTTGAACTTAGAAAAATATAATTTCATGAACCAAAAAAAGCAACAGTAATTATTTAGTAAACATAAAATTTTATAATCTAATCTCAAGGCCATAAAGATCACACAAACGTCATATCAATGAAAATCTTATCTATGCAAACTTGTAACAGACTTACCTAATTTATTGATTAAGTGATTAAGTATTCTGTGATGTTATTCAGAATGATTGGCTCAAATTCAAACATTCTAAAGATAAAGTTCATGACGTCATCATAATGGTTTAGATTCTTTTGCTGCTGTTAACGTAATTTTTATAAGACAGTTTTGAAATAATGCGATGTGGAAAGGAAAATGGCCAACAATCTACACATTTCACCAGGTAGTTTGGGCATACCTAGGTTTAGGCAAATGGCAATAGAATCTCCTTGAAAGATTTATGGGATTTCTATATAGTGATACCTTGAATGCAATCATCCAGCAAAAAATCACATTTATTATCTGCAATACCTGGCCCCGAATTTAAGCCAACCTGTGAAATCTGACCTCAACATGTTGAACTGGAAAAAATTGAACTTAGGAGATTATTTTTCTTCATCTGATAATTAAATGAATTGGTAGTAGAAAGCAGTTTCCCTCTGATAAACTGGAAAGGCAACTCATCGTGAGAAAAATAATGGTAGTTCTGTACCCGAGAAGATCGGCAGTTCCAGAGAAATGCTTTTGATTTTTGTAAAATGCCATAATGAAAACGAAAAAGGGGGATATTGAGATCTGTTTTGAAACGATGAAATGTTGGAAAAAAGCTTGTGATGCCAAGTTTGACATGAATATTTGCAGTCTTCTTATACGTATATGCATAGAAAAACAGCTACTCCAATTTTATATTAATCCTGGAAAAATAGTAAAAAGCTACTGAAAATAGATTTTCAAGAAGATGATATACGATTTTGCTGCACGGCAAATTAATCCGAATAAGCAAAGGCTGGAGAGCAAGTAATTTTTTTGAATCAATAAACAACATGATGAGCAAGGCCAGCAGCCATATTCCCAACTTATGTAAAAATATCGTTTGTGCAGCTTTTAACCCAATGCAAGATAACATCTAAGTTAGCAATAATTTCCTCATCTCCCTCCGCAGAAACATATGCCTGTAGAATATGAAATTCTCTTGTGCTGAACGTGTGATCATTGTGGCAATTACACGGTCTACGCCACGAATTTGCAAGAGGGGTGGGCAAGACTAGCAAAAGTAAGGGGCCAAGGCTTTTCCCCCTTTTACTGGGGGCATGGCCCTTCCGCCCCTAGTGGCGTTGGCCCTGAATTAAAGTTTTAAATATACTGTTTCTTGGTTTAGCACTTTGTTGAGTCATTTGAAAAAGATAAGAGGAACCTTATTAAAGACACTGTACATGTACTTCGTTTAATCTAGCCATCAATCAACTACAGCCATACTTTACAACTGACCTTCACAGCCAATTTTTAGCTATATCCACCTAATACATGATGACACATACAAGAACTAAGTTAAGATACATATAACTATTCAAGCTAGTTTACGAAGTATTTGTGCGGTAAAGGCATAATAAGAAAAATTGGGATAACCTGAATGACAAAGGATCTAGAGGTGTATCAACGGAGAACTGAAAACAGCAGAGACAAATGGAAAACAGTGGAGAAGAAGGGCATGGAAATTAAAGTGTTTCGAGCAAGAAAAAAAGTTACTTTTCTAGCGATTCAAATAAAGTAGCAAATAATCATAAATATTCCGACAAATTTGGTGCAAATTATAGGAGCTCAATGTTCAATGCTTTAAATCATGGAAATATAGAGGAAATATGAAGAAGACCTGCTGAAGTCATTGTTTAAATATACTGTACGCTGTGTTGTCAGCAGTTGCGCAACCAACTGAGTTTTTGATAGCAAGTCTGTGCTTTTTACAGAAGTATGCGATTGCAAAGAAAACTCCAAGACCAAACAAACATGCAAAAACGAAGATGACAGTCATGATGACTTTCTTTTTTTTACCAGTATGTTCACTTTTTGGTTTCATCGTAGTTTTTGTGCTTGAGAATGTAGTAGGTCTTGTCCCAGGTGATTTTGTTGTAGCTATGGCTAAAGTATACGATATCAATGTCAGTTACCAAATAAATACAGTCTGACACTACCAATATTTTGTATGTAACTACAAACGTCAACACAAATAGCCTTTCCAACTTAATAGAAAGGCTTCAATTGTATATAAGTTATCTCAAACATAAGCATCAGACATTTTTCAAATAACTGTAATAAATTTACAAAGCTCCAATGCGGTCAAAGCTTGAATTATAGCACGTAAAGAATTTTGGGCCAGCGACTCTAAATTACCACGAATATCAACATTGATGTGACTCCAACTCCATATGAAACGAGGTCAAAATGTCTACACTTTAGAAAACGAGGTTCAAATAAAATAGAACCGGAAAAGAAGTTTAAGGGATCAATGTCAAAAAATTCAAAGTTGAAGGTGGACAAAATGTAGTATCAAATAAACAGAAACACTCAGAATCTCATTTATCAAAGGTCTATGTCAGAACCATGAAACATAAACGTTAATGAAAGGAAAAGAGCTTTCATACGTTTACATTCCGGAGTGAATCCGTTGGGCGAAGTCCAGCCCTCCTCACACGGTTTCTCGCTACCTATTAAAGATAAATATATACAAACGTCAGCTGTTTTGCTCTTGAAAATATTTCATTATTGAAATTAGAATTAAACAGTTTTTCGTTTTATATGAGAGTTATGGTATACATGTGATCGCAAAGCCATGTCCTAGGGTTAGCGTTACTCCTTTGCACTGAAAGTACATCTTTTTGGGTTGCATTTTCTTTCCAATATTCTGTCTATAGGAAACCCATTTCCATTTATTTGCTGCTAGATGTCACTTTATTTTATATTTTTTGTTTTCTTTTCACTGTCGTTTAATTTCCTTGTGAATTAGCATATTTAAGAGCTCTTCTTTCATCAGTCTCCTCGAATGTGTCTTAGGTGTTCGTCTTCCTGTCTGCACAAAATAATTGGTTTGTTTAAACCCAGCCACTCAACATTTAAATTTTCCTCATCAGGCTTACAGGTAAGTTTTTAAGCTTTATTTCTTTTTCCTGGTGTCATTAATCTTTCTCACAATGGTGGAAGGAATTAAGAAAAGTCTTCCATTCTAATAACTACTACCTGTTCTCTGCTGTTGCAATAAATTGAGCAGATGCATTCCTTACGTTTATTAGTGCCAGAACCTACTTCAGACTGATATTTGTCAATTCACTTGTTGTTTTGAAATGTCAATAACGTCAATGTCATTAAAGGTAATTTTATTGATAATAAAATTATCAATATTAACATTTCTAAATCGTTAGTTCTCTCGAAAGTGTGCTAGGTGTTCGTCTTCTTGTCATTTTCCTCATCAGGCATGCAGGATTTTTTTCAAGCCTTATTTCCTTTTCCTGGGTCATGAATTTTCCTCGCAATTTTTCTTTATTAACATTTATCTCCAACTAAACACTTCTAAATCAACATGTCCTGGTGGTGTACCAGCAATAGTTTCTCAAGCCTCTTGCCCTTTTTATAGCAAACCATTTCAACTTTCCTTAGTTTATGTAAATCCTCTGACCCTACCAACTGTCACTCAATCGAATCACCTCAACTTCTATAATGATGAAAACTATCATCAAAAAACAACCCTCTACCATCCTTTTAACCTAGGAGCTTCTTTGCTATTCCTCCGGTGATTTAATTTCTGATGTTACTCATTTTTGGTTTGCTGCTCTGCAATTGTTTGAAAGGAAGAAGGACACCTCAGGAAAGTAAGAGACATAGCGATATCTTCAAGGCCTTTAATCACTTCTAGCACAAATTATTTCTTTCTAAATCTCCTATAGCTACAGCCACTTATCGTCACATAATTGATGTTAGGGTTCCACAAGGATCTGTCATATCTCCTATTATATTAATACCTTTCTCCAATGATATACATTCTTCCAACTCTACGATAATTCATTAATTCACCGAGGGAACTAATCCGAGCTCTGTACTTTCTTTTGATGGAAAAAATAATTCTTTATGAACTCAAAGAAAAATTCGCCTTCAAAGAAAAACACTTCTCACTAATGATCTAACAATAAATTAGAATTGAAGTGAAATCAATCTCAATAGGTTAATGAAAGTACACCAACCCATGTTGATATTTCGTGCAAGTAAAACTCAACATTCCAACTGATGCCATTATGGTTACTTATTTAGATACCTGGTACTTCCTTTTCACAGCTAGTCATTTCCTTGGGTTCCTCTTCAGGACACATGGGATCTTAACACACAACAAAAGTTGCGTGGTGCTGCTAAATATTCTTTTTGTCTTCTAGACAAAATCCATTATAAAGCCATTAACCTCATCAACAGCTCTAGTCTTGCAAAGTTTTTCAACCTTTTCTGCAACAGCGTTGAACTGCTGACTTACTGGTTTTCCCCTTTGAAATTTGTAGGATGGGGCTTGGCTTGTAAATATTGGAAAGATTTACACTCTTCCTCTTTCCATACTCCTATAGCCTTCTTTGCAAACTGAGCTGACCACACTTGATCTCCCTTCCCTTGTTAAGGCCTTTATGCCACGGGTCTCATCCCAAGCAATGACTTGAACTTGACTTTGCAAGATTTCAACATGCTTTACCATAAAAAAGCTAATGCAGCTTTTTATGTCTTTGCAATTCGAAAGGCATATGAAATTGTCTTTTGCTTTTCTTACTGTCTTGATGATAAATATATTTGTATACATATTGTTATTATCTACACTCTCCTCACAAAAGTATTGCACCACCTTGTTCCAAATGGCGGCACTTTTTGTCAGCATTTTGACAATACACAACATTTGAAATGCATGATTTGGGTGAAATAAGCGTATTTGATAGCAAATTTCGGCGGGAAAAGTTAGAAAACCTACGCCATTGAAAACCTAGTAAGAGATATAAATATTACGCATAAACATTTTTGTTTGAAAAAATGTAGACCCTGCCTATGGGAGAAAATTTGTCAAATGAGAGGTGAGTCACTATAAAATAATTACGGGGAAGTGGTCTTTAATTTATGAAAAATTGTTGACCAAGAAAGATGCAGCAACACAACAGCTGCAATAAATCAAAAAGATTTCTCGAGACTCGAGAGTGTTTCAGTAGTAATGAAACCGAGAAGTGGGCGACCAAAAAAAATTGACGTTAGTGGGGGAGAGAATTTGTCTGTTTTATTTCACCGAGGTTGTGCAATACTTTTGGGAGGGGAGGGGAGTATGTAGATCAAGTTTTTGTCATTCTTCATTTTGTCTTCATAGAGTAGACATGTCAATTTCATCAAATGCATTCACAAAAACAAAAATGTTGTCTCTATGAGTTCCGACTCTCATTCGGGAAAGGTCGTTACAAAGCTATTTAATTGCTCCTTGTTGGCTAAGAATCTCAAGAAAACTAGACGTTCTTCTGAGTTTTGGATTTCTTCCTCACAATCTATGGCAACGCCAGTCATCAATAAGTGGGGGAGAGAAAAGGAAAAATGTATAATGTCACGCCCTTCTCATCTTTAGGAGACAACACCCCCTTTCTCCCAGAAAAATCCTAAAACTTTCCATTCAACTGAGTTTAGTTTCATGTAACCAAGCTCGTCGGTTCGAAAACCAGTTGAGTCTGCGCGCAGGCTACACGTCGCCATCATGAAAACAGGAGGCATGCATGGTCAGCGGTTTAAACAAGTTCCAATGAGTTCGTGGGATGGGTTCCAAGAGGGTTCTTTTGTTTGAGGCGAAAACAATATAAGACAATCGATTGCCATGGCTACGACACGGTTCCTTTCTTAAAAATACAATATGGTAAAAAATGTTGCCTTGGCTACGACAGGGTTCCCTTCTTTAGAGGAATATAATATGTTACAAAAGATAACCATGGCTACGACAGGGTTCCTTTCTTTCACAATACCATATTTAGAGAGCAGCAAAGGTTGTCGTACAAGAGGCCACTTGACGTTGGGACTCGTTGCGATTTATTTGAAAGTAAAAGGAAAAACTGGTGTTATGTGTCTAAGGAAAATTTGACAGGGTTCCAGAACCCTTGGAACCCGGTCTGAATCCGCCACTGATCCCAAGAGAATTTGACTTGCTCAGAAATAATCATAGGAAGCAGAATTCAGGGGAAAAGTCAAAGGAAAGAAGCATGCAAATTCTGGATACCATTTAACATCGAAAGTATGCTTACTTTAAATATATACCACTTTTTACACCAAGAAAGAAATGAGTCAGGCAAATGTTAGGGTCATTGGGGTGCTAAAGCCTTTGCAGCCCCTGAAATTCCATTTACCCTAAAAAACATAATTAAGATTAGCAGTCAATATTAAAAAGAATATTTGCTCAGAAAGTAAGAATGGTCATACCTGCACAATATGCCATACAAAATACAGTTCTCACTAGATAGAATACGTAGAATGTGGAATTGTTTTCTTTGCATTTCGTTGCTTTAGTCCGCCAAGGATGATGACAACAGTCATCTCTGTACCTTCCACATGCTGTCACTATTTTGACTTTCTCAGTGTCTGCTGGCAACGACCCATTGATCCAAACTGGTGATATGCTTCCTGTAACGGTAAATTAAGTGAAACGAGGTAATAGATGAGCAGCATGCTAGAAGTTGAAAATAATTGTTTCCAAAGACAATAGTTCTATAGAGTTGACCTCCCAATGAGAAAAGTTTAATTCAGAAACATTTGAAGGGAGACGCGCTTAATACTTGGGAATGGATGCTTTTTCTTAGAAAAGAGGTCGATTATCTCTACATTTTAATAAGAGCTTCTAAAAGCAGAAACATTTCAATATTTTGGGCCATGTGACCCTGATGTGATTGTTTTAGTTGCCCCTGGCGGGAACTGCCAACATTGTTCATTAGACGTTGTTTCCATTCAATCATGAAACAATGAAAAAGAATATCAACCGCTGATTAGTCACGTAGGTATCGAATTTTGCAGCTTTCGAATTGTTAAATAATTGTTCACTCACCACATGATTTATCAGGGGGGCATTTGGTAGGCATTACCCCTCCGGCAGGGCTTTTGAAGCGATACCATCCTGCTAATATACGCTGATCACAAATGCTCTCATTCACATTCGTTAGGTTATTTGCGGTGCTTCTCCGCCAGTCTGATATTTCCTTGTAGGTTTTACATTCGGTAGCTTCTACAAAAAAAACATTAAACAATTGTAAAATGTTTTCAGGGACCATTTTCGTGGAAAAATGAGATTTTTTCGATGTAAAATGGATGTTTTTGAATTTCAGGTAAACATTTGAATTGATGTGAATTGCACTGTCCCCTAAAATACTGAATTCCTAAAATCCAGAATGTTTTTAAGATGTCATCAAAGATATACGAAGAAAAAGGCTTCTTGGAAAATTAAAAATAATAAAAATTTCTCCTACAGTTTTCATAACGATATCCCAAAGGTCCAAGGCAGTTGAGGCAAGACATATTTACCCGTATAAAGGCTGAGCTTCTGTTTGTATATCTGTACTCGAAGTGTAAGGGAAACTAAACTTTTCTACTATTTGCTACAAAACCTTTTTTGCTACTAATCAACAAGTTGCACCAGCAAGCTTTAACTAGTTTATCTTTAATGAGGTAATTCAAGAAAACCAATGTTTTAGGTTTGAATCTGTTTCGATTTCGACGGAAAGATTTCATGCCAAGGCAACATGCACAGCTAAAATCTCCCGGTCACGTCGGCCTACCACCAGGAAATGTATATGGTGGTTTTTCAAAACATTTGACACCCAACAACTTAAGTCGTCCCAAAACAATTGAAGATCTCGTTGCTTAACAATTTTGTCCAATAGCAGTACTACTAAATTTCAGAATGGGCTGTTTACGAACAAACGGCTGCCTTTTAAAAAAATAAAAACATGAACACAACATTTCAGTTTGGCTTAAAAAAATGATATCATAGATATCTTTTTGTTACACTGTTCACAGCAGGTCGACTTGCGGATCATTTAAAATGACCATGTAATGTGTTGCTGCTTTAAAAACAGCTCTTGACGCTGTCGAACACTTGAACACTGAAATATTTTGCCATTAAGGTATCATAAGTGAAGCTTTTAGGGTTAGAAGCTATCTGAAAAAATTGGTACAATGTGGCAATTCAAAATCTTCATGCCAATTATTTAAGTACAGAGTACCTAATGATTTAACTCTGGGACCTTAATTGTTCCTTATAGAAGTTATTAATAATAAAAGCACTTATATTGCGTCATATATACACAGGGTTCATAGGCGCATTACAATTAAAAGCATTTAATTTATAAAATTTGTAAAAAGGGCAAAAGTTTTTAAGGTCGTTATTCATTAAAATCTAAGTTAAAACAATCTATTCAATAAAATCTTGTTTGAATAAATGTGTTTTACCACTATTACCACTTAAGATTTACAAGTTGCTAATTAATACTTGCTCTAACTGATTTGGGGACAAAAGGAAAGGGGCAATATTTATAAACGTACAATCACGAGCAATAACTAATTTAGACTTTCCTACTATTGGTTAACAGAAGTATCTCATATTGCATTCTGCTTGTAATTGGCAACCATGAAGCCTCTTCAATACCGGTGTTATGTAACAACGTCTGCGTCCACCTATTAACATTCTTGCAGCAAAAATCTTCTGCAGCTTTTTCAATTCACATGATGGTAACCCATATTAAATGTTACAGAATTGTTACTGTCAAGCCTGACAGAACAGAGGAGTGAATGGCTTTCTCTGTAACCTCCTTGGTAAGGTATCTTCGAGCAAGGCTAATATCGTGTAAATGACATCTAGCTGATTTGCACAACGCATTCACGTGCGATTTCAGTGTCAGATTGGTATCAAAACAACACCAAGATTCATCCCTTTTCTCAGTGGTTTTAAAGACACTGCCACCAACATTAATGGATATGTTTGAAAGTTTTTTGCAATGTTGTTGCGTACCAATAACCAAAAAATTCATTTTTGTCTACATTAAGCTTAGCCTGTTTACGAGCATCAATTTTTTAACTTCTTTGATACACTCTTCAATTCTTGATACAGAGGTGGATGTTGCATCATTTGGTGCAAATGACATATAAATTTGTGTGTCATCAGCAAAGCTGGAAAGTTGTAGTCCTTTCTTTCGCATAATACCTCCTAGTAGCAATATATAGACCAGGTACAATAATGATCCCAATACTGAACATTGAGGAACACCACACGACGAGGTCATGTACTAGAATTATTTAAACCATTTGATAGTCACAAAAGAATCATTTTGATTTTTCAACACAGCAGTCTCTGTGATATGACCCTCCTTGCATGCTGACTCTAACGGTTCATATAAAATTTTCTGTTTCATCTGCTCCATCTTTTAGTTAGCAACTGCCTTTGCAATCATTTTGGAAGCATTAGGCAAGTTCGAAACTGGACGAAAATTAGGCTTCACGATTTCAAGTCCAACCTTTTTCAATAGTGGAATGAGTTATGCCAAATTGAAATCTTCAGTTACAGCTGCTGATTGAATTGACTTATTTATGAGTCATAACTTTATCAATAATTTCTTGGCAACGACCAAGAATCCATGTTGGAACTGGATTTATATCACAAAAAATTGCTGGTGGCGTTATTATGAGATCCTTAACATTTGCCTTAGAAAGACTTCTAAAAAGATCATATATTCCTATTCTTCAGTAGGTTAATATTCATGAACAAGTGTCACTCATGAAAAAGTGTCAGTCACAGATTGGTCAATGGATACTTGAATGTTCTCTACCTTTGCTAAAGATATTCCATAAATTCGTCAGCCAATTGCAAAGGTTAGTCATGCTTTAGCAGCTGGGACTCATTTTTTTATTTTTACCATTTTGTTGAGAGTGTTGAAAAATTTATTTGAACAACCTGCATTTGTGACACTTCTGAAGTTGTCAATATTTGTGACTCTCAAATATATGCTTATGGCACTGTCATGCATGTCTCATAAAACAGATAAGCTAGAGAAAGCTCTGAAAAGTCAATGCAATTGCGAAATGTCAAGAAAACAAAGAGGCTTGTAGTGAATTTTAAGAAAGGAAAAATAAAAGCTATGCATTTTGGTACTGCCAAAAAAAGCGGATTGCCAACCTACCTTATGAATGAATCTTATTTTGTAAACTTTAAACAGAAGATAGATACTCTAAGTTTTGTATGAAAATCGTGTAGCATCTTAGCTTTAAAATTTTACGTTGTCAACAGTTTCTTTAAGCAGGACCCTTATTTATAGCAGTATTTTACATGTACTGAAAAGGCATATCCTGTATAAATATGTACCATTATTATCATATATTATTATTATTACTGCCAAGAGAGTACACGCTCAGAATAATTTTCATCTCTTAATGAATGTGCCTTTGATGGAATTTGTCAGTGGTTACGAGAATTCTTTATGTGTTTGGAACCAAGAGTTAGTATGAAAGAGCACTGACAAGAGGTGAGCTATAGTACGAATTAAGCTTTGACATTCAAAGTTTAGATTATATTGTTGTTATCAAGCATCGACTTGAAGAACGTATCTGCATAATTTTAGCTAATAATTCTTTTACAGGATTTACAATGATATTACGAAGAAAATTTGTATGCTTTTTCATCGTTTATTAATGAATTTACATTTATTTAATTTTCAAACAGGAGCCTTGTAAAGGAATTTTGTCTTTATCCCACTCATATCTTTCGCTTTTGCTTTACTGAATTTGGAATTAATGATATACAGGCAGTACGCTAAAGCTGATACATAGGAAATGAAAATGAATATGAACAGAATTTATCAAAGGACTGACGAGGGACCAATTATAGAAAGAGTAAAAGAGGAGGATTTGTAAGCATTTGCTTCTTAGAGTATGCATTTGATTTGGCAGATAGCCTAAATAGTGGTGAGGTTAAATTTAGATGCGTTTACACGGGTCCGGCCGAATATTTGGTCGCCTAAATGACCTCATTTGTTGCCGGCTTCAAAAGCAGGCCAGATTTTTGGCCGGCCCAGTGTAAACGCAGCCTTAAGAACAATTTTGCAAAAAGATTGTTTATCCTTATAAAACAAAGGATGTGATCACAAAATCAATTAAATCAAGATAGAAAATAATCTCTTGGGCAATCCTCTTCTTCAACTTAATTAAAAGGCTTCAAGGCAAATATTTCTTTATTAAAGCAAATACTTCTTAAACAAGGCAACCACTTCTTATGCCAAAGGCTTACTGAAGAGTTATATTTCCAACGAGATAATGAGCCATACAGAATTGAGGAAGGGGCTGGATTTCAGTTCATTGGAAGTCTATGGCTGTTTTAACATTATATATTAACCTTTAAAACCATGCAGATTGACTGCATTTTCTCCACATAACAACAAGACAAGTTATTTATCATAAAGATTGACTAAGTTTGGAGCCTTTACCAAGTGAATTCTCGGGTGTTTTGTTAATTCAATTCTTCCCCATGCTCAGCTCTGCTCTACAATCATATTTATTGTTGTTTTACTATTTCTCTCCATTGCTGTAAGGTTTTGGGTAGTATAAATAGCAAAATGTGTAGTATAAAGCGCAGTGAAAGGGTAGGGGGTGGATCGTTGAACCGTGCTTCCTGATACTGTCTATCAGGGCCGTTACTAAGCAAGCCTTGTTGGGGGAAGGGGCGCATGGACTACAAATTTACCTGATTAAAAACAATTACCTGAAATTCTTTAGTGGCATTCACAAACCTCTGCAATACATTTTCTCAATCTTACTCTGTGGCATATAACTCGCAACTTTCATTTTTATTAATGATAACGGACCTCCTATCAGGTTTATAAGATCTCTATATAGGGACGGGCAAAGGATATAGTTACTACCCGTGGCCGCATCATGGTTGCCGCCGAAGGACCGGAAAATGTTTTCCAATTATGTTGCTTCCAGTTCCCTGGAAATGCACTGTTTTAAGCAAATTACACAAAAGCAATCCTCCTTACCTCATTGAAAATTATTTTTTTTGCAAACAAATTGAACAACAGATAAAAACAACTGGTACAATTTCGCCGTGGTCTTAAAAATACCATGTTTTCAGTTGGGCTTTTAGGTAACAAGCAGCACTGGTTGTCAATTTAGATCCCTCTTTCCATTTAAGCATGCCTTTTATGTTAAAAAATATTTGGAGCTCATTGTGAATTGCATTTTTTGTTTTTCTACCGAGAAACTTTAGGGGAAATGGATACAAGACACAATTTTGGATCTTTCCATTTTTGTGCCAACAAGAAATCTTCAAATCTTTAAATCATTAGTTTGCTTACCTTCTTTCATATCAAGGAATTTCATATTCAACCAACAGAGCAACTACCTTTGCTTAATCCTTTATTGATTTTATGACATGAAGGTCTCAGAAATTCCTTTTAGCGTCCCTTCCACCGTGCGGATTTACCTGAAATTTCCTATTGAGATACTGTTTGGGGGGGGGGGGGGTTGTGACACCCCACACCTCCGGTCGTGACGCCCCTGCTGTCTATAATCGCTCAAAATCAAAGACCGAGATACAATGTTTCGCTTTTTTTGGGGGCAACCCAGATAAAAATATTTTGCATAATCTACTCAAGTTTTTGGCGGGCCAAGACCTCCGCCCCCGGTATCTCAATCCTTGGTCAGAACAACGTTACACTGGATACCAGAGCCTCAGTGAAACAGATGGTCGAACAGTGGCTTCTCTCGTCTTACTACCCTCTCTTTCATCGACCTACTCTTTGACTGATGCTCTGGTAGAACAACATAAAGCCTTAACGAATGAAGATCCAAAGTCAGAACTTTTTCCAAGCCTGCTATATAGATATTCCGCGGTGGAGTCCAAATGGGTGGAGTCCAAACGTATCGAGTGACAAAGTCATCTTCGGCAGGATGTATTACATCATACAGACCTGTCTACATTATCGAATACTTTGTTCGAATAGCAAAAGTTGGACTGTCAGAATATCAATAAAACCGCTTGCACAAAGCAAATCATGGGCACAAAGCCAAGCGTCCTTTAATAAAAAAAACCGTTCCGAGTACGTAGATATTAAGGTATCATTGTTTTATTGACCATATTCATAACACGATTAAAATTTTTATCCAAACCTTGTATTACTCAAATCGAAACGTTTATTTATTTATCTTAACTTACCTGAAGATGCTTTCTTGATCAAAAGGCACATGAAGCAAAAATGAAATAACACAGATCTTTGCATTTCAGCTTTGGCCATCATGTTTTGTCCTGAAAAAACTAAAAGATGAAATATTGGTTTAAAATTACTTTGTCTGTTTGGTGAAGTAGGTTTTCAAGAGATGTTGCAATAAGGGTGTTATTATTATTTGAATTTTTCTTTCCAAGCTCTCGTGGCAGCATTGTAAAAACTTTCGTGTAAACTCAAAGGAATTGACACCATTATTTGCAAATAAGTGTGATTCAACATTAGATACCCTTAAACCATCTCCTTTTCCCCTTGCTTTACATTTGAGACAGTCTAGAAATCGCACTTAGGGGCATTTTTCAGCTGGGATCTGCAACCTGTCTATTTGAGCATATCAAACTGCCCATCTCTACCAATTTTTATGCTGGCATCATAACTTGCAGCAACATTTTAAGAATAAACGCCTTTTGGGCCTGAGGCCTAGTAAAACAGTCTAAAAATAGCCCTTGGGGCATTTTTCAGCTGAGGTCTGCACCTTATCTTGTTCAGCGTTCAAACCTACCCTTGTGGACAAACGTTCATGCTGGTATCCGATTTTGCACAACAATTTGACAACAGTCGTGATTAAGGAAGCAATACACGATAAAAGAAACAGAACGATATATTTCTATTTAGCTTTGCAAGGGGCAATTTTCAGCTGGGGTTTTTCAGCATACTGTCTATTTGAGCATATCAAACTGCCGATCTCTACCAACTTTCACGGTGACATCAAAACTTTCAGCAACAATATTATAATAATGCTTCTGGGACCTGGGACCTAGTACAAAAGTCTAAAAATAGCTCTTGAGGGCTTTTCAATTTGGAGCCTGCATCCGATCTATTTTGAGCAATTTTCGTGCTTGTATCACAGCTAGCAGCAACATTATGAGGAAAACCGTTTTTGGGGGCCTGGGGCACAATACAACAGTCTAATAAATACACTTTGGGGTATTTGTCAGCTGCATCTTATCCTGTTCAGTGCTCAAAACTACCCTTTTGGACAAACAACACAGTGGATTCTTTCAAAAACGCTGCTTGTCCATTAAGCCATGAAAACCAGACCACGGGAACTTTCCAAAGCCTCTTTGGGTTCATATTTGGCATCATTTTAAAAGTTCAGCCTCATGTTTTTTCCAGGAAATAGCCACGACGTTTTGTTGCAAAACAAGAATACAGGCAGCCATTTTTAGATTTTGATAGCTTAAACTTAAATCGATTAAATTTCGCTGACTCTCCTGTCCTTGAAATAAAAATCTGAGCAAATCCGAAACTGGGTATCCTTTTCATCATTGTTCTGAAATAACTCGTTAAAGGCTCTTGCGCAACCAGCATGCTTAGCAGCAGTTGTCTCGAGAAATTGACTGTGCTTTGTTTTTTCATGTAGCATGATATCTTGAATTTTATTCGCAAAGCGTGTCGGTTGCGCAAGAGCCTTTAAAGTCCGGGGTACAAATTGGTAATGTGAAAAATGCTGTCTATAATATATTATACCGAATTTATTTTACCTAAATTTGCCAATAAAAGTTTACCAAAAAAATAGTTGGATAATTTGTCATCAACTTGTAACGGAGTTATTCTTTGAAATCACAGTTGAATTTTTAATTGAAGCTTTCACAATTATTTTTTGCAATTTAGCTCATTTATGATCATAGTATTAAGATCAAGATAAAGATGTATAAACTGCTACTCCCGCAAAACCTAAAATTAAGAACATGCAGCAGATTAAAAACATCCAGACTGCTTTTTAAACAATATGAAATGGCCTTAGGAATTACATACTCGTTTTTGGCGATTTTGTACTCAATGACTTTTCTACATGTCCCCCTGATTTTTTTGCAATTCAATGCAGCCCAAAGAAAATACCCCAACATTGATTAGTGGAATTGAGGGCCTCTGCATTTCTGTTCATCATAAACTGTTTGAAGCAAAATTTGGATTCAGCAACTAGCGCCATCCAATGTCTAATAATTAACGAATGTGCCACACTTTTTATTGTCTGGGAATGCGTCATATCACCATTTATTAAAACTCATTTATTCAATCGAGGAGGCAAGAATTGATTTCTGTAGACCTTAATCTACCTATCGATCGAGAGGATAGTATACATGGCAAACAGAAATGGAAGCATTTCACAAATCTATTTGATTTCTCAATTTCAGTAGACGATATTTTGCTATCACTATCACCTTTCCCAATTGCAAAGTTCTTAATGAACTGTGTCACCCTATTCACAGCAGAGTTCCGAAAAGTTGTCAACCTTCCTCTGGCCAAGAAAATCTTACTATAAACCTCCCTCTATTTTAATGGGATTAAAATGGGCGTGGTCAGGATACCGGGGGTCCCCAACTAATCTTGATCCCCTCTCCTTGAAAATCTGTTTTTCTTAAACATTTTAAAAAGATGTAGCTTGTTCTGAATTATTGATATTTTTTGAGACAGTAAAGTTACATGCGTATATCAATTAACGACAAAAGCTTGTCATATTTTAAATGTATAAACAACAAAACGTCAATGCCTAATTTTACAGTACAGCGCAGTTCAGTTCAGCGCAAATGAAAAAACAGGAGGTTTATAAATATAAGTCTAACTTTTTATTTTTTGTCTCATTGTATTTTGAAAACCAAAGGCAATGCAATTTCTTCGACTTCCTCGAGTTTCAAACTTTATGGTCACCTTCCTCGACTTCTTTTTTTTCTAAACCCGTCCTCTCCTTAGGTCACTGGCCGTCGAACCGTGATGTTTTCCTGACTCTGATTAACAGTTTGTTGTGACAACTTTCAGCTTTGTTAATCATAACCTTTAAATATAGCTTTCCATAAATTCTTGACCAGTCTTGAAGTGCTTACTTCCTTTGCCGAATGCAAAAATCATTTTGTTTCTACATGCTTCCCTTCTTTTTACTTACACATATTTCACTTCTCCGGACCTATTTCAGATGAATTTTTCCACCACGAGGCCGCTCCTTTGCCGCGCTATCCTACTGTCCGCCCTTTTTCTGCTTGCTAAAGCAAAGACTAAGATAGAACTATTTCCTTGAAAGGCGGGGTAACCCTGACAAATAATTTTAATACTTGTAAATATGTCGATTGTTCTGTCCATGTTACTAAAAATACTTTTTTAAGTTGGGAAAGGCCTTGTGCTATAAGGTTTACAAAGGTTTGAAAAACGCAAGTAACCAATTGTTTATCCTGATACACTGGCAATGACCCCGCTTTTTCTTGACAATGCAACGCCATTTGAGGCCTTAAAATGCAATGGTTTAGCAATACTTTAAGTAATTTTATTACTATAGCTATATTCAATATCCTTTGGCCGTACGTTCGTCGCTATAATACATAATTACTGGCTACATAAGTCATCAGAAACATGTTTCTTCACACCATTTTTGATTGACATAAGCCAACACAAAAAAAGAAATGATTGTTGTTCTTACATTTTAAATTGATGCCTTATAGGTAACAAATCCACAGCAAGTGGTTGTAAGCCCTGAAGATGCAAAACATGGCATTGAAAAAACTGAAAATCGTTTGCCTTTTCTACCTTAATTCGTAGACGTTCTCGTGTTGTGGCAACAGTGTAGGTCGCACTATGGCGTATGAGTATGCTTCGTACACAGAGATAGGCTACTTCGCGGTTACAAACATAATACTGCACTTCAAAATTCCCAATTGAACTAAGTCTCTTGAAGTTTAAATGTCTAAAATCGAAATTTACTGCATACAATTGCTCTTTGGCCAATGAAGGCTGGCCGAGTTTCTTCATACTTTTTTGCATTTCTGTTATCGGGAGTAAACAAAACGAAAGAATTCCTCACAATAATTCAAGTCAGACAACACAACGAATCAAGTAATTTCAAAGAGGATGTTTTTTAGTCTTTTAATGAAATCTTGTAACCTTGTAATCGTTGCAATTTTTGCTAATTCAGTAGACACTTTTAGCTTATAACTTTGGCATGGCCCAGAGTCTTACATTTCATGATGGCCTAAACAAAGTTGAATCGACACGAAGCGAGCCCCGAATAAAGAACATGCTGTTCTCTTTGCTATTTAGTTGTTATTTAATGCTCTTATGTGAAGGCACGAGAATAATAGATGAAAAGCTCATATTCTCCAAGGATGTCAAGGCATCTAAAATCACACAGACAGAGAGATAAAAGCAAAACAAAGAAAGAGGAGCCTCGACCAAAATGAAAAAGTAACCTGTACCTCGCTGTCTGTTCTTGGCCTGAGCTTACTTCTTTACTGTGATACTCTATTTCAATAGAAGTTTGAAGTACAGATCTTAGTTGACATCGAAGTACATAACTTGATGGTTCCGGGCTCTACTTGTTGTTTGAAACACTGTAAAAATGAAACGTGATCAGCCTATGAAATATGATAGAACAGCAGGTACTCTTAGATATGAAAGTTTCATCAAAATTGCTAAAACTGAAAAACTTACAAAAACAGTTAAGTAGCGATTCATGTAGGTCAGAATCAATGTTTCCGTTGAGTGGGGTTTCGGTGGGGGAGGTGCTCAGTCACCTTGTTTAAATTTAGAGCGATTTGGATGAGGGCACAGCCCTGAATTTCAACTCATGTTTATGTGTGATGGGCGAATTCTGAGTTTTATATAAACGGAGGATTGTCTCGTAGCTTATTTCTTCATATGACGCATTGGGATTGTTCAGTTTGCCCCTACCCCAAATTATAAGCCTGAGTAAAACAATAATACAAGAGCTTAAAAAGCTAATGAACAGACTTTCGTTTCATTTAGACCGATACATATATTATACAGGCTTGAGTCTCTTCAATCCGTTTATCCCATCCAGAATATCAGTAAATTAATATAGAAAACATTTTTCAAAGGCCCCTAAAGGCAATAGGGTACCAAAACGAATGGTGGAATTCAGCATGCAAAACGGTCCGGGTACACAAACGCATGACAATTTTGGTTATGCAAAAACGTACCCAAGCTTTAAACAATAGGGTACCAAAACGGATGGTGGAATTTAGCACGCAAAACGGTCCGGGTACACAAACGCATGATATATTGGGTTATGGAAAAATGTACCCAAGCATTAAGACAATAGGATACCAAAACGAATGGTGGAATTTAGCATGTGAACTGACCTGGGTACAGAAATGTTCTGGTTCATATTTTCCAGAATGTAAAGAACAACCGAACTATTTTTAAAAAAGGGGGTGCTAATAAGAGGCGGTGTTGTGATATCCCTTGTTACGTTTATGCAAAAAAAGTTCAACATTAATGGCGACTCCAATGTTTGCTTGATTGAAAAGTGTAAGATTTTAAACTCGAAACGCATTTTGGTAAATTTGTTACTCATAACGTGTCATAACATCGCACTACGATGAAATCATATGATTTGAAACACATTGTGTCTCACAATGTTACACTTTTGCATAGGGTACCGAAACGCATATTACACCGGCGAAGGCAGAAATTTCATACAGCGCTTTGAGACTACTGCAGGAAATGCACAGAGAATTCAATAAAGGCTCGTAAACACTCATTTTAGGATAATCCATTACTGCATGTGCATAAAATTTTGTTGTATGAAAAACTGACTGTTTTTAATTGCCTAATTGAGCAAATAGAAGACTTAATGACTGACATCTTTTACATCCTTTGAAATCCGATAACATCGAAAACCATTTCACAAACTTAAAGGGCCACTCCAGCCCAAAATTTTTATTTCAGAATACGATGTAATCAGACCTCCTAAAAACGAATCTGTTATTATTTTTTTCATATCTCTAGCTGTTTTGTAGTTATTAGCGTTTGTAAATTGGTCATTGAGTTGAATTGTTTTTCAGCCGTGTTATCGGAGATTATCGGATTGACGTCACAAACATCTTCGGCCTCTGTAAGTTCGCGGCAAGTATCATCGGCTGTCCAAAGGGTCAACGAGAACATAGCGAAATGGCAAACAGGGCCTAGCAGCGGCATGTTTGTTAGAAGGCCAGACTTTTATCTATATAAATAGACAAGTATCGTCGATCAGTCTTGATATTCAGATCGAATATGGAAGTATTATATCGCACGAATCTGTCTGACAGAGCAGTCAAATTGTGAAAGTAGGCCAGCGAGACAGAGACATGAGGATGTTGACAGACTGTATAATGGAACGTTGCTTTTGATGCAGTCTGTATTGGCAGGCCAGTTTCCTGATTTTTAAAAGAAGATTGGCGCTTTTTCATCAGCTCTACATTCAGTGCAATACCCATAAAAACCATCACGCAATTTATTCGGGAGGAAAGACCTAAACAAAACCAGTTTACCAGGAATGAAAGCTGTATTGATACAATAGATTCATCAGGATAAAGAGCTTCATATCAACATGAATTATTGGAAATAAAAGAGGACAATCAAAGACATGAACATCGAAGTATACAAACTTTCAAGACAAGACTAAAGACCTGCCATTAATCATGAGGCAAACAACTTTTTTCAAAAATTATAAATTTGTTCTGGTATATATAGACAAAAAAGGATTTGAGATTATATTAACATTTCAACCTTTTCAATATACTTGTGTAAAAATAATTTTTGTATTGAATCTTTAAGCTATTACAGGGGACTTGTCAGCTCCTTTAAGCTGTCAGAATTTCTACCTGCTATATTAATGAATAATAAATACTTGTTTGTATTTAAATACTTAGCTACATTGAATAATATATTATAAATATAATCAGGCCAGTGAACTAGCTAGCAAATTTGTAATTTAAATTGCATGTGAGAAATGCTCTTATAAAAGTATCATGAAACAATAATCTATTGCAAATATTCTAGAAAATATCTATATGTTGTTACTAGTTTGAAATAATAGCTGTGGATTTGCAAGCTTTATATAGATATGACCAAATTATCTATAAAATTTTGATGATTTTAAAAATAGTCTCCTTTGTAAAAATGTTAATACAAAAACAGAACAATGTGTCACGGTCTTTGTGGTAACTCTTGCAGGGAAAAGAGGGGCAAGTGATCACTCCCCCAAAGCCAGTAGCCAGATAACAGGATGCATATAATCTCCAACCTTCACCTAGCATTTTGTGCAAGATCCTTTCTGTTGATCCATAAAAGAGTTTGTTACCTTTTTTATGCCTAGAATAATAATGTTGACAGGGATAAATACTAACCTACCAGTGAAATTTACTTTAGAGTCACATTATAGCATAAAATGATCAAAGAAATCATTACCTTGGACACTCACGGGCATTCAGAGTATAGATATTTAAAAGGATCAAAGGGAAATTTGGGGATGAAAGGGCAACCACTGTTGCTATAGCAAATAGCATCTAAGGATTTTAATTAGGTAACACAAAGATAAATTAAAATGATACAGGCCATGCTTATATGAATCGATGCTAGAATAGCAAAGGTATATTTAACAAATATAAACAATTCTGCCTTTAAAACATTAGAATGAGGACATGACACATCTGTTTCCAAAACCAAAGGTGTAAATTCCATGTTTTTTCTTTGGGGTAATAGATCTTTTGCCCTGGATATTGATCTGGCAAAATTTTGCCATTGTGCATCAGTTTTATGATGAAATAGGCAGAACTCCAAAATTGAAGGCAAAACATGGTAGAACTTGAAGACAAAGGGTTGAGGAGACAAACCCTGGAAAATTTTACAGATCTGTACCTTGGGCAAGGGGGTAGTGCACAGATCATTGGCAGGGATGTAGTGCTAGAAGGCTCAGGCACCCTTGTTGGTACAAAAAAGTAGCAAACTTCCACCTTTAGAAGCCCTGTTGTACTTTTCTTAGTACCACACCTATGACTATTTGGGGGACAGTTCACAGGAGACTGCCTGTTAGAAATCTTACATTTAGAGGATAAAATTTTTCTCAAAGCCTGGCAAATTAAGCTGCTTAAGGGGTGCGTGTCACACCTTCCCCAAACCCCCTCCAAACCTCTACACCCTGCAGTTTGCCAAACAATCAACATGGTAAAATGATAAAAGGCACCGTGGAGCAGAAAAGTGGGGGTCTAAAAAAGTTGAGGGGGGCTAAAACCGTATAAAAACACGCTTTACTGGTAGTTTATTATTTAATATTTAGCATTTTTGCAAAAAGTGAGGGGCTAAAGCCACCCTCCCCAGGCCCCCTGCTCTGCGGTGCCTTGATAAGGATGGATTGCGACTTACGGGAAAGCTTCTATCTTGTGAATGGGGTTCTTCTTCTAATGCGGTAAGGCATCAATTATTATTTACCTCCCTGGAAATCCCTGAGATGAGACGACGATAAGAAATGCCTTCGGTCAGAAATCCATTCACATCTGAAAATTCGTGAAGCATTCGATTTTGAAAAGCTTGCTGCATTGCAAGATAAGGATTGGCGTTCAGGTTGAAGTTTCCATCTTTGATTTGTCGAATTACTAGTCCATGTTGGCTGGAAGCCTCCGCTGAACATCAATCGCAATGAAGGAAAATAAATAAAACGACAACCGAGATTCCGACATAGATCGCCTCTTCCGAGCCTCTACCGAGTCGTTCAAATTTCAGTGCGAACGTATAACAATAGCGCCGAATGTTGAAACAATAGCCCTTTCACACGTCACAAAGTGCTTTTTCCAAAAAAAAATTTTGTCGTATTTTTACGGTGATTCTCAACTTTGAGCGTCTATATCTGGAAAACGAGTTAAGTTTTTCGAAAAAAAAATTCACGATAGCTTCTTTTTCTCGACTAACTACCAATTTATGCAAAAATCTCAGAAAAAATTTTTGGGCTGGAGTGGCCCTTTAAATAGCGATTTTTTGTCTCTGTCAAGTCTGGGAACATGTTTCGACTACCATCAAAGTGAAATTTTTCAACACTAAAAATAAAAGTTTTCCCTTCACTTGGCTCATGTAATTCAACCTAGGAATCAAATTTCACTTCGTAAAAACGAAGTGGCATAACACTTCCTTGTTCATTATCGTCCCTAGCAATCCCCTAAATGCAAAGTTCCTCTTCGCATGGACATCGGCGCAGGGGCTGCAAAATTTCTGTCACCACCCTCATCTCAGCCCCATTGGCTCCTAAACCTCTGCGGATGGAATCATGAAGCCTTTAATTTGCTCTCTCCTTTGTTTCATTCTTTCATGTTTGTAACTTGTAACATTTTTACGCATGCTTCAATGTTTATCGTCAAATTTTGATGTCCCGCTGTTTATTGGCTATTGTTTGTTTTGTTGAATTTCAAGGGTCTTCGAAATAAAATAAGTATGAGAAGTTACTATAAAGACACTTCCTTTGCTACGACATGAAAACTTACTGAAATAGAACTTTGCTCGTTATTTCTGTAAACCAATACTGCCTCAAATGTTGAAATTTTTGTCATTTATTGTTTATTCTATATGCATGCAGTGTAATAGGATGTATAACTCGATACCTCATCTGCGTTCTTTCATTTGCTCAAAGCTTTGTATTTTTAAATAATTAAGTTATCAATTACCCTGTAATTAAAAGCTTGAATTTATTGTAATTGAATTGAAGTGAATTGAATCGAATTAGTATCAAATTCCTCTCCGTAAACACAAAGTGGCAATTCTCTTCCTGGTTCATTTATTTTGAAAACCTTAGAAATTACTTTCAAGAAACCTACAAATAAAAGCCCATAACGATTGATGAACTTTACTAGTACAGTGTAAAAAATCTATGAAACTTGCAAACTTTCGCGTTATTTCTTCTGTGTATCATGACCCCAACTTTATTACACACCAATTTTATAACTTACCACAATCAATACACAGTGGAACAATTTTCGTGTCCAAATTAAAACCATTCTATTTGATAAATAATTCTTGTCTCTTTGGAAATTAAAAATATCTAGTGGGTATTTGAGACGCTCCATTCTGACGCTCCAGAGTTTGATTATTTTAGAATACTTCCCAGTTGAAATCAATTAAGTTTTGCTATTGAAGATTATTTCCATTAAAAATTTTGCTGCCATATGTTAGAACAAATATCGACAACGATATTCATCTTATAGGTTAGTTTATTTGTAAAATCCGGCGATAGACAAAGCAAACCACTGTTTTCTGCTCGTAAAAAATTTTTGTTCCAGAAAATTAATTTCTGCTTTTCAACAAAGAAACCAAGAAAAATCTTCAAGCAAAGTGCTGAGACTATCAAGAAATTTTATCTAGTTAGGTCTTTGCTTTGTTTCTTTTTCAAAATGCTTGTTTTCTTTGAGACTGAAATGCGACAGGCGTTATAAGATGAAAGCAATGACAAAACTAATCATTTCATGAGTCCATTTTTTGTGTCCATTTCAGAGAATCTGATTCTCGCTTTGTTTAAAAGAACTTTCTACAAGAAAGGAACTTAAAGGTAGACCAGATAAAAGGGTTTAAGATAAAAAAAATATATTCAAAAGATTGTAAAAAGGAATGCATCAGCAGCTTGTTGCAGATTAAACTTTGAAATTTAGTCGCCAACACTCATTATAATTGCGTCACTTAATTATACATGCATAATACTGTTTCAAAAATGGAATTAATTATAAACATATCGCCTTAGGAAGAATTTGGACTTTTAGCACTCTGAAAGGAAAGGGCTAGCTGTACTATCAAATATCAATGTTACTACATTCTGACTCCTAAAACACCTTACTCCGAATATCAAAATTTTTCTCAGTAACAGCAAAAAACCTTTGAAAAGCAAATTTGCAATTCTCATCATGTGAAAGTGAAACCTGATGCTCAAACTTCCTGTGCGATGTCGGTTAGAGAAATATGTTTAAATTTGATACCTGTGCTACAATCAAGCCTTGACTGGATGAACCGTCCTTGACTAGATGAACAAAGACGAAGAAAGCAGCTAGTTCTAAAACGTCGCTAGTTCTAAAACATCTCAAGATTTGTGAGTAAATCAATCTTTAATATGTTGTTCTATAAGAGTTTTTGGTTGGATAGAAAGTTAACTGAAAGTTAGAGAATAAAAAGTCAAACTCGTAAGTAGGGCCGCCAAGAGCGGGCCTCAAGACAACCAATCGTGCAAGGCGCCTTGCTTGACAACAAATATAGATTCCAAAATATGACAATTAATATAGTTCCTAAAATTACAATGTATTATAATTACGATGTAAGGAAAAAGTATCATTTAAAAATAACACAAATTTTTATTCAGCTTTGCAAAAATTACTTTACTTAACTTTTTTCTACTATAATTGATCACATAATTTGTTTAATTCCTCTTAGAATCTCCGGGAGAGGTTGTGAAATGAAGTGCTTACTGGCTTGCTATTTCATATTTTTCTTTTGCAGTGCCAATGCTTCGTGTAAGTAAAGCTAAATCCAATTCCTCTCTATTTTTTAGCAAATTCTTAGACTTTCGGTAGATTTTCAAAACCTACAATCTTTTGTTTCTTTTAATTTATGGCGAATATTGGCACAAGATAAAGTTTCCAATGAAATTTGCACCGAAATTCTTTATAAACAAGTCGATAGGAAGTTTGTCCACCGTTTAAATTTTCAAAAATGTGTTTGGAAATAGTGTTATAAAGGATATAAGATTAAACTACTGTAATAAACTGAAAAAGCAAAGTTACAGAAATATTTATCCTAAAAATTATCAAATGAACTGTTTGAAATACTTAGTTCGCCCCTTGCCATCCTTTTATGTCCTCCATATTCATGGCAATACTACCCAACTTGAGAAGTTATTTCTCTGATGCTGCGGAGGACAACAAATCACAAACTCAGATCGACTAGGACGCCAATCCAGGATTGACAATCCTAGAACACGCAAATAAAAGTTTTCTGCAATTGATTGACGACAAAAATTGCAAAATATCTGCACATTTAGCGTTGAAAGCATGACAACATCAGATGCAGACAGAATTACCTCGTCGACAGTATCGTTTTCTCCATCCGAGCAACTATCTCGAAAAAAGTCTAGAGATTAAGATAAAACCAGATAGTTTTTGTTGAAGACAAAAAATTACTGGTATTGTAAAATTTTTCAAAATTAGTTGGAATCAGGAGCACTCGTCATTTTTCTTTTGAGATGATGTTACATTCTCTATGCTGACGGAAGTGGCCTACTCGCAAGCAGTGTAAAGATAACATAATTTTATGACTTGGCTCGTGTCTACAGAAGCATAGCAATAATTTTGTGTTCAAATAAAATTGATTTAAAAAGCAAAGGATTTAAAGAACGCTTTTGACATCAAAGGTAGAAAAAGAGGAGAGAAAAACAAGAGTTTGGAGATATTAAAAGAAACCCAAACTTCAAAAATAAAGATAGAGCCCAACTTCAAAAATTTTGTTTGGCCTGGAAATAATCTAGAAAATAGCTTTAGTAACTGACGGGAAACGCCCGTGATACCCTTTGAATATAAATATCCCTGTTGCATAAAAACCTTAAACACAAGCTATAGCTTGGGACTCTATTTCTCTGGATCTGCCTGTCAAAAACAGTGAAACATACAAAAAAGCAAAGTTTTAGCACAAAAAAGAAAAAACCAAGACTAGTTGTAATATATCAGGCCGAGTAAACACAACAGAACAGGCACATTCACGCAAGAATCCAACTTTTATCACTATCTAAAACGAGGCTATAACTCAAAACTGAACGAATACATCACACTTTTCCTCCTTACCGAAAAATGTCCAACACTTATTGGCTTTGCTTTTATTAAAGTCCTTTACTGTAATTTAAAGTCCTTTTAAGCAGATGAATGAACTAATACAACAACTCAACTACAAGTGTTGGGTGGACTACCAGCACTTGGAAAACAAGCAGAAAAGCATTATTCTGGCTTTTAGTTCCACCTGTTATTTTTATTTACCCAAGTCCAAGTATCTTGGAGGTCTTCTGATTCTTGCTGGATAACGTCTTTCAGGAGTCTTTGCTGGTAAGCTCACATCAGAAGTCTTTGCTCGTAAGCTCACATCAGGAGTCTTTTGAGCTTCTGACTCTATCTGTAACTCTTCCTTCTCTGGAGTCTTTTTATTGGGAAAATCTTTGTCCTCAATAACTGTTTCATCAAATGTTTTCTCTAATTCAATTGGAGGTAATACATCTGGAATAACAGGTAACTCTTCTGTTGTCTCTTTCGGTGGAATCACACTTTTTTAAAAGGTGTTCTATGTGCACAAATCTTATTCTTTGCCCACATTTTACCAAATATGTAAGAGGTCCTTTCTTCTTTACAATGACTCCAGGGATCCATCCCTCCTTGCTATCTCTGTGATTTCTAACAAGCACTGGTTGATTTTCTCTCAACTCACGAATTTTAACCCCCTTTTGGTCATGATACTTTATCTGCTGATGGTGTTTTTCTTCAGCTGCACTAGCTAGGTTTGGTTTTACTAAACTTAACCTAGTCTGCAGAATTCTCTTTATAACGGAAATGTACCTCAGCTTATCTATGGTTTCTCCACTGGTGGTACTAGACATTTCGTGCACTTCTATCCATTTGGAATAGCTATCTATGACAATCAAAAGCATCTGTTTGTCAAACATTCCATAGTCCATATGAATTTTCTGCCAGGCTCTTGCTGGAAACTTCCAGGGATGCAATGGAGCATGTGCTGGCTTATTTCTAAACATTTGACAGCTTTCACAACTCTTTAGATATTCTTCTACCTGTGAATCAAGATTTTGCCACTAGATGTAACTTCTGGCATACGCTTTAGTACGGCAGATACCTTGGTGTGTTTCATGTAATTCTTCAAGCATTCTATTTCTATATTTTGGTGGAATAATCACCCTTGTACCCCACAATACACACCCCTGTTCTGCAGATAACTCTAACTTGCGACTGAAATATGGCCTTAACTCCTCACTGCCACAAGCCTCTGGCCAACCATTCAAAACAAATGAAAGAACTCTTGACAAAAGTGGATCTCTCCCTGTCTCTTGCTGTATATCTTTAGCAGAAATTGGCAAAGAATCAGTAAACCTAACTTGACACATTGAAGGCTCTTTTCCTTCCTGTGAATTTCCACTTGGTAATCTAGAAAGTGCATCAGCATTTGCATGATCACTAGATTTCCTGTACAACAATTTGTATTGATAAGCTGCAAGGATCAAAGCCCAACGTTGCAATCTAGCTGCTGCTAGTGTTGGAATACCAGATTGTGCACCAAGAAAAGATTTTAGCAGATTATGATCTGTCATCAAAGTAAATGTTCTCCCATAGAGATACTTTTCACATTTCTTTACCCCAAAAATCATTGCTAAGGCCTCTTTCTCTAACTGAGCATAATTTCTTTCACTTGAACTTAATGTTCTAGTAGCATATGCTATTGGTCTTTCTGAACCATCTTCCATTACATGTGATAGCACAGCTCCAACTCCATAACTAGATGCATCACAGTCCAGCTTGAAAGGCTTAGCCGTATCGTAATGCACTAGTACCTTACTGCTGCTCAACTGTGCTTTACAAGCTTTAAATGCTTTCTGACATGCTTCTGACCACTCCCATGGTACATACTTCCTTAACAGCTCATGCAAAGGGCCTAAAATGGAGGCAAGACTTCTTTGAAACCTCCTATAATAATTTATCAATCCAAGCCAGGATCTTAACTCTGTAACATTTGTTGGAGCAGTTTAATGTTATGACTTTCAAGCCTCTGCAAAACTTCTGATAGAATCTCCTTATGCTCCTCAATAGATCTAGTTGTGATCAGAATATCATCCAAGTAACATACAACATTCTTCACACCAGACAACACCCTATCCATGACTGACTGAAATATGGCAGGTGCACTAGCGACACCAAAATTTAACCTTTCTATCCTGAACAGCCCCTTGTGAGTATTGATGGTTAACACATCTTTAGCATCCTCTTCAAGCTCTAACTGTTGATATGCATTGGACAAATCCAATCTGCTGAAATAAACTCCTCCTGAAAGTGTTGCAAATATGTCCTCAATGTTTGGCAATGATCAACACCTCACACTGGATTCACTGAAACTTTATAATCCCCACAAATTCTGACTCTACCATCAGTTTTTTGAATTACCACAATTGGAGAAGCCCAATCACTATGCATCACTGGTGCCAAAATACCATCTTTCGTCCAACGATTCTTAAGAAGTAATCTTTAATCTTTCTTATATCTGCATCTTTCTTAAGAAGTAAGTCTGCTTTATATCCTTTTAAAACACCATGCTGAGCATCAAAAACATTCTTGTACTTTTTAACCAATTCCTCACCCAAACCGTAATTTACCACAAACAGCTGATTCCAATCAAGCTTAATTTCCATCAACCAGTTTCTTCCTAACAAAGCTGGTTTGTCACCATCAACAATAACCAATGGTAACTTAGCCTTTTGACCTTTAAACTCAACATCAACCAAAATTTCACCCTTAGTTGCAAGAACCTCTCCAGAATAAGAATGAAGTTGCTTTGTAAATGAACCCAAGGGCACATGTGGCAAATACTTCTCATAAAAAGCATTTCCAACAACTGAAACTACTGCTCCAGTGTCAATTTCCATAGTCAAAGGAACACCATTTACAGAATCAGTTTCTTGCTAGGTAGCCCTAGAATCACCTCTACAAGTAAAGATTGTATGCAAATCTTCATCACTACTATACCCAACATTACTAGATGAAGTACCAAGAAAACTTGTTTTCAAAGATGGTACAGTTTTCTTCTTTTCACTTCTACACCTCTTTGCAGAGTGACCTTGTTTGGAGCAATTAAAACATTTCAATGGTTTAAATTTGCAATCATTTGCATTATGTTTATCTCCTCCACATCGCCAACACTCTTTAGCAGGTTTAGATGCTGAAGCACTTGCTTTTGCCTTCTTATTGTGTTTATGTTCCACCTTGTTAACTCCTAATATACCACTTGAACTTGATGGTTGCAAATCAACTGCATTCTTTTGAGCTAATTCCATTGGAACAGTGATTCTTTGTGCCTTGTCAAAGGTAAGGTCAATTTCTGTTAAAAGCTTCCTCTGAATAGTCTCTGAACGCAAACCACAAACAAGCCTGTCCCGCAAAGCAATTGACAAAAAATCCCCAAAGTCACAAGTACTTGCAAGTTTCTTCAACTCAACAATATAATCTGAAATAGACTCATTTTCATGTTGATTTCTCTTGTAAAAACGAAAACGCTCTGCAATCACTAATGTCTTTGGTTTAAAATGAGCAGTTAATGTAGCTTTCAGCTCATCATACGACTTACTTGAAGGTATATCTGGGGTCATCAAATTTCTCAATACCGAATATGGTGAAGGTTCAATTCCACTCAAAAGCACAGCCCTTTTCTTGGATGCTTCAGTAATATCATTTGCGATGAAAAACTGTTCCAGCCTTTCCACATAACAAGCCCAGTCCTCCTTCCCTTCACAGTAAGGACCAACCTGTCCTAGCACCTGTGCAATGCTAATGCCACGTCAGCATTCAAGCGAACAAATTGGGCCTAAGAAGTCAGAGCTCGTCTTTACCACTCAATTCGTTTAGCTGGCCTACTTGAGTTTTCCGTTTCAACAAAAAACTGGAAACATCCACCACAGTCCCGTTTGTAACCATTAAAACATAATGTGAGGACCCGAAACCTTTTTTCATCGCCAATTTGTAATATATCAGGCCGAGTAAACACAACAGAACAGGCACATTCATGCAAGAATCCAATTTTATCACTATCTAAAACGAGGCTATAACTCAAAACTGAACGAATACATCACACTAGTAAAACTTAAAATTTTTTAAGGTTTGAAGAAAACATCGACTGCATGTACAATAACGAAACAAAAACTGAAACAAGAAAGAAAATAAGAAAATGTTCAATTTTCTTCACTTTTATTTCGACCTGATTTAATTCGACATTGAAATGCGAACAAAGCGAAGGTGCAAATCCACACTCTTAACATCAAAGGCAGAAAAGAAGGGAAAAATTTGTTATTTGTGTCTGTAAGAAATCTGGAATCTAGCTTTAGTAACTTGTAAACATAAACCTTAGCCTCAGCTCCAGATCTTGTCTGTCGTCATTCTGTAAAGAGAAACGTGATACAAAGATATAAAGCTAATCTAAAAGGGAAAGACAACAAATACAAATTGTTAGGACGTGTAGATAAATTGCAACGTTGTAGAGAAACTTCAATTCATTTTCTTGTGAACATAACAACGCACTAATTAATTACAATGGTATTTACAAAGAAAATAGGAAAATGTGGCAAAACAATAAGAAATGAGCGTATAAAAATAGTTTAAGACTAGCCCATCCAACATACTCCCCCGGTAGCCCCTCCAACATACTCCCCCGGTAGCCCCTCCAGCATACTCCCCCGGTAGCCCCTCTTACATACTCCTCCGGTAGCCCATCCAACATACTGCCCCGGTAGCCCATCCAACATACTCCCAAGGTAGCCCATCCAACATACTCCCCCGGTAGCCCATCCAACATACTGCCCCGGTAGCCCATCCAACATACTCCCCAGGTAGCCCATCCAACATACTCCCCCGGTTGATTTACGTAGTAATATCAAAACATAAATGTAACGAAAGTGATTACGCAATGTTATTGCCCCTTTTATTAAGCTCTCCAATAATTGCTGTATTACGTCTTCTATGACTTACAGAAGGACTATCGTTAAGATGTAACGATTATCGACGGTCTGAATTAGCCAAATCAACAAGGTTCACTTTCACTGATAGGGATTACTAACGGACCTAAGTGCTGCCATGGGCGTATAATGACCTTACTTTTACCACTTTCGGCGGGAAATTTTATCTTAACGGAATGAATGATGCCCTCTTTGCTTACGATTAATTCTTCCTCTCTAGCTAACCTCCAAAACTGTCGCTTACTCTGTTCGTTATGTCTGCACCTACTGTTATGTCTGGCTTCTTGAACTGATTAGCTGAACTCAATACTTCTCTAATCTAATACCTAAAAGATTCACCACTTCAAAGCGTTTGTCATTAGGGACACGACTCACCATGTATCCATATACCAACTGTGCGGGGGAAACACTTTTGTCGATGTAAACATATGTTATTGGAAGTGCATTTATTATACCTTCTACCTCAACGAGAAGAGTAGGTAACTCCTCAAAATGCAATGTAGACTTACCAATTACCATTTTTAGACAAAGTTTTGCCGCTCCCACGGACCTCCTTGTCACGCTGCTAATGGGGTGTTAAAATGCCAGGATATTCCCTGTTTGAAGGCATTCGACATAGATAAAAGTGGCTTACAGCCACTTGATCCCCATGCGTTGACCAATCGATAAATTGCTCGATAAATTTTTGGGCGCCATCCCTGAAATTCAGTGAAGATCTTTGAAATAGCATCTGATTAGCAAGTTAAAGTCACCAACTCTATGAACTTGATAAAAACTTCAGCTTTTTATTCTATGAAATATACAAATGCATATCGGGAGCAATCATCAACAAATGTTAACATGTACAGACATCACTGTCAATTGTTTCCAGCGGAAAATTCACATGATAGAGCTTTCTATCAATAATATAGCCTAGCACTGATATCAAATTCTTAGCCAATTCTGGAACATACAAAGTGTTATGCAAGACTAGAATTGCTGAATTATCTCCATCACAACAGGTAAGACTTCCTCTACCCTCGCCATGTGCAAAAATAACTGTGTCATCACCAACATGTATTTCCATTGGTTTATTGTTAGAACAGAGACAAGTAAAATGCCTTTCTTGTATGTCATTTGTTTGGATGCTGCACTATCAATATACTAGCCATCTGAGAGCTTACCTTTTGTAGAAAATTTCCTATAGTTCTTGAAAATTACTATAAGTCCCATTTCTTGAAAATTGATTGACTGAAACACTTTGGCATTAATTGCAGTCTCTCGTGGGTACCTCTCTTCCATAAAAGGTGAATATACTGTTTTCATCACCTTTGAAATCTTCGTGGCGGCCATATTGATTCGTTGTTATTTTCCTGACTCATATGGTCCTCCTCTAAGCGAGTGAGAATCACTTCGAAATGTAGCACCATTTCATCGAGTAAATCTTTCACGGTTGGAAGTAAATAAAGCATCGTTCGCAGAATGGTTTTGTTTCTCGTTCTTATCCTTACGCTTAATAAACAGAAACAGAAACAGAAACAGAAACAGAAACAGAAACAGAAACAGAAACAGAAACAGAAACAGAAACAGAAACAGAAACAGAAACAGAAACAGAAACAGAAACAGAAACAGAAACAGAAACAGGAACAGAAACAGAAACAGAAACAGAAACAGAAACAGAAACAGAAACAGAAACAGAAACAGAAACAGAAACAGAAACAGCCGGATTGCAGCAATGACAACTTAAACAGAAATTTCCCCATTCTTGCTTGTAATAAAATCTTAACATAATTGGATTTTTTATAAACATCACTTTATTGAGAGTTTTCTATGAATGGAAATATTTTCTAAGCCATAATGCAATTTAAAAGTGCATTTTATGCTTTTGAAAAAAACGAAAAAAATGCTTTGGAATGGATGATTAAGAATGGATTTTAGAAATAATACAAGAAATGATGATCAATCAAGGGTTTTTGAGACAGTTTTTTACATTCTATATTAATTTATGGTGGTTTAGGATCCACTCTTTAATTTTATTTAGAAGAAAAGTTGGTATACTGTTTTCATAAATGTAATGATTAATTTTTATTTTTAAGAGCAATCTTTTATAGCCTAGAATGATAGGTAGAAATATAGGAAATTTTCACATCTTTAATGATGTAAAGAAGTACGAAGATCACATAAAGTTAAAAACAGCACTGGCAATCATAGCACAAATCAAGTGTTGGTACCTTTATTTCAGTCCCGGATCCTTGTAGAAGTCACTTCGAAGAAAATGTCTGGCAGCGAAGTACTAGACATAAAATGAATGCAAGAGACTCTCCACGCTGTGACACGACATTGTCATTTGGTTGGTACCGCTTCACGAGTAAGGCCGGAGGGAAGATTCCGCACGGGCAAATCCAACCTGGATCTTGCGGTATGTTGAATCCGTGATAAAATTCAGCATATTATTATTCTGTATTCATTCAATTTTTTTCAGTTAATCAATATCAACAGCTGAATAGTCAGGTAATAGTTATCTATAAATGTTTAAATTTGAAATGCAGCAGCGTTAAGCGACTGAGAATCGCCTTTTTTCCTTTTTTTCTTTTACAGTACCTAGCAAAACAACTTTGAGCCCTTAGCATTCATCCAGCATTTTCTGATAGCTAAGATGAATATTTAAAAAAGCACACCTCTCAGTGGTTTTGTGAACTTATTTATCTAAACGTCAAATCATCCCTGTTGTTTTCATAATATTTTTGCTTAAAGATGTTATTCATGCTAACGGTCATGCTAACGGTCATGGACCCTCGTTAGTAAATCCTTGGACTTTAAACTTCAATCATTCAGTTAATTTTATTCCTTGAGTTTTTTTACCCCTTTCTATCGCAGGAGTGCACAAGGAGAGTTTTGAGAGGGCTGATGTGGCTTAGTCTACAATAAATCCCATAATGTACTTAAAACAATACAGTAAATATTGCTCTTATATTTCAGCATCTTGTGCCCCCCTAAATCTTTCTACCCCCCCCATCCCTAATATGCTCCAGGAGCCCTGCCTCTTGATGTTTCGCTTAGATATTAAAAGTTATAGAAATGAGTTTGACGTGAATATCAATAATGTTGATTCCTAAACTTCATCCAGGATGAAGTTTATGACCAATTGGATTAGTAATCTCCTTATATGGATTTAGGGGTTAGAAGTCACGTGACTATAAATTTCCATTTCTAAATAAGAAAGTAATTAAAGACCTGTCCCAGATAGCATTTGGAAACAATTTATTTACTTCAAAGTTCGTTCTTATCATCTAAAACGATTGATGGTATTTGCTCCTCCGCAGAGAAACTCACATTGACCGCACGTGATTGACGCCCCCGTTAAACCCCTTCCGCTTTCCTAAATAAATGGCACCTATGATTTTCGAAAGCTAGATGGATATTCAAATACATTCATGCAAAAAAATCAATTTTGGCACGAAAATCGAGCGGGAGCAATAATTGTGACACAAGCGACCGGACTATGTGCTTTTAGTTTTCTTCTGATCTTTAGTTGAAGGTTTTTCAGCAAGAGTAGCCTTCGACAATTATCCATTTGATTTTCAAAGAGTGTCTAGGGCTATTGCTTCTTGTTGCAATGGAAAATCATTTTCTGCTTGCTTCCTAGTGCAATGCTTCAGAAACAAAATCTGCTCGGCTGCGCGTGGAAAATTCCGTCTAGTGGAAAACTAGTGGAAACCAGCGCGCAGGCTTGTTGAAAGCGGCTTAAGGAGCAAATTGATCAAGGGAAAAAGTTTATCTATTCTAATACCACACAAATTACACGGCACCTCCACTTTCCAACTTGCGTCAAAGCATCATTTATCGCCAAAGCCGTCAAAAGGAGATAAATTTCCTCAGGACCTCGTAGCCAGGAGGGCCTCAAAAAGTAATGAAGTCCGTTTTTAACTTTTTGGCGTCTGTTCACATCCTATCTTCTTCAGTGTATCAATTGCCGATCTTTACCAAGTTCCATGCTGGTATTGCGAGCAAAAAGTTAAATTATGACATTCATTGCTTAAAGTCAGCAACCTAGTACCCCAGACTATAAATAGCATAAGGAAATATCTTCAGCGTATATTCACATCCCATCTTTTTGGCATATAAAACTGCCTATCTTTATGAAGTTTCATGCTTGTATCACGTTTTACACAATTGACAACTTTTTATCTTCTTACAGCCCTCACTATGGCTGAGGTGACTCTGCAAATCTTAATGCGTCACTCGCCCCAGCCTCTGTCGCACGAGCTACCCTTAAAAACCCCAGAAATTCCTATTTATGAGCCCCAAAATGAGCAAACTAAACTTTTTTTCGAAGTCAGCGATCATTAGTCTATCAGAATTAGCAATAAAAAAAATTCCCATTTTTTCATTTCAGTGGCATTTAAACATTCTGTCTCCCCATTTCAAATATATTTCGCCAGCCCTGTGTTCATACTCTTGCTATTTAAAACAGCCTTATAGTGTCGTTGCAAATTTTCTGCAACATTTATTCTTAGGCATACATGAATGCATGTTTGATTTTTTACAATCATTCTAGGTACTCGACGCCCAATCTATATCAAATCGGGTACTTTACCTACAACCAAAGATAACGATGTCTCTTTGCAAGCCTGTTACGATGACGATGATGCTGTTTGCTTTGAGACTTTAACAATCAGGGCCAGATTCTGCCAAGTAGACGGAAAAGAATATTATATTTATACCTTAAAAAAGCCCACATTTTGTGCATCTTATTGTGCAGGTAAGAAATATTGTTTTATTAAAAGATCTTTTCTAAAATATTATATTCTATTAATTTTGCAAATAGATGGTATGTAAATAAACCTTAATTCCACATTTAGTTGTAAGGTATTCGATTTCCTTCTTCCTGTTAACATGATCCGAAAATCTCATTTGTCTCACAGCTATCATTATTACCATTCTCTTCTTCTATCTGCCTTTTTTAATACTGTTTCATTGGACATTCGGTCTAATCACGATATACCAAGCATTCTTCTAAGAAACCAGATTTCTGCCACTTCTAGACGTTCCTGAATTGCTTTGCTTTTAGTCCAACTTTCGCATCCACACAAAAGTGTAGACCACACGTAGCATTTTAAAATTCTCTTCTTAGTTTTTAAACCGATTTTCTTGCTTTTTAAAACCTGTGCTAGATCTTTAAATGCTTTCTTTGCAATCCCTATACGTTTCTTTATCTCTGTGTCATTCTTTCTATCAGCTGTCATGGTACTACCCAAATGTCACCCCCACTTGATTGTGAATCGCATTTCGGTATTGTTTGCTTCTTTGAAGGGACCATGCTGTATGTTTTCTTTACATTTAGCTGTAAACCTAACTTCTCTCTCTCTATTTCAACTTTGTCCAAAAGATCCTGTAGCTCTTTTTCTGATTCTGTAACAAGCACTGTATCATCAGCGTATCGAATGTTGTTGATATTGATGTCATTGATCTTTATTCTTTTTAGATCTTTAATTTCTTTCCATATTTTCTCACTGTATAGAGAAAAAAGGTCCGGTGACAATACACAGCCCTGCCTGACACCTCTTTTGATATTAACATAGTTACTTATCTCATCCCCGATTCTAATTGCTGCCTTTTGGTCCCAATTGAGGTTTCTAATCAAACGTAAGTCCTTTCCATCTATGTCTAGTTCTATCAATATATTCATCAGTTCTTTGTGCTTAACCCTATCAAAAGCTTTGGAATAGTCTATAATGCATAAATACACATCCTCTTGCATCTCTAATGCTCTTTCTGAAAATATTCTCAGTATGTAGATGGCGTTACGAGTCCCTTTATCTAAAACCAAATTGTTCTTCCGAGATTTCTGGTCTGATTTTGTTTCTTGCTCTTAGCTTGACGACTCTAAGAATTATTTTTGTCACATGACACATCAGACTTATTGTTCGATGCAACTCACATTCTGTTGTCCCTATTTTCTTTGGTATTGCCATGAAACTAGTTTTGGAAAGATCATTTGGGAATCTTCCTACATCATAAACATTGTTTGCAAATTCGGTCAAACCATGAATACATAGATCTTCCAGTGCAGTTATCATTTCCACATGTATTTTATCTTGCCCTCTTTTCATTTTCATTTTCTTTCCTCTTTTCATTTTCTTTAAAGCAAGTTCTATTTCATCTTTAGTTATTGGTGATCCTTCTAATGCTTTCTTGATCATACAACTCCGCTATGTACTCTCCCCATCTAATGCATCCACATGAACAGCATATCCTTGGTTTTGATATATTCTTTATTGTCTCGTGCATGAGCTGTACATTTTTTTATTCTAAAGTCTCTATTTCTTCACATCTGTTATTAAACCATTTTCCTTTGCACACTCTCTTTTTATTTGCTTATCTTATTCCTGATATCTCTCTGTATTCTGTCTTTCCTTAGCTCTTCTTCTTTCTCTAATTAAATTCAGAATTTCTTCCGGCAATGGAACTCTCAAATAGAACTCCCAAAGAAAACGTCTCCTTTAATGGAACTCCCAAAGAAACAATGTAGTTCTACTCATCATTGTCTGCTTCAAGCTGATCACGGTAATTTCTCATGACCTGATTCTCATTGGTTACGGAATATATCAGAAAGGGTTGTCTTGAAAATTTATCAACACTGTTCGAGACTTAATTCTCATTAATTCTAGTTGATTTCCAAAGTTTCAGCCGATTCCGAACAAATTGAGGGACATTGGCACGACAGATCTGATTTTTTTAATAAGGCTTCAGTATGGAACTAAAGAAATGGTTGTCTTGAAATTTCATCGAAACAGTTCGAGACTTTTCGAAACCCAAAAATATCCCAAACCCATCAATTCTATTTGATTCACATTGTGCAAAAAACTATAATGGCGACATCTTTCGGATTATTGGTAAAGTCTGATCGTCTACCAACTAGCAGTTTTGGAATCTATCTACATAAGCACGAAAAAACCGCTATTGTGTATACAAAAGGAGTTCGTTTTCACCTAAGGACTCCATTGGTAACATTCTCAATGTCAGGCGAACAGCTTTAGTATACTCAAATGTTTGCTTTTCTCAAAGCCATTTTCAAGTTTGTTCCACCAAAAGATTGTTTGCAGTTAGATTTCGGTCATAGTCAGCTTGATAGACTCCAGCCACAGTAACATTATCCAAGTAGGAAAAAGTATCCTTCAGTTAGAAACAGTGGCGTGCTGGGGATGAAATCGCAGGGGGGGGGAAGAAAGGGACAAAATAGCGCCCCACATATCTTCGAATTTTCCTTCAAAGTTTTGGAAATGTGCAGAAAAGTACAAGAGTTCGGAAGCACGCCGATCTATCTCTGTCTAGCTGTGGCGTACTGTAAGACCTTCAAATTAGGGGAGAGGGGGTAGTCAATTACTAGCAGGACGTGATATAGAATTTTCAAATAGGGTATGTTATTCTTTGTAAAACCTAATAGTATCGTTGTAGCGGCTGTATCACCAAACTGCACAATAATGATAATCAGGAACGTCGATATTGAGGGAGGTTGGGGGTAAAAAGTGCGCGGTAGGATCGTTCAGGAGTTTAGTGAAAGCGGCTGCCATCGGTTGCGGCAAAAAATTGCAAAGAAGACGTTCTAGGGATGGTCAGAAAATGCATCCAAATATTTAAAACATCGCTATAGACTTACGGAAAATCCTGGACAATACCTGTGAGCTTTCTTCAAAATATGGCCAAAATATTGCGAGGCAGGCCTTTATGTCGATTCACAACATTTATCACATATTATCATCAGCATGCATCAATGCATCAAAATGTTTATAACATCACTCTAGACCCATGAAAAACCCTGAACAATATCCATAAGCTTTTATCAAAATATTGTCCAAGGCCGTTGCGAAGCAGGCCTTGTTTGGGTTTACTACGAATTTGCCTGATTTAAAAACTTACTTGGAATTCTTTAGCTGCTGCAACTATACTCCTTAATACTGTTATACTTGAATGACAGTGTTAAGTATAACATGAAAATGCGTGAGTCCTCACTACTTAAACAAATACACGATAAAATCCAGAGCTTTAACTTACGGTCTTGCTTCTGAATCTTTACTTTAGCAGCGGCAGGAGAACGTCAGAGAGAGAAACGGCGACTCTACATCAGCGTCAATCTAGCGTCTAGATTACAACATCTCTAAATCTCTAAATTAAAAGCTCAAATTTATATAAGATTTAACAATAGATGGTGCAATAAATCTAATAAAAGTTCCAGCAAAGCAAACGTCCAATAGAAAAAGGGTTTTTGTTACTATTTGTCCAATCATAAGGTTTTTCTCCGAGTTGCACTTCGTGGTGGCGTCGTCCTTTCATCTAGCAGTTTTGGAATCGATCTACATACAAACGAAAAAGCCGCCATTGTGTAGACAGAAGGAGTTCGTTTTCTCTCTTTGACTCAAGTGGTAATTTTTCTTTAGGCACGCGGCACTGATTGGCCAACTATACCGATCTTGTGCTTGCGTCTTTCTGATTGGGCTATTTCGATCCACAACTGGGTATATATTTTTCATCGTGTTCTTTCGGACCTTTATTCTGACGTTTTATGCTCTGAGGAGTGTCAGACGAAAAAGCTTTTAGTTAATATGTTGTGAAATGTTTGCTTTTTTCAAAGCCATTTTCAAGTTATGTACCACCAAAAAACTGTTCACAAAGTAACAATTGTAAACTTGGGCTTTTAATGGCCATGTATTATGCCTGCTATCAAATTTTCAGATTAACTGAATAGATTTTTTCATAGCCATCTACCAACCTGCCTAACCGAAATATTTTAAGTTTAAATTATACAATCAAAGACCACTGGTCATTTTAACCCTGGGGAACATTCTGGCAAATGACCGTAAGTAATGTTTCATGAAGCGTGAACAACGCACGGTCAGCAAAATTTTGACCGAATTTTTCTTATCTGGTGTTGTTATAAGATAGAGCTTGCAGAACTGGGTTTAAAAAAATTTAACATCAATATTATCTGACCTATAAGCAAAAAGCTATGATTTTTTAAACTTTTTGCTTTGTCAAATAACTTGTTTTCTGAAGTTTCATGACAGTACATACGCATAGCAGTAGAATTGTGCATGTTATGATAATAGCATAAAGTTAAGTACACAATCTGATATCCTAAACAAAATGAAATTCATATCAAGCTTCAAAAATGCCTCCAAAGCTATTTTTGGACTTGAGTGCTCGTACCAAGTCCTTTAGTGGGTATCGCACTACAATGTTTTAACTTTTATGTTATAAAACTGAAATTTTGTTTTATTGCATTATTTGACGTGCTGAATAAGAGAAGATGCAAAGTCAGCTTTAAAAATAGAATTAAAACTTTTTTACACTGGCGTACTTGAACCCAGCTCTTTATTGGTCATTGCACTATGACTCTATAATAATGCAAGTTATACCGCTAAAACTTTGTTTCCTGGCGTAATTTGACGTCCTATATAAAATGAGATGCAGATACTGCTTTAAAATTTCACGAAAAGCTGTTTTTAGACCACGTGGTACTTGTACCTACTCCACAATCGGATATCGCATGATAACTTTACAACTATACAACTTGTCCAACTAAAACTTTGTTTTCCTCACATTTAATGAATTTACAAGATAGCGTAAGTACTTTACTGATGTGTAAATTAATCAAGTCACTGATCATCTTATAATTCTTACATTCAAAATTTATCAATTTCTACGTAGTGAAGACTTCAATGGAGAGATACTGATGCTTGGAATTATCAAGAGCTTAACATTATCATTAGATGATATCAACACAACTGCAGTAATACTTTTTCTATCTATTTCCACACCAAATGATTATTAAAAAAAACCAATTAGCAGCGTTTTTCAGGGCCTTCGATGACAATGAATTATGCCTTTATCAAATTTTCAGAGTTCTAGTTAGAGTTTTAAATAGATTTTTTATATATTTTATCAAGATTTTGATTTTCAAGTCATTGTAATTGCTTTCTTTGCAGGCAGTGAAATTCCATGTCCCGAGGGAGAAAGTACTTCAACTGGATTCACAATAAACGGAAGATGCAATAGTTAGTAAATTCATTACGTATTTTTAACTTGAATTACATTTTATTGCATACAAGCTCTTCAAATGTATAGGAAACCGTCAATCGTGTTGCAATTTTCATGTTACAAATATTAAGGAAAACTTTGTAGACGATTGTTGTTACTAATGAAAACAATTTTGTTTATTAATTAGACTATTTATGCTTTTAGATCTATTCCCACCATTTTCAACACCACGAGTGCATTACGTTGTGGAGTCGAAACTCCTCCACTTTGTTTGCAATTTCACCACTGATGCAACATTAGTCTCTGAAATTTTCAAGATAACATGGTATGATAGTTCACACAAAACATTGGAAATAGATGGGACAGGCAGCGATTTTAAGCAAAAAATGATCATTAATTGGAGCAAACTAGAAAAAGATGGAGGAATGAAGCTTGGCGACACAGTAAGTTTGAAAATTACGCATGCCAGTTAATGCAAAACACATGAATATTTTGTATTAGGCAAACATTTTAGGCAAAAAGGATTATTGAGTTGGACTTTAATGTATTGACACATTAAAGTCCAATCCAATAATCCTTTTTGCCTATACCCATTGCTATCTAGACATACTTTTTAATTAATTATTTTATTTTTCTGGCGCAGATGGTTTTTCTCCTTTCATCGTACAAACAGGCACGTAAATAATAGGGGGCGTGGGGGGCGTAACGCCCCCCCCCCAAAGTTTGGAAAATCCAGTTACGGTTGGAAAACTTAACGGTTGACTTGGAATTTTTTTCTTAGGATCAAACTTGTGAATTTTATATTTTAAGAAGTTTTTTTATTGTAATTGTAAAAATTCTAAACATAAAATTCACAGGCTGAAGCTGACCCATCCAATCGTTTTCTATTGTGAATCCCGTCTCCACTGGATCCAAATTGCACAATTGCCCCGTTTGCTTTCTTTCTGACTGTAGTCGAATCAAATTACGAACAGGCAAGGTGAATTTCAGGATAAGAAACTTTACAGTTTGGAATAATAACACCCGCATTGATCAGAAAATATTAGAGTGGGAGTTTTTTAAGAAACTACGAGTAGTTAATTCAATAAAAGATTAAGAATCTTTCAGTATTAAAAATTCTCAACGCTTCTTATAAAAAACGAGTTTATGCTAAACTCCCCCTGTTGTTTGTTAACGTCATTGACTCCTTATCATAAATTCCTATGACAAAACTGCTGTGAAGCAAGAACACATTGCAAAAACTGCAGGAGAGGTATTTTATCAAAGAAAAGTATTTCATCTTTCGAATCAGGCATATGCACAAGTTTGTTCTCAAATCAACATTTCAATTGTAAAGAACGAAAAGGCATTTGGCCCTCTGAAAATTGTTAGTATTTTTCTTCGATCAAGAACAAAAATAAAAGGCTCAAATTCTTGGTGCTTCTATATCGTTAAACAAATGTATTTTAGATAAAATTGATCAATTGATCTGAAAGAATACTACTAATCATTAAGTATATTTAATACTGGTTTTGCTTAAATGTTGCTTTACTTCTTACAGTAAGTTTAAATGTTTGTTTCGTGTTAATCAAAATTTAGAGATTTAGGCTTTTATGCTTTTGGCTAAATTTGTAGTGGTAATTAAAAGTATTGGTAATTATAAAGAAAATAGAGCTATGGTGTTCGGGCTATTTACAAATATCAATTTGATAGGTACAGTAGATTAACTGGTCGAATGAAAAATTTCTTACTTAAAGTTGGAATTTTCATCCTTCCACGCCCCTCCAAAATTAGCAACTTGTTTTCATCCCTGCGCACAAAGGAGGCAGACAAGATGTTTTTGAAGATGCTATGAATTCAAGAATTTTTGAAAAACAACTTGTTTTCGCAATAATCCAGCTGCTGGAAGGGATGTTTTACCACCTAGAAAGAGACTTTTTGATGTTGATTTCGAATCTGAGAGTTAATCAGGCCGTTTGGGGTTTTTTCGAGTTACGGGGGGTTTAGGTCTTTTCAGGGTGGTGTCCTTGGTTAACGATATTACTTGTTTTCTAAGCGAAGACAGTGCTAAAAGCAAGGATGTATCGATGAAACCTACGAGATTTGATTTTTTTATCATATGGGCCAATTCCGTTTATTCGGTTTAGTGTCTCGAAAATCCTAGATAATCATGTTTCAATACTTGTAAAAAAGTTTGCAGCGATCAGGTATAGAGTCCTTTATTAAAGAAGCTGCTTTATCGTCATTGCTGTCGCACTACACAAGTGCATTATGATTATTACTATGACTTATTAGTGTCAAGCAAACTCAAATAATGTCGAGAAGCATTAAACATATTTAGATTATTTGCAGGCGCACTTGCAGTGAATTACATCTCACTTAGTTATCAGCACAAAGGTTGTAGCAAATCTTGGGAAAATCCACTAATGACGTCAGAAAATAAGCAAACGTCAGCAAACTAAAATATATGATACATCTATAGAAAGCTCTTGAAATGTGCATTCACATAAAACCTAGAATTGCTAAATTGTACAATTTATTTTGAATATATAACGGATTTATGACTGTTTTTGCCGTTGTCGATGAGGTCATCAATTAGTGATACTGAGGCAAAATTTGTTTGGTCCCATCTTGGATTTTGAATCTCCATACTCGAAAGTATATAAAACCATCGAAATCATTTCGGTTAGGTGAGAAATCAGATTTTCACAGCCATAGCCCTGCCTAGTATTAAGATCGGGCAAAACGATAACATCTGTCTAAGCCAAAAAAGAGGAAAACTGGAATTCTCTAGAAAAATTAATTTTTACCGTCTAAAGCTATCTAAAAACGGCATGTATCGCGAGGTGCAAAAAAACCAACAGCAGTTTTAAAGAAAACTGACTACGAAACAGTTTGTCTTATTTCCAGACAATGTGAAAGATTAGACATTGGACGTATTTGTGATTACCTTGGCTAAATTGTGCAATGGCTTAATTGCTGAATTGTGCAATCTATGGTGAATAAACACAGAATTTATTACTGTTTTACCGTTCATGATGAAGTCATGGATCACGTGATACTGGGCAAATTTTTTGTCCCATCTTGTATTCTGAATCTCCATACTCTAAAGTATATAAAACTATCGAGGTCATCTCAGTAAGGCAAGAAATCAGATTTTCGTAGCCATTGCCCTACCTATCTGTTTCACAGGAAAGAGTAGGTTTCTTACAGTTCTGTCTTTATTTTACATTGATTAACATTGATTGGAAGAATTGATTGTAGAACCCTTAAGCAAAGTAAGAAAGAGTTCTTCGGCACTTATTTTTCTCATTAGCATTTGATCAATGTTATTAATTTTTTAGAACATAATTTGAAAACCTTATAATACCTTAGTTAATAATAAACCATACACGACGTTTCCTTTTTGCACCTTTCTCGAGAAGTGAGAGAATATGGCAGACATGAATGAAAAAGGTTATGTTAATTTCCATGGGCAACTTAACCCCCTGACATCGAAAACATACGATAGGCTTTTGAAAAGGAGAGATGCAAGAAGAATCAAACCCTTAGGACCCCCTTATCATGTAAAACAGAATCAAACTTTGAGGACCCTATAATCATGATATTAAAGGAATACCAGAACAGTTAGCTCTAGGAGAGCACTTCTTTATAGATCTTGCTACGAGAGCTTTACTAAATCAATTCTAGTGCGCGAAAATAATTATAAGAAGGCCAAAAAGAACAACCATTGCCCTTTTGAAAAATGGAGGCTCTGGAAGCTTCTTCCTGAAATATATCATAAATGGCCCGTCGGCAAAGGCATTAAACAAACTTTGCTATTGGTTTTTCTGTAATGGAAAGAAAAAGAACGACTCCATTAAGAAATTGTGAAGGTTTGGGTGGCAGAAAACACTGCTTTTGCTCTGTTTCTCTCCTCAAAATTTGCTGCTCAAAAATTCGTAGAGGAGGAACATCAGCAATTGAAGCTATTCGAGCCAACCACGAGAAAGCAGACAAAAGAGTATGCTTGCTGCTACACCACACATTGCGAGGCAATAACCATGCCATTAGTAAATATGTTCTTCAGTCTCGCTCTCGGAAGAAAGATGTCTATAAAATCCTTCTCCCCAATGAGGTTCTGAAACTTGCTCTCTTGAAACCATTCTGAGACTGAGATGGATCCGGTTGATTTCTTGCATAGCGCTGCTTTCTCGATATACGATTCCAGAGCCATCACAATAAAAAGATGGTGTGTTTTCGCTTTGAAACTCCTTCTTTATTGAGACTAATTATTTTAAGTTGCAACATCTGTCAGTAATTTTCCGCTTCTTGAATTAATTCCTCCACTTTTGCATCATTTCTGAGATCTTGTAAGGCTTGCTTCAAAGATTGGACACCAGAGACAGCTGATTAAAGGTCCATCTTTTTAAACTGTAGTCCGACACAGATTTGCACAGGGCGAAGCACGTTTTTAAGAAAAAAACATGCTACAATAAACTTCAATTTCTGCATCCTCATCACTAGCAAACCCTCAACAGCTGATTCACCTTCGACCGACACCTCTTCAAGCATTTCTACAATGGCTGGCGTGGTGTTAACTACTGTCTCGAGGTTATCCGCTTTAGCTACACTCCTGGTGTCTGAAAGTGAATGCAGGACTATTTTTCCCTTCTTTATTTCCTTTTCTCGCAGCCTTCTTTCGTACAAGGCATGCCTTTTTTAGATCCTTCCAGATAGCGGGATATGGAACCTATGATGTCGAATACATCGTTTACTGTTGGAACTGTACCCACACTTTTCTCCAAAACAAGATTATGCCTATGGGCGAAAGAGTTAAAATAGACCGACTTTGCTGCACCCGCGGCTGTCAAATGTTGCTGGACACCCTCATCTTTTCCAGGACCGGGTGTTCCCAGACGATTAGTTGTACCGTCAAATCCCTTCCCTACTAAATTGGCAATAGAGAGTGTCATCGCTTCCAGTATAGTCATAATGATTTCAGCAAGATTTTTTCCTTTGATGCTTTCAACGCGTTCAAGCTTGACACAACGTTCCCAGATGCTGAAATCATACACATGAATGCCCGCTTATGCGATGTGACTTCATCGCGCTCAATTGAAAAGTGCTTCGAGCATAAAACTTCACTTTTGATTCTCTCAGTAACTACTTGACTTCAAATGCTTATCATTTCGTTATGGGTAATTGGAGAAATGTAGGACACATTCTGGGGATAGTGCTTTATCCATTGTTATTGTTGAAGAGGTTGATGGTACTTTGCCAGAAAATGTTAAGCTCTTCGAGAAAGTTACCGCGATTTTCAGTATCGTTCGATTCATCATGTCCTCTGAAAGCATTGTTCTGCTTTGTTAAATATCGGATGACATCAAATATCACGCGAAATATGCCTCGAGTTTCTTCCCTCTCTTTTTCTTTTCTAGAAGTTTATGCCTGAGCTGCAACAACCAGTTGAACATCAATTGGATCATTCCTGTTTTTTAAAACTCTGTATGCGCTCCATTGAGAGGAGATGCATCCTTGAGCTTGAAACAAGACGCATTCTTCCATTGTCTATATCCTTCCTTCATAAATATCTGCTCTGAACTACCAGCTGTATAAAAGAACTGCATATTAGATTCCAAAGAGACTTTAACTTTGAAATGCCAAGGATTTAACGTAAGAAAAATCAGCTAAAATATCTATAAGATCTATAATGTTCTTCAATAAGAAACAAATTAAACAAATTTATCTTACCAAGCGTTCCAAAGCACCTGCAGTAGATGCAAGTATGCTGCATCCTTTGCAACAGAATATTTGATAGGAGAATTTATAATACCAACAGGAATGAAACTTGAATTCACGTTTTCCAATGACTGATCTTGGATATTCTATGCTTGGCTTCATGGGCCGGCGTTGACAACGAATGCCCTGGTTGATTCATTCTCAATTTCAGCTGAAGGATCACGCATCTCCATACATGATACAACGGTTTCAATTCACAGATGTTCCTCGAAAAATCTGAGATTTTTTAATGAACTTCTTTCTGATTCTGAAGACTGTCTTCAGAAACGATCTCTGGCTCTCTCCGAGTTAGACTGCCTTAGCCTAAATGACAATCCAGTGGTAGATCCAGACTACCGCCATTATCGCTCGAGCGGTAGTTAGATTATTCAAAAAGTTATAAAAACAAGGATCATTTTTATGTTTATCCTACTACATTAATTAAACCACAGTTAAAAATTGAAAATATTTGATCGCGCTGCAAACCAAGCATTCTTCCCTGGAGACATGAAATTGTCCTAAGCCTGATTTACACGAGATGAATTTTTTCGTGCGAAGCGAATTTTTTGCCACGAATGCGTGAAAAATATGCTCAAAAGTAGAGATTAGAAAATTCGCAGCGAATTAGTCGGTGAAGTGAGCGGATTCGAGCTGAAGTGAGCGGCAGACAGCCTACCTAGGCCAATCAAATCATCAGAAATCTCAGCCAACCTAGGGGGATGCATACAAATTTTGTTGACAACCAATGAACAACCACCAACACGGCTCAAAAGTTACAGAAAGATGGGGAGTGCTCACATATCCTGCAAGTGGGCAAACTGTAACTTCAAAGCCGACGTGACCCATTATTTTGTACAATACACAAATATTGGTAGGAATATATTTTATAAGATTATTAAGACTCAAATGTTCTAAAATTTAAGAAGGCATTAGGATTAAAAGTCAGGCCCACAAAGTTCGCCAAAAGTGTGATTCTTTGTTTAACAAAAGTTGCTCTCAATAATTACAAAATTTATCTGGCATTTTAAATTTATAATTTCCAACAGGTCTGATTTTCATAAGTAATCGCGCGACTTAATGCCAGTTTTAGGCGACATTTCAAAATTCTGCCAAAGTTATCTTTTTGTTTTTCAATCTATGGTGTTGCTTAAGACCCGGCCAAACGACTCAACAAAGTTGAGTCAACAAAGTCAAAAGTCAGACAAATTTGAGTCAAAAGAAACATAGATAATTAACAGCGAAGTTATCCGGAAATAAAGTGTTTGCCAAATATTTAGATTATAGCCTACAATAGTTCGTTCGATTTGGTACACAACAAGAGTCAATAATCCCAAATCAATGGAGATCATCCCCCCCTCCCCCCAAAGTTTTTCAACGGATTTCGAGAAATTAGAAAATCGACTTTTGGGAAAACTAGGGTGGACAATGATAACAAATAGCTCTTTTTCTTTTGGACGTATAGTAAGTCTGTTAGAGTTAAGCGGAAGATTGTTGCAGACCAGTGGCGTACCCAGGGCTGCAGCAGCGAGGTGAGGGGGGTCTGGGGCGCAGTAAGAGGTTAAGTACTTCATGTAAAGAGAGCAGATGAAACGTCATTTCTAATAAAGTCCTCCGAAAAAAGATTGAATTCCCTCTTCCCATCAAAACTTGAAGTTTTAGGTTTCCTTTCCACACGCAAACAGAACATTGTTCTCAGCCAACTTCCTTGGTAAGGGTTGTAAGCCAACAAGGGGTGTAATTTGACATGTTGACCTTCTCTGGTGCTTTGAGGCGCCAGAATCAATCCACCATTCGTTATTATTTGAAGTATTTGTGTTGACCACCAACGCAGTCTCACTCGTTGCTAAACCAACATTTATCCTCGGCACTTTTTGCTTCCGGTTCTGCATCCTTTTTCTGGTGGGACCAAGTTCCTGGCAGGATCAACTTTTTTTTCGTCTACCTTCGATGAAATAATGTTGGGGGAGGGGTAATTTGGCAATGTACTTTTTGTGATGTAATGCTATGATTTTCAAACTGCCTTTATGTAACCAAAAGTTGGTCGTGGGCCTTCCTTTCAGAATTAGCGTTCCATGTTGATAAAAGGGCGTTTTCTGGTGTAAAAATGGGCGTGGCATAAAATGTTTGTTTTGTCAGAACCCTCTCTCGGACTCTGACTAAACCTATAGCTGAGTTTCGGGTTGAATGAAAGAAAAAATGAAGTTAATGTGCCAATAAAAGCCCGGAAATACCGAGAATAGGGTTGGTTGAGTAGGGTTGCAATAAGTTTTAATTGTCACCGCCTAACTCCAGTAGGCTGTTTTGCGACAAGTGATAAAGAAACAATACTGAAAGGAACTTTGTTTACTCAAGGCGAATGAATATTTGTACGCCTGTTGTTTTAGTCTAAGGAAACGATATAATGCTTACTCTAGAACTGCTAAAATGTGCACAAATTCCACAATCGTATAATCTGTGCTAAAAACGAAAAGCAAAGAGGCACAAAAAATGGTACCCTGTCACATACTAAACGCCATTATTTACTACAATTTCATCAGAAGCTGATCATCCTTCATTTACAAAACTATTTTTCTAATATGTTAATTATTAGCCTTTGCTTCCTTTTTAGTTTTTTTGTACAATACAGAGTTGGTACCAGCGTTCACCAAACAACACAAGTAAAATATCAATGAGCAATCATTTCTTTGCTGGCATACGAGTAAGTGAAGTATTTCTTGCTTGGGACGGCTCGTGGATGATTTTTTTCTGGACCTGATAACGCACTATCGAAACATTTAACCAAACAACGCTAATCGATAAAAATGATGAAAATTTTCTCTTCTTTATGCAAACGTATACCTTCAATCAACAAGGCTGTCATCTTTTCAACTCAACCAGCAAAACATCTTTTCCGGACGTAATTCCTCTACAAATGCAACTTTGCTTGTATTCAAGTCTTGTAAAATGTATTCTAAATACGGCAAGTTCCGAGCTTAATGTTCGGCACAAATTCAAAATGACATCCAGAAAAACAGATATAGTTTTCTCAAACGTATATCATAGAATGACTTGTACCACTTAGCCTTTCACAAGAGCGAAGTGTAAGTGCTCACAATACTAACTAACTGCAAAAGTTTAAGGCGATATATATATATATATGTTTTGATAGTTCCTTGCAGGGGCGTCGCGACCGGGGGGTGTGGGGGGAGGGTGTCACACCCCCAATAGTATCTCGATAGGAAATTTCAGGTAAAATCCGCACAGTGGAAGAAACGCTTTAGGTATTTCAGCGACCTTCATGTATCAACATCAATAAAGGATCAAGCAAAGATAGTTGCTCCTTTGGCTAAATATGTACCAGTTGTTTTTATCTGCTGTTCAATTTGTTTGCAAAAATAAAAGAATTTTCGGTAGGATTAGGAGGATTGCTTTAGTAAAATTCACATAATAGAGTGCATTTTCCAGGGAACTGGAAGCATGAAAATTAGAAAATTTTCTGGTCCGTAGTTGCCCGTCCCGGTATACAGATTTGGCAAAACTATTAGGAAAGTCCGTTATTATCATTTTAAAATGAATGTTGTGAATTATATGTCACACAGTTAGATTGACAAAATGTACTGCAGAGGTTTGTGACAGCAACTTAAGAATTTCAGGTAATTATTTTTTAATCAGGTAAATTTGTTGTTCATCCCCCCCCCCCCCCAACAAGGCTTGCCTCGCGACGGCCCTGTTTCCTTGTACGAATAATGGATAGGTTTAATCATAACTTTTAATGTCTACTACGGCGGAAAACATGTTAGGATATCAATAGAGAGAAACGTGAGATGTGTTTACGTTAAGTTGAGTCACATAAGGTGCGGCATGTCTAGAATAAACCAGAATAGAGGGTGCGCGTTGCTTACGCGCGAGTGTTTCCTACAAGCGTAACGTTATAGCGCACAAGCAAGTATGAATATGGAAGTGAATGGCGCAGAAAGAAAAATGGAAAGAAAAATAGCAGTATTACATTTTTGCCACCCCCTTTTCCGTACGTTCCCCACTGTTGCGTTTTAGTGTCAAAGAGCATGCAAAATAATGACTTGGTGCTATGCACATGCTTATGGTTTCAAGAACAATAAACAGCCGCCAAGTTCTGTTTGATTCGAATCACTAAGTGCTTTTTTCATCTAGCCTAAAAGACATATTCGTGCTAGATTGATCAATCAGAGTGTACGTTTCAATCCAATGCCTCGAATGATCGCATTTTCCTGTTTAAAAGGCAAATGAAGTGTAATGCAATTTAACAAGGAATCTAGACAAACTAAAAATGATAAAGTACTTATACTGAAAGCAGCAAAGTTGGAAAAGTGCAAAAATTAAAGGTGGATACCTCTTATTATTTCAAGGAAAAATTCAAAATATGTTATTTGGAATCAATGATGGCTCCAGTCCATGACCCTGCATTTATCACTCTTTGATTTCATTTTCTATTACTTGGACGTCCTTAATTCGTACGCAAAACGTATGTTTCCCTATAGCATAGTATCAAATTCACTGAATTCAAACTCTAGGATAAAATTGTTTTTTGAAATGTTTGTTAACATATGCAAAATTCAAATTAAATTTGATGTAATTATTTAATTAGATAAACGATTATGAGCCTTCTATAAATTAAAATGCTACTTTTGAATTTCTAGGTTCGGAACAGAACAATTCATATTCATCTGAAAGAAGGGGAAATAAACGATGCCATATTTGTTGAAGCTACCATACCAATTTTATGCCAAAACCCAGAAAGTGAACTTTGTGCGGCTAAGGTAGAAATGTCTAATGGAAAAGTAATTGCAAGCGATGAATGCTTCTTGCCGTTCCGTTACAACACAAGCCCCCAACAAAAAAGATTTTATATAGCAGTGCCCGAAAGACAATCTGATCGACCTACGGAACACAGCTTTATTGCCCTTACTGTCGAGAACCTAAAAGCAGAGGACAGCTGGAAGAATCATAAAGAAATTCAAGATATTCAGGTATTATCAAAACAAATTCAACGTTATTTTATAACTAAGAAAGCAGACCCCGAACTTAGCTCCTGAAAAGTAATTTTATCCTTGGTAATTTTACACTCACCTAATATGTAAAACAAAGTTTAATCTATTAGTTTTTGTGGGCATTTCGATGAGATTTTTTCCACGCAAACTTTTTGATATGGTACTCTATATATCATGCTCAGCATTCTGTACGAAACTGCTCGATACTTTCTAGCGACAGCGAAATTTCAGAGGTTAAACAATGGTGTGTCTGCAAACTTGCCGATTACTTAGGTGTTAGTTAAGTCACACTCAACATTTTGAATCAGTAGAGCGGTTAACCTCTCTTGGCCAATTCGGATCATAGCCTGTTTCAGGGGCGTCGTGGTGAATGAATTCTAGAGGGGACAAGAAAGAAAAACTTTCCGACAAAATTTATTTGTTTTGTTTCAACCAAATAGAAGCATGAAATGTAAGTGTATGGGAGGGGGAAGGGCAGACAAATTCATAACTTTTGCTTTAGACCCCGTTTACACTGTGCCGGATAAATTTTATCCGCATCAAAATTAGTTCAGATAGGGCTCCCGTTTACACTAGACCCACGCTATCCGCACGAATTTGAGAGCGGCTATCCGGACAAAATTAGTTCATCTAGGAAAGTGGATTAAATTAGTTCAGATAGCTATGTGGTACAGTGTAAACACTTTTATCCGGATAAATTTTATCCACATCCGCTGCGAGGCTGATTTTGGTTTACAGCGAGGCTCTTTCAATAAAGAGAAAGAAGGTGGCGCGAGGTGGCGCCTAATCTCATTTCTCGTAAATAGAATCGTGTTGCTTTGTTTATTTTATCTGGACTTTCAGAATTGGGACATTCATCACGATTAACTCCAGAATCAGCTTTCGGATATCTTGCTTGAAAACGAGTGGCTATTTCATCATATTTTGTTTTTTCACCGTCTCCCAATCAAGACCTTTCGCCACCTTTGCTGCCTTATAGTCGATAACTATTTGTATCAAAGGTGCTGTCAGTCCACGTGAAATTGCCGTCCTTTTCAGCTTTCCCTACTTTGTTTGCCATTTCTGTGACGTGTTATTTCAAACAAAGAATTATTTGAACTATATTGGCCTAAAGTGCTTTTACAATTTTCTCGGACTTTGTCTGAACGCGAATGATTCAGGTCACGTGACTGTAGTTATCCGGCGCAGTGTAAACGGGAGGGCAAAGTGGACAAAATTTGTGCGGCACAGTGTAAACGCAAATCAATCCGAACAAATTTTATGCGGATAAAATTTATCCGGCACAGTGTAAACGGGGTCTTAGATGAAAAGATATTTGATATGCTCTTTTACCTCGAATCCGTTTCTTCATACCTACTGTGAACATTCCTCGCAGCTCGCAACCCTATAGATCGGTAGATTAGGATAAGGGCAAAACTTTTCATAATTTTAATGCCTCAAGTTTGCTGGAAATTGCATTCTTTGGAGGAAATTTATTAATAAAACCTTATTCTTATTTCTTACTTTTCCTTGGTCAAAATATATGTAGGAGTCAGTTTCTGGCCATCCCTAGAACACCATATTTCTAAACCCCTTTACCGACCATATGCCAGTTTCATTACCGAATTGAATTCTTGTATTATCTTGTAGGTTATAACAAGTGACAGGAAGTGGGGTATTTGCCATTCTACAGGTGATCCCCATATAACAACATTTGGCTCAATGTAAGTTTCTTTTGGAAGTCTTAAGTTCTAGATACCCGTACCTCTTCTAATCAATTGTAGTGTACATTTCAGATGGACCGACACCGTGATTAATCACATGATTAATGTGGATGTACACCATTGATTTTAAGTGGAACGGGTGGTTTTAGAACGTTCAAAACTTGGGTTATTAAGGTCACGATTAAAATTGTATTTAATGTTTATTTATCAAATGGTGTCCTAACGTCACACAATGATAAAATAGCATGATTTGTATCACAATTCACAATGTTACACTTTTGCATAGGGTACAAAAACGCATATTACATCGGCATTACCCATGATTAATGATGTTATCGACCCTTTTGCTTTAAAGACCTCGTAGAGTGGTACTGGAAAGGTATTTTAAATTGATGGGAGATTGAATAAGATATATCAGAGAAGGGGTTAGAAACTCACTTACTGTAGCTAGTTTCTATGATTTTGTCTAAATTTGTAGCACCGCATTCATACCTTTTTTGTATAAAAAGAAGCCCAGGCTGAAGGTTCATCTAACGATAACTTGCTTTGACATTCGAGTCATGTGGCTTGCTAAGTAGAAAAAATATACGAAAACATCGATTCTGCAATAGGAATAGAAATTTACAATACCATCGGTATTTTGTTGAATACATATAAACTCTATGATATGAACCGGTTATAGAATTGCTCGAGGAAGAGACACGCGTGTTAGGCCATCCTAACGATAATAACAAAATAAAACTATATACAACGATAGAAGAGTCTGGGCTCAAGTTTTTTATTCTAGCTTCATCATTATATCATTGCCTTTTTTAACTTTGAGGGTACCTCATCTCCGAATCTCTGTGGTTGACATCTCTGTCTTGTTGATCTTCGAAGCATCTTTGGTTGATGTTCTTTTTGTCCAGATGTGGAAGCAAAGAAACCATCATCAGAATCAGAATCCCAATTTTTGAAATTTGTATCCCAATTGGTCCCAACTCAGAATCCCAATTGGTTTTTGTATATTTTTGAAATGTGACACATTGCGAGTCACTCCGCCTTGATCTTAATTCGTTGCAATGATGGAGGATCCTTTTCTTTAAATTACCACAAAACAAAAGGGCTTGTATCAAAACGTGTAGGTAGCTTATTTTTCTTTTGCTATTGCACTGCAGTCACCAACTGCTATATCACTTTCTTTAGTGTGCCTCTTGACTTCACTGTACTCTTTGTTGTAATTCCTTTCCTTTTGGTCCTTGTTACAAGCTTCTTACAGGAGCGGATCCAGACTAAAGCAACTGCAGCTTGAGCTATTGTCAAAATCTCCATGTTTGATTTCGGAATTCAAAGTTTCCTTGCAGTCTCTAAAATGTGTTTATCCGTTTCCCTACAAGTGTTTATTCTTCCTCTGTCTGCTATCAAACCTATCAACGTTTGAAAAAAGCGTATCCGGCTATCAAATGCGATTAACAAACATACAATCACAATAATAACAATATATCAATGTGTCATCACAATGCTTCTGAAATATTTCAAACAATGCTCCCACTAAGATATAAAACACTGAGCACAGAATGGTCTAATATTAAAACTTAGACGAATCAGAAGTTTCGTCTTTGTTGACAGTAACCAACCAGAATTGAGCTACAGTGAATATTCCGAGCTATAGTCGGTCTGGGGATTTGCTCTGGAAAAGGCATCAAAGACAATGAAACCCGTACTACAAAGCCATGGTCAGGTTTGAAAATGGATTTTTAACCAATAGAATATGAGTATCCACGGTACTTCTCCGCTCTCGGTCCCCTGTAAAGCAACAGTGGACTATAGCTCGTTTTCACAACCTGTGTCCCCTGTAATTTAGCTTCAAAGCAAGGACTTACTAGAAATTAGACAGGGACGGCGGAACGACCAAGCGGCAAGAGGGGAGGGGGTAGGCTTGAGTAAAAGGGCTTTTGAAAGACAATTCTCAGCTTCTACAAATTCCTACGTAACTGCAATTTTATTTCGATCTTCTGTAGGTATCTTGAACATTGGCTAACTTTCGGCATAAGGAAATATTTCACAAGTTTTGAGAAGTTTAGAATTTCATATGAATCTCTCTGATTATTCCAATTGGCCGGTTTCAAGGGCACTTTTTTGAAAAAATCACCTTGCCCCTCCCATCAAAGGGCAACATGGGCCCTTTGCAAATCGATTTTCAGGTCTCATCAAAATGGAAAATATTTACTTTTGTTTTTCATGTAGGTATCAAGAGATGTTTGAAACAAAGATTTTATTAGCATTCAAAATGTTTATATGAATTGATATTGCTCGGTAATCAATTTCTTGAAAAGGGCACATTGCTGTCCCCGTGCTGCCCCCGCTGTCCCCTTGCTGCCCCCGCTGCCCCTGCTGCCCCTGCTGCCCCCGTTGCCCCCATTGCCCCCGTTGCTCCGGCGCCCTTGTAGAGAACAGTTATGAGATAAAATCTCTGACACATCATACATCCTGGTATGAATTGTTTTTTATGCCTGGAGTTATATCAGAAAATGCTTTGATATCATGTTCTGTAGACAAGGCTTGAGAAACCGTGTTTAAAGGGGTATTCCTCTGGGATCCCATCGGGCCTAAGCTAATCTTCATTGCCGCTTTCACAGTTCCCGTTCGCCCTTTGTAGGGCAAGTACTTCACCACCACATGCTGCAAACACTTCCTCGTCAGCTCGACTTAAGTTTGTTCCCATTCCTGAAGAGCTGTCGTGAAAATTGCGAACTGAAATTCTAACCACTAACCGAATTCCCTCCCTCCGATTCACTCTACTACAATGTTGTTTTCGTTGGGATCGGGGCACGTGTCCACGTCTTTACGTCAGCCCCTGAAACTTGTCTCCAGACCTCTCCGCCACGGAAATGGAGAAATTTCACACTTCGCGAGGTAAATGCAAAAAACGAAAAGAAAAACACAAATTTTGTGTCGATATTCGAAATCAGCACGATGAAAACTACTTGTTAGCTGGTTTTCATTTTCACTTCAGTTCCCCTTTTAGAGGATGTACAACAGCAGCAGTAGTCTCATTGGATTCAATCTTTCGGGTTTGAAAGAAATTCATTTCTTCACGTCTTCCATCCAGTAACATTTTGTTGAAGATCGTAGGCAGGGTCACGTAGTGCCCTTCGACAAATTCGCGAAGAAATACCACCAACAACAATTTGCTGTTCGATTTCAAATTCTAAATTTTGAAATTCACAAGCAATAGAGAGGGCTTTCAATCGTGTATGATACTGATCTAATGTTTCCCCTTGCTCTTGCTTTGTCTCACGAAAACGGTAAACCTCAAAACGACGATTCTTTTAAGGCTCAAAGTGGGTGATAAGCTTCGTCTTCGCTGTATCGTAATCATCTACATTCTTGTGAATGTTGAAAAATTTTCCGAACACGACTTCCTTCAAGGTGCATAGTAATAAGGTGCATTTCCTTGTTGCATCGGTATTCCCACTGGCAGTTAAGAACATTTCAAAATCTGCAAGTCATGTCCGACTTTTTGCTGGATATTGACCTTTTTATTGGGGGAGGGGGGGGGCTTTTCAACAAAAATTATTACAGTTTGTCGTGTAAAATCTCCAGCTTGGCAAGTTTTTAGCTGATTTGCTTTGGCAGCTTGGGCATCTTGGGATTCAATTTCACGAACCTGGAATGGCTAGTATCAGTACGACGGCCATCAAGTAACATGTCTTTCAATGTATGTTATCTGCTTCTCCATCTCGAAGTCCGGGTCTGCGAATTCACAAGTTTCTGCCAAGGACCTGAGGCGTGTGTGAAAGTGATCTAGATTTTCGCCTTGCTCTTGCTTCGTCTGACGGAGCAACTTACATATGCATCTTTTTATGAAGTCTCAGAAGGTACGAAGGAAGAATTAGCTTCATTTTTGGCCCGCTGCATGATATAAGCTCTTTATCTTATTTCTTAATAATCTATAGATTTTTGTTAGATGATTCAGAATATCAAAAAATAGCTTTGGAAGAAAACACTCGATGTCAAATTAATCACAACAATTGAACAGGGGAGATTGACTTTGTTCTGTTTTTCTATCTTTTAACTTTTAACTTAAGTCTATGGTCCTTGCTATGTGTAAGTGTCATTTGTCAAGACAAAAAGAAAGCTAAAGAATGCGCCAATTAAATAGGCAAAAAATCAAAACAACAGCAACAAAAGTTCTATTTCGATCATGTGACCAAATCACTTCCACACTTCAAGAAATATAGTCGTGAAGAAATAGACACTAGCTCGTATCAATCGCAATTATAAGGGATATGTCTCTTCTTTGTCGGAATACTTCGGAGTGGAAAACCTGTCTGCGAGTAGTTTTTCCGAGTGCAACTTTTCTTGGAAGCAATTGACTTAGACAGAAACACCTTGTTTCATGACAATTTCTACATTTCGACAAACGTATTGAAATCTAGTTAAAGTCAACATTGATAATTACTTCCACATCGATGCGTTTGACATCGTGATGATATGGGATGAAGATAGGTCGTTCTGTCAATTTAGGATGTTAAATTGCTAGATGATAGCTTGAAATGTATGAATCAGTTATTGTTTGCAATTTGTCTAGTAGTAGTTTTTTCAAAATTGATGGTAGATGGCTTTCAAATTTGAGATAAATTTCATAGCTTGCCAATTATGACAAATTTCTTTTAGGTATTACCACCTTTACCAAGTAGGAGATTATCAAATGGTTAGAACTAAGAACAATATATTTGAGGTAAGAAAAAATCTTTTTTGCCATAACTGATTAAACTTCAAACTGATTAAAACAGTGAAGTCACTACAATCAAACTCTAGGATAATAAATATAAGATATAAGATAACTTGAAAGAGCAATGATAGGGCTGCAAGTTTCTTAAAAACCTTTCAAACTATCAACGAGCTCAAAAGCTCATCTGAGCTCAAATGAAAATATAACGAGTTTTTTAGCAAGCTTTAAATGCTGAAACTTTCTCGTAAATCAGAAGAGACCTTCCCCAGACATAATACTTGGAACCGAAAATCTGTTCCGGTTAAATCATTTGAAGCAATCAAATAAGCAAACATTTAAAGGTAAGCCCGTTAAACTTAGAAACAAGGCAAAGAGTTGAATTATTGATATTGTGTGAAGACCATGTCATCTTCTGCCTCTTCTCCCTTGCATTTTAATATTTAGAAATTTGCTTTAGTTTTAGCAACCTCCCTGCAGCAAAAAAGTATCATGTAATATTTTGATAGCACTTCATTTCTGGTTTCCCAAGGTTCACGTAAGGACGTTTCAGTGCGCTACAGTTACTTGTAACTGTGGAGTCGCTGCAAGAGAAGGGGAGGATATTGTTGTCATCGATATGTGTGGGGATAATATCCCACGACCACGTCTGCCACGGAAAGAAGAGATGCAACGATCTGATGGTACAGTTATCACTGTAGATCCTAGTGGGCGTCTATTCACGGTAAATGAACTTTATTCGCTTTATACGTCATCGGCTCAGCCTTTTTGGCAAATTGTTCGCTGTATTTATATGCAATGATATTTCATGTGAAAGAAGCTTAACTTCAGGTTTAGTTACAAAATTAAGTCTTGTAATGTCAAAACTATAAACGTCTAAACTATACCAAAAGGTGAGGTGAAATTCCTTAGCCAATAAAATAGTTTGCTTACAATTTGGCAAGTCAATCCAATCAGAGGCCGCCATTCGAGCCAAGTTCAGATGCGACATATTTGTTGGCCATACAAGAAAGCTGAGGAGTCTCAATAGTAAAGATAGAGCAATTTTTCCGGGACTTCAAATAACTTGGTTCAAGTAGTAATTTTAGATCGTTTTGAAAGATCCAAAGAAGTCGAAATTTGAGGCTGATATTTTTAAAATTTATATAGGCTGTTTATAGCTTACACGGTATGTCCGGTATGAAGCTGACTAACATAGCCCTGCTTGGGCCTGCTTGCTACAACTCAACGGATGAAAAACTTTATCTCAAGATATCAATATTATTATTTGAGGTCCTAGCAACAATCTCAAATTATTTTCGTGAATTATTGGTGAAGCATGAGGTAAGCTGTTACATCCAATCAAAAAGGTGAAACGAGCTTTAGTAACGAAAAGTAGCCACAAGTATTGAATATATGTACAGAATATAGACCGAGGTTATTAGCCAACTAATAGCAGTAGGTAGGGGACTATATCTTATCTAAAATACAATTGCACTATCCGCTTTCAATAACAACTTGTTAAAAGTTAAGAAGTGTCAACTCTGTGATTCCCTAACATTGCATAACAGGCAGCTACTGAAAATGAATAACAACCATGCAATTTGACGCTGAGCAATATTCTGATAGTATTCTTAAAAATTGGATGATTCTGATCCTGAATACTCATATCAACAATATTCTTAGAAACGATAATGTATTGCAGTTCTAGACAATTCTTTAAATTTTGTGTGATAACATATTTTACGACAGTATCTGTAATGCTGAAATATCACAAAATCATATTGATAGATATCATTCTCATCTGGAGCCACTATCAAGTTCGACACAATTAATTGGTACGGTCATTTATATTTTGGAAACATGAAGATTAAAATTCCTCCATCGTACTACGACAAAACAGATGGTCTTTGTGGAACATATGATGGCAAAGTAGGTAACGAACTGGTAAGTAAAGATGGCAAAGTCTGGGATAAAATGCTGCCTTCACATAGAATTGCACAAGATGAATTCACGAATAGCTGGAGGTGGGTTTAGGTATAAATTTGATATCCACGTTGTCTCACTCTCGATTGAGCTGTAAAATCTTAGCTAAAAGGTTTGGATAAATAAGGACGGTCCACAATTACAAAATTGTATCACACCATATTATGCGTTCCTTTCTTTAGATGAAAAGTAAATACTTTGTGCATTGTTTTGCAGACAATTTGTCTATATTTAAACTGAGATTCAACTTTCAAATTATGTATCTTCTTTACTAAAATTGTTGTCAAAAACAGCATTCACTGTATTTTTTCATAGTAGTGGAAGCGAGAGAAAAGCAAGCACGTTATAGCAAGAAAGGTTTTTTGACAGCTCACTGAATATGCATAAAAACTTATTGCACTAACCTTCGCAAAGTGGGGCCGTCAGTCTGCATGTATATTCTGGGCACGGTTACATTTTTTGGCCCTGTTCCCATTACCCAGTTTTGATGGGAAAACGGAGCTGAATGATTCCGTTCTTGATTTTGCGTTGCCATTGATACGCTCGAAATCGGAGTCATTTGAAAACTGTTTCATTCAATCTCAAATTCAAACGCACCTTCGGAATCATGGTTACACAGTTTTCGAGCGGAAGTGCGTTGTTGCTACACAACCACAAATCTCGTTTTCGACCAAGTAGTTACTTTTGTATTTAGATAGTGGTAAAACATACTAATTGCTAATTGCTAATTGAACAGAACAAACGTATCTAGGGATGTTGAAAAATCGTGTCTTTGGATGCAAAAGCATATCTATATGGCTTTTCAACAGTAATTGTCTTTTCCTAACATCGATTTCATTCCATAAAAGAGACTTTTAGAATGAAATTTCTAACTTTTTCTACACATCAATGAACGTGTTTTCAGTAAAGACGGAAATTAGCCCGGGATTTGAAGAAAAGAAAGCTGGAGAAGGACGAAGTACAATTCCCAGCGCTTAGGGAAGTACAACCAACCAGCGACAAAAAACCTGGCTCAGCACAATGTATATATTATATATTTGTATATGATTTCTAAAAAGAAGTTGCTAAAAGTAAATCATAAGAAGTAACAATTGATTAAGATTGTGACACAGACGGCTGAGAAAACACTAAAAATGCTGCCACTGCGAGAATTGATACCGAGATAAATGTTACAATTGCAAATACCGATTTAATTGCAAAAGAATTTAACAAACACGAGGAATGCCATCCAGCATGTATTAGAGGTATATGAAAAGCAGGGCCAAGTAAAGAGATGCAGTCCATTGGAAATTTCAGTATCGTATCAACCATACTAGCAGAATTATTTTCATTGTCTGTGATGCGTATGAAAATATTAAGTAAAGTGACGATAGTTCAATACGATTGGAACATGCTGAAAGACGCACAGATTAGAGAAAGGTATAATATCGAAGTTTACAACAGTTTTCAAAGTCTTAATGTTGAAGAGCTGCAAAACCTAGAGGAAGAGTGGAAAGGTGTGAAGACTGCTCTAACTGAAGCTGGGAAGAATACAGTGCCAGTTTAATAGAGAAAAGCAAAACAAAGTTGGATGACGAAAGAAATTCTAGACAAGATGGATAAGAGAAAGCAGGCGAAGAGTAATGATGTGCTTCATGCGGAAATTTATCGTGTCATCTCTAGAAAATGCAAACTAGCTAAAGGGAAATGGTGGAACAACAAATGGTATAAAAGACTGGAAGCAATGAACAGACATCAAGAAACGCACGACAAAATCAAAGAAATAACGGGCATCAAAAAGAAATCTAAAGGCAGTGAATGCAATAAAGATAAAGAAGGAAATATGCTCTTCAATGAAAACGACATCAAGAAAAGATGGCAGGAATATGTATCTGAATTATTTGACGATGACAGAGATGATAACTATGATATTATAACAAACGGAGAAGAAGCTGAGCTGAGTCAGAAATAACAAAAGCCATACAATGCATGAAAACAAGCAAATACCCTTGTGTGGATAAAATCAACACAAAGATACTCAAAGCCTTAGATGAAGCTAACACCAAATCGCTCGCCAAGTTCTGCAATCAAGCATATAAAGTTGCAACAATACCTGGAGACATGAATGACTCCATACTTCTAAGAATTCCAAAAAAGTTAAAGGCCATCGCATGCAAAGAGTTTAGAACAATTAGCCTTATGAGCCACATTCTGAAGCTTATACTACGAGTTATACTGAGAAGAAATAAACAACGAATAGAAAAGAAAGTAAGCGATATACAGAGCGGTTTTATGAAAGGAAAAGGAACTCGTGAAGGGATATTCAATATGAGAACTATATGTGAGAGATACCTGGCAATGAACAAAAATATATATGCATGCTTCATAGACTACGAGAAAGCATTCGATAGAGTTAACCACCAGAGGATGATTGAAAACCTCATAAAGATTGCAATACCAGGAAGGGATATCAAATTCATAAGAAATCTGTACTGGACGCAAAAAGCCTTCGTGAGACTAGAAAATGGACTGTCTGATGAAGTGATGATAAAACGAGGAGTAAGACAGGGATGTGTACTGTCCCCTGCTCTCTTCAACCTCTACACAGAGATGATATTCAGAGCTATAGATTATATGGATGGTGTAAAGATAGGTGGACTTAACCAGGGGCGGATCCAGGAAATTTTTTTACCGGTGCTCAGTTTAGGGGACCACACCCAAAAATTGACCACGCCCATTTTCGGTAGCGATGTTAAGTAGCGTATTTTTTCCAATGAGCGTCCCTCTCCAATGCACGCCCCCCTTTTGAGCAAAATTTCTCTAATCAAGAACAACTCTCCAATGAGCGCCCCCCAAATATTTTGAAAACATATAGAGACCAGCAAATCTTTACAATAGTAATCAGTTTAAATATATTGAATGAAACCTATGCTGTTTCAATTTGGAAAATCTTCTGCAACTACAGACAGAGTTCCACAAAAATACATTTGAAGGTATTGACAATTTAAATACTCAAGATGCCACACCAGTATTTCAAGCAAATCTACTAGGATTTCGACTCGGATGAAATTGAAATCTTATGATTACTATGCCCATAACAGTTGTGATTGATTTTTCTAAAAACAATCATTGTTTAAATTCCAAAGCTCGATTTGTTATTGGTGGATTTTTATCATTTTCTCAATAAGCCCCACTCTCTAATGGGGCCAAAAATATGATAAAATACGGCAAACAAGAGTGGCTATGAAAGCAAGGAAAGTATTATACAAAATAAGGCAATGTATTTCATGAAAATTTAGAAAATGTTTTACGAAATTCGTTACTCTGGTTGAAAGCTATCTTTTGCAGCTTGGAATTGTGTTATGAATTGTGTTTATATATTACGTTAAAAATTTTGTTGATGTTCCAAGAACTTTGACAGGCATTTACACGCCTCTTTTAACTATTCTTCCTTTAGAAAAATCACAAAGGGGGGCTGCGATGCCATTACTCGTAAAAAACAAAGCGAATATCTCAACACTTTAATTAACGCTTTGTCGTAGTATCACATTGCAAACAAACAACATTGATTCACGTTTGCGATACTCAAATCAACTAATAACATGGCTAATAAAACGCAACCTGGCATGTCACCCTCAACCAGATGAATATTTTCTGATATCTTGCAATTTTTCACAAAGATTGTGTGTTACCACTTACCTGATAGATAGGTATCTTAGGCCGTAGCTTTGCTACACTTCCGGAAAAGAGCTGTGAATCAGTGAACGAGTCGGCGCTATTGTCGTTCCAATAAAACTCGAAAACATCCTCAATGTCCCTTCTCTATCATTTCTTTGACAAGACTTTTCTTTTGCCATAAATATTAAAGCAACGCTTCTGTTCATGCTCCCCGTAATACCAACGAGAGTTGCCGCAAATCCCAAAAGCCTATGCCAGTTCCCTATCCATCAATTTCCCTGAATTTTCATTAGCTATTTCGTCTTGACCGGTGCTCAGATGACGTTGAGCAACGGTGAAAAAGCAAATGATTGGATAATGCTGGATCTGAGCACCGGTGAGAAAAGAGTTGATTGGCTAGCTCCGTTCGTGACAATTCTAATTTACGAACCCACCGGTGCTCGGAATAGAATGGAATAATGGGATTTCATTGGAGGATGATTTTGTCATCCGCAATCTAATTGGTCAGCACTTGCATTCTACCAGAATTTCGTTCTGGTGAAAATGCCACGGTTGCAAACATTAACGCGACAAAAGAAAATTCTTTAGATAATAGATATTTTTCATGCAAAATAGATGAAAACATAGAATCAGCAGAAATCTTTAGCTTTTTTCGGAAACACCCTTTGCACCCCCTTGGATCCGCCACTGACTTAACATCAACAACCTGAGATATGATGCTGATGATACGGTTCTTATTGCTGAAACACCTGAGCAATTGCAAGAAATAGTAAATAAAGTTAGTGAGGAAGGGAAAATGTATGGAATGAAGATTAATACTGAAAAAACCAAAACTATGTTGGTATCAAAAGTAATGCCAAGCGCCAAATTTCATATTACTGTTGACAACGACATAATTAAACAAGTAGAATCATTTGTATATTTAGGACAACTATTGACAGAGGATGCTAAGTGCGATAAAAAATTCTACGTCGTTTTTCTACAGCCCGAGGAACTTTTAATAAAATGAAGTCAATATTAACAAATACCACATCAATCTTGAGACGAGAAAGAGAATACTGAAATGCTATGTATGGAGTACCTTATTTTATGGAGTAGAGACATGGACTGTAACAACAACACTTGAGAAACGTCTTGAAGCATTTGAGATGTGGTCGTATAGGAAAAAGTGATATTTTGGATTGAAATTGTCATGGATGGAAAAAGTGATATTTTGGGCATTTGATACGGCTAAATAACATATACAGAACACTGTTAGAAGGATTTATAGATGGAAAGAGAGGCAGAGGTCGCCCAAGGATGAGTTGGTACGACAACATCAAGGAGTGGACTGGGATGCGGTATGAGAAGGCGACAAGAACTGCAATGGACCGAGACAAATGGAGAGCTACTGTGTCATCCAACGTCGAAAGATTTGGAACATAAAGAAAGAGAGCGATAGTTCTCTAATCTAAAATTATACAGCTAAGAGTTAATCAAGCCCAACTATTCTCTAATTGAAATTGCTTCGATTTATACTGAAAAAGTCTAAGTATGCAAGATATATGTCAGTAAAAAAATTCAAAAAATCATTCTGCAACAACATATTTATTTGAAGCAAATAATATCATGCATGTCGATTGACGATTTCGCACACCCTACTGTCACAATTTCGCCTTATCCAGCATTTAATTCTCCTTTTAAATATTATGAATGTTTCGGCGTTTTTCAGGTCCTTTGTTAACTATGCTTCCTAACACCTATACCTAACAGTATTTGTTGTATATAATATAGTTTTGACTGGTGATTATTTCAATGTATTCATTTGCATAATATCAGCATCAAGAGAGGAGAGGGTCAGAAGAGAGGAGTGAGTGAGCGCTATTTATCAATATTAAATTGCCCAGATATGAAGGTTCCATGCGATTTTCCAATATTTTTTAATAATATTGAAAACAAGGAAATGCCTTTTACTTTTTTGACACGGACAAGCATTGAAACGCCTCAGTAGGATTTACAATCTTCTTTCGGGAAAGCCATTGTCCGCCATTCTACAAGGAGGCTGACAATGAATGCAATGTACTACATGCTTTGGTGAGTTACTACAAGAAAGCAGGCACAAATTTGATCACTATAACAGCTGGGAGCACAACTCCAACCTTTCTTCCACGATGTGACAAAACTTTGCATCATCTCATGATAGACAGAAGAAAGGCACGTAAGAGGAAAGGAAAGGTAACGACTAATTAGGTAATTAAATAGCAATAAAGCTCGTGGTTGTGACGGGAACTCAGCACACATGATAAAATTATGTGATTCTTCTCTTGTTGAATCATTGTGTCTTATTTTCGAAAAATGTATTGAAATTGGCATCTATCCTTCAGTATGGAAAAAAAGCTAACATTGTCCCTGTTCATAAAAAGGATAGTAGACAGAATAAGAAAAATTATCGTCCAATATCGCTTTTTCCAATCCTTGGTAAAATGTTTGAGAAAGTCATTTTTGACGCTATGTACAAGCACTTTTGTGATAACGGCTTTTAACTCCCAGTCAATCTGGTTTACGCCCAGGTGACTCAACTATCAACCAGCTATTGGCAATAACTCATAAGATATACTGTGCATTCGAGAGCGTTCCTAGTTTAGAAACTCGCTCTATCTTTTTGGACTTCTCCAAGGCATTTGATAGAGTGTGGCATGATGGTCTTTTGTACAAGCTTGAAAGCAGTGGAATATCAAGTAACCTATTAGCTCTAATGGGAAGTTTCCTGGGCAATCGAAAGCAAAAAGTTGTCTTGGGAATTGTTCCAACTGGGAAACCGTCACATCGGGGGTTCTCGGTCCTCTTACCTCCTTAATCAATATAAACGACCTTGTTGAAAATGTAAATTGTGACATCAAACTTTTTGCTGATGACATATCACTGTTTCAAGTTGTTAGAGGTGAGGCTAGAACTGCTGTCGAGTTAAATCATGATCTTGTGCGAGTTAACCTGGTGGCGTGGCAATGGAAGATGCAATCGAATGCTGAGAAGATAGTGTAGGTAGTTTTTTCCGCAAAAAAGGTAAAACCTCAGCATTCACCTCTTAATCTTGGTATCAAAGAGATTGTCAGAAAAACTGAACATAAGCATTTAGGTATGATCCTGGATGAAAAGTTAGACTTCAAGAGTCATATTCGAGAGGCTATTCTTAAGGCAAGAAGGGGAATAGGGATGATAAAGTTTCTGTCTAAGTATGTTTCACGTATTGTGCTTGACCAAATCTATAAACTTTATATCAGACCTCATCTTGATTACGGTGATGTTATTTATCACAAACATGATCTACACATGACCCTTGATGTCACAAAAAGACTTGAACAAACACAGTACTCTGCAACTTCTGCTATAACTGGTGCATGGAGAGGTGAAAGTAGGCAAAGGCTCCATGATGAACTAAGATTGGAGGATTTGTATCATAGAAGGTGGTTTAGGCGGCTGTGCTATTTCTTTAACTTGCGTAAAAATCGTCAACCGGCTTATCTGTTTGATGAAATTCCTGCTGCTCGTGAAGTTTCGTATTCTCTTAGAAACGTAAATGAATATGATGCAGCTGTCTGCAGAACTGCTCGCTTTTCAAACACATATTTCCAAAACGTGCTCCTTGAATGGAAGGCGTTAGCAAAAGATGTTCATGAGTCAAATACTAAGGTGAATTTAAATGCAAGCTGCTCGCAAAGATAAGACCAGATAAAAAACCATTATTTGAAATTTGCGACACACGTGGTGTGAAGTGCTAAACTATGCTCCGGGTGAGATTCAGTCCTCTAAGCGAGCACAAGTTTCGGCACAACTTTGAATCTTTGAGTCCCATCTGCACGTGCAATACAGGCATTGGGACAATTAGCATTTTCTAACAACAACAAAGAACACCATTGGATTGAATTTTTTTTGACACCTCACATTCTTTGTTTTGCCTTACAAAGGAAACCCAAAGGTCTCAAAGGCAATGTTCGACAAAAAGGTCAATTAAACCAACTTCATTTGTTAAATCCAAAATAAGCCATTTTTTTGTCCAAATAACATTTTGAAAGTCAAAAAAGCTTTTACAAATCTAGATTTTTGAAATTTGGAATACAAAAATTCAAACCAACAACACTAGGCTCACCAGAAACTAAAAGAGAGCCTTCGGTGCCTTTTGTAACCATTATAAAAGCCTCAAATTCATTTTTCTTGCCCAGACCGATTTGGCCCTCCCTAGACCGCTATGACCCTAGAGTCTAGACCTATATGTCGTCATACGATATTTTTCTCTAGCTTACCCCCGTCAATAGATAGAAAATCGATAGAAAACGGCACCCCTCTCTGGAATTTTCCCCCATGTCCCTAGATATCACCATGAAAAGAATCGTGCTTAGTTCCAGTCCGTCACGATTTTTCCACTCTAAGCGACTGGACATATATGCGTTTAACACAACTGATTGATGATGTATTTTGTCTTTTGTGATTCGCCAATCGGAGGGGCCCATAATAAACCTGTAATTGAGCATGACAGTTTTTTTCAATCAAAGTACTTGGTCGCCAAGTTGTGAAACAGCTTGAATTGATTTGGACCTGGTTGCAGAGGCGGATCCAGAGTAAAATCTGACTGACTTACAAATCAGAAAAAAAGCGTTCATGGGCGGGGACAAAGGGCGTGGTAACAACAATATTTTTGTAAGATGCGTATCAAATTGGCATAATTATACAAGAATGTTCAAATCAAAGATTTAACCGTCTCTTAAAACTTTAACTTTGAATTCGTAGGTACTTGGTAAACATATTATGTCTTACACATATTATATCTTACTTATGTATTTCTATAGGAAAATCTAATGATGGATCATCTTGTTGGCCATTTTTGTAGAAAATTTTTGATCCTACAGGATCAATAACGCAAAGTTTCCCGTCGTTTAACAAATCAAAGAAAATCTTTGTGCTGTTATGGGACATGAGAAAAATGTGTTTAAGAATTCACGTAGACCATTTCGGCTCAATTGCAACAGGTTGAAAAATTTTGACTGACTTTCGTAAGAGTTCTATGAAGGTGCGTCCTGAATGCGCTAAACAAACATACAACCCTGAACTGAAATGCATTAATGAGACCATTAACAAAATATAACTTATTAAGTTGAGTGACAGTGTTACCTTTCTTGTAGAATCAAATTAAGTCCTTCCTTTTTTCGACCAATGTCATGAGAGATGAGTACTGTCAATGAAAATCTAAGGTATAAACTAATCACAAACTCTACAAGAAGATATCTTTCTTTTTATCTAGTTGTTGGTATTTTTATGCATACTATTTAAAAATATTCTGTCGCGAATGACTTCATATAAAAATATCTTATATTCCTGTTAGACTTACAACCAAAGATAGTCTTTTCTATTACAAACCAAAGGATCAAAAATGCAAAATTCATCCACGGGAAAAAAAGTACTGCAAATGTGACAATGTTATCAACAAGGAAACTAATAAAGTTACTTGTGGACCACTCGGGGAAGCTGAAACATTTTCTGCAAACCAGAAACCATTGATATTTGAAAATGAAGATTTTTGTAGCCGAAGAAAGAGGAGATCGGTACACAGAAGCGGTGATTTTATCACGATACCTGATGACGATGGATCAAGCGATTATGTGTATGATCCTACTCCGATAAACATAACCATACCAGTATGGCCAACAAAAACAGGAAAAACTCAAGCAGATGTTCAGAAATATTGTACAGATACAATAATGAACTCTCAGACAGGAAAGATGTGCCAAAAGTTGGATTCATTTGATTTCAGTCCAACTATTGACCAGTGCGTAGAGGATATAAAGGTATACGTCATTTTGAAACAACAGCCATCATTGTGTTAATAAGATTATTTTTTGTAAACATTTTTTCTATCTGGCCAATGATTATCAAAAAGGCTATACCGTTACTTTGCCTAGGAACAATTTAAGTTGTATGATACAATATAATTTAACCTTAACCTCTGTATATTGGTAGGTGCTTGATACACTATACCTTAACCTCATTATCAATATAGGTCTGGTAGATGATACAATATATTTTAACCTCATTATCAATATAGGTCTGGTAGATGATACAATATATCTTAACCTCATTATCAATATAGGTCTGGTAGATGATACAATATATCTTAACCTCATTATCAATAAAGGTCTGGTAGGTGATACAATATATCTTAATCTCATTATCAATATAGGTCTGGTAGATGATACAATATATCTTAACCTCATTATCAATATAGGTCTGGTAGATAATACAATATATATTAACCTCATTATCAATATAGGTCTGGTAGATGATACAATATATCCTAACCTCATTATCAATATAGGTATGGTAGATGATACAATATATCTTAACCTCTCTATAGTTGTAAGTGTATAATAAAACAAGCTTTTAACTGTTTTTAAATGCAGGTGTGTCATTACCACAAATTTTAATAACTGACTGGTAAAACCGTTAGCTTGTCACTCACATCATCTAAAAGTAGAAAATAACTTTCGTTCATATGTATTACAAAAATTTCAGCGGAAAGAAATAATGGTATAAAGTATAAGTATAAAGACAAAGTATAAAGAGTTGAAGAAATGACAAAATAAATAGATTCTTTTTACGTAAGTTCATATCTTTTAGATCGCTGACGATTTTGCATTGGTGAACTCAGCAATCCAAAGTTTAGCAGAGATGTGTAAAGATGATTTCATTTCAAATGTTACATACTGGTCAAGCGATGCATCAGGCAATGGTACGCTAAGCCCACCAGCTGAATTATTTGCGATTTCATGCCCTGGACTGTGCAGTGGAAAAGGCACGTGTGTAAATGGAACATGCGAGTGCTTTAAAGGGTTTTCCGCACCTGACTGCTCTGTCAATATAACAACTGGTCCTACATTTAGATACATTCAGAACAACGGCTTTTGTGATATTCGAAAAAGAAGTGATTGCTCCCGTATACGTGTTATTGGAACAGATTTCATTGCCTCGAAAAACCTTTCTTGCCGACTTACGCCTTTCGAGGTATAAGATTATGAATTTTGAGCATTGAGAATGACTGAATCATTGTTTTTAATGCTAAAAATTTTAAAAAGATTTCAGGAACTCTTTCGTTTTGAAAACAGTATATTTTCAATTTAGCGTTTGCCTTTAAGAATGTATGGGTTCCTTGATAAAGGTTTAAATTTTCATATATTTCGAAATCAAATTGAACCTTTGTCTGTTTTTGGAAATAATTTTTCAATAGAAATAATTTGATGGTAAAAATTGCTGTTTTCTGGCCTTCCATATTGGGCTTGATGCCTGATAGACAGAGCTGTACACGCTACAGGAATTTTTTTATCTTGCAGTTCCGATTTTCAACGTTAACGCGATTAGTAGGTAACTGTAGAATCTACCAGGACAAAAGTATTCCACCACCCGCGAAGGCGATTAATGGCAGATCACCCAATAACTGATTAATTTGTTGTCTGATTAAGCTATTGTTTAATCAGCCAATATCGCGCAAATAAGACAGCAGAGGTGCTTCTACCTCTGAAAACTGTACAAAGTCGCTTTTGAATTGAAGCCCGAGTCTTTTTAGTGAGATGCACTAGAATTCTCCTTCATTCTCCATAAAGTCTCTATGTCAGTTTTTGTTTGGACCTCAGATAGCCTCGTGGATTTCAAATCAGATAATTTATATTGGCAACAAAAAATATTCGCTTTTATAAAGGTCACGTCTTCATGAATGCTGAGGAAGGACATAGAGCTTGCAGATTTTCGGATAAATCTGCGTAAAAATTGCCTTGTAAGAGGGATGTACTACATTATATGTAAAAAACTGCCTGCCTCATCTCCCAGGATTGATTGATTCCAGTAAAAGAGCTGCTTTGTGTTATTTTGACATATTTCATTGCATTAACTCGCACGTTGCTGGCCCCTAATTTACCAATTCATTTGGTCTTAACTGTACCCAAAAATTACCCAGGTTGATTTGCAGAATTTCGTGGCTAAACAGTCAGGACAAAAGACTTCACTCTTTGTTTCCTAAACTCTCTCTCTTTTATGCTATCATTTTCTATAAAAAGTTTTTAAATCTTTTGAACCGAAAGACGATTTGCACTTTGATTTAACACAACTACTCGCACTTCATGCTGTTATTATTTAGATTTTGCCATCGCCCTTATTTTTCTTATAACTGCACAATTTTTTACGTTGTTGTCATAATTCTAAATATTTCAAAATCCCCAATAAATTTAAAAAAAACTACCTCTGGCTTACCATGATTTTGATATCTTAAGGGAAGTACCTTAGCTCAAAGTTATAAGCTTGCAAAACTTCAAGTTTTTTAGATGCCATTTTGATTTGGGTGTTGAAATACTTTGTCCTGGTATTGCATTTTGTATTCTGTAATTTTTAAACTTTGATAAAAATTTCTTAACATAAATTGATTTTTGCAGATGTTCAATCATTCTGACAGCAAAACAAATAAACAGTTCTTTACAAAGGCAACATTGCTAAGTTTTGGAGAAATGACTTGCGACATGGTGGATAATCCAGTCAAAAGTTACACCTCGTCAATAAACGGCTCGCCGTATGTAAGGTTCAGAGTTGAAGTCTCGAATGATGGTAGAATATTCAGTAAGCAGTCCCACAATTATACAATCTACGATTCCAAATGCATTAACTGCACCAACAACGGCATTTGTCAATTTCAGGTGAGACGTCCATCCTTTGTCATCCAATGTTTCAATTTCATCTCATGCATTACTTATAAAAAAGGTAGAGCTTTTCTCAAAATCGTTTGATGTTATTGTTAAAATCTCCCTTCCCCCCTCCCACTTTCCAACTTGTGCCGGAGGCCATTGGAACCCCCTATGAGCTACAGAGCCACCTTGAGGTGACCAAAAAACTAAGAAACTCTAGTATTTAAAAACTTTTAGCAATAAAATCAGAAAAAGTTAAGAGACTGTGTGTTCGGGCTTTATCAATAAACTCATGTAGCGTTTTCCATTACAATAGTATGCTTGCGAAATCATTGGAGTAAAAGCATTTGAATGACCAAGTTGTAATTCAACAGTACCTACCGATCTAAAGAAAAGACTGCTTTAAGAACTTACTTGATTTTCGAACTTACTTATAGTAGCCGTTTTGCTAAAGACTGCTTTAAGAACTTACTTGAGTAAATAAATCTTGACCAATTCCTGGCAAAAAATCCTCTGATTGCATGTTTATCCTATTTCCTCCTTGATAAATTTCTAGAATGAGGACAAGAAGATAAAATCGCTTCTTCCAGTAATAATTTACTGTAAGAACTCTATTAAGCCCTCTCTCTATTAAGCCTCCTCACTATTAAGCCCCCCTTACAAAGAAAAACTTTAAAAAACCCCCTTCTCTATTAAGCCCCCCTATTCAGCCTTCGATGAAAAACAAAGAGAGCATGTGCGTTTGGCGGGTCTCTTAACGGATGTGATGATGATAAGATCATGTGCATCAAATACGGTCAATGTAAAGATTTACTTTCGGACTTTGAAGTTAGTCGAAATTTGTTTTGAAGATATCTAAAGGTTTTCAACTTATCCTGGTGATTCTGATGAAGTTGAGGACGTTAAGAAACTTTCAAAGCTGCTAGCAGCCAAAGTTTTTTGGGAACATTTGTATGGCCTTTTCATAACAGAAAATGCCCCAGGGCATTTTTAAAACATTTTTTGCTTCAGACTTTTAATACGCCTCTTCTCTCTAATAAGATCCCCCTCTTCTAAACCCCTCTCTGAAGGTGAATAGAGCTCGATAAATAAGCTCCATGGGGCTTAATAGAGCTTTTAGGGTCTACTACCTTGCTATAAATTTGCATTTGGATGTTGATACTGTGGCTGTATTCAGTACAGCTCTACGCTAAGAAATCTATGCAAAAAGAAGCAACAACAACAGATGTGAATATCTAACGTATTTGTTGATTTTCTAGAAAAGCAAATGCTTGATAAATGGATATTGCTTCAACGACGGAGAAAGTCCACCATTCAGCCCCTGCTTACTGTGTGCGCCAAAATACAATGTCACTGCCTTCTCCCCAGGTGATCTTTATGGGCTATTTTTAATAACCTTTGGCTAAGGTTTCTGGTATTCCGTATTACGGGAAATAATTTAGTGACGATTTTTAAACCATCTATGCTTTTTGGGGGCATTCATTCGAGGTAGCGTTTCAAAATGTCCAACAAACATAAGGAATAATTAAATCCACTCTAGCAAAGAAAATAGCCTAGACTATAACAGTAACGGCCCAACCAAACCAGTTGATCATTTTGTCAAACAAATCCAACTTTTTATGTCTTGTTTGTCATTACTGGACATTGTTCGATGAAGTGGTGGCCTAACTACAGGGCCTAGCTTCGTCCATTGAATTTTCTGCTTGAAATTGAACATGACGACTCGATTACAGACAAAGCGACAAGCGACCAATTCAGTGTTTATGGGTCTATTTGAAACTTTGGCGATAGCAAAGAAGGGAGTGAAAACACAGTTAGGCAAGACCAGACAATTAATAAAGAGGAGACACGAAAGGGATCTATTTGCAAACATTACCACAGTTTTTTCATACTTTCGTAAAAGCATTCTTCATTTTCTTTTTCGTCAGGAGAGCGCTGGCTCGATTCCTAAAGCCGATTTTTCTGCGAAAATAATTCACTTAGATTAGGAACGACATTTGTGAAATACAGCCTTCATGTACCACATGAAATCTAATGGGACAGGTTTATATTTAGATTAAATCTCATGTGTTGCAAATGTTTAATTTTGCCAACGACGACATATTTGCTTACAGTTTCAGGATTTGTACGCTTGGAGAAGTATTCTTAACATGACCTTACTTTGGACAATATTAATATATAATAATAGACTATTCGTCGAATATTTTGATTCTTAACCTTAGACAGAATCAATTTTGCACTACTTTGTTTTGTTTAGTCAAGACTGGTTTCTGTGCGACTACAACAACAGCACCGTCAACGAACACCACTGTAACTACAAAAACTACATCCTATCGCTCGTCAACTGGAGGAGGTTACATTTTTACTTGTTTTTTCTCAATCTATTCCTTACAACCAGGAAGGGTAAATCTTAAGGGGCTTGTTTGACACACATAGTATATTTTAAAAACAACAACAAGATTCATGAGCCTAAGTCTTGATATATAAAAGGGCTCTAAAATTAAAAAGCTGTTTAAAATGTTATGACATTTGCGATAAAACTTTGAAGCGTTATGTTGAAATCAGAATATTGAAAGCTGCGTGATATATTTTAAGTTATTTTTGACGATAAACAATGAACGGAACTAGAAGTAAATAATCCAAATGTTAACTGTCTTTCATCAATTATTAGCAACATTGTTTGTCAAAAGATATTAGACGTCGATCTAAGGTTTAAGCTTTAAAAAATTAGTGCAAAAAATGTTTTTTTTTCAATGGCGAGCAAGAAAACAAATGTTGTTTAAAAGAAGTAGATAACAGCAGCCAATAAATAATCTATAAAATCCTGTTTTTATTTGAACCGAATGAGTATCCTCGCAATAACCTAAAGTTATATATATGATCAATAATGATATTCAGCAAAGGTTACTTCACATAGAAAGGATTCTTTGGAGTCTTTGAGCTTGTTGTCCTGTGTGTTAATGTTTGGAGAAAACCTTGTCATATATTTTTCTTTATACTTTGTAGTAAGTGGCAATCGAACAACAACAGAAAGACCATCAATCACCTCGGAAAAACTTAATGTTACCACCACCCACACAAATTCAACTACCAAAGGTTAATATTTCGATTCTTTTGTTTTTTTCGCATGCAATCGGCTGAATGGGAAGATTTGTAAATGGCTTTCAAAAAAGCAAACATTTAGTAAACTAAAGCTTTTCGTCTGACACTCTTCAGAGTTTAAAACATCAGAACATAGACCGAAAACTCTACGTTAGGAAATATATATACCCAGTTGTGGATCGAAATAGGCCAATCAGATACACATGACTGTTGTGGTTGACCAATCAGTGCCGCTTGCCTATTGAGAATGTTACCAATGGAGTCCTAAGGTGAAAACGAACTCCTTTTGTCTATACAGTAGCGGTTTTTTCGTGCTTATGTAGATAGATTCCAAAACTGCTTGGTGGAACGACGATCGGGCTTTACCAATAATCCGAAACATGTCGCCATTATAGTTTTTTTCACAATCTGGGTTTTCCAGTAAATGCTGCCGATAGAAGAATCGCAGGTTTGGAATCTAATACTAGGCGGAACATGTTGTTTAATTCTATCCTCCAATCTTTGGGTGGTGCGTCCTACGTAGCCAGAATCACACTGGCACGTAAATTCATAAACAACGGAACTCTTTTTTCATTTATATCTGCTTTATTTATTATCTAGGCATTGTTTTTGTTAAGTGAAGCGATCTTAGTGCTTGATGAAGTCGTCTAAACTTATTTATTTAAGTGTTTTGTCTTGTGAAACATGAAGGGCAGCTTCGAGTATCTAGACAAAATAAAATCTATCTAGTAAAGCCATTAAGGGTATTCTATATTCTGCATACTGGCTTTCTTAACCGTGATATAGGTCATGACTTCTTTATGACGAGCTAGAAATTGCAAAGTGCTTGAATTGATACATATTTTTCCATGTTGCAGAAAGTGTTAAGGGATCTCCTACCAATATTCCATCTACTACCTCAGAAAAACTCAGAGTTACAACCAAAAACAAGACACGTACCAAAGGTTTGTTGCTGATTAGCCAAACATTCATTAAATAGACAAGCAAAATATCGCAATTTTTTAGAATGCATTAAATACTTCTTTATTATCTGTAGAAATGCGGTCTCAGAAACATTGAACTCTTGAAAGAGATAACTATTTTTCCTTCAGTTCCCTCAAAGAATGAAACCCTCAAAACAACAGTGTCAACTAAAGCCAAAGTCAAGGGAAAGATGGCGACCATCATTTCTTGTTCAGTTGTTGGTGGTATTCTTATACTGGTTTTCTTGATAGTTTGTGCATTGAAGTTAAAAAAAACTCATACTATCAAAACCTATCCAGTTGATCCAGCAGAACTGAGCAACAACATTGAGCTACAAAGACCCGAAGACTTGCCTTTGTCACATTGAAGTGGTCATTTTCATTTTTATCCTTATTTTTATTTTCACCTGTTATGTGCATGATCAAAATGACTATCAAAATTATGATTGGCTTTGTAATTTTAACAAATAATTCATTTAGTTCTTTAGCTGCTATTGGATCTATTCATGGATTTAGCTATTCCGTTTAGTACATATGAATTGTCGATAATATTCACTAAGATTTTTTGGGCACATGATGCGAAGGGAAGGCTTGGAACACCTAGCGGTTACTAGAAAGATAGAAGGAAAGAAAGGAAGAGGGAGACCAAGAATATATGAAGGCTTTGAGCACGTGGGCAAATGTAGAAGCTAAAGAATTGATTAAGACAGCTAAGAGCAGGGTAGAGTGGAAGGCCACGACAGTCAACGCTTTGAAGGACGTTTAGAACAAACCATAATAAAAATAGCTATGTATGTGATCGATTAGAAAAACATGTTTTAATAAATAATAAAGGATCAAAAGCATGACAAATTTGATAGGCTCCTTGAAAATCGTGGAGCAGAAGTTTAACTTGCCCTTTGTGTGAATAGAAGCTTTGCTATGAGCCAATATCGTGTCTTCTGTAACCATAACCTTTTGTAACAGCATTTACTTAGTTAATTGATAATTGATAGTTAATTTGATATGATTATGTTTTTGTCATTCAATCTTTGAAATTTATAGACTTTACATTTGTAAAGGTTGATTCTTGTAGCTGTGATTTAAGATTGAAAGTGTTGTATAAAACTCTCAAAAACGAATATATTGTCGATGGTATAAAACTAGTGTGATATCAATTCAATGTAGTTTTATGATTAGTGATCTCAAGCAAAATATGTATCTTTTGATGTATCTTATGTAATCATTTGTAATCAAAGTTTTCAAACACTGACAGCTAAAGGTAGTTGCTTTGTTTCTTTTGCTCTATGTGAGAGACCAAATATTAATTGTACTACATTGACAAAAACATTCTTTATTGGGGAAATAGTTGGTTATCTCCGAGAAAAGATGTTTGAATTTAAGATACAGGAGTAAACTATTGTGTTACAAAGCTATTGGTAAGTAAGCAGTCTTATCTTGATAATCATAATTGAAAACTTTATTAAATATTTTATTTCTAAATTCACTTTTTATTTTTAGTTTTACTTTTGGTTGTGCAATGTTAGAATAGTGAAAAAAAGATTTACAAATGCTAGGAGTTGCAAAGCAAGTTTCTCTGTTACTGGCATTTTCTGAAAACTAATTCTTTGTAGCATAGTTTCTACCTCTGCCTGCTTGTGAAATCGATGAAGATTGCCATATAGGCTAATAATTGGCACTTAATAGCAGTAGAAAAAACTCTAGGATACAACGCAATATGATATGAAACCTATTAGAGATTATACAGTAGCTAAAATATGAACAAAGTTTCAATTGGCTGTATTAAAGAAGTTAAAGACGATGCTGCCTAGATTTCAGCGGAAGGCTGTTTTATAGTTTTGCTCCTCGAAAGAAAAGGCGCATTGGCTCGTTAGCAGAGTTTGTTATGACAAACAAATATCACTTGTGAATTAATTGCTCTTCATTTTCGATATTTTAAAAAACTTTTCTTTGGCTGACACTTTTTCTTTTAAAAGCCTTTTCACATGGAATATCTCGTCAAATTAGAATTTTCAAAGTGACAAAGACGAAGGCAAAGGGGTAATGTTGATCTTCACATTGAGTACATGTTTATGTTCATTACACTGTCATGTGCCTCTTCATGTGGACTCAAACTGTTGCTTAAACTGTATGAGACCTTTGTGAAGCAATAAGGTTGAGTACTCTCACTGGTGCCCAGTAACAGGACTCCACGACAATGCAACCGAAAGGGCAGCTTCAGATCGAGGGCTCAGAGAGACATCTGTCTCCTTCTACCTTAATCTGCATCACTACCCAGAATACCATGGCATTAACAATAAAACTGCCCCTTTGAATTTTTTGGTTTACACTCCAAGATACTACTTTGAGTTCATTATCACGAATCTTAAGTTGCAAGGCTCCGTATTGGCTTTTAGGTAGTTGTTTTTTGCATTGTTGAAATGAATGAGTTTGAACGAGTTTGTGATCAAGTAAAGGTTAATGCCTTGTCGCCATGCATTTATTTCATTAGAACGCTATTTGTAGTCTCATTCAGGCGACTCAGCTTCGTAAAAATTATCGATGAAATATAGATGGACCAAGACAGGAAGCTTGTGGAGCTGAGTCAACTTCCCAATCGAGGGCTGAGAGGGATATCAGGCTATTTCCCAATATCTGAAATAATGCTGGTAACCATTCTAAACGAAATGTCACATAAATTGTTAAAACCAATGAATACCTATACCAGTAAAGTATATACTAGGCCTACAATATTGTAATCGAACTACGCTCTTAGAAATGTGAGCTTTAATCATCCAAATCCCTTTACGGCTAGCTGTAATTGGCATGCTACCCAAAGCCTAGGAGAGGGAACTAAGTAACCTCTCCTGGTGGAAGAATATATATGATTGGGGCATGAAGGACAATCCTCCGTTCTTAAACAATTGAAGGAGCGAACATTTGATGACTTCATGTGATGACTAGGTAGAGCAATAGCTTGTTTTAGAGAAACTTGACAACTTCCCATGCTTCACAAGATCGTAAATGTAACATAGACGATGTTTAATTGAAGAAAATCATCATCGTCATCTCTGACACTACAATTAGACATATTTCAAATTTGTTCCTCGTTGTTGCTGAAGAAAGAGAATCAAGAAAGTCTCCTTATACCATTCACATCCATGGCCATCGCTAGCTGTTGGGCACAAGGGGATGCTCTTGTCCCATTTGCCGGCAAAATTAATGATCTTACTTTTGTTTGCCAAAAATCTGGAGATTTGCCAACAAAGCACCCCTAGATAGCAAGCAACTTGCTTTTGCAATGAACTTTTCTAAAAGGCATGTCAAACCCCCATGCCCCACCGCAATGACGACACCGCGCGTATTCAACACTCATTCACATGTCACTACAAAGTTAATGAAAAGAAGAATCTGTCGTCCGTTAGGAAATAAAACTAATAATGATTCCATTGCCATACTTAAAAAAAATCTTTGTGTTCTCCGGAGCCCCTGAAATTGTTCATTAACGAAATGCTGAAATTGTTCATTAACGAAATGCTGAAATTGTTCGCTACTTTAGCCTAAAAAGCGTACATGCTGCTTTGGCAACACATTTTTGGTAAACTCTCTTGATTTTGCTGGATTGAAGAATCATCAAAACTTTTACTACACGATATTGTCATTTAGTTAACAGTAGCAATTTTAAACTCCGGTTGAACCGCATCACTAAACAAACTGCAGAGATTTCTTGTCTCAGATGGCCAAATCACCTGAAGCTTTCCTGCTCAAATCGCCTTAACTGGAATAGAAGTAATTTGCAAAATGCGTGCAAGTCTTCTTCATTACAGTAGAATACACCTGCTAGCCTCTCAGTTTCGTAGCTTAAAATGCTAATTTATTTAATCCGCGGATAACACTGATGGCAGTCGCCTTTGCCAGATAACAAATATGCACTTGGTTGAAAATTTCACAGCTAGGGCCATTGATGAGAAAGCAGGTGTTGGCAACTGCATCTTCAAAACCTGCTTTGGGATTTGATACAAGAACGTCTTTATTGCGTGTGGTTTTATCACCCAAAACCTGTTGAACCCCCGCTTGTAGATAGCAGATGAGAGAATCTGATCCTTTGCTTTCTTATGATACAAACAGCAGAATTCACATATACTTGGCGTGAAAGAAATCACCTTGCTACATTTAGGGAAGTTCTAAAAGTACAGTGTAAGTACAATTACCTATCCTACATATTTACATCATTATCTAGAATGTTATTCAGTTTTAAATTAAAACAATGGGTAAAGTTTGAAAGTATATTAGCCGGGCTCTGTAGGAGAATGTTCCATGGTCTCTTAAACTATACACCGATTAATATTTATATTAACTGGAGTTTAGAAATACGTTTTTAGGTTTCAAATCAAGAAATCTTAGCTTGCCCGACGCGAGTTTGGAAATTGCGTATCCGTTGTTGGTCGCTGCACTTGATTAATATTTGATAAGATGCAACTGTAGTCACAACACATTCTTATTTGATTATTATCAACGTGTAGCAAAGTGATTTATCCCTACTAAAAGTAATTTTAAGCACTTCAAACAATGTGAGGGCCAGGTTTTCAGTTGAGGACTGGTGGACGGGTGACGGCCAGTTTGATATTCATGCTGAAGTTTAACAGAATTCAATAGTGTATGGAGTTAGTGATTTCATAAATAATCAATGTTTAGCGTGAATTTTCAACTTCAATCTGCGATTTCTTCAAATAACATTCTGTTTGACGTGAAATTTAAACATGCTATTTAAACAAGGCTGGCATGGCACAACAGAATCGAACTCCTTGATATGACTTTGCAATCAAAACGAGCATTAAAAAAATTATTAAAAGCTCCAGCAATTCGATAAAAACTATAGCTGTGTATTTTCAAACCTGCCTGGATCAATTTTATCACCCAGTAAACAATTTGCCAAGGTGATCCATCTATTCGTGGAAGAAAATTTATCTTAAGCATGTTACAGTTACGTTTATTTTAATTTTCATTACTCAAATATTCAATGATTATTATCTTTATGCAGATTATTTGTTTTTCTGTGCTACAAAGCCGCCTTAATCATTTAATTTTTTCTCAAAACTTAGGGTGCAGGTTTTAGAAGAGCGAATGCGTTTTAAAAGCAATTCGCAGTTCCTACTTAGTCCTTCATAACTGATATTTAAATTAGCTCTGCTGCAATCATCATGAAAATTGGCGGACTTCTTGCATATGAAAGCAGGTAACACGTTTGGAATAACTCCGCCTTCAAAGGAATGAAATAAGTGATAAGAAATAACAGTGGTGTAGATAAAGGGGGAGCAAGGGTCGAAAAACCTTTCTAAGGCTTACCTTTTGTAGGAAAATCAACAATCTTTCTCTATGAAAATAAATAATCTTTCTCTATGAAAATAAATAATCTTTCTCTATGAAAATCAATAATCGGAAGAAATAACGATGGCTCTTTGTTTCTTTAAGAGAAGTGAAATGATGTTTTTCAATTAGCTATGAACTAGCTATGGCATTCACTCCTTATTTCTAAGAATAACTTCAAATAACAAGAGCCTCAAAATTGGTCAAAATTTAAGAACAAGCAAAAATGAATGTAACTTTGCACAAAGTTTTAGAACACCCTTAAATATTCACCTTGTTAAAGTGCCTATGAAATGAAATTTGACAAGTTTAGATAAAGGCACATTTTTTATAAGCAAAATTTGCTGATTTCAATGATATATGTTGAGGTGATTTTTTCCTCGAGGAACCGTCAAAAACTTGGGTTGAATATCGTATTTTCACGCTTTTGACTGTGACAAAGCGCGCGATATCCATGACGTCACAAGGTTAGCAAGTACGGAAGCAGTTGGCTAATAGAACACTGAGGAGTATAGAGGTCGCTTTTGGAACTACAGTTAAAATTGCCGAAGGGGGCAATATTAAGTCAGGGTCCGTGTCCAATCTTTTTAGGCTTATCAAACTGTCCTTTTTTGTAAAGTTTCATACTGCTGTACCAAAGTACGACTGAAATACGATAATACCGTCTATTAAGGTCTGGGGCAGTGTACCCCAGTCTGAAAATAGAACAAGGGGGCAATTTTCAGATAGTGTTTATATCCTATAATTTTCTGCGTATCAGATTGCCACTTATTGCAAATTTTCAGCCAGGGTCTACATCCTATCTTTTTCAACATATCAAACTGTCTTATTTTGCAAAGTTCCGTGCTGAAGTACCAAAGTACGAATGAGATGCGATAACACCGTCTCTAAAGGTATCGAGCAAAGTACCCCAGTCTGAAAATAAAAAAGGGGGCAATTTTTATGGGGGCCCGAATCGTTCAAAAGTATCCCTTATTAATAGAAGTATACTTGTATTAAATATTGCCACGTTGAATTAGGAGCAATTTTCTTGGTTAGCTTCACCACTGCATGACTCCGCACTCGTGACTAGGCTGAGCGTTAGGCTTAGTGACCTCGGTTTGAACAAGCATGAATTTGAACACAACTTTGCCTGCCATAGCCCCATGTGCTGATGCAATGTAGAAATCGAATCAATTGCTCAATTCT